GGACCGACACAGATATTTCGATACAGCTGGACTGTTAGACTATTAAGTTTTGGGTTCATGTAATGAGATCACAATTTTATAAGTAGATTTTAGATTTTTTTACATCAACGCTTCTTCATTTGAAAACATAACAAAAATATTTATTTTTATCAAATATATTTAAAATGTTATATAATGATAATTTTATTTAGAATTAATTGAGCTGCTGTAATCTTAAAAATGATGATATTCATTATAAGAAAATATTTGTAAGTTAACAGAGTTTTATTTTCAAATTAGCTTTTCCTTAAACCAAAAATACTGTGAACCAACAAAATTGTCAAGGATTAGCTTAAAATTACAGAAAAAAGTAAAACTAAATCGAATCATAGAAATAATTTATTATGAACGATGGGTTATTGCGCAATTAAATTAAAATCAAATTTAAAAGGAAAAAGAGAAGGATAATAAATTAGACAAAATGTTCTTTTAAAATATCCCATAGTATGTTAATTTCAGATAAGATTTTAAATAAGAAGTTTATGTTAAAAATCTTTTTGATTTGAATATTTATTTAATTCTTAAAGAAAATTCATTATTTCTTGATGATAATTTTTCCATTAACTTTATTATGAGTTAGTGTAATAGATTGTCTCTTTGTATTTTGCTTGTATTCTGTTTATAATCTGATTGTGTCTGTATTATGCAATTATAATTTCTTTTTTTATTTTGGGTGAGGGCTCTCCAACATAATTTTAAATTGTTAAAAGGAGGAAAGTTTGTCGAGATTTTTCAGAAGATTCTTTTAAGAACTATTCTGAGATGTTTACGCACTTGCTTTATAAAATTATCTTAATTTTTCAGGAGTCTTTTTGGGTTATGTCTTGATCTTGCTACTAAAATTGTTAGAGTATATTTTAATAAGTTTTGATTCCTTTTTAGCAGGGGTGAATTCTGTCTATAATGATTACTGTGAATTAGATTTTTTATGTACAGGTGTAATGTAATTAAATAATTTAGGTTGACTTTAATTATTACCACCAGAGCTTATGATTTAACTTAAACGCATTTATTCTGTTTTTAATTGTTCTGATGAAACACTTCTAGTACTTGTAATAAAGTGAGCACTACTATGTTTAGCTTAGTTGCTATTACAATTGTTTTGATCAACCTTATTCGAGAATATTTTTTGGATTTTTATCTTATTATCTTAAGATAGTTTTATGATCTTGGCTTTCATGAATTTTTAGAATTCATTTTCTTCTTAACTGCTATTAATGTGTTATTATGAGGATGACTTTTAGGTCGGAATTGGCCTTTCTGGAGATTACTTTTAGGAATTTCTAATGTTTGCTTAAACTTTTCCAGTTATCAAATTAAATGGTAAGTTTAATTTTAACTTATCCTTATTTAATTAATTGTTTCTTATGACTAATTGCTTTAACAATTTCAAATTCTAAGTTGGTTATTTCGATAGTTATTTTTAATTGTTTTTTTCTGTTTAAATTTATTGTTGCATTGTTAACCATGTTTCATCTATATTCTAAAATAAAAAATAGGCTAATTACAATATAATCGTCTTCCTTTTAGAATTTGATTATTTATCTTAGAAGAGATTTCGCAGATTTCTCGCTCAGCTTTGTTATACTATTCAATACTTGAATATCTTCATTTAATTTTTCATATTCTATATATTACAGAAAACTCAATACATGTGCTTATACTAGATTATTCATATGGAATTCCTAGTTAAATTTTGATCTTTCTGTATTCATATTTTCTAATTTTAATATCATGAAATTAATTACTTTTTTTTCTCATAAAAATAAGTAGCCATATCTGCAAGGAATCCAAAAAACATTCTTGGTATATCTTTATGATATTTGTAATATTCTAATAATTGCTTGAACTTGTTAGATTATATTGTAATCGGATAATATCTATATTCATAATACAAATTTGAATTACTTTTTTAAATACTCTTCATTCTCCTTTACATGTAAGTTGTCTTTGAAATCTATGACCCACTTTACTGGTTTTGTTGAAAAAAAGTCCTCAAATTTTTTGACTTTTTATTATGAATATTTAGTGTACAAGGCCTTCTCAATCTTTAATGAATGATACACTATTTATTAAATATGCGTATAAATGTTTGACATTTTTTGAACATTTTAATTTTTAACAGAACGGGCAATCCCTCTTTCTAAAAGAACTCTTCATAACTGAATATAATTTTAATATTGTATAATAATTAATACAAATTCCTTTCTTAACAATATGTGTTCTTACGAAATTAGTAAATTGATATTCAAACCATCCTTAGTTCTTGGATTTATTGATTAGATATGTACTTGAAAAAATTGATTTCTTTCAATCAGAATTTTCATAAATTTCATCCCATAATAATAATTAAGTATCTCTGCTTTATTTTTATAAATTTTTACTAATACATAAAAACCAATTTACTAGCTTGAATTAGGCAATATAAAACCAATTGAACTATATCAATTTAATCAAATTTATTTATTGGATTTATATGCACATCAGAAAATTTAACATTTGAGGATCTTTTATAGTTAAGCGAATTTAGATTATTAATAGATCATCATTAATGATATTATTGATTTCAATAAACGAATTTACAACCTTTTAATCTTTTGGTGTTGCAAGCTAAGAAAAATTCAATTTTCTTCTTTATGTTCATAAAATTTTGAATTTAAAGAATTAAGATAGTGTAAACTTTAACCCAATTTTAGGAAATGGGGCTGTAATAATTTGAATAGCAGTTCAAACCTTGATAAATAAGTGTTTAACAAATGAGCCACCATTAAGATTGGAAATTAAATTAAATTAATTGAAAGTTAACTGAGGTAATTTACTGGATAAAGCTAAAAATTTAAGAGCTAAGTAGTTATGAGAATAATAAAATTTATATGCCTATAGATTAATTAAATTGAGATCAGACCATTAAAAGATAATTTTAATTATGTGTTGTAAAATTTTAATGATTAGAGTCTAAAAGAAAATTAAATAATTTATTAATTGAGGATTATATTTGCCTAAGTAAATAAGATTAATTAAGAACATATCCAATGAACCTTTTGTAGTTTTGAAAAATAACAAAGTAATTAAATAAAGGTATATTATAACTTATTACGATATTGTATATAGTTGCATTTAAATGTACATAATTGCAATTCTTACTTAACTATTTTATAATTAATATCAATATATCCTTATATTTTTCAAATATATATATTCGTATATTAATTAATTTGGAATGTATTAGTAAAAATAATCTGATTTTAAATTATAATAGGTTAATCAAAGGTCAAATAATTTATAAATTACATATGATAAGTTGCTAAGATTAGAAGAGATATTTTATGAAAACTAGGATAAATGATAGTTTTTATTAGATTATTTACTAACTCGTTATTTTTAAATTCAAAACAGATTACTATTCTCCAAACATAGTTTATGTCTAATTATTAATAAATTTACTTATTTTAAATCACTAATTTAATGGGTTGTTGCATTTCATAACAAAGAACCTAAGAAGCAGTTATCTAAACTTAAATTAAAAAGGCTGTTGAAGAACAGGAAGAAATGTCTATTATTGAGGATGTGGAACAAGAGTTCAATGATATTATTGAATAACCTGAACCAGTGATAAATGATTAAAAAAAAGAAGAACACTTAGCAAAAATTCAAAAAAGCGAAGAGGAAGAGGATAAGTAAGAAAAAAAATAATTAAAATCAAAAACGACAAAAAGAGATGAAAATTATCTTAAAATTATTGAATACAAAAGCATTAAGATTAATTACTACATTCTAACTCCGAAACATGATGAAGTTTCTACATACTACGATTTCATCATAAATACAAGTCATTTAGAATTTTAATATGAGATAAAATGCAAAGCGATTGTTACTTCTGAACCAGAATAACCATTTTCAATCAAACCATATTCCTATTTGGAAGCATCTTCAAATTCAGGTTACGATATATTTTTTAGAAATGATACTTATTTTACAATAGATTAATAATAAAACACTAACAGACAATCTTTTGATACATTGCTAGAAGTGGAAAGAACTCTGAAAAAGAAAAAGGAATAGGCAATTCTGCCGTAAGCATTTTAACTACGTCAATAGAAATAAGAGGATTCTCAATAAAATTTGAATAGTCCAAGAAGATCACCCAAAAAGCAAAAAGGGAAAATTCAAACTGAAGTTGTTTAAGAAATGTTGGAAATAATGCATGTATTCGACCTGGAATTGTGCCCCCGTTTCCATTAGTTATTATTTTTTTTAATGGTATAATAATAAATGGCAAAGTTAAAACCTTATTTAGTAAATATATCTGAAGTCTACTTTCTTTTTGATTAGAAACCTTCCTTGGATGAACAATAAGTTTAAAAGGTGGCAATATTTTATGAATATTTAGACTATAGTTTATAAGAATTCCAAGATTATTTAAAAAAAGAGAAAAAATAATTGTCTCATTTGTTATTCCTGAGATTATCCTAAGACTTAATATAGATATTTTACAATTGTTACAACTCTTACACATATAGATGTAATTTCACCTTAAAATCAGTCTTTTACACTAGTAAAAATAAAAGATTTAGATTATAAGCATTCGCAAGATTATAAACTTTAATAAGATTCTCAAATGAATAGGAAGTCTAATAACTTCTTTAAACAGTTAATGAATAATAGTATAAATTCTTTATTAGAGACTTTGAAAAGGATTTTGGGGCTTTGTGTGATCTTATTCTTCTTTTCAAGAATGTTGATAATTAAATCGGAAATATAAAGAAGATTAGGAGGAAAAAGAAAAATTCAGATCTTCACCATTAGAAATATGCCGAATTTGCTATGAATTTATTAGATTCTGAAAATACAGACAAACTAGTATATGAATTGATAAGGTTAAAATGCTAGCCTATCGATAAAGATAATTTTGATTACATTTTAGAGGAGATTAAGACATTACTAATGACTTTAGAATAATAAATTTAAGAGGAAACCTAATAGAGAGAAAAAATGAATGATTTAAAGGAGTAGATGATTTTTCAAAATGAAAGCATTATTAAAGTAAATAATAGTGAGCAAGTAGGTACTAATGCAGAAGTGGACAACGAACAACATACGTTTGAAACTCATTTGGCAAAAAAATCGAAAAAGTTAAAAGTTTAACCAAGCGAAAGTGATCTATTTAATGAAATGAAATACTCAGCCTTATTTTACTTCGAGACATTTATGGAAAGAAGTTAGAAATTCTTAGAAGTATGCACAAATGATGCGCATCGGGCATATGCTCTTATACTATAATCCATAGGACAAACTATGAATATTCCATCAAGAGAATAAAAATTAGCAGAATAATAATTAATTTTGCAAGAAGCAAGCAAATTAGTGTTAAAGGAGAGAGTTTTCATAATTTAAGATTCGTTTCATTATTATTTGTTACTAACTCTAATAAGTTCATTGGTTGATAAACCTATTTAATTACTAAATTAACTTAAGTTACTTATTCAGTAATAAAATAGCATAAGAAGGAAATAAATAAGGCCTAAATTAAGTACACAACATACATGCACAGGAATAATTGAAATGAGAAAGGCATTGATCTTGGATCTATTTTACATTGATCATTATCTGAAACGTCATTTATTCTAAAATGCCACTCATTTAGTATAGCATATTGTAACATAATAATTGCGATTCAATTTAAAATCCTATTTACTCTATGGTCGAAGTCTCTTCATTAGTGGAGTCCTTTGTGAAAAAATGATGTAACCAGTGTCAGCCATGTTGAATTTAGAAGTCTGTAGACTGCTTTATTAACAATTTTTCCCTGTTTAGAAGTTTATGTATTTGGATGAAGAGACCAACCAATTGGTAGATGTAGAATATTAAGAAAATAGCAAATAATACAGATAAGTTTTACTTCATTTTGAAAATGAAGGATCAGAAAATTTGAATATTCTTGAATTTAATTTAGGTCTTGTTTATTTTACATTGGCTGAAAAAGAGAATGCTTTGAAATGTTTGAGAAAAGTCAAAGAATCGAGAGAAAAGAAGTATGATATAGTTTCTGATGAAGTTTTGGAAGTAGTCTTGTAAATATTGAAAATACATGTTGAATAAGAAGAAAATGGAGCTGCTTTAGAGATTTGCTAAGAATATTATGCAAAATTTCAATATTTGGCTAAATAGAATATTATAACAAAAAGCAGACTCATAGCTCGTTTGTAATTGATCATGGCAGCGATATATGAATGCAATAGGATGTTAGTGAGTGCTTTAAAATATTATCAAAAAGCTAATAAAACATTTGCAATGTCAAAAAACAATTCTTATGTTAGATAATTGCATATTTTATAGAAAATAAGAAAAATAGTTGAGTAAATTAAATTAAAGGCTTATTAATCTCATAGTTTAGAATAGTAATCAGAGTTTAATATTGAACATTATCTTGGTCATCTGTCTGAGAAAGTGAAACCTTACTTTAATAATTAGTTTATTCGAATGTTAGAAAACGACAGGATAGTTTTATATAATATCACTTTGATGAAAAGGTACATAAGAGCAAACCAAAGCTTAAGAAATTTAGAGTATCAATAGGCGTTAAAAAGATATTAAAGAATACATGAAAAATTCAAAAAACAGAAGATTGACGAATGTTATGGATTTACCTTAGAAAAGATTGGTACCATATATTTAATTTAAAGAAATTTAAAAACAGCCATACAACATTTAAAAATGGCATCTGAATTACATGATCGATACTTGTAGTTTCCTTTGAAAGAAATGAGGATATTGACCTGTGAAATATATATATTACTTGGTTAAGCTATGCTAAGGAATAGTAAAGATGTTTAAAAACAATTAACCATTATTGATGACTTTATTTAGAATATCAATGATTTATTGAATTGGTAAAATGTTCCTTATTAATAAAGATCAAATAAATTTGCCATATTATCAAATAAATTAGGTAGATAAGTATTGTATGTGCTTAATGACCTTTTTGAGAGAGTAGAAAACTATAATACTTTGAGAGTTAAATTTGGATAGAATTTAAATAATGCTTAAGTTTTGAATGCCATTTCAGAGAAATTTTTGAATGAGAAATTCAATTAATAATCTGTAAGAAATTCAGACATTTCAAATCAGAGGAAATCATGTCTATTTGGTTTATTCAGTTAGGGAAAAAGGAGGTAAGCCACTTGGAAAGCAACAATGTCACCAAATTAATAAAGAAATTAATTAAATGAAGTGGTAAGTGGGGAATAAATGGAATTATCAAAAAGTAAAATTGAGATTCAGACCGGAAAAGCTAAAGAATAAAGCACAGATAGAGTTGACAAAACTTAGAAAATAAAGATTTAAATTACAATAACAGAGACTGAAAGAGATCAATAAATCTAACAGCTTAAAAAAGATAGGCCAGAAATTTATGAGCAATTGTAAGAGTTTGAAATAGATTAAAAAACAAGTTCAAAATTAAAAACATCTTTACCAGCGACAGCTTTAGTCAGTCCAGTACTCAGTCCCATCAGCATAAAATCACCATCTTAATAAAAATCCTAAGATAAAAAAATAAACCCTTTCCAAAAAGTCAAAAGAAAGAAATGAATATTTTGACTAATTTAATATATATTATTATTACATATATAAAATATATGGGTATATGTTTTGGAGCCAAGAAGAATGATCGTTATGCAATTATTTAAAAACAAATCAATAACACTGTAAAGGAATAAGAAGATATGTAAATTTAAGAAGAATTGGCATATTAAAATAAACAATTACTTGATGAGGAAGAGATAACACTGAAGATTAACACATAAACTTAACTAATAGTTTCTAAAGATCTAAATGAAACGGCCAGTTAATAGATCATTGAATAAAAGGCTTCTACTAAAAAGAAAAGGAAGAAAAAAACTAAAGATGAAAATTATCTCAAACAAATAGAGTATCATATAACACTTAAATCTATTATTATTGAAGAAGAATAAGATCAGACTTAGTCATAATATAATATAATAATGGTACTAGAATATATGGGTTATTGTCATAATGTCTAATTAAAAGGTGTTTTAATTAATCACCCAAAGAAAACGTTTCAACTAATTCCAAATACCTATGAGGATGCTGCTAAGCATTCGAGATTCTCTCCTTTTTTTTAAAATGACTTTTACTTTAACATCAACGCTGATCCCTTACATAATACTAATTATTTCGAGAAATTATTACATGTGGAAAGAACTGTGACAATAGATAGACAGATCAGAATATCACCTACCAAAAGATTTTCTAGACGATCATCTTCTGTTTTAGATGAACACCAAAGTCCATCCCCTTTAAAAAAGAGATAAAATGTAAAAAAATCTGAATTTGTAAGTGAATTACTTGAAGTTGTATAAGTTTTTGATTTGGAAGCCTAGCCTAGATTTCTTTAAATATTATTTGCCCTATTATTGAAAGAATAATTACCTTAAATTAGTAATAACTTTGTGTACATTGAAGAGTTGATTTTTTTATTTGATTAATTGCCTAAAATGGAATAGCCCAATGTGTACAGAATTGGCATTTTCTATGAGAGTCTTGATTATAATCTTCATGATCTGCTTGTTTATATGAAACATGAAGAGGTTAAATTGTCCCAAATTTGCTTTCTAAAATTAGCACACAATTTAATTTAAGCTTTATATAATTGCTATTCAAATCATTGTTATAGAATCAATTTCACTTTATCCACAATATTTTACACAAAACGATTCAAAAAATTTAAGATCTAATCTTTTTGCAGAATGTAAAGTCTAATACCATTTGAAGGAGATCAGTAGCTTAACCTAAAAAATGTCCCTGAACAAAAACTTAAGTTTTTTATCAGATCTTTTAAAAAGGATTTTGCTGCCTTATGTGATTTAATTTTATACTTCAAAGATGTCAATAAACCATTAGACAGTATCCAATATCTTCGTAAATAAGCTAAAACAAATAACTCTCCTGAATATTTAAAATATGCAGAAATTACTTTTGAAAAAGAATACGAGAAGACTTTGGTTGAAGTAATTAGATTTAGTTTAGATGAGATCTAATACGAAAAATTGAATGAGTACTTACTTTCAATTTATTTATAGATTATTATGTGACTTGAAAGACACTACAATTAATTTAGAATAAATCATTGCCGAATTAGAATTAAGAAGTGAAACAGATAAAAAATTATAGAAAGAAAACCAAAATTTCTAAATGTACGATTAGTCAAATAGCGAGAGAGATGAATTTATAACAGAAATAGAAAATCTTGACTTAATTTAATAAATGAATTCACTCCCAGAATTCAATAAATCTCAAAAAGTAACAACTCTTAAATGCTTGTACAAAGAATTACTATATTCTTCCCTCTTTATGAATTATCGTTTCTAACAAAATTGTATATCCTATCAATAGAATAGCTCAGATACCCTACATGCTGTTCATTCTAATATTTTATAATCTTTTTAATCAATAGATTTCAATGAATCACATTATGAAGCATCGCTTAATGAATAAGCAAAAAACCTTTAACCTTCTATCGATTAAGCAGTAGCCCATCCTATTGACCGATAAGATCCATTTCATTATTATGTTTTGATAAATCTCTTAACATTATCTCATGATCGACCATTTTCTTTGATTATTCAACTGTAAAAGTTGATCGAAGCATAATAGAAGATAAAAAAGGAATTGGTAAAACCAAAGTTGAAATAAAATCATGCTCCTGGAGGATTGATTGAAATGAGAAAGACAATAGTTCTTCAAGTGTTCTACACAGAAAACTTAATCAGTAGACATAATTATTCTTAAGCAATCCATTATATGTAAAAAATAATTACATTGCAGTAAAAATTAAATCAAAAGCACTCTCTACTTTACGCGTATTGTTTATTTTTGAATGGGTAATTATGCGCTAAAACCATGTAAACGATTTCTGCAATGCTCAATTTAGAAATGTGTAAACAATTTTACGATTTGTATTTTCCATCTTCAATAATTATTCCAGAAAAAACTATTGAACCTAAATAACCGTAATAATAAAATTAAAAATAAGAAAATCAATAAGTTCAGCCAACAAAACCATAACTTGTAATTAAGGAAGTAGATAATTTATCAACAACCAACTAATCAGTTTTAGAATTTAGCTTGGGATAGATGTACTCCTAATTAAACGATTAAGAAAATGCGCTGAAATGTTTGAAAAGAGCTCAAGCTATAAGAGAAAAGAGATTTGAATAATTCTCTGACTAAGTGATTGAAATTACTCTAGAAATTCTACGAGTTTATGTGGAGTAAGAAGAAAGTGGGGCCGTTGCTAAATTATGTTGTCAATTAGCTGCGAAGATGAATGAAAAATATAAACATAAAGAAGTTTTAAAAACTAAAAATGTTGGAATACTTCAATTAATTATGGCTGTGATATACGAAAGCAACGGAGTTTTGGTTAGTTCTCTCAGATTCTATCAGCGAGCTTTAAAAACATTTTAAGGTTCAAGATCAAATAATTACATAAGATAATTATACATTAGTGATAAAATTAAAGGAATTATAGAAAGAATAAAATAGATAGCCACACAAACTATTTCAATGGATAAACAATGTATTAATCAACTTAATAATCTCAAGGGCTTTCTAAGTATTTCTGATATTCTTAAGCCTTACTTTTCAAATTCTTATTATTAAAATCAAAAATAAACAAACACTATAAATCAGAACATTGTATCTTCTTTGGTTTATGCTAATGGCTATTTAAATAACTACGAATTAATAGATGCACTTACTAGATATTAGGCTACTCACAAAATCTATAAGAAATAAAGGATTGACGAGTGTTTTGGAATTGTATTAGAAAAACTTGGTTTAATTAATATTTACCAAAAAAAATACGATTAAGGAATTCAATTTATGAAATTAGCCTTGGAAATTCATGAAAGGTATTTATTGTTCCCAATGAAGTAATGTAATATTATCAAAATAAACCTTTACATTTTATTAGATATGGCCTAAAAGAATTAATAGAAAAAAATTCTTGATTAATTTGATGTAATAGAGAAATTCATTGAGCAAATTTATGAAGATATCCATTGGAATTTGACTCCTGAAGTAGCTTCTCGAATCAACAAATTTAAAGTGATGTCAGCTAAAATTGGTTCTAAGGCTTTGCATTAGATTTTAGAACTTATTCATAATATAGATCTGTATTATAATGTAAAGAAACTGTTGTATGAAAACTTCGCAGATCCTCAATAACTCTAAGAATAAGCTTAATTATATTTATCAAAAAAATTAATATAGATGAGCAACAAAAAAAGACAACACTGGCTAGAAAAAAGAACGAGATGTTAGATTGGTTAATTGGCAAAAGTTCATATTATCTAACGAAAAAGAGTTACCAGTATGTTTTCTTGTAATGAGGCGAAGAAGGTTGATGAGTAGACAAAAAGTAGAATAACACAAAACTCTACACTTGTTGACTAAACAAATGAGAAAATACAAAAAAATTAATTATCTTCAGTTGATGAATCCAAAGAAACTGCATTGCCAAATAATAAAATTTTGATAGATTTAAGGTCTGCTGAAGAAATTTTGGAAGAGCAGAGATAACGTTAACTAGAATTACTGCAACAGCGAAAACTGCGTTTAATTAGAAATTTGAGCCAATCCAATGAGTTCAATTTTTAAAATCAGTAAAGCTAAAATGGTTCTTTCATTATTTAAAGATAAAGCCAAATGATGTAATTTAATCAGATGAAGTAAATTTTGTAAAATTAGTAATAATAAGTTGAATATTAAAAATCTAATCCAATCAAAGATAATCAACAGCAATCAATATCTACTTCAAAAATTTTATAGCCAATTAAAGCAGGAGGAAGACAAAAGAAGTCATTGTCATAACCTGGGGTTGATCAAGATTAATTGAAGAATTCATATATAAAATTGGCTGATGAAGGTTTGACTAATAAGAGAAGGAGAACTATCAGTTAACAAAGTTTGGCATCAATTTCATAAGTAAAACGAAAAATTAATCCTTTTGAAAAATCGGTTAAAAAAAAATGATTATTTATTTTATTATTTAAATTTTCAATAATGTCTCGTATCTTCCCAAACAACAATACTTTATTCAACTGTATGAATTCTCTCAAGTTTTACAACATAAAATATTAAATACTCAAAACTTATTACATAAATCATTATTAATCTTCAATAAGAATTGTATATATAAAATAATGGGTGTATGCTGTTCTAAATAAAGAGATAGAGAAGATGGAATAAGATAATAAATCGCATAGACGGTAGTGGAATAATAAAAAATAAAAGAAGAAGAAGAATAAGAACAGATTTAATTTTAGTGTTATTCATCAAGCAGAAAGTCATAAACTTTTCAAATTAACCCAACTAATCCAAATGAAATCTGCAATTTAGTGACTCAAGTTGGAAACGAGGATGTAGCAGTCGATGTTGACTAACCAAAATTGGATAAAATCAAAAGGAAAAAATCAGAGCATCATAAAGACGATGCAAACTACTTAAGAAAATTAGATCACATTTTATCAATTAAATCAATTGTGGTCGAAGTGCAAAAGGAAGGAGATATGAAATATTACAAAATTTCCACACTTATTAACTATAAAGAACTTTGTTATAATGTTAATCTGTATGGTACCTTAACAACACAATTAGATTTTAAATATTTCACTTTAAAGCCTAGGAGATTTGAGGAGGCTCATAAATATTCAAGGTTTCTCACTTTTTTTTCAAATGACAATTACTTCAATGCAGATAAGGAATGCACAAATAATTTTAATGCATTTGATAAATTATTATATGTTGAGAGGAGCCAGCAAGAATTGAAGGCGAATATGAAAAGATTACAAAAGAGGCAGAGCACGATTATACATGAAAAACTGGCTGAAACATGTTTGATAAATTCAACCAATCAAGAAATGTTAGAAATTATCTCAGTTGTTGATATTGAATAATAATCCAGATTTTTGACAGTTCTGTTTCACTTGCTGGTTTAAAAATATTTTAAAAAATTAGAACTTTATTTAGTATTTATAACAAATGCCACTTTCTTATTTGAAGTACCTCCCTAATTTGATTAACCAACTGTATACAGATTAGCTTTATTTTATGATAAGTTAGATTACTCTTTAAAAGATTTATAAAATATGTGTCTGAAGAACCAAATGGAATTATCTAAGATTTTATATCAAAAATTGGCACTTAACCTTATCGATATCTTTTATTAATGTTATTCAAACTATTTATATAGGTTGAATTTCACATTGTCAACAATATTTTATGTTTCTAAATTTAAGATGTTTAAGTTGTAAACTTTTGGAAGGCTTAAGTACTTGCTATAATTCGGAATGAATGTAGATGATGGTATCAAATTATTAGATGAAAAGAAAATGAGGTTATTTTAAAAAGCATTCAAAAAAGATCTTTTAGCCTTATGTGATCTATTAGTATATTTTAAAAAGATTAATAATTTATCTTTGAAACAAATTCAAACTCAAAGGAAAAAGTTTGTCTAAAGTATTAAAAAAGGTGAAGAGCAGGATGAAGATACTAATTATTTAATTTACATTGATAAGATTTTGTCATCCACATCCGATCGATATATCTTAGAATTTATTCGTATGGCAATCTACGCAAATGAAATTAAATAAACAGACAAAACTTTACAAGATACTTTGCCAATAATTGAGTCTCTACAAAAATCTATCAATGAATATGAATCCAATCTAGAACTATAAGGCAAAGATTCTCAATAATAAAATGAAATCTAACTTTATGACAATCCTCGCTTAGAATCCTAATAATAGAAAGAAATAGAATCAGAAGGCTCATTAGAATTTAAGGATGACCAAAAATTGTTAACGACCTTTTAATTTGATTTTAATTCTGAAAATGAGGAATTCTCTCTCAATAAAGATAAATTCAATGAGGCATAATTAGTTTATAAAGAACTACTTTATTAATCATTATTATTTTAGGATTAATTTTATTCATGTTATCAAAAATTTTAGGTGTGTGGGAAATCGAAATTAGAGGAAGCATATGTTGAAGTATTATATGCATTTTATACATTAAAATCTATGAATGATGAGTCTTGGTAATATAAATTAAAAGTTCTATCAAAATTGATGAATAAACCAATCGAAATTATGAATTAAATTTATGAAACCAGCATTGATCATTTCCATATTACTATCATCTTTCAGATACTCACATTATCTCAGAGAAAACCACTGCCCTTATTGAATGAATTTCAACGAAGTATCAATAAATAATTAGCAATGAAAATGCAAATGGATAAAAGATTAAGAAGTCACAATTCCTCAAGAGGCATAATTGAATAGAAAAAACATATAATGGTTTAACTAATGTATGCCCAATCCTATTTAGCCAGTCATAACTATTATTAAGCAGTACACAAAATACAAAAAGTGATTGGATTTTAATTAAAAAATTAGCATTTGGCTTCGTTATTTTATGGATATTCTCTATTAGTTAGTGGAGAGATACAAAAAGAAAGTCTATAAGCAGTATCAGCAATGCTCAATTTAGAAATGAGTCAGGTGATATATGATGGTTATTTCCCAGAATTCATAACATTAGAAGAAACCCAAGATCAAGCAGAAAATGGAGTAAAAGAGAAAACTACTTAAAAATATGAATACCTAAAAGTCTAAAATTTAGCAACCAGCAATAAGGCTAAATTGGAATTGTTATTAGGAATGAGTTACTTTGATGTGCATGATTAAGAGAACTCATTGAAATGTTTAAAAATGGCTGAAATATTGTTACTAAGATCATTTGACATGTATGCAGATGAAGTTGTAACTGTTGTATTAAAACAGTTGTAACTATTTGTATTATAAGATGACATAGGATCAGCCTTCAAAATAACACTTTCTTATGCAGAAAAAATGAACTAATATTATATAGAAGGAAAAACATTTAAAAGAAAAATCATTTCTAAGTTGTAGTTTATAATGGCATGCATTTTTGAATTTAATGGATTATTTTTAAGTGCTCTTCGATATATCGAGAGATCTAATCGTACTTATACTAATTCTAAATGCAACAACTTTATCATTTAAATGCATTTTTAGGCTAAGAAATTGAGTTTAATATCAAAAATCAAAGCGGCATTCTAAAAAATCAAAAATAAACAGTAATTAAGAGATCCCACTGATTTAGCCTTATTTTCAACTCTAAATGAACATATGGCCCCTACTTTCCTTTCACAATTTTATAGGCAAAGATTTGTCTAAAAGTCCTCTTTACTTCTTGAAAAATATGGGTTATATTTGATTAAGGTTTAATAATTGCAGAGACTCAAAATGAATCAAAAAGCACTCAAAATATTGAAAAAGATTGTTAAGATTTTAAATAAAACTAAAAAGGATGAGTTATACGCTATCTTGTCTGGTTATGTAACTTATCTGAATCTTGAAAATTCTAAAAAACCACAATAGATTAAATATTTACTTGAATAAATAGAAATTAATGAAAGATATTTTCTCTTCCCATTTAAAGAATTTCACTTATTAAAATGTTTAATTTATCTCATTATTCTCTATACAAAAATGAATTAAGCAAAATCAATTCAAGAAACCAATGTGAAAATTCAAATGATAATTGATGAATTTCTTGAAAGTCTCTAATGGAAATCCATTTCAACTAAATCTCTTAAAAATGCCCCTAATAAATTTGAGATATTCCTCAAAAAAGGTAGGATTTCTTTATTGTATCAAATCTCTGCTGTTGTTGAAATAATTGAATATTATCACACTTTAAAGAAGTAAATATTTGATGCTATGTTCAATGGAATGCAATTGGTGCAACTCTATAAAAAAATCAGAGTTGATTTTGAACAGTTTATGATTGATATCAATAGTCAAATATTATTTTAGAAGTAAAATTGTATGTTTGGATATTACTCCTAAATAAAGTATCAAAATTATGAACCATCAGTAGAGCACAAAAATGATAATAAAGTTTAAGAAACTGTAGTTCTTTAGTCATAGCAAGAAAAAGATACAGATACAAATTTATAGAAAACTGACACATCTAAAATTGTTTTTGACATTAGAAGTTATTAAGAGATATTGATCTCTAACAAATAGACACGTTTGTCAAAATAACAACTATTGAGCAAAACAGAACCTAAAAATAAGGATATTAGTTTTGAAAACATCTCAGGAAAACATGAGAAACAAAAATCAACAAATTATACTGATTAATTGAGAGTGAAGAGTATTAAAAAGTCTACTAAATTAAATCCATTTGAAAGCACGATGAAAAAAACTCAAAAATATCTTTGATGAATTATTAATAGAAAATTATAAAATAATTATCCTCATTTATTATTTAATCCTTTATTTCTTTAATGTAAATGATGTTGAGTTAAAATTTGAACTTTTTTTAAGTGTATAAAATTTTTTGTAATTTATTAATTTTTACATCCTCCAAAAAGTCCTAAGGAAGATATTTGCATAACTTTCAAGTAAAACTAGATATAGATCGTTGTTGTCTGCTTATATATTTGCATAGTCAATAAAACTATAAACAACACATTAAGCATTATAGTTTTCTTACATAAATAAAAAAATAATTAGAATTTAATTCAATAAATTATTGAACCAGTATTTTAAATATACAACGTTACTAAAAGTTCATACCATAATTCAAATTGCCTTAAAAATTCTTTAACGCTTAGAAGATTCAATAATGTTATTTCTATTAGGTGTATATTTTGTAGTTAAATGATATTAATAGAATACTGTTACTCTATTCCTTTTCTATTAAATTAATAAACTATTATATATAAATTCTAGAATCTTAATGTAGGTTCATGATTTTTATACTTATTGTTAATTCATTATTCTCTTAATTATAAGTTCATGAAGGGTATTTTGTTATTAGAATCATTCAATAATGAAACTCAACTTCTCTTGGAATGGCCTCTTAAGGGCTTTAATAATTGATATTTGATATGATTATGATACAGTTTTATAATCTTAAATGCTGTAAAATTATTGAAACATATTTCTGAATTTATGATATTCATTAATAATAATATAAATGGACCAATTCTCACTTGAGACTAAAATACGAGAGGTTGTTTATGAATTATCTTAACCGACTATGATGAGATGTAATATCCCTTATATTTATATAGTATCTGATTGCATAAGATAAATAGATCAATAGTAACTGAGTATTGATTATTTGAAATAGTAAATTAGATAATAGAATGAAAACCAGCAAAATCACTAGATTGAAACTAATAGGAGATATTCTGAAATTGATGCTCTTTAGAAATAGTAAAAAAAGCTAGAGTAAGAAATCATGAAGAATCTAACTGAAGCTCAATAATCGTCAGCTAATTTTAAATCAAGAGTTGAAAAAATGGAAATGGAATTGGAACAATAAAAGAGTAATTATTAAGTTACTATGAATTCATAATATAAAACTTAATCTGATTTGGATTAGCTGGCAAAGAAGCAAGCCGAATATAGTGTAGCCTTTAATAATAAAATTGAAGATTTTATGAAAGATTACTATACTTATTTTGTAGAAAATAGAAATTAAGTGCATGATATCTCGAAGGAATAGCAATAGACTTCAAAGTATGTTCAAAGTTAATATAAACAATTGGAGCAACTAGAAATATATAAAAATCTATCAGAATAATCCTAATCAAGCTTGGCTGATAGGGTTGAATGGATAATAAAAGAGATGAATCATCTGGTGAATCAGGAATATTTTAAATTTACTTTCGATAAAGTATAATATTGGATGTATATATAGAGGAAGAAAAGTCAAGAATGGAGGATAATCAATTTCTGAAGGGAGCAGTATAATTACTGCAGAGTTAAGTGCAGGTCTACAACATTTCCTTTGATGAAAGAGTGAAAGGGTTAGAGATGTTTGAAATTCAATATCGTCAATAGTTGAACTCTTTTTAATAATAAATGAATAGCTAAACTGAGAACTATTAGAAATTCTTCAAGGAAACTAGTTAGCAATTGCAAAGTTAGAATACTGCATTAAATGTGATATAGGACTTTTAGAAGAACTCTGAAGAGAAAATATCACTTATAGTGAATAACTAGATCGGTGTATTTCAAACCAACCTTAATAACTAAATGAAGAAATTGACAGATCAATTTAATGGTTTGAAGGTCACAATAGCAAAAGAAATGACATAGGAATTCAACTATAAATTAGAAGACATACGTTAGCAATTATTGAATGAATCCTTAAAGTAATTGAACATAAGATTAGCAACTTTTGAATTATAAATTTAGGAGTTGAAAAATAAGTAATATCAAAAGGATGCTGAGGTTTAGGTTATTTTATCTGATAATTCATTAAGCCAACAGGAACAGCTATAGAATTTTATAATTGAATAAATAGATATGAAAATGACAAGTAGTTCTTCGTTTAAAGGGTAGAAAGTAGTTAGGAGGAATAGTATTTGTTTAAATGCTAAGGGGGGATTTAATTTAATACAGGCTGGTCACGCTGATATTTAGAAATCTTTGGTGCTAAGTGAACAATTGAGTGAACAATTAGAAGACATGAAGACTGATATTCAGATGTTGTTTGAGATGAGAGAGGAGATGGAATAAAAGTTTAAGGTGTTTGAAGCTGACTTCTCAGTAGCTATCTAGAATTTTGATAGAAATCATTCTCATGTGTTGAAATTGAAATCAGATATATTCAATGATACCGAATATTTGAACAGTTAAATTAAAATATTATTTAGAGAGAAGGATATAATTAATCGGAAATTTTCATTGCTTTTATAATTATTTTCTGGAGGATCTGAGGTAGCATAAATTACTGTTGCCTATTTACTTAAATAATTGAAGGATCCAATTAAATTTACATCTGATTTAGGAATGGTCTTTGAATTCAGAAACGAGATATGCAGTTACAGACAATCAAATTATACTATAGAGGATCTTTTGAAAAAGTCGTTTCAGAGTTTCATTGATAGTTGGGATAAAAGTGAGTTGCTAGAAGTAAGAGAGTTCAATCCACATTGGTATTTCAATAAATACATTTATAAAAATCATGCAAGTCTATCTAAGACTTTAGACAGATCATTCGAAAAAACAATTAAATGCACAACTCAGACAGTAGTAGATGGTGAAGAGTTTGTGAGGAGATCTGGGAGATAGCGAAACACTTCTTAAAAATAGTCAATAATGATGAGTATGGATTCAACGAGATAGAAAAAAGTAACTGTCAGATCTATGTACAAATAATAAGAGCGAGATGATTCGAATGAGTGCTTTCCAAAGGTGAAAAAGTGAACAAATTTATATCGATTATGATACATTATATTAATAATGGATTAATAAAATTATGGATTAAGAAAGAAGACGAAGGTGGATCTAATCCCAATAGTAGAGGCTAGATGATATCAGATCAAGGAGACTTACTCCAACTCACCATCTCAAAATCGATAATATAAGATTGAGCAAAACTGAAAAGATTATCCAAATGAAATAGTCAACAATAATTCGACAGTAGTAATCCATGGCTATTGATGAATGTATTTCTAAGGGAGATTGCAAACTCATCTTTTTACAATAATAAAAAGAAGACATTGGATTTAAGACATTTTCAGAAATGATGAGAACCAATTCCAGTTGGTGGGGTAAAGCAGATTAACTCAATCCTAATGAATCTACACTCAAAAACAGATTACAATTCAATCAATTCTAAGCTAATCAATTCACTAATTAATTAACTAGAAAATGGACAAGCACTGTAAATGAAGTTACAGAGTTGATAAATAAACAATAAGAATTGTAGCAGCTCTAAAAAGTTAAGAAAATTAAACTAAAGCCAAAACCTATTCCTTAAGTAGAGGAGGATGAATAACATAATGATGATACTACTAAGTAATTTGATCCTTCTTCAACTTCCATCAAAGTATTTTGGTTCAATATCTAAATCAATGAGTGGAAACCACCTGTTAGAGAAGGATGCACTGTCACTTATGTTCCATCTCTAAACAAGGCCTTTATGTATGGAGGTATTGGCAATGATTTATTTAAAAATGTCATTGCTTTGAATACACAGACATGGGTATGGAGAGATATTGGAGTTGGAAAAGGAGAAGCACCACCTGAAGGTAGGTTTGGACACACAGCCACTTTATATAAATAAAGCATAATAATATATGGAGGAGAAAAAAAGTTTAATAACCTTATGAAGAGAAGAGAATGTTATAGTGATGTTAGAATGTTCAATCCGGCAGAGAAAACGTGGACTCAATTAAAAACCAATGGTGATATTATAGAAGGAAGAAGAAATCATATTGCTTAATGTGTTGGAAAATACTTTATCATTTTTGGAGGACTCAACCCTTATGGTTTAGTGTTAAATGATGCTTGTGCTCTTAATTTAGAAAATAATAAATGGTATTGAATTTAACTATAATCTAGGACCGTATTGCATATAGAAAACCAATTTCTCGAAGGTGTGTCTGATGCTGCTTCTGCTGCTCTGTTCAATGGAGAAGTTAAAATGGAAAATCCTTACTTTAGCTATGAATGCAATAAGAAGAAAGGGAAGTGCCCTACTGTTAATTAGGAGGGCATCTACGTATTTGGAGGGAAAACTCAAAATGGGGAAGCCACAAATGATTTGAGAGTCATTTAATTTGGATTCAAACCCATTAAGATCGTTAAATTAAAAACCAAAGTACTTGTTTGCCTTCATTTTAGGGGTAAGTTCCAATTGCTCGCTATTCTCATAGTCTTAATTACTTTTATCATCTAAATGCTCTCATTCTTTATGGGGGTCGAAATGATTCGAAAGAAGAGAATATCCTCAATGATTTATATGTGTTGTAATTGATGTAGATGAACTGGGTGCTCGTTTAATAAATTGGAGGCCTTAAATATGGGAAATTCAATCACTGCAGTGTTTTAATCGATTCTAAAATCATGATTTTTGGAGGCTACACCAAGAATGTATATGCCAATGCTGACATTCAATTAATCGAATTAGATTAATATAAAGTTTCTAAAATGATTAAAGAAAATAAAAACAATAACCAATTGTCTATAAATAGTTCAGATTTATTGACGAATACAAATTTGAAAGTTTTTAAGACTGAATTCTATCAAGAGAAAGCTGATTAAGAAAAAAACGAAACGAATAAACAATATGATACAATGAGATCTAGCTAAGTGAGCTTAAAGAGTTTCATGCCTCTACCCAGTAAAAGTAGTTCTTAATTAATGCAAGATTATAAATTATTGAGGTTGAGATCTAAATTTTCTTCACCGAATATCTTCTAAAGTATATGATACACAAATATTTAATAAATAACATTTATCCTATACTATACTTCAAATTATTTAATGTAATATAATTATCATTTTCTTTTTGTTGTTGCATTTGGAGGTTTTTTGTTTTTAGTAACATTTTTTTTCTTTTACTTATTTACCTAATCTACACTTTCCTTATCGACAACGATACCAAAACTTCCAATTTTCGAATCCTAAATAATTTAAATTGATTATTACCATTAATTTTTCATTGTTTTTACATTGTTAATTTAATTTTTCGATTATAACACTTGCTAATCTCTTAGTCTGATTTGAAATGTCATCATTTACAAAAATCAAGAATGATTAATCTTAGTTATCAATGATGGCTTTAATCTCTCCATAATAAATCATCTATAATATTACTAATAAGAAATACCTTATAAATGATTGTTTTAGTGACTTATTCTGACAACTAAAATCTTTCTCTAAGGTGATCAACTGAAATATTAGAAAAGGCATTCTTAAAAGTGTATAAATAGCACTTCAAAGCTTGCTCCTAGACCCTTACTTTAATTTGTTATTAGACTTATTCATACGAAGGTATTCTTGTCCAAAGTTGGATTTATTTCAAGAGATCCCAACATTTAGTCCAATTTCCTTTGGCCAATTCTTTGGAGGCAGCATAAATCAAGTCTCTCATATTTTCAGGTTATGGATTGAAAGTTTATGAATCGTAATATTAACAAAGTTATCTAAATTTACGACTTATGATTTTGTGTGAATCTTCAAAGAGATCTTAATTAATGTTTGGAACTTCAAGTAACATAGCAGCCAAAAAATAAACAAACTCAATAGTCTCAACATTAATTGACATATGATATGGAACTGTGTATCTATACTCTCCTTCCACTTATTTCATATAATTCTGGGAGAGCAAATCCTTGAGAACCTTGTCTCTGCTCAACAAATCAGCCAAGTGTATATGAGTCTCATTGATCAAACCTTATCTAAATGCTCCGAATCCCAATTAGACCAGAGCTCTATTATAATATAATTGGATCAATGTCTTCATTTATGATACTTATTCGTATGAGATATTTGATATGAATATTTCATGAGCTTACTCATATTTTCCATTCAATGCTAAATTGTAGACCCAATACAGTGTTGCTTTGACAATAGTTTCCTTATCTCCATATTTGAGGATATTCTCGACGAGAGATTAGATCTTGGATGAAATGTCTCCATTTCCAAAGATTTATAGTGGTGTTGCAGCCTACTTATTAGTTTATAATTCCAACAACTTTTGGATCACAGCAGGTCCAATGTAGTAGATGGCTTCTAATTGTTTGAAACTCATCAAAGCAACATTGGCAGTGTCGTTCTTGATTTTGAGTAATTCCAAGAGTTTTTGGGAGAGATGTGTCAATTGATATAGATCACTGAGTCTTTCAGCATATTCCTAGGTGTAATAGTCAATGTTTTAAAAGGCTTTATTTAATTCAACTTCAAGTGTTTAGAAATTGACTAAAAGAGTACTAATGAATCTGAATTCAGAGAAGGAGTTCTCCTAGTCATATTTGCTGTAAGTGTGTAGCTTTTCAACTTTGACTCCCTTGTCTTGATGAAGTGAGAATAAGATGAATGTATTTTAATAGATTTACAACCATGATTATCTATTGAAATATAAGGGTGCTTCTGATTTTGCTTGATCAATCTATAAAGAAATTGTGATGAGCAATATCTAAGAATATTAAATGAAGACTTACTTCAACAGCTCTTTGGAGATTCTCTTTGATGAAATGTTGGATATACTTTTCGCAAACGTAAAGATTCTCCACTTGATTCTTTTGGACTCCTCTGGATGAGACAATTTGCTCCAACTTCTTCTTCACTGAATCGGCATCATAATCAATATGAATTTCTTTATTTTAGGCAATATCAAATTTGACATCGTAATCGATAATGTCTGCAATGACCTTCTTGTTGACTTTCTCTTGTTAAATCTCCTCATTCTTTTGGTCCTTCTTATCTGGTAATTTCTTTTTTAACCAATATCTTCTTCTGACCATTGGATCATTTGATTAAAGCAAATATTTATCATCATCTTCTGAATCTGAAGATTCTTCTTTCTACTGTGCTTCTGGCTCAGAATCGGATCCAGCTGCTTTTTTCTCTGCCCTGACTTTCTTCTTCCTCTCATCATCACTCTGATCAGTTGTAACAGGATTGTTGATAAATTCGTCTATTTTATCTTTGATTGCTAAATGATGCATAGGATGAATGAATACTCAAGTTATACTTCTTGATTCTTTGTTTTAATGTGTTGTATGCTTTGCTATTATTGACTCCCAATTTCTTTTTTTATTCAGCTGTAAATTAGAGAACCAACACTTCGATTTAGCACATTATTCTGATATAAAATCTGGGTAATCCACCCTCTTTTTCAAATACTTTGGTGCTCTTTTCAACTTCTTTGTTTAATTCTTCAAATTTATCCAATAATGTAACGAAATCTTAATTTTTAATTTTAATCTTAATATCTTTAATGATTTCTCTCAATCTCGCATATCTCTTTTCCTTTTCTGTGACAATCACTCTCTGCCCCTAATCATCATCTGAATCTATTAGTCCTTAAATGATTCTGGTTCTTGTTGCTAATGATTATATTCCTGCATCTACTTCAGGTCCTCCTTTTGGAGCCTCATCTTCCCCTTCAGAATTGGATTCCTCCTAAAAGAATTTACTCATATAATTTCTTTTTAAATAAATGATTTATTTATTTCCATATGATAAAATTCATTAATAAGTATTAAAAATCTCTCTCTATATTTTTATTAAGCATTTAAATATAAATATATCGTCAATTGCTGCGAAACTTGGGAGACTCAGCTATCTTATTGCTCCCATAAAAACAATTCTCTTTCTCTTCCGAATCGAAGTTCGCTTTTCTTGAATCAACTTACAGCTTCAACATCAATTGTTAACACCATTAATTAAATTGAATCACAAATTATCTCTTCGCAATCATTTATTAAACACAACTCTGATGCTCATCCAATCTCTTTTTGTAAATCGTCATGATATTTTAAAACGGTTTCATCTGCATCGATTCAATGATGTTAATTTCATTATGAACTATATCATCCTTCATCTTATACAATGAATCAGAGATAGATTAGGTGATTTAAGCATAACTCAATTATTCCTATTACAATTCCATGCATAAGGAATCCTAGGATCAAGATAAATGGTTACTTTCAATTGAATGATTGTCTATACGATAGAATGCAGCTATTATTCAATCAATTTCACTTAAGTTTAAAGTTGATCCAAATGCTGAATCTTCATTATGTTTTATGAGAGTTGTTCTTTAAAGTTATTCAACGTCCTCTTTCTCTCTTCCATCTCTAAGAAACTATTGATTTCAGTTGGCAATTGGACTACCTTCTCATTATTGATCCTGCTGGGACATTCTTTAGCAAATTTCTTATCAATGAAAGCGCATTCACTTAACTTCGGGGATTGAGAAGTCTTGCTCATTAAATTCGACGCTGACAAACAATTTTGTAATTTAGGAGATATCTGAATATTGTTTTTGGTTCTATCTGATGTAGCCTTTGAATCTTGAATAATCTTTCCATTCATCTTACTCAAAATCAAGGAGATTTAAGAGGCAGTGGCTTGAGTATATTCTTTGCATTTTGTCCCTTTCTAATCCTTAGATTGGTTTTTGGCTTTTATGTAGTATTGATGAACTGACTTCAGCTACATAAATTTAACTAACTTATTTTATTATTAAATTAATATAATAAGTATTATAAAAATGATTATTTTGCATTTATTACATTAATATATGTTTTCTAAGTATAAGTTAAATATTCTTGCTCCAAAATAATTTATCGATTTGCAACTCCAATTAACTATTTTGCAAATAAAAATTTTGTAAATGTCAGAGAAATCAGATAAAGAATAGGGATGTAAATAATAATAATAATTAAAGTGTATAATAGGTTTATTTATTCTGAGAATATACGATTGAAAAAAGATTGGTTTATGAAAATATAGGGACGTAAATTATGAAATCAATTACAAAGACTTAATTCTGTGAATCCTACCATCAATACCAAATTCCCATAATTGAAGAAAATAAAATAAAAGACGAATCTAAAGAAATTGATAGCCAAAACAGTAAACTTATGAGCACATCTATCAATCACCACTGTTAAGATACTTTCTCACCTATACAGGAGAGAAGTCTAACCAAAATATAAAAACGCCATTCTTTCTTATTTCCAAAATAAACACCAGGGAGAGATCCTTATAAAATAATCATGTATATGACAAAACTACTTTGATCATTTTTCAATTATTCCTCTTAAATTGTTATATATTGCATAATAAAAATAAATAAATTTTCTAAAAATGATTCAAAATATCATTTAGATTCTAGTCTTCTTGCAGTATTTTCTTCCAACCAGCGAATGAAAGATTTGTCCTAATATCTTCCGAATATTTCTTTATGAAAGTATGATTCTGCTGCAACCAAAGCAGCCTATTAATACTCTTCAAATACTTTTGGATCAGTACAATCCATTTATGCCATACTCTCTTTGTAATTTATAAATCAAATATATACCTTAAAGATCATACTCTGGAATTATTCTGAGGTATTTTCCTTCATGTCTTTTGAGTTCAAGATCCACAAAATCTTGATTACTTTCACCAAAAGCATCTATTATCTTCCCGACACTCAATAACCCTTCATCAACTTGTAGTTGTTACTTCTACTTGGCCACTCCAGTTGAGAGACTTAAAAGGAAGAAATTGTCCTAATCTCTATTCAACATACACTTTCTGAGGTCTTCCAAAACAAAATTGGATGGGTTGTTGACTCCTATACCCCCATCAATAAATTGATACTCTTTTCCTGCTAAAGATTTGATTTAGGCAGCAGGAAAATAGGTTGGTGCAGCTGAAGTGGCTCTTCCTACATCCTTCATTAAGAAATTCTCTGTAAGATCAACTTTGGCTTTCCTTGAACTAAATACTTTAGCAACTGTCTCTCCTCTCTGCTTTTGTAATTTGACAGCTGTAACTATCACATTTGTATTTTAAATGGTTTCACTCAACTTCACAGTTCCGCAATGTCTAGATAATACATTCTCTATCCCCTTGGCATCATACTTAGATTTACTCATGATATTCCAAACCCCTCTCTTTGAATCCTCAAATATTGTCTTCCCTTCCTCAGTGAATAGCTTGATCAAACCATCCTTATCTACTAATGAACTCTAACCATCTTTAGTCCCAGCCATAGTTAAGGCCAACATCCCTCCAATAGATGTGCCTCCAATGCTATCGAACAATTGATATGGCTCTTTCTTCATCTAAGTACACAAGTAATTCAAGATAGTTGCTGGTAACAATCCTCTCATTCCTCCTCCATCCAAAGACAACCCAGTATAACTGTAATCTGAGACATCTATCCTCAGAGTGTCTTATTTAACAAACTTCTCACTTAACATAGTTTCCTTTTGTTCTTTCTTCTCTCTAAAGTAGTTTATTTTGGACATTCCTAATTTATAATAGGTTCTCTGCTTTAATTCCTAATCCAAAATATGTAAATCAAAGAACAATACGGTTTAACTACCTTGATAGAGTTTAGTTAAGAGTCTCAGAGAATCATCATCAATTGTTGGAAGAGTGATTGAAAGTGTAATTAATTTATCAAATAGATAAGAGATCTCTTTCTTAAAGCTTTTCAAAGTCAAATCTAAATATTATAAGGTTTAACTTTTAATCAACTCTTCAAACATTAAATTTGAATCTATGGTTTCATTTTAAAAGAATAATTGACTCAAAGATTTGTTCTAACCAATCGATTTAGAGAGTTCCTGAGTAGTTTCTGGATTAAACTTGTTTCTTCTCAAATCCAATGCTTACAAATTGTAACTCTAACATAAGAATTTACAAAATGATGATATGTCTTAATCTATTTAAAAACAATTCTATAATGTTAAATTCTTCAAATAGATCATCTAATTTTCCTTATTTTACCATTGTTGCTATTCCAATTTCGCTAGCAATTCAAATTTAGCATTTCCAACACTATTATGACTCAAATTCAAAGAATTGAGAGGAGTCTTTACAACCTTATCTGATAAGGCCTATTCAAATAAGTGGTTTAAACCTTAACTTGTAATCTAATTCCTACTCAGATCTATGTATCTCAGATTCTCACATTCCCAAAATTACTTACTTATGGATATCAACATATTATCATCTATTCCTGCATTGCTCAAATTCAAATGTTGAATATTAATCACACTGAATGTACCTTCATTAAATATCTCGTATAAATTGTCTACAGTCAAACTATTCCCTGAGAAATCCAAGGATGGAAAATGTAGGTATTTATCTGATTGTTTCAAATTTGAGAGGTACTTTTCAATGATTGAACTCTTAATCATTTTCAAATTAGCAAAACTCACCTTTATGAACTATTTATAATAGGATATCTATTGCAACAATTAAATTATCTTTTCCAAAACAGATTCACTCGCACTTGGAATTGTTATCCATTCAATATTCTATAAGAATTACTTCACTGTCTAATTCACTAAGTATTACTCTCTACCTATACTACTCTCGATTATTGAAGAAAGATCAATTAAAAATTAATCCAAGAATTTTCGTTTATCTTCACTTTTATGACAAATCAAGGATTGCAATTCTAAAGTGTTGATAAATTAATTCTTAAATAAACATTGAAATATCCCAAAAATGTACACTTTCTTGCCTTTATCATCAAGTTATTTGGATAAAAATGTTAAAAACTAACTTTGTTAATCTTCAATTACAATTCCACTTTTCACCAAGTAAGTTGGCAGTGGGGATCTTGAATTTTAATCAGTAAATAGAAATTTTTCATAGATATCACCCAATAACGAGAACATAAACTCCACATATGTTTTTTAGAACGAGGACTCCTCTTCATTAACCTTAATGATTTTCTTATTTGCTAACTGTTTGAAAGCCCCATTTGATGTGATATCATCAAAGATTACTTATATTCCTTATAACATCCACATCTCTACTATCTCTTGCTATAGTTATTTGCTCCCTTTCGCCTAAATCTTATTTAATTGATTGATCGTATAGACTTATGTTAATTAGGGACAATTATTCACATTCAAATTCTGCAGGAATTACCCACTCATTTCAATTGATTTTATGTTTGGTAACTCTGAAGCCAATAGAGTCTTCAATCTCAAAAATTGTAATTTCTTTTAGACTCCTAATTGAATTAATCCAGCACACCCACTGATATTCAATACATGCAATTCACTGCATTTATAACAAATCTCATTAATAAAACTATCTGTAATTGTATCAATATATGAAATATTTAATATCTTAATTCTTATTAATTCAAATTGCATGAATATTTACGAGAATTATCTATACGATAAACAACTAAAGTTTACATATTCAAAAGGTTAATTGTAATCTTATGAATATTTTAGTAGACTTTCTAGCATTACTGAGACTTGTGATTCCTTCAGATTCCTCCAATCGGTTGAATTTATTAATAATTAAAAGTGATTTGGTTTCTTTATGATTTGTAACTTTTTACTGAAATCCTCTACTTCAGTCAACAGTCTCGTGTACTTTAACACCATCTTCAAACCTTTTGATGGCCCAATTGAATTTTTTAATTGGAAACTGGAAGGATACTTGGAAAATGAAAAGGATTCTCTAAAAGAAATAAAATCTTGTCTAGTCAAACAAATAGGTAAGGTACTTGAGAGTTCATTGAATTTTTATATCAAATTTAATGAGCTATTGTTTATAAGAGTTTGATAATATTCTCCTAAATTTGGATCACATTGTTTAAGCAGATCTAAATAGGTTATGTTCTATTTGGCTTATTAGATTAAAGTTGCACGATGTATCAAAGCAATCATGTTTTCTTTGTTAAGTGGCAAAATTAAGATAGACTGTGTCTTATCGACCTTTAAATCGAGCTAACTTAATTGTTTCAACCATTATTGCAAAATGATAGTTAAATTTGAAAATGCGCTTAAATATTTTGGATCTATCTTTTCATTCATAAACTGTGTGAGAAAATAGATGTTTTTACAACATAAATTGATTTTATCACCCTCTCTCTCAAATCCACAAATATTTATTAAATTGTCGTGTTTTGGATCAAAATAAAAGTTTGTTGTAACAGGAGCAAAGTAATTTCCACAAGGTACTAGCAATTCTTAGTCAGGAGTAATGTTAGTAGGGAGTAGAAGAATGCTCAATAGGATTTTGTATGCTAAATTCTAGGAACCTATTTTGTTTATTAAATTTGATTCATTGAAGTGATGATGTAACATATATTGAGCTATTGTAAATCTAATCCTTTATCCTTCAATCATCGTGTTGATCACTTCATAAATGGAGTAAATTTAACCCTTATGAGTGGCCAATTCAACCTTGGAGATAAATTAATCTAATGAGATCAATTTATAAAGAGATATGGCCATATATTTTTAGAGTGGGAAGTTGGGTTGCATGAACAGGAGAGAATTATCCTTCACATTAAGCAATGCGAAATGTTTATCAAAATTTTGATTGATTATCGTATTCAAATTGACTTCTAAGTAATTAGGCAAATCTTATCTGTTATCCAAAAGGTTATTGTTGAAAATACACTCATATTATTGACTTGTAAAATGGACTGACCCTTTGTATAGTATTTAGAATTCATATTATCCACTTTGTTTTGTCATCTGAGTCCAAAAGTAGTTCCATCCCAAACTCCCCAATAGATGGGGATAATATTTTTCAACACCTTCGAAGACTTGATTATGAAACTTTTATAATTAATCGTCATCTTCTAATAAATAATCAAAGAAGTTGTTTCTTATTTTTCTATTATTTTCTATTGATAGCAATTTCAAAAATAAATTAAACTTTTTATGTTTAAGTGAGCTTTCAGCAATTGAAAGTTGTCCTAAACCAACAATGTTATGCATCTTCTTATTCATCAAATACAATATTATTTTATTGCATTACTCATCTGTTTAATCGATTCCTGAGATTGATTCAAATAAATTCAAATTCAATTCTTGAAATTTGTTGCCTAAAAATTGAATTGCTAATAATTCAACAAGGAAAGTATTTTTAAATTATGAACTTGATTGTGCATATTAATAATTAGCTTGAAATGCTTACTTCCATAATTCATAATCAAACCATGACTTATTAAAATTTCGTATGACAGGATCATAAATTTCATCTTAATGATTTTTAAATTATGTATCTAAATTGTAAAAGTTTGTATATGCCAAATAATCTATGAGCTTGATTCTATTGATTAAACTGATATCATAATTGATATTCAATTTTTAGAAAAATTCTATTACTGTGAAAGATGGCGACTTCAACACTTGTTTATTCTGTTTATCCACCTCCTACTTTAATTCTCTCAATTGATTATTGTACTTAATCAGCAAATACCCATCAACGAGTTTGTGCATAACTTCTTCTAAATTTAACTTATTTATAAAGTCTTCATACTCAGTTAATTTTTATAGTTTGCTCGTCTCCAACCGCATGAATTGGAAAAACAAAGGGTTCAATAATTGAGTGATCTATATTAATTTTACATTGTAATTTTACGGAAATATTACTTCCTAAATGTAAATAAATGTATCTTCCATCTTCTTGACTCGTTTATAAGTGATGGAAATAACTTCTTCGCTGATTTACATTGATTTAATTCTATCCTGATTTGTTTTAGAATGATAATTGAAATCAAAAATTTATGTTTCTGCAAGGAAATCAAGAAATTTGAGAAATGCTGCAAATATATCCTTTGGTTTGATTGCATTGAATTCTTGTAAGTCGTAGGAGGCTTCAAAGATATCTTTCTTAAAATGAAATAACGGATTTTTAAATTGCTCATATTGTGTAATTTATTATTGCATAGCATTTCCATAGAAGGCTTATAAAGTGCCAAAGTATTTTGGGACTAAGTGATCCAAATGATCGGAAACAAAAAGGGATAAATAATGTTTAGCAAATTCGTTTTTGTTTATGTTTAATTCAGACTCGTCTTTAATTTGGGTTACGAAATAGTATTAATATCGTTTTGGTTTATTTGTAAGGGTCAATCGGATGACAAAGCCAGGGGGTAGATCGAGGCCAAAAAGTTCAGATCTCAAAACATATGACAGCAGATATCTTTGATAGTAGAACACTTAACTTATTCTGGTCATGTGAAAGCCTTCTTTTTGCAATTATTATATGAAATTTTCATCCTAATTTAAAATAAGGGTTGCCATCTCTTTAGATATATTGTTGGGCTAATTTAGTGGAGATTTCATTTAGACTTACTCTTCAAATTACTTAATTTGCTTTAACAGATTGATTTATTATTCAATGATTTTCAATTATTGATGTATTCCTGAATAGGGATGAATAAATTAAGACATGCAGATTAAATCATTTACTTCTTAAGTTAGGATTTCCAATAATCTATCTCTGGATAATCTTCCAATTTATGGAGAATTAGTGGGCAAATAATTGGATTATAAATGTTATTTTTTAAGTTTTTTAATAAAATCAGCCAATTTTCTAAAATACTTCATTTCATTATATTCAACTGTTATACCTCTATCATTTTCAATGCTGAGAAAAGAGTAGTTTTCTTCTGATAATTAATTTAAATATTGATTTTCTTATTCCTAAATATTGTCACCATATTGTAAATTGAGTTGTTATAGATATTACTTGAGTTTGATTCTACATGTAGCAAATTCATCAGGCTTGGCATTCAATTTTTAATAGAACTCATTAACAAACTTTTGTAATTTTTCCATAATAATTAAATAATCATAATTTCGAGAAATTATCGAACATTCTTCAAGATATAGTTTTGATTAATTTACAATGAATAGGGAATTATATATATATATTTAATTTTCAGTGTATTTGCAATCTTTCTCTCAAGTACTCCTTCAGAGTCACAATTTTATCTTAAATGTGATCCACAATCCTTGAAATCAAATCAAGCGATTAAACTCTTTGTTAAGATTCCATTTAATAAATTTCCTACTGTTGTCTGCACCATTAATCTTGACCATCCAAATTATTCTAAACTTAAATTAATTCATTACTTAATTTCTCTCTACCTCAGCCTAATGATACTCAACTTTCCCTTCAGATTCTTCAATTATGCTCTAGTAATTCAAGATTGCCTATTCTAAATTCTACCTCTGATCCTAGAGAGTGTTTCTCTCATTGATAAGATCCGATAAGAACTTCTACCACCCTTAAGACTATTATTTCTCAATGTCCTCATCCTAGGATTTGCTCTCCACGATTTGGACTCTTAAGTTGGCTAACAGTTGTAACACCTTCTTTGCTTGATCTGCATCTGCTCTTGAGCTCATTTAAGTCATCATGGATATGATCGGTTAAAACAATAATCCAGCAGATGTAGATTGACTAGAATTCAAAATCACTAATTTACTTTTATAATCTGGACAACACTTTGGTAAATCTGCTTTTCACTTATATGAATGAAGATCCACCGGATAAATGTTCAATCAATGCATAAGCTTCATCAATAGCAGAAATTGATTCTATGTGATCTTTTTGTTTCGATTAAAATTCAGAGTATTAAAGATCTCTTTCACTCTAACCCTCATTTGTTTTTCTTAGGTTTTCTTCAATTTCCACAGAGACCTCAGCAATTTTGTTTAAAGAACGTTCTAAATTCCTTTAGTTTTCCTCATTTATAAATTCAAACTACTTACTTCAACGATTTTAGAATGAGCTTTAAATTACTATTGATGGTAAGCCAAATTTGTAGCAAAGTCATGCAATAATCTGTTACAAGAAGCCTACGTATTTTGTATAAATAGGTCAGCATCTTTTTATTCTTATTCAATCATAAATCTATACTAATAAAGCAAATCATAATACCTAATATTATTAATATAACTTTGGATTTCATGAACTGGTGAACCTGTTGCTAAGCCTATCTGAATAGCATTTAAAAATATCCTTCCAGAGCGTTACGTGTCTATTTCTGTCAGAATAGTTTTGGAATCCTTCATAGTGGCTGATACCATCACTAAATATAGACTTAAGACATATGAAAATCTCATTAATTAAAAATAGTAAATTAAAAACGTATATAACTAAATATGTGATAATTCCATTATTTCATTCAATGACATGATAATGATATCACGCTGCATGAAATTTATTGCTAACCAAATTTATGGCCAATAAGCTTTGCAAAACAATTGTTTGAAACCTCATAACCTGTCATTAATCCTCTAGAATTTTAACTAAATGAAAATGAAAATTACTTTTACAATATTCTCATATATTATTCATTAATTCAATTAAATATTGATTTCCAAACAACTTGTATCACTTCATAGTTATCTAAAATCAACATTTTTCTTACCCTGTATTCAGCTTGAATATGTTATTTATAACAGTATTTTCTTAAGATTCGATCTTCATTAAATTATTGTTCTATACCAGAAATCTCTGCCATCTTCTTCATTGCCGCTGTAATAAATAATGTTCCCATCATATAGAGTTTATTCTGAATATTATGCGTTGTATATGTAAATCATGAAACACATAATTTTTTTTGACTAACTATAAACTTTCTCTTTTTTTTGTATTTTAGATCTTACTTACTCTCTCTCCTTTCCAAAGATTTACTGCTACATTCTTATATTAATTATTAAATTACCTTTGATGTCGGTGTTTTCTTTTTTCTATTATTTCTATTGTTATTATCTTCAAATAATGCCCACAACAAATATTTTGATTATTGTATAAGTGATAAAATTGAGATTGCTATGTTATCTAATTAAATTTATAAGATGTATATAAGTAAATTAATTCATTTTTCATCTTCTGACACATTCTCTTTACCTATAATTTGTTAATTTATAGGATTTTTGGTGCCTCCCTTCAAACATTTGTATATCTTTTTGTTTTGTCTAAATGAAGAATTGACCTCAGATGTATCCAACATGGAATTCTTTTCCAATCTCTGTAATTCTTTTAACTAATCATATTTCACAAACAACTTCTGATTTTCTACGCTAAGTCTGTTTACCTCTTCTGATAATTTCTAATTGATATTAAATAATAAAAGTACAAAGATTTTGAGTTGTCTATCATCAATCAATTTCTTTAGTTTCTGACATTCTCTTTAATACTTTTATTTCTCATTAATCACTTGATGCACTCCTTCCAACATTTTCTCTATGTTATTATTTAACTCTTTGCATTTCTCATCATAATTCCTATTATCTATTTCAATATTCGTCATTCATACTTTTAGCCAATTAATTCTCTAATTTTAATGACTTTGCTTTTTCTGCATCTAAAAGCTGTTAAGTCTTTTCCAAAGTTTCTAAGAGTTCTTATTGACTGCTATTGTCAGTCTGCAATTCCAAATTCTATTTCTTTAATTGAGCTACTTACGTATGTAACTCAGCCAATTAATCATCTACATAAATATTAATGATTACTTTGAATATTGAATTCCTTTTTATCGTCTGTTAAGAAGGCCATTAATTATTCATTCAATTAATCCTTGTGATGTTTCTTATATAAATAGGTAATCTATTTTAATTTAGAAGTGACTCTCTCCTTCACAAAGTTGTCAATGAGAGTCAAAACCTAATCATCCTCAAAGATGTCTTTCTCTCCATTTTGACCAAGCTTTTAAGACAAAGTTCTTTGGATATTAGACAGCTTCTTTTAATAGTCAGTCTCCATCCTCAGATACTGATGTTCATAATCCTAAATCTCTATTAATGATATTATCCTAATAATTACTTTCTTGCATTTCATCCTCTTTTATTCTCAATTAGTTTCTTAATTCTATTTCCTTCTATTAACTGATAAATTGAGCCTATTTAAACATCTCTATTTCTTACTCGTACTTAGCCATTATCTATTACATTTATAATAACTATTCACTATTATTTGGAATATCAGAATTAAAATCCTCCTATATATCCTTCAAAATCTCCTTATCTTCTTCACTAATCACAATGCCTTTTTTGAATTATGATAATTGCTCCTACAATACCAATATTTCTCTTTCCTTCTCTTAGACAATCATCTTCAATTCTTCCACAGTATGTTCCTTATTTATTTTTGGCTTGTTCTTGATTGCCTTTGCTCTAACTCCGAATCTCAAAGTAGAGAGAGTCTCCTGCAAATTAAATTGAGCAGGAGAACATGTTATAATAAGTGTAGTTCTACTGTTACCACCAAAAGAACACTGCAATATTCTTGTTAATTTTGAATCTCTGTATGGCACATGTTAACTTCCATCTGTAAGTGCATTAATCACCTAACCTAAGGCTGACAATGACTTGTTGATCCCCTTGGCTTCATCCAAGATTTTCCCCTCTGCTCCTGTTTTAGACACCTTTTCACTACCCGCCAAATCTACCAAAAATAGTTTGCCTGTTTTGGCAGACTAATCTCTTAAGTCTATAGATTAAACTGTCATTAAAAATATCATGTGTGATCGAGATGACTATTCATTCATATTAGTGCTTGCTATCATTCGATTAGCATTGCACATCTTCAATATATCATATATTTCTGATTAATCAGCTATTGATGTTTCAGTTACTCCTTCTATGTATGTTGAATGATTTTTATCCTCTCTTATTTTCAGATCTGTTTTCTTGATGTTTTACAAGTCTCTCACTTTTTCCATGTATAACTCTGTCACTGATATTTTTATTCGGTACTCTACATAATCGGGACTGGCTTCAATATAATCAAACACTGTATTGACCATTCTTTTTATTATTCCTTAATCATCTCCAGTCGTCCCTTCCATCGTATGGGTCTTTCCAGATCCAGTTTAGCCATAAGCTACCACAGTCCCATTGAATCCCTCTAAGACTCCTTAAATTACTGGCTCTGCTGCCACCTTAAATACATCAATTTATTTTCCTGGATGGAATATATGATCGAAATTGAATTGTTGGTTTTCTATGAGAACACTTCTTTCATCTGCGAAGTAGATTTAGCTTTCAACCTATCCAGGGATGGGAGGTCTAAATCGACATATCACTTGAATATTTGTAGTCATATTAAAATTCAAAATAATTAATGTTTCGAACTGTTAATTTAATTAATTAAAAATATTAAAAAAACTAAGGTCATTCCTTTTTATATCAAATACTAACTAATTAATAGGAAACTAACTTTAGATAATTTACAAATCACATGAACCTTCCTTATAATATTATCAATTAAACATGTCTTGTAACAAATATATATATTCAATTCTTAATTCAAATTTTATAATAAATACAAATAAATATAAATAATTACTATTATGGCCAACGAAGCAAGACTCTAATCCTTACAAAATTGGAAAGCCTCCCTTGAGTTAAAGAAAATACTCGATAGCCAAGGGTAATTCATCATATTTAATCCAATTTTAGAATTGATCACCAAAATTAAGATTATTTGGCTTAATTGACTTATAAGATTGCAGAAAGAGCTTTTGGAAGCCAAAGCAAAAATAATCTTGAAAGCAAAGTGTGCCAGATGGTGGAATAACAAACTTGTGCAATTTGCTTTGAACTCATGGTACCTCCTTAGTATTCTCCCATCCTATTATTTCCATGTGGACACTCATTTTGTAAATCTTGTGTTTTAGATGGGACAAAGTTAAGAATCCAGAAATGCAGTCTTTGTAGGTCAAAAATAAGTGCACATGCAATTAATTTGGGTTTATAAAATTTAATCTGCACCTTTGCAGAGTAGAAATAGCAGATTCCAAAATAAACTGAATAAATGGCAGTTCAAGATCACGCAACGATGCCCAAAGAAAATGCTTTCACTAATCAATACAGAATGTTTAAGCTTAGATGCGATATTCTTGAATAGGAAAAGTAGCAGCTGCAAATCTAAACTAAAGAGTTAAAAAATGAATTAGTGGAACTGGAAAGGAAGGTTGTATCTTTGCAATCAGAGAGGGAGAAGATTATCTCAAAATAAGCCATGCTTTAAAATAATGTAAAATATCAATATCATTGCAGTTAGATTAAGTTAATTAAGGACTTTAGACTATTGTGGATAGAAGTAAGGCCATAACTGTAAAAATATATAACATATAAGAATAAATGAAAATTCTGGATGAAACTATGAAACCTCTTCAATAGGAAATGAATAAATATGAAGTTTTGGCCAAATCAGCTTGATTGTTATTATAAATAAATTGCAATCTCTATTTACAAATGCTTCAAATGCTGATCTGAAATCTATTTTTTTCCTTACTTAATCGAAAACCGAAATGTCTTATGATCTCTATTCCTTATAAGTACATTAGAAATCTTCCAAATCATCAAGATTGATAGATATCTATGATATGTTTAATTTCGTTACTTCTTCCTCATCCTCCTCCTAATGTTCTTTGAATTTGCTTACAATGATATATTTTTCATTTTAAAGATTGTCTTTATTTAAATCTTTTTGAGAACTAATTTCAGTTTGTAAATCATCAATTTAATCTTACTTCTTCAACTCGTCGAATTAAGAAAGAATGTCTAATTTTTTGATCTATTTGAGACATGACTTGGGATTTGGTGTGTTCCCATCTTCAAAATCATTGAAATCTTTTGAATTTATAACATCATTCAAATTATTGGGAGTCATTTTTAAAGAAGATTCTTCTGAGAGATTTCTCCATTCAATTATGCTGTAGAAGTGTTCATACTCCTCAAGATCTGAATAGTTTCTAGTTTCTTCATCAGAGGATGTCTAATCATCGAAGCATCTGCCCTTAGTTGAACTTGAGATTTTTCTGCTCAGTTGTCTTCTCTTTTTGCTTACTCAAATACTCAGAGGGACACTTGTAAATAGAGTGAATAATGTTTTTATCAAAACAAAATGTTACACTTTTAGTTTTCTTTCCATCTTCATCCTCTTTTGTCTATATATCTTGTACTATTTAATTTATAACTAATTAAAAATATCATAATACTGTTTTAATTCATAAGAAAATGAACATTGTTCAGTTTTCCAATCAAATTAATTATTAATTTAATTAAGAATCCAGTTTAGTTAGTTGACAATTTTGGTTCTATTTTAAAAATCCTATCAATTCCAAACATCAATACATTTCCACACATTCTGAATTATTTTCACATCAATACTGATCTTGAAAGGAATGAATTTTAAACAAAAATTTAGAATAAATTGTCGAATTTTTATTATTTATGTTTAATTCATAAAAAACTGCAGAATTGTGCAACAAAGAAAAATACATTCTATTCATATAATGGTGCAAAGAAAATGGAGCTTTGATATCTGATGAAGTTTAGTATCCATCTGCTTTTGGAGCTTAAGGTTATACTGGAGTTAGTGCAAAAATGAATATTCCCGCTAATAAGGTAATTATTGCAATACCAAACAAATTGATCATAAGTCATCATAAAGTATTGAAAAGTGAATTGAGTGATATGTTCAAGACTCATAAACAATTTTTCGATGATTAGATCACTGCAGATGCTGAATTCAATTGTTTGGGTATGAAATAAGTTGTACCCTATAGCACTTTACATATTTTATCATAAATTATAAGGGGACAAGTCATTTTGGTATCCTTATTTGAATGTAGTAGAACAACACACTATGTTTGAATGGAGAAATAGAGACCTATTCAATTTATAGGATCAATCCCTAATTGATGAATTTATGTATATCTAATCTGAGATGGATAAATCTTGGTATAAATTTAAAGGGTTAATGAACAAGTATCCCCAATACTTTGGTAGTCTAACAGAAGAACAAAAAGACATGTTTTATTGGAGCAATGAATTTGTGATGACTCGTTGTTTTGGTTGGACACTGCCATCCACAAGTTTAGTACCTATGGCTGATATGCTCAATCATTCTAATACTAATCCTGCTACATATCATTTGATCAATAGATCAATTGAATAAAATGGTCAACCCAATAATAGATACACTCTTAAAAGAGAAAGGATTGATTTGAAATTACTAGAACTTGATTTTAAAGTTGATCCAAAATACTCAATCAGAAATTCGCAAGAAGCCTACATCTAAACCAATAAACAATTGTTAGTTCATGAGTTTGAAGGACAAACAAGCAGAGATAAAATTAATTAAATTAATTACAATGTGTTGTAACTTTGGAAGGAAAAACAAGCATGGGAGTTGGATTTTGAATCATCTTCCTAATCAGAGGACAATGATACTGATTCAGAAGATGAAGATAAGGTAGACAAGCTCTCCTAGATAAGAAAGAAAGAACTTAAGATTTTATAAGAAAAGAATATGAAGTTAGATTAATAATACACTTAAAAATGCTAAGATATTATTACTAGTCTTATTCCCAAGAATGCATAGTATAAACAAACACAAACAAATATTTAAATTAAGGGTAAGAGGACTTTTGAAGAAGATTTGGAGAAAGATTAGGATAGTTCAGAAAGTAGTGATGATTCGGAGAAGGATTTCGATTGGTATAATGATGATGATGATTAAGTTTATTTTTGTATCACAACAGCAGGTCAAATTCAATAAGGAGAATAGATTTACACATTCTATGGTAGAAGAAATAATAGATTCTTATTGTTGTGGTATGGGTTCACAATGAATAATAATAAGTATAATTCATTCAATCTTAGAGTATATTATATCAATTATATATTAAGTTATGGCTCAATCCAGAACCTATGGCTATGAATGACTAAATCTACTCTAAGATTATTGTCACTGACATAGTGAATACTAGTCATCTGAAATTGGGGTAAATCAATGGAGTACCAATCAATCAATTGAGCAGGGAAATCAAATTGAAGGGCTCCAAATTATAAGAAGGTATGTTCAAATTTAGATTTAGATTTAATCATTTATGTAAGACTCTTTTTAATGGCCTATTATATTGGATAGGATGCAAATTCAATTTTATTAACTATACCAATTTCGATTGATTTTGAAATCCAGGTTTTTGATTTCACTTTAAAGTTACTTTCATATCTGGCATAGAGGTATATTAAAATTAAATTAGATTCAAATCACCATATTAAGAAGATTTAAATTTGAATTAAAATAATTTGACGTGTGAAGAGTATTTTGCACTGAACTATAGACTTGGATAAAAGGAGTTAATATTATTGCAAATAAATCACATCATGGAGGCTTTGAAACTGTTAAGAATGTTGAAATAGCAACCGAAGTTAAACATCAAAGAGTATTTTATGTAGCAATCCAATTCTGTTGAAAAAATAAGAGCCTTGAGATATTATATAAAATATTTGTGATTATTTTGGTTAATTTGAATAAAAAATACTTACTTTTTCAGGTTTGAATAGGTAATTTTAAATTGGAAATTTCTTAATATCTAAAATTGAATAATTTTAATTAAATTTTGATTTATAAGAATATCAAATATTACAATACATTCATTATTTTTACAAGTTCTATTAATTTTTGGTTTCCTTATTTGCAAACTAATTCATCTCCTTTTGAAATTTTGAGAATACATTATTATGAATTCCTTTCTGAGATGGTATAGCTTGAAAGGTAACAAAATTGGAGAATTATTATTCAGATGGTAGAGTTTAAAAAGAATATTGTGGACCAGTTGATAGTTAAGAGGATTTTTGTCTCTCCTTAAATACTCCAAACTGATGCTTCTGGGGCTGATATTCCTCTTCTGAATCAGAGGACGAAACCATTTGTTATGGCTCCTCGAATGGTGAAGCATGTTTCGTATTTTAAGGTGGACTGTTATCAACTTCTAAAGTTTCAACTCTGTCAACTTTTTTGCAACATTATCCATTCCCCATTTATATTTATTAATTAATATTAAGAATATATTTTGTATCATTTCGGTACTATCTGATGTCGTAGCGGAGGCGTAAAATACTTCTTATGGTTTAATGAAATATTTCTAATGTAATAATTGAAGGATACCTCATTTGATTAAAATAGAACGTATCAATATTCTAACTTGGGAAGTAATATTTAAAACTATGAACTTTATCAATGTCATAGCTATCATTTGGTTTTTCAACATATTATTATTTAAGTTCACTTAACTGTGCTTCATCGATTTCAAACTCATCTGCATTTACAATAATATTTTTTTATTTTGCTTTTCTCCTTCTTGCCTTTTTTCTGTCTTATTATTTGTATTCATTTTTGACAATCTAAGAACTCATGACATTCTTTTAAGATTCAAAAGTGAAATGAGTCAATGGACAACAATTACTCATATGATCAGTCAAATTGCAAGTAAAACAACTTAATTGCTAAACAAATAGATGTGAAATCTTACCAATAAATCATATCTTTTGCCCAACAGAACTAAATCTTTCAATTAACAATATCTTTCATAGTCTGCTTCAAACTTCAGTAATGTATTGATAAAGGTAGTCCTATTCACTTGATATAAAGTCGTTTGGGTCCTGGTTTTTGCAGAACATTGTCTACCATCCCCAGTAATAAAAGAGTATTACCCAAAGACTGCACCACTCCTCAAATGAGCAACCAAAGGTTAGGTTGCACTACTGCTATTAATATATAAATCAACTTGACCCTCTTTCAAAATATAAAATGAGTAATCATCATGAACTGCCTCCTTATCGAGAAAGATAGTTTCATCTGCTGCAAAATAGACTTCTCTTAATTCTTCCGATAATTCCTTGATAAATTCAAATGTAAAATTATCACTCATCCAAGGAATCTTAATTAGATCCATCCCATATGATTCAAACATTAATTCTTGTCTTAAAGACGGGGCTAATGAACCTATGACCACTTGTTCTAGTTTCTACTCTCTTGCTCTTTACTTATCCCATATATGATCCAAATATTTTCTAATTTTAGCCTATAATGACACAGAGATCTACTTGTCCCTCATAAATCTATTGATAGCTATAAGATGTCTTTTTAATATTATAAATTAATTTACTTCTAAAACTTTTTCTTACTTGCCTTATATTCCAAGTAAACTTCTTAGATAGTCTACACATTCAATGCGAACAAAAAGATTGCTATTAACATAGCCATTGTGCTAATTAGTATTTCAAGAGGGTTAGCTGGAGTAATATCACCGTATGAGACAGTTGTCAACGTTGCAAAAGACCAATACAATGATAAGAAATATTGCGATTACAATGACTTACTGTAAATCTCACCATTAAACATATCATTCTCTAACCATGTTCCCCAATTAAAATTCTCCTCATCCTCTTACTTCAAATCATACATGTAAACTCCAGCACGATAGAACAAAGCAGCATTCAATTAGACAATAATTAGAATCTCAATAATTATCTTAAATATCAAATATATGGTTTTTGATTTTCTATGCAATTACACTCTTTCCTAAAATCTTTAATCATAAATTGACAGCTTATAGAATTTTAAAAAGAAGAAATATCTGATTATTGTTGACTCATTTACCTACTCTGAAACGAGACAGAGGTATAAAACAAAAAGTGGAATGAAATCAAAGAAAAACCCAGTTTTTAAATAATTTATGTACACCTACTTTTTGTTTTTTACATATTCCCCCCTTTCAAAATATGATACATGCATTTCTATTAGAATGTCTAATGTCATACAAAAGGTATAAATCATATTTAACCATCCTGTATATCCTTATTTCCATTAATCCCAGTACCATTCCTGATCTCCCTCATTTTTTGAAAAATATAAATTTATCATAAGAAAATAAAAGTATATTAATAAACCCACAGACATGTATATACTCCATAAATTTAGCCAGTTTGATGTCGGTTCAATAACTGAAAATTTGGAACTGTTATTAATTAAAAATATTCTTACCAAAATCTCAGAATCCATTAAGTCTACAATTACGATTTTTCATTCTCAATTGTGGAGAATTTCTGTTTATTTATGATCTCAATTGCGTTCTTTGTATATTTGTTCTTCACCCAATTACTACTTTTATCGTCAATTAATTTAAGATGATTACTCAACTAAATTCCCCATTCTTGTACATTTATCTACGGCTATTCTCTCTACACACCCACCTTCTACTCTAATTGATTAAGGATCTTCATATTAATCCCATCATTACGGATTCATTCGCAAACTAACTCTTTGAGATCGGCAGTTTGTCTTGCTCTAACAGAGAAGCTGTGGGGTCTTCATTTGCTGAATTGACATTTAATTTTGGCATCACAAACGAAAATGATTCTGCATTAAGTTTTTTCTTGTTTAGGGCAGCATGTTTTCTGAAGGCGTACATGTAGAATTGATGAAAAATTTAATTAATCATTTATGGTGTACAAATAATGCCAAATTTACTAGATAACACAATTTAATTTTCAAGTTGATTATTTATAATCATAAATAAAACTCGTTTTAAGTTTGAATTACTTAACTAAGAGACAATGAAATCGAATTATTAAGTATAAATTTATTTATAATAATAATAAATAAATTAAGAATCCAATATAAAAATTTAAATTGCACACATATATAATATTATTTTACATTTATACAATTATATATACGATTCAACTTTTCTTCTAATTAAATTTCAAACTTTCCATTATTTGCTATTGAATTAGTTTTTCATCCTCCGAAATACCCTCGAAATCAAATTCCTTACTATCATAATATTAAGGAAATTTTTCAGGTACCACAGTTTGAGGAGGAGGAGGAGGTGCCTTTTTGATCGGTGGAGCCTTTTCTTATTTTTCTTTTTGTGACATCTCATTTAACATTTTCTATTCTAAATATTCCTCTGAACTCATTCCAAACTGTTCTTCCACTTCCATTTACTTTTAAATCTCTCTTGCTATAGCTGTATCAGGTCTCCTTAAGTCAGGCCTATTGTTTGAAATGTAAGACTATGGTTTATTATTTTAAGGATTTTTATAGCTTTCTAAACTTTTCTAATTTTGAACTGGTTACCTTTGTTATTATTACGGTTGTGGTTAAATTTGTTAGGATTGCTTATTCAAATATTGTTGCTTTTCGTATTGATTATCAAATTGAGTTTTATCTTCTTTTTAAGTTGAATTCTATTATCTTTAATTAGTTAAGGAACCAGGCTATTATTTAGGTTAGATGGCTTGAGTTGTAGGCTACTTTTAAGTCCGAGAACCTGTTTAAGTATTAGAGGATGGAGGTCTTATATTATCTTTTTATCTATTTTTATCCTCATCCTTAATTTGATATGAATTTTTTGCTTCTCCAGCTGCTTATCCATATTTATACCCAGACCCAACAGGCTTAGTTTATTATTGTTATTGCTATTATTGTTGTTGAAGTTATTATTTTTTAAATGCTTGGCTTTACGCATCTTGTTATGATGTCTCCTTTTTGCTGTTAAACTTTTATTGATCGAATCTGTCATCTATTTATTGCTTATTATAATTGGGCTTATCAAAAATATCTGAATAACTCGGCTTATTCTAAACTTAAGGAGGCTCAGCTTTTGGTTTAGGTTTACAAGTGATCACGTGGCTTTCGTACTCTCGGATCATTACGTAATTATTGCAAATGTCACATTTTTGAGTTCTACTGCCACATTGGGTCTCATGCGAAAATATTTAATCGGTTGGAAAATAGAGATCGCAATGCATGCATTACTTTGGCTTCTTCAAGCATTTATGTTTTTTCAAATCTAATAATATAATATTGAAAACGACCTTCAGATTCTAGAGAACAATATTAACATTTTTCTTTTTTGTGGTATTCCTCCTCATGACTCTCCGGATCATTTTTATCGTAAAATTAACCACATTTTTGACACTTTATATTATTACGCAAACAATATGTTTCATGGAGCATATGTTTAGATTCTGCTATTGGTTGCTTACAATTGGAGCATGGGATTGTGATTTCGTTCATAATATTTTATTTTAATCAATTATAACGAAATAAAAACTTTTATTTCAAAATGCTCAATAACTACACAGTGTCTGGATGATATACATTATAATCTATAAACACAACTTGATATCCAAGTTTAGAGAATTACTCAACTGCCCTTTCTGTTTCTGCTGTATACACTTTATCCAATCCTCTAATTAAACGAGGGTACTCCTCCAAAAATACGACCACCTTCTGTTTTGGACAAGCAAAGTCAGCAATATGAGGGAAATCACTATAATTCATGATCCATTAATTTTTATCAAGTTTGAGTGCTTACCAAACTAATTCTTTAAAATGTGTATGCTAAATCACATTGTCACTTATTTGGGACAGTTTCCAAAACATATTCATTTCCTAATTTGAATATGTTTCCTCGATTGAATACTCTTCAAATGGATTCTTCAATATTGGAGACAGTTTAGTGTGGGGCTTGGAACGAACAAAGTTGAATATCGATAATAATCCTTGATAGGTTCTGTTTCTATAATGTAACTTTCTAGATTTCTCCAGTTCACTCTTCTTTAATTGTTATTCAATTTTGTCAATGAATTCTTGGCAGTCTTAACAAGTATTATATACTTCATCTATCTTTTTTTTATTAGCATTTATGAGGGATTTTAATTGTTCATTGAATAAATTAGGCCAAATTTGATTCACCTAAACTAGATGTTCCAACAGATTAGGTAAATAAATGAGGTTATTGATTAATTTAAGAATTTGTGGTGTTTTAAATATTTTTGTCTATGGCTAGAAGTCAGGTACTAAAATAGATGTATAATACAAAGCTTCGATGTAAGTGAGTATGGGTTCTAAAACTAAAACCCTCTTATTCGTTTTGGAAGTAGATATTCTTTGGAATCCATTTTTCTGCAAATTAGTTTATAAAACATTGAATTTCTCTGTCAAATTAATTATGAATTATCTTTAGTTAAGCTGATTTTAGATTTCTAAATTTTTATTATAATTTTAATAATATGGCAGGATTTCTGAATATTCAGAATCATTGAATTCAAATTCTACTTCTTGTTCCATATTTGGATTCAAAGCCTCTTCAAAAATCAACAATTCCTAATCCTTAACATTTGCTAGGTAAGTTATAAGTGAATTTCTGATGAAATTATCAACTTCATCAATCATAGTTTGATCACTCATTATAGATCGAAACCCTTTTAGAGAATTGCTATTCAATAAATACACGATTTATTTTATATCATTCTTTTAGACTTTGTAATTGGAAATTTATTTGTGGCATTGCTTTAATGATATGTAGTACAATTGTGGGGAGAAGTATTTAAAATATACTAATGATTGATATGATGGATAATTACATGGCAACGCATATATCATGTGATCAGCCTTGAATTCTCCTTAATTTATAGTATTTGTGATTATATGATTAATAGACATTTGTATTAACTTAAAATCGTCTGGTGAATAAATCCATAACAATTTCTTAGCCACATCCTTAGTGTTCAAATTTCGCTGTACAATAAAATTGTAATTCTTGTTGAACAACTTCTCAAGACTTATTGAATATAGATTACATTATTTACATCTTAGCATAAGCAATCTTAATCTCGGAGTATTATTCTTCACTCAAAAAACTTAAATGATTATTTATCATGAGTTAAGAAAATTCATATTTCATTATTTCAGAAGCCACTAGTTCAAAATTACTTAATTTTTATATGTATTTATTAATAAAGTAATCTAAGAACCCTGCTTATAATCCTAATTCATAGGGTGAAACTGCACAATATTCAAATAATGTCATTATGTTTCTGAATTAAAGCAATGATAAGGAATCTATCAATTGATCATCTATTTTTAGATTTTGAAGGAATTTCTAGACGATATCTGGATGCAGAAGTCCTGATTATATGGATAATCTCATATATTCTATCTATTAATAGATATTTAGTTAATCAAAGATTTTGAGGCCATTTAAAAGCAGGTTTTACGCTATTACGGAATAATATGCAGGCAACTATTAAGCTTCCTTGTTCAAATATGATAATAGCATATTTTCACTAAAATTCATTTAATCAGCTACAAATCGCTCTAAAACTTCCATTTACACTTATTTTTAAATTTCGAACTGCAAATCCCTTTTAATATATGCTTGAAACAACTATTCTTAAGTAAAAGTTTTGTAATTTTAGCGAACATAGTAATTGAGATTTTCATTCTATAATATAAAAAAATGAATACAGCTTCATTTTTCAAACTCCTTTCAATGTTTATCTGTATGCCAGTGGAATTTTGAAAGAACTTCATCCATTATTTGCTTCCTTAGACTGGTTCTGCAATCGTAGAAAAGAGTTATCTAATTTTTAGGATCATGAGTTAATTATCACAAATATATTTTTTTTAATAATTCTTTTGCTTCATTACTCTTATTGGCTAGTTCCTGCAATCTCCTTTTATGTACTCCAATATTGGCAATATTTTGGATAAACTCTTAATTTCTAGTCATCACTATAGACAACAATCTCAAATGACTTGCTTGTATAGTGTCCAGCAATCGAGTGTAAAATTCTATTGAGAACCTACTCTCTGGATACAAGATGTGGAAGGTCTCTAAATATTACATCATTGATCTTAGAAGGCCTTGATTTTTCATTTTATCTTGGTCAAAAATAATCAATAATTAAGTAACCTTCTTTTCCACAATCTCATTGAAATAAGGCATGCCTGACTAAATCATATAATTTTAAGCAAGCTTGAAGGCACTCTGAAGAATCATGAGTTTGCCCATCTGCATACATTTGTTAAGTAGATTTGTAATTTCTTTTATTGCATTCTCCTTATTGAGATTTTCACAAATCAAATTGAGTAACAATTTAGGTTGCATTTATTAAACATCGTTTATCAAATCCACATTCATTATTAAATAACCCATTAAATTTGCATCAATATTCAAAGATTCTAAATGCTGAATGGCTTCATATAAAATATCTTCATTTTGCAGTAGTATCAAATCTTTCTAGATTTCATCTTGATTTGGCAGATTACGATTTTTAATCATCCAACTGAAATTCAACAAACATTATACAGGAAGAGGGTTTAAATTGAAAAGATAGTTTTTGAGTCTAGGTATGACGGTCGTCAAAAAATAATTGTTTACCTCGTATTTCTCAAGGTTACCTATAATTAAAATACACTTAATTATATATAAATAAATACATGCTCAATTATGAGTAAATTATTATGATTGGCCAACAAAATTTCTAATATTTGGGGTGCTTTAGTATTTATGAAATAATGACTAGCATCCTTGCTCTCCACTATAAAAGCAATCATTTTCGTTAAATCTACCTATACGTATATTGAATAGTCATACCAACTATTATTCTGTCAATTTCATATAATTGTGCAACACTTCGACCAAATCATCCAATATACCCCAATAAAACAATAGATATGCGAAATTGATTTCATCCTGATCTTCCTCTAATAAATTCAATAGAGATGTGAATCCTTCATTCAAAAATTAGGAGTCTTATAACATTTTTGATATCTCTTGAACGCTTCTTGATCTTACAAACTGCTTTCTTTTCACCTCGAAAATCTTATTACGTACTTCCGTTAGAAAATAATAAGATACTTTATTGAGAATGAAGCTAAGCCATCCTTTCTCTTTTTGTATGCAACAAACTTAGAGTGTCTTTTTCATTCATTTTATAAATAAACTCATTTAATAATTTTTTTCTTGAAAAAGTACATTAACCCCAAAGCTATTGCCACTCCGAAAGTAGTTAATTTAAGTATATCAATATTTTTTCCTAGTTTCTTATACTCCAAGGCTTCCTTCTAAATTAGCAGTCTGGCCTAACTCATTCTATTGATGTTGTATTTTGTAATTAACTAAACTAGTTGATTAATTGAATACATCCTCTGTTATAGCCTCAGCATCTTGTATTCTCAGTTGTTGGAAGAAATGATACATTAGATTCTACTTGCCAATGTAATAAGCTTAGCAATTCAGTTTTTGATAAGGGAAATTAATATCTGCATTCAATATTAGTATCGGATAAATGTTGGGCTTAAATTTAGTAATGTAATCACTTATTTTTGACTTTTTATTAATTAAATTGTACTTTGGTGTATTGAACTTCATTTTGTATTAGAGTTTATAATCTATTTAGAGTGTAGGAAGAAGCCTTGATTTTAACGATGAACAATAGGATATCTCCTTTCTTCAATTCCAATTTAATGTCATTTAAAACGATCCAGGAATTGATTTAGCAAATTGGAATATCATCTGAGAAGGAAGAGGTGATAAGAGATTAATAAAGTTTTCTCCTCGTTTACGAAGACTTCTTCCTAGATCAATTTAGATTATAATACTCCTCGTTCTCTTGAAAATCATATTTCTAAATCTAATTTCTTAATAATTGCATGGCACCATCTAGTTTGAAATCACAAAGTGAAAACATATATCTATTTGGTTTTATGTGCAGATTTCGCTTCTATTGCAATAGTTGTTGGATATCTATTTTGAGTCCGAGATTATGTCTCATGGATACTTCAGATTAACAAACATACTGAGGGATAGTGTCACTAACCAATTACAAAAAATAAGTGTTTAAAAAGTCTGACTCATTTGCTGAAAGAAAGTCTTGGTAAGATCTCTCAGATTTGTGACTTTGCATAAATTATAAGTGTTAATAATATTTATTAGTTCTGGTGAATACAGACATACAAATATACAATTATATAATACAAAATTCTCATAGAGGCTCTGTCATTTGTACCGATCTATCACAACTCTTTTCTCGGGACTCATTGTAATAATAACATTGGCTTCCAATACTCAATCTTGTGTTTCCTTGTTCATCATCTACCAGGAGCTACTCAGCTATCTGGAACTCTCTAAATATATGATTTAATTGTACATTGTTGATTCTATTTGTTCATTCTCAACCACTCCAATATTTGTTATTTTACAGGCTCTTGACTCAAATAAGCTACGCAATTAAAAAAACCCCAAAAACTCAGGAATACAAATGATATTGTTGTTTAGATCGATCCTACCTTATTTTAATGAAATAAATTACTCTATGAGAAAATAGAGATTGGATGTCTTCTATTGTAAAACTAAAAGTACAAATAAAAGTAATCGTTGGAAAGAGGAATATTTGTTTGATCAATTTCTTAACCTCTCCATATAACTCTTTTTTATCGTCATCCTCAGCCAAGAGCTACTTAATTTATTTTATTATCGTAAAACTATAGCCTAAATAAAGAAAAATCGGAATAATCCAAAACAATAATTTCTGGATGTCTAATTGTGCCTTCAAGTTGGAAGAGTCTTCCTTTTGATGATAGTACAGGCAGTATTAGGTACTTCTCTCAGTCAGGATGATTGCAGTTATTATCGGATATATCATTAATATCAAGGGAATTCCATATGAACACACCAAAAACTTATTTTCCTGAGAACACAATTAATCAAATATCTATCTCGTATCTTTGAACTTACTATCCTGACCCAGTACCATAAACAATTATCTTCTTCAATATTTCTTTAATACTTTATTGAATAAATCAGAATTGAACTCCATATTAGAGAACTCAATCCTCCGTACAATCGAAAAGTGGCAAAAACAGTACATTTTGGATTCTCAAAACTCGAACATAAAATGCCAATAGTCTAATTGATAAATTCAATACTTAAAGTATTCCACTAAATGTCAGATATAGAATGATTCTAGGAATCAATCCTTATCTTAATTTTTAAGAGTACATAAACAATAAAACAATAAGCAGCTGTCCGATCAAAGAAAGGCTAGAGCAAAATATTACAGGAATATTATCAATCATGAAATAAATAATACATTTATATCATAGTTAATTATTAATTATGCATTTAATCCAATAAATTCTAACTTAATTCTCAAATATCTCCTTGTCTCATAAATTCACGGTCTTTTCCAATCAAACTCAGAAACTCTGCAAAGATCTTATTGATCATTCTAATCTGAATTATCCCATAATATATATCTTAAAATATTATTTCCAAATCTTTATCAAACTCTATTCCTGCTCAGCATTTTAACTTATTTGAGATCTACAATTAGATTACTCAAATAAATAATATTAACACATATTATTATGATAAGAATTCTTAAGATATCCATTTAAAAATATACTCATTACTATAATCAAAATAGAATTATAGGTTTAAAAGGATGTTAAAATGAATCATTAATTTGTAAGGTCATGATATCTAGTCCATATATTTATTGATGTAAAGGTGATAAATAAATGAATTAAATCAAAAAAAGAAATATAAAACAATAGGGAATAATAATAATTTTACGAATTAAAAAATTCCAAAAACAAAAAAGAGTCAAAGAATTTTTATCTAGTTGAAAATGGAATTTTCCTTCATTAACTATAACTGCTACTATTACTAATGAAGAAATCTTATTGAATTCATTTTATTATGAAGCTGGATTCTACCCATAAATTATTTACCAATAAGATTAAAATTATTTAATTTACATCTATTAGGTTAAATAATACAAAAAGATTATTAAAAAGAGATCTACTAAGAATGTAATTCGACTTTTATGATAAATTTAATCGATTATGAGAGGGGAAATTCTATCATCAAAGAAATTTAATAATACTTTGGATATTTTATAATACAGCATTTTCATTAAGGTACTATTAAAAATTCTTTTTTGAAACATTGTTTTAGAAAGGTTATTGGATTCAATAGAAACATTTAAATTAAATTTATATTTTCTATAGTAATGACTATGAGCTAATCGTTCTTTCAACTGATAAGTCATATTGATGAGTTATTACTTGATGTACATATGAAAACTTTGGATGTTGAGCAGATCTTGAATTTTAATATTATGATTATTATTTTTATATCGTTTTTTGTGGCTATAGCAGAGCAAACAACATTTTATGGTACTACGTTAAATATCTTCAAAAACTATATTAATGTTTAACAAACAGCTACATCCTTTTTGAATAAAGTTCATGAACGTACAGAGTAGCATGAAGAAATATTCAAGAAATTTTTATCCATATTAGAAAGAGTATTATAGATTTTCATAATTAGATAGATGATTTATATGACTAGCAAGAGAAATTATTGATTTTTAATGATGCTAACATTGAGTATGTTTTAAAAAAAACCAGAAAAAATTATAATGACAAAATTAATCAGATATCTGCCAATATTGATAAGAACACTGAATAATTGGAAAGGTTGGAATAGAATCTGTAAAAGAATAGCACTGCTTCATTGAAGATAATTGAAGAACTAAAAAATCTTTCATCCCTAATTTAAGAGGTATTAAAAGATAATTTCAGCGTAAATTATCAAAAGGTCATACCCTTCCTCAATGAAAAAATCTAATCATAATATTTTACTCAATTACAAAAATTAAAAACATTAGACTATTAATTATTGGTGAAGGAATTAGAAAAATATTCTTCTTTCATTTCATAGCAAACCATAAAAGAAAGTAAAAAAAGAGACTTAGCCAATTGTTATTCACTGATCAATAGCGTGCTTAAGTAGGCTTTAATTTTATTGCTATCTGAAAAATAATAATAACAATATGAAATGTCCATCAAAGCCTTAATAATTAGAGAAGATAATAAATAGTTAACTCAACAATTACAACAAATCAAAAGACTAAAACGCTTATTTGAAGATAGTTAAGAATTCAAAATAACCCTAATGAAATAGTATAGGGAAAATATCAAATTTGTTTAGTTCAAGAAAAAATAGTTTCGAGAGCAAGCTAGAAAAATAATTGAAGTAAATGAAGAGAAAACTAAAATGTTTATTAATGAAGAAAATATATTAAATTAATATATCTAATGATTTCAAATATATAAATTTATATGATAAATATCTTGACTTAGTAAGTTTTGGTAAAACATACGAATTCAAACATTCAACAAATTAATAACTAAGGTAAAGATTTCCAAGGTAAAGAATTCCGTTTCTTTGGCAGTGTTAAATCAGTCCGATGTCTAAAGTACTTTTACTATAAATTCATTATGGAAAAAAAGGGAGATAAATATGATTTTATATCAATTGAGGGAGGCTAATTTTAGGATTCAAAGTTGGGCATATCAGAAAATGACTATATAAAATGTTGTTGATTATTTAAAATTTAAGGGAGTTGATACTCTTCGCTTATAACAGACAGTGAAGCCACCCTAAATTAAGGTGGTTCAAATTTCTCCATTTCTCTCTTTATTTTTTCAAATTCATCCCTTACATCTAATTACTAATATTAAAGGATTTCTTATAACAAATAAATTGGAGTAAAGTAGATTTAATTAGTCTTTAGATTAACCATACAAGGAGTCAATTCATAAGATTCCTCTTGTGTTATCAAATCAATGTTTCCTACAGCTAATAATAAACTTTGATTATGGTTATTTTGATTGTTCTACTTTTCGCTATTTTTGATTTCATCAATTGGTTATTTGCTAATTCTCCATAATATTTTATCGATTAATTTATTTAAATCATCATCTACTTCATCCCTTTTTAATAAGCAATTATATCTATTCTTCACTTAATTTTCATTTCTTTTCAATTGTTTTGCGATGTCTGTCCATTTCTTCCCTTTTTATTAAATTTAATATATCAATTCCAAATCTTCTCTGTCAGTCCAAGGATCCTTTATTTTTATTAATGAAGGATCCAAATAATTGATCCATCTTTCTCTTAATTACTTGCTTGTTCTATAGGTTTAATTCACTTTATTCATTTCTAAAGCAATAAGCTTCCATCTATTTTCATCATTTTTAAATTTATCATAGAGCTTTGATAAAAGTGAATCCTCTTCTTAAGTGAATGGCTACGTAATTAAGGATGTTTTGAGCATCGATGACCATTTTTACTTGATGTTCTCGATATTTCTTCTAAATAAATATTATGCAATTTCGTTAAAATCATCACCATTTAAAAATCTGCAATTTCTCTATTTCAATGAACAATACTTTCCAATTACCCATACCAAGACTTTTTTTTCTTCAAAACTCCAACTTTTTTTTTGACTCTGAGAGAAACGTCGGCTGTGTAATTTCTTTTGAATCTTGTAAATTTCAGCATCTGTCGGACAATCATTAAAACCAACATTAAAATATTCTTTGAGATACAAAAAGTCTATTGGAACGTTCTGGCTACTTTCATAAAATTGTTAAAACAACTAATATTATTATTCAAACTCAAACTTCTCCTAACTCGAAGCTACCTTAACCTTTTATATCTTACCTTGACGATCATTGCAGCTTCTTCCTCTTTTCTTCTTAGAGTTTGAATCTGATTCAGAGTAATTCAATTCTTGAAGCATTTTATATGTATTTTAAATATAATGATATTTTCCTCTAATCTTTATTTAATAATAATTTATTTAGTGTGTAATATATTCATTTATTTTAAATTAACATTCCAAAATAATATTTTCAACTTACAATTAAGGAGATAATAATGTTAAATCCTTTTAATATTATTTATTTTTTTTTATGTCTTTTAAGTGAACATTTGATTAACACTTCTCTGAATTTCATACATTGTTGATTTACATTAGTACTTTGTTTAAGTGTTAGATCAAACACATAAATAAGAATCACAATAGGTAAATTCTAAAAACAGTCTAAAATTTATTAAAATTTAATTTCATTCTTTCCTTCAGTAAATTTTGAACCTATTCATTTAGTTTTCTGATAATTTTCTGTCAATAGGGGACAAGTACTCATAATTTCATTATATTTTTCTAATTTTTGTACTATACTTATTACTCTTTTAAAAGGAGATTTCCATCATATTTTTGCTTTCAATTTTCAATGTATGTTATCCACCCTAAGTAAAGAGCTTTATGTTTTAGAGCAAAGATTTAATATTTGTTTTATTTAATGCTCCTTTTTCTGATTAAACTAATTAATTAAATATATGATGAATGTTTATCAATTTGTAAGTAATTAGTAAAAGTGATCCTTTTGATTAGAAAATTAAATTTTAAAAACAGTTTACAATGAAAGGTACAAATAAAACAAAGTAAAAAAGAAATATATATTTAAATATTCTCATAATATTGAACAAATGATATTATTTTTGATAGGAAGGTTTATTTCTTGAAACTCATCATTTTTCTGTTTTTATTAAAATAAATATTGTAATAAAAATTGGATTAGAGAATGGAATTCTATAATTCATAAAAATACAACATTTTATATTCTAATAATTAGATGAGTAAGTATCTAAGGAATGAATAACTTGTGAATCTAGAGAGAAAGTAAGGGGAAGAAGTCAAATTCAATGAAATACAAATAAGATATTAACAGTTGAATTAATAGCTTAAGAAAATACTCTATTAGATAATAATTTCTTATTAGAAGAAAAGAAAAAAATTGAAATGTAACATTAAAATATTAAACAAAACTAATCATCTTGCCTCCCATGTGATGTAATCTTGATTTGATAAGCCATAAGTAATTTTAGCTATCCACTCTGTTTTTATTAGTTTTTCATTTAATTTCAACTTATATTTCATTAGAATTTTAGAGATAACAATTTTGCTCTCAATCAATGCAAGATATTAACCTATACAATTTCTGCCTCCAGCTGAGAAGGGTACAAAAGCAAACGGGTCGATAGTTGAATCCTTTAAAGTTCCATCTGATTTCCATCTTGTTATATCTATTTATTTTGGATTTGGAAAGTAGTTCTAGTTTTATGCATTAGACAATACCATATAATTGACATACCATCCTATTAATAAGTAATAATATATATATACCTTTTTTAATGAATATATCCATAATGTATACATCCTATAAAGCTTTTTTGGATATCAACATAGGAGCCACTGGTTTTAATCGAAGGCACTCCATTAAAAATCCTGTAACTTTTTATAAATTTTATAAATGTTTAGCAGTAATTATTGATTCTCCATTTAGGATTTCAAGAATTTCTTAATAAATTTCTTATTAAAGATGTGGATTTTCCGCCAAAAAATAACATGCTGTAGTTACTAGATTAGCTGTAGTTTCAGTTCCTGCAAAATAAAGTGTTATAGATTATTATAAAATTTCATCTTCTGTGATAGGAGGATCCATTTAATCATTTTTGTTTAGATAAGCATCTAAATATACATCCAAATAATCCTAATGTACAAAGTCTTTGCAATTTTTTAATTTTTCCATTCTACCTTTAATTGCCTTTTTCATGTGATCAAGCATAACGGTATTAAGCTCAAAGAGATCCTTTTCTATTTTTCTGGGAAATAGGCTGAATACTTTTTCTTCAAGCAATGCTCTCTTTATTTGAAAGAATCGGGATTCAGTTATTAATTATCCAAATCTAGTGATTAATTGAGTGACACATAACGAAGGATCTTGTCCATTCAGACTTAATTTGGCGATATCCTCACCAAAAAAGGCTCTAAGAACGACTTCCCCTGTGATTGAAGATGCTAAGTTCATAGCTGGAAATATTGAGTTTGGGAGACCAGACAATTTCTTTTCAGCCACATCATTTATCATTGGTATGAGATTGATGAGCTTGTTGTACTCAAAATGAGCTCCTAAGAGCTTTCTTTGTTATTTCCACTTTGCTCCTCCTTCCATAAGCATTCCTTTTGATACTAATCTCTTGTCGACTATCATGGGGAATTTGGTATATGCTTCATGTTATTGCATGAATATTTTGTAGTAATTTGGTTTTAAGAATACGATTAATGGTCGAAATAATAAATTAGTAACTAGAATATCTGCTTATCTATTATTCTTTATCAATACAGACAAGGCTTGGAATGCATCTCCATTGATTGCTCTGGATTGACTTAGAGTACGGAGTAGTCCTAACATAGGGGCATATTGAATGATCACCCTTTTACCGTACTTGATTTTGAAATATATAACCACGATGAGTGGCTGAGTGATAAAATAGATTAGAGCTAGTATTCCTAATATAATATATATCATAATTAAATGATTAATTAATAAGTGTTCGAATAACTCAATTCCATTCTCTTTAAGCAAAAATTCGAAAATCAAATCAAAAATATGTGCCCTACTTAAAAGAACTTAGAATTCAAGTAAGTAAATTCTTCCATTTTATCAGATTCATTGTATTAAAAAAAGTTGAAACTCAAATCACAAAGACTTATAAGAAAATCACAAAGTATTGGATTGCAGATGAGACTGGGAGTGCATTTTTGAATGTGCATGATATGGATGAATCAGTCATAAATCCAGGAGATGTATGTGTAATGGTTGGTGCCTACACAAATCTATTCAAAGGAATGATGAATATTCATTAAGGTAAACATATTAAATATTCTAGGTAAGAATGGTATATTCAAAAAAGTGAGTGAATTCGATCTTCAATATTCAACTTACCCTAATCATAGTTTAAAAAATTGGGGCAATGATTAATAAACCACTTAAATTTGAAGTTAATTATTATCATACTATTAGAGTATAAAATATGATTAATAAAATCAAAATCAGAAAATGAAATACAAATAACATTTGGAACTTCCCCCCTTTTTGGTATTAAGAGTTGAAACATTTTGTTCCTTTTTCAATGGGTTTAGTATTTCACTCTTTGCCTAATTAAACATGGTGTCCTCCAATTCTTATTATTGTTAAAAGTAATTATTTGGTTGAATCATTTCTGTTTGAATTTCTGATAAAATTTCCGAAATTTAGTTTTGTTTAATTTCTGGTTTCTAATTTTAAGTTTAATTTATTAATATAGTCTTTTTAATTTTTACTCTAAATTATTTGACGGAACATTCAATTATTTAGAGAGAATCAAATTTTTGTATTTCGAAATTGCCTTGATCTTGCTGATCCTACATTTTTGGAGTTTCGATTGGATTATAAAATTAAAAAGTGATTTATTCTGGATCTTCTTAAATATGATTTTAAATGAAATTGCCTTGATTCTCAAGAGATTCTATTTGGTCTTATTCTTAATTTAGGTCAACCAAATCCTCATCTGGAATATTAAAATGCTTATTGGATTTAATCTTTTCTTGTCTGATATTTAATGATTTTGGTTTCTAGTGAGAGTTACAAAACAATTTTTTAAGGTAATTTTAGTGATCTTTATTTGAGGTTCCTGAATGGGACATTGAGAATTAGTCATTATCAATGTTTTAGACTGAATTTCGAAACGATTCTATATCGCTAGAGACCTTAAATGGAGTACAATTATCATTTTAAGGAGACGTATTTTTATTGCCATTTTTTTTTTCTGAAAATCTTCTATGTGGACTGATAAATTTGTAAAAGTATTTGTCGATAGCTGATCTACTGACAACAAAATTCTTTGCTTCAGGCATTGGGGGATGAAACAATGTGGTGATGGATGAAGTTAATGTATCTGCTGTTTTATCAGAAATAAGATATTTTGGCTTAATTCTATCTGTCTTGGGTCTTTCGTTGGTGTTTGGAGTCACTGATATACAATTTGCGAATGGATGTACTGTTATGGCATTACTATTCACTTTTCTGAGCATTTAAGTTAATTATTTTAATGGCGAATAGATTAAAAGCTTAGATTCAATTTAGTGATGAAGCTCCTGAGATTGAACACAATGAACCGGAAGAAAGTAAGAGATTTGAAGACTATTACCAATGTCTTTTCACTATAGGTATAAGATTCAACCATATTTTATAAAGGGCAAGGAGCACATGCAGTTGTAAAGACAGCAAAGAAGAAAAACTCAGAAGATATATACGCCGTAAAAATTGTAAGATCTGGGGATCAAGAAATTCAGAACAATGTGAGAAGAACTTTTAACAATACGAGGTGTCTTAGGCATCCTAACATTGCTCAAGATATAGAACTTTATATCAACGAAAAGATGGAAACCTCATATTTGGTAATGGAGTATAGCAAGTTTCCAAGTTTAGAAAGTATAATTAAAAAACGATCTCTTACTTCAGAAGAATTAAAGGTTGTGATTAAAGAACTACTATTGGGCATCTAACATGCTCATTCTAAAGGAATATGCCATAGAGATTTAAAGCCAGACAACATTTTGGTCAATTTAGAAGAGAATAGTTAGCCTCCTAATGTAAAAATAGTAGATTTTGGAGTATCAAGAAGGTTTTTATCAAAAGGATAGGAAATTGAAATGCTGACAAAAACAGGAAATATATTTTATTGTGCTCCAGAAATATATCATAAAGCTAGTTATTCAAAAGAGGTTGATGTTTGGGCAATAGGAGTCATTACTTATTAATGCATTTTCCAAAAATTACCGTTGCACTCGAATGAAATACATGATTTTATTGAGTTGTTAGCAAACCCAAATTAATGGACATTTTAAAAATAATTAAATACACTTGAACAACCTTTACGGAATTTAATAATTTCAATGTTGAATCCAAATAAAAACGAGAGAATTACTGTTGAAGCAGCTTTGAGACATCCTTTTTTCGAAATTTGCACTATTTAGGATGTGATGGCATTTTTGAATAAATTAAATACAGCTTAAGATGGTTGTTGTAAATGTAGATCATTGTAATCAAGTTTAAGATTAGATGACTAATAATGGGGAAGTGTTATTTCAAAACTGTAGAGTAGTTAAAATGATAAAAAGGAGGATGAAATTATGATGAATGAATTACTTAACAGCTTTACTGATGTTCATATCATTTAGAAGCATGGGGGTAATTGTGGCTTTATCTAATTGATGAATTCAATTAGCAGTAGCACAGCTCTCATGAGTAAATTAGGATCTAAATAAGAATTGCTTGATAAAAGTCTTGGGTTCCAATTTAGTGGCTCATCAAGTATTGAATCATAATTATTTAGATAAATTGTCTTATTAAGATTAAGTCGATAATTTTAGTAAAATCTAGAGTAGTATCGAAATGAAGGATGAATACAATAACAATAAATTCCTTACTTAATTAGGTGCTCATCTGGATAGTAGTATTGATGTTACGACTTATGATGGTTCTTTGGTCTAATCCAGATATGTTCCTCTATAAGATTAATAAGTAGTTCCTAAGAAGCCTATCAACTCTATGAAAAATATGTTCGATAACCTTTAAATTAAGGAAGTAGATGAAATAACAGAAGATTAATTTTGAATATACATTTATAAGTGGTTTCATAGAATGGCTATATATAATTATTACATTATAAAACCTTTAATCAAAATGAAATAATAGATTCAATCAGCTAGGAAACCAGGGAAGTCTGCTCCAAAACCAAAAGCCAGTCTTAATAATCAATCATCCAATTCAAAGAAAGAGATTACCAATGAGTCGAATGGGTTTGATGCATCAAAATAACTCTTAATCTAGCCTGTTCCTATAGAAAATAAAGTTCAATAGAATTGTTTGATAGAAATAGTTGAATTGGCTAACTCTCTCAAAGATGATGACAGTGTAAGTGGACTCATCTTCAAACAAATCATCGTATCAATTGAAGCAAAACTGACAGAATTTCAGGAAAGACTTGACAATAGAGACAATCTAACTGAACTCAATACTCATCTATAGAATTTACAATATATTTAAGCTAGTCCAAATAGTCCAAACAGAAATAAAAGTTATTCAAAAAAGGATGATTCAAATAATGACACAAGTGGACTACTTCGCAATTAAAGTTAAATCTCCTTTGTTTAAAATGATAATGTCAGTATCATGAGTGCCCAAGATAAAATGAAAAGTCCTTAAGGTCGGAGATCAGCTTCCAAATAAAATTCGGGTAAATTCTAATTGAGATTCTTAATTAGTCATCATTCCAAACAATTCACAGTAGACAGTGTCTGACAATAATAAGATAGCTGCCTTAGAGAAAAGACTCAGAACAAATGAGGATAATTATGTTAAATTGACCAGAGAATTCTAAGATTAATACAATACCAACAATCAAAAGTTAGAAAAGACCATTAAGGCCCTTAATGAAAAGTTTATGTCATTTAGTGCCACCAATTTGCAATAACAATATATTGAAATTACTGAGAGTTAGAAGGCTTTGATTTCACATTTACATTAGTAATCGAAAGAAATCACGTAATTGCTTCCAACTATATAGCGAGATCAATAATACCATGCATAAATTAAAAGAGACTCAAGAATCTTAAAATATAGAGATATCAAATAAAATCGAGCATTGCTTACAAATGCAGAATGAAAATTTAGTTAGGATTTAATCACTTTCATCCTCTCTTCAAGCCATTGATGCTGATTTAATCGTGATCTTAAAGTGCTACAAAGATCTTCTGAACGATATCTTCAAAATTGATATAATAGATCAACAATAAAAAAAGTTAATTAGTCTCTTTGATGAATAATGAATTATAATATGATATTTATAATAGTTATACATAATTCTATTCATCTTCTAGTGAAAAATGTGTTTCTGTTTTCAAACTCTGATGGTTTCTTTCTATAATCCCCTTAATTTACAGAAGAATAATTGAATGTTCTTTCAGATTATTGAAATGAGTTTGGTTTCTAAGCCATATTTTTCTAAAAATAAATAAATCAATATTACCTCCTCTTTGTATTTCAACTCTTAACCATAACCATTTGAAAGTAATTTTTTGCATTCTAAATGGTCTGATTTTCCATATGATTCATGCTTTCCATATTGCTTCCCTTAATTATCCTCTAAAATTGGATTCCTGTCTGTAGGTTTTTACTCAGCAACTTTTAGTTCCCTTTTTTCAAAAAGATCCTTTGTTTTTGCAGGAGCAGGTTGGATTGATTTTTAACTAGGCTTCCAATCAGGTTACTATGTTTAGTAATTCACCTTAGAATTTGGATTTTATCTTGGAGCTAAAGGGTTATTATGGAAATTCCATAAGTTATCTACATCGCTCAAAGGAGTTTTGATTATATGACTCTTGTTTTCAATTAATGGTTTGCTTTCTTATGTTATGGGGTCACTAGGTTTGAGTGTGGGATTGTTTTTTTAAAGAGTTGCAATTTTATTTAAATTTTCTTTACACATGTCAATGGTTTTTTTATCACACTCAGAGGGTAATGTACATGCAGTCTTTTCTTGTTTTCTATGATATTTTATAAGACATACACATATTTATTAATTTTGGAATTGTAATCCTTTGCAAGACACAGTTCAGCCTGAGGAGAGAGATTTCTTTACAAATTTGCATAATTGACTAATCGTTATTATCCTCCATAATCTGTAAAAGTTCGAAGAGTTGATTGAGTGGCTGATTTTTGCATGGATTGCTGTTGCGACATTAAATAATTTTAATAATGTCGTTAAAAGTTGTTTAATTAATGATTTATTTTTGTATAAAAACTATATTTCTATATTAATGATAAATAAACAGTTATTTGATTGAGATAACCTGATTAAATTTGGATGTTTCCTTTATATTTTAGCCAAGAAGATAAATATAAAGTTAATGAAATTTAATTAATCATTAATTTATAAAATGATCAAACATTATTTAACTCAATCCTCATCTACTAAACACAATTTTTCATAAAAACTTCAATTGCAAAAGCTTAAAAGAAATAAACTTATGGTTTCAAAAGCTATAGACATGCTTTAAAATCCATTCGATCCTAGTTAGGTATCTTAGTCCTTGAAATTTCTTGAAAATTAGACTTAAAGGAAGGCATTGCTGGATCAAATCATTGGAATAAGAGAAGAAAGAAAAAGAAAATAAGAATTTGAAAAAATGTCTTCGATGAGAGGAATCTTAATCAAAGTGTAAAAGAGGTTCACAGTGGTTAAAAATCAAGATATAAAATTTAATAGAGATTTTAATGATTTTAAAATTGTACAAGAGGAACGTAATAAAATGGAAAAATTACAGTATGAAAATCTCAATTTACAAATTAATGAAAGAAAAACGTAGTTCAAAAGAATGTCAAGTCTTAATTTCTTGACGAGAGAGAGTGACAATCATATCTTAAAACATTAATTAAGTCTTGATCCAGGGGCTCCTCAATCATCTTTGGTGTTAACAAGGAAAACATAAAGAAATACAACGTTGTTGCAATCAAAAATAGCAAATAAATAAATGTAATTATTACGATTATAGTAATAGACCTACAGAGTGTAATACTGAGAAGGTTCTTACATCACCTCAGAATTGCCTGATTATAACATAAGAAACTGATTAAGAATGATTTATAGATATAATTTTATTAATTCAAATAAGATTATTTTAAATAATTGAATAGTCCTGTTTTAAGTTGATTTAATAATACATGAATCATAAAAGTTTTATTTGTCGACCTAACTATTTGTTAATTATTGTTTGTTTTGGAATTTGATAGAGCATTTCTAAAGTATGTATAAATTCTTATTGGATAGCAATGTTTCCAAACAATAAAATCATCGCCAAAGATAATGTGGTTACTATGGAAAATAAATAGAATATAATGTAGATGTTAAATGATAAATCTTGTAGTTGTGTTTTGGAGAGATCAATAAAGAATTCTGAAAACAATCTCATCTAGTATAAGAATGCATCAAATCCCCAAAGAAAATAAAAAAAGTATTCCTAAGATTTCTCTAATCTTTCAAATGCATTGATAATATCATAATTCTCGTCCAAACTAAAAAAATCATTTTAATTCATCACTGAAATAGATTACTTGAATAAATTGATAATGCCAACTTCATAAATCGCATACATCTGCTAATAATGAACTCTCTCTTTATACACTGTTTAATTCATATTGCAATTAAACATTTCCATCAAACAAATATCCTGACCCAACAAACTATCTGAATCTACAGATAAAGTTTGCGAATAAATCATATTAGAGAATGGTTCACTCTGTAATTCTAAGAGATTAGCTTTAAGAGCATCCACATCCACATTTGTTAACCTCAAGAGTTGGTATCCGTGATTTATGTTTTAACTCGTAATCTTGTATCGGCCAGTAGCAGTTGGTTGAATTGCAATCATCGATTCATAGAATTTCTAATTAACATAAACATCCCAATTGTTGATTGTATCCAAAAATAATAAACGAATGTATTATGTTTTAAGAGCAGCAGTTACAATAGGAGACAAATTGATTGAATAATCAATATAATTCATATGTAAAGTCAAGAAGGATCCATATGATATGATAACTAAAGGTATTATCAACTTCAAAAGTACTCGAGATGATAAATGATGAGAGATGTGAGACTTCATAGCCTTACCACTGTATGATCTGGTTATCTTATTTTCCTCTTCGTCATCGTATTCATAAAGACCAAACCAAAGTTTTGAATTCTTTACAATATTTAATAACTTCTGTATAAATGCAATCTCTTCTATTCCTTCATTCAAACTCGTTCTACAAAACAGGGATAAAACAAAGCGTTATTTCTTTTTAATAGCAGAATATAAGATTATAAAGAGAATTATTTGCACTAAAATCATTGAATATATGATTATTAACAACACATTTAAATTGAAATCCAATTGATCGTTTATCTGCTTATCATCAATTTAACATTGTTTCATAAAATTTAAAGTAATATTTGCAACTCTTTTAAAATTAAAGTATAAAATAGATCTTGTGTTTACTCTTAAAAGAATATATATATTTTTACTATGCCCATGTGTCAGTGGTCCCTATCAGATACAGAGTCGGATCTTTAGCAAAACTTTTAATTGCCATATATAAAGTTTGAAGCATAATTTTATAATATTATGACAATGATAGAATAGTTTAGATTTCTGTCTAATTCTTATAAAAATTAATTCTGATCAAATCAACTGATTGGTTTTGTTAATCGTAAATTTTGAGTTTAGCAGTTTCCTTTTAAAAAAATTCTACTAATTCTTCAATTGATTATTTATAGATGTACAATGAAAACGATATTTTATCTACAGATGTTACATTAATAATTGTTTCTGAATCAATAGGGTATAAGTTATAAGAAGTCAGGAACTTATTGAAATCTCTAAGATAGATAACATGTCTAGATGCAATCATGGCTCTTCCATATCCATCGAGGAATGAAGTGCTATAATCTAGTTATTCAAAACATTCAGTTTATTAAATTTCTTTCTTCCAAATTTATTAATAAAGGAGAATGAAGGCAATAATTGTCCACAAAATATAAGATGCTGACAGTAACATTAATAATCTGTAAGCAGTTAATTATCTTACAATACCAATAACTTATTGAAATGATAAAATCTCTGAATTACTTTTTTGCATAGAGGATGAAGTTTTTGTAATACTTTCATTGATCTTAACTTAATTAAATCTAATATAAATTATTATTTTACTAAATCTTTTTGATTTTATTCTCTTCCAATACTTATACTTCATACGATAATTGTTGATTAAATTATTTATCCAGTAATGAATTTATCTCCTAAAAATTGAAAGTGACCCAATAGTATATGTAATTGATTTTATTCTCTTTTGTGTTGTAACTTATCAAATTTTCTGTAAGACTGAACATCATATTCAACTATAATTCACAATTCTCATAATTAATATAATTATTTGATAATGATTCTATTTTATCTAATCTTTCTTAAGGTGATATCTCTTAAAGATTCGTTGAATTGAACATTTATTTGCTCATAGTCTTATTAAGATATAAGACAGCCTTTTGTTAATGACTGATAATTTTTTCATGATTTTAAAATGAGTGATTGTACTTTTGCATATTTTCATAGTGTTCTTTGAGTATTGATTTGACCTCTGGAAGAATCTAAAATATACTTAACTCTTAAAAGCCATCTTAAAACTTTAGATGCTAGAATATTTTAAACCATAATTATTCTGAGTATCCTAATATTTAGAAGTCTTATCCAACTAAGATATAATCTTAATCCTCTTCGATATTATCTTTCACTAGAGTGCCCATCAAATAGAGTTTCTCATGATCATATTTTGGATAATTATTGAGACATATTTTTACCTTTGAAACCAAAGGTGTATCTCCATATTTTATAAACGTTTAGAAGATCTATGACTTCGAAGGTCCAAATCTACAATAATTATCTAGAAGTTGGTTGTGTAACTCAATAAATTACATAGGCATAATATTTGATAGGTGTTCAAATTTTTCTATGTTTAACCACTTGTTTGAAACTTTCTCAATCCTCCCCCTTTAGTGTTTAGAAATGACTACTAAAAGTTGCATTGCCTTTTGATTTTCAAACATTTAATAATTTAACAGGTCTCCCTGGCCTTACTCAAATTCAACTATCTTTTTAATTCTCTTTTCAATTAATAAATATTTATTCACTGAATAGAAGGATAACTCTAAAATTTAAGATACTCTTTAATAAAATAAATTGCGCGTTAAATTAATTTCTTAATTTAAGAATATCTAAATATCGTATTAGAACTCTCTCAAAGCTTATCTAATTTTGTTTATTTCATATGTTATTTTTATTTGCATTTCATACATATCTTAATATGATTCAATTTTATCTGTAACATATTATGACCATAGTCGTAATTTAGTATTTAATAAAATCAATAATTGATTTTTTATCCTTTCGCAATTAGATTCAAACCACTATAAAGAATAAACAACCTCTGTAAACTTGTTTGGAATTACTTCCTTGTATAATTGCTTAGTCTTTTCACAAACTATTTCCAATAAAGATTGAATCATTATTTTATCATAAAAAGAGAACCCAATATCTTTCTATTACTTTACGACTTTCATAATCTGCAAGTAGTTTTTAAATCCTTTGTTATTATTTTGAATCTAGAACGATATATATTTTAAGTAACAAAATTATTGCTCTAATTTCAAAATTTGAGCAGTAAATTTAATAATTTCCTATTTATTTTCAAGTCGTATGCGAGCTTAACAAGGGCATGTAATATTCTTGCATTTTTTCTTGTGGTTTGATATTTATTAATATGCTTTAATTTGGCACTAAGGATCGAATTTTTGAATCGCATTATAATAAAAATACTCAGCTTCTAGTCTGTGTGATTATTCTACTGCATAAAAAAAGTTTAATAACTAAAATAAAATGGAAGAATACCGGAAATAACAGTAGAATTGTATATAAATATGGATCTGATTTGTAATCTAATAGTTTGATCAATATTTCTTGAACAATAAATACAAATGTGATAATAATGAATATCTAATAAAAGCTCTGCACTGTTTTATCACTAAATTTTTCGATAGTTATAAATTCCAATATCTTCACTAAAACAATGGCAATTACCAAAAAATATTTTATCACTGTTATGATTTCTAAGTTTCCAATCCTTAAAAATATGATCGACTCAAAAATGAATATGTAAATTAGGTCAAAGGTTATATTTTAGGCTCTACCATTCTTGGTTATAAAGCCAGAATTGCGAAAAATATAGATGCTTATGATATATTGAGAAGCACTTAAAAACAATACTAAAATGCTTAAGACTGTAATTACAAACTACTAATTTATAAAGCAGAATATTTATGAAGGTATTAGGAATAGCCAATCATAGTTGGATAGGTAAAATTATATAGTGTTTACAAGGATTTTAGTTTTCTTCCTATAAATATTAATATTTTACAATTCTTAGTAATAATGAGATCATCAGTAACATGATTAAATGGATTGACAAAATTGCTATTAGAACCAGAGTCTGATAATATGAATTTTAAATTTGCTGGAATGTAATGAATCGAGCCAATACCAGAATGTAATTGTCAAAATAAATGTTGATATTATCAATAAACAATAATGAAATTACTTAGATAAAATAAATGATTATTTTGATTTTATTCCAACTACTTCTTAAATTATCACTTCTATCATGATCAGCAATAGCAGATAAATAAAATAACTTTTTGATTGTTTGGGTTATCATTATTTTAAATTTCATCAAATAATTAATATTAACAATAATAAATATAAGTGTAATCATAAAATTCAATTAGAATTGCTATCAAAATAAATTTGATTTATTAGATCGAACTAAGACATGTATTTATAAGTAATTAAATGAAAGTGTGGAAAATAATTCTAAATATTTGTATTCTATAAATTTCATGACTTTTATTGTTCATTTTCTGAAAGTAATTATTGTTAGTCATCCTCCTATCTTAAATTGCTCGTGGAAACAGTGTCAGATTCACAATCCTTCTACTTTAATTGAGTCAACTGCTAATCCCTTGATTATAGGGATCTTGTCCTCCTATAACAACTCCGACCCAAGGAAGTGGCATCAAAATGAATACTCCAGTCACAATAATGAATAGCCATAATTTAGAATAATCATTTTAATTAACTCCAAACAAGATTAAGAATAAGGCTCCCCATTATGATCCCAATGTAGATCCTTTATTTTTAATATAATAGATTACCAAAATTGATTGTACTCATCAACATAGCATACATAGTTGCTTCAATGTTCTTTGGACACATCCTACATGCCAAGACTAATATAGGCATCAAATTCAATTCACCCACCAATTGTAACATGACTGAATCTCCGAGACAGAAGAATTTGTCATTGATACCCCATTCGACATTTTTTCTGGTGACAAGGATGATCATTGATTGATAACAGAAATAATAAAGGATGGTAGTGGTGATGAATATCTTTTTGAATGGAACATCTTTTAGATAGTTGTTATAAAGAAGCACTCCTAAAATGGTAGACAACGCATAAACGAACTTCAATTATCCAAGGAATGAAGGTTCAAAGCCTAAAACTTGGGTGTAGAAAAAGAACATGATAGTTGAACTTGAAGGGGCCATCATAAAACAAAATATCAATGCAACTGGCCTTGAATCTATTATTATAATACTTGTAAATTAAAGGATTCTAGAAGAATGTCCAGAAATCTTTTATGCATTGCATAGTGTTGTTTCTTCTGTCATTTTAATCCAAAGCTCTAGGATCAACCTTCTCTTCAACATAGAAGAATGACACTAAAACCAATAGTGAAGGGAATGCAGCTGTCATCATAAATATTTCTTATTTTGTGAAATAATGTAATAATGCTCCTGAAAAGAATGCACTTATTAGTGTTCCGAAGGCACGGACTCCAAAGAATATAGAGACATTCTTTGAGGCTCCATGTTAGAAATTGGTTTATTGTCTCGAGGCTTAAGCAGCAACTTCTACTAGAATAGCTTCTCCAACTACATTCACAAAACATGTTGACAGTTATATCAAGAACAATAATAAAAGGGCAGATGATAAATTATCAGTTCCATATTTAGATAAAGCAATCCACCCTAATGCATCAAAAATTCCAAATAATATTATGTATGATTTTCTCCTATAACCAAATAAAGGCTTCGAATCCGTTATTAAACCCCAGAATGGTTTTACTATCCAAGGTGTTGTTGTGTAACTTAAATAGAGTCCCATCATAGCTGGTGATAATCCAAAATCATCTTTGAGCATATAGTTAATCGATAAATCAGCTAAGTGTTACACACCCTAAGAAAAAGCAACTACTGCAATTATAAAATATGAAGGGTTGAAACTCTCATAGAATTAAGAGAATTGCCTAAACAGTTTGTCAAACATAATGCTCATGTTGATATAAAATTTTAATAATAAAAACGCATATTAATAAATATCAACAGAAAGCACAACCTTCATATATTCAAGTTATTCAATTTCACTTATAGAGATTGATTGTAACAATTTCGAAGTTTTCTATTGTTACTTCCTAATTCATATGTGGAGGATTTAGTATGATAAGATAGAAGATCAGGAGATGAAGGAAAATCAAGAGAACTTTTCTGTGTCGGACTTAAACTTTGCAATCTTTGTTAAACATACTATTAGACAGGACGTATTTTGATATTCTTATATTTCCTGCAAGTATCGGAAGCCTAAGTGTAGATTTTCTCTTTTATATCAGGTCTTAAATATTATTAGAGTGATTTTGCACTTGTAAATCCACCCAATGATTTCTTAATTTTCATGTGTGGACTAATGCTATTTACAACACTATCTTTCTACTTTTTCTCTTGAAAGGCAACTTAAAATGATTATTTTATAAGAATACCTAAACTAATGTAACAATTCAAGCAAACCTATAAGGTCTTATGTAAAAAGCCATCATGATTTTTATATTAATCAAAGCTTTAGTAATTTAACTTTTCATGTACTTTTTATAATACTAATGGAACCTGGGATATTGTATTCAATAAGTCAGTTGAGGCAGAGCTTGTACTTACCAATTTTATTTTTGTTGCTCCCTTTTTAATTTCATTTGGCCAATTTTAAGGTTGTATTGTATTTTAGTCATATTCTAGGATGTAATGATAAGGTATAAGGATAAAATTATTTTCTTTTTCTACTCCTCCACATTTGATACATTTCGATTCCTTATTTAATTGTTAGGGTTTCTAACTATAGACTGACATAATTCCATCTATGGATTTAGGTATTTTTATCTATGCTTACTGATACAGGTCTTTTGGACAGTCTTTTAGATGTTTTTCACCATCAAATTTCAGATTGCCACAAAACAAAAACCAACATTTAGCTTGTCTGTCAACTTTGAAGTAGAAAATCCCTTGACTGATATTCAACTTACCAAAAGATATGGAATCTAAATGATTGATCATTTTTTATATTTGTTCTGATATCCTTTGCGATTAAAAATCTTTGACTTAAGCTATAATTTCAAATTTATTAAATTACTTGCCTCACTTAAATAATCTGGCCCTTCAAATGTGCAAAGTCTTTCATAGATATTCATTGACTTATTAAGATAACTCTTTTTGGTCGTTCTCTTTGTAAACAACGTGATCTATTTACTCCATAAAGCCTGTATTTATGCTTTTTTATTAATGTTTTGAATTACAATTTTTATCATCTGCAGCTTCAACGTACTTTTGCAAGATTCCAAATGGAAGCTCCACATTTGAATCCATAAATTTTATGAATCCTTCTTTGTCAAAGTAAATAATCTAGATTTATCCGCATACTTTTAACTTTTCATTTGGGTAGTTTAGATCTAAATTTTCTCTTCAAATACTTAATTTATTTACATAAAATGTAATAAATAGCCAACAACTCCTGATTTGCCAACAGAATTCAACCAGCTCTCTTTGATGTTCTCCTTGTTTACATTTTTATGCATTTTTCTCTTCACTTCTCCTGATCCTCTGTCTGTAAAATACCAATATATAGGCATTGATCGTATTAATATAACTGTTTCAGGTATCAATATAGAAGGAGGATTCGAAGTTTCAGATTTCACCCAGAGGTATTGATAAATTTTATCATAAAGAATATGTTCTTGCAGAGTTTCACTATGAAACATAAAATAATAATACTATATTATAAAATTAATCAAATTATCAGTCAAATACTGCCATATAATTCAATCATTTCAGCATCATCATAACAAATAATCATATAAAAGGAAGGAAATTTTGTGAACAATTTACATAAACTAATTTCCTATTTCTTTTATAACATTTAAATAAAAAGAAGTTAGCAAATTTTATTGAATAAATGAGTAATATAAATGGGTATTTATTTATAATTATTTTATAACATATTGGAAATAATCAATTATTATTTACTTATCATTCAATTATTTAATGTTTGTTATTAAAACTCGAAAAAACTCCCATCCCTAACCCTTTTCATATTATGAAATCAAAATTCACGAGGTCAAAAGTTATCCATCCTAAAGGGCACTGGTTTCAGAATAAAACTAACAAAATTATTTAAAATTACGGCTTGGTACAGCAAATACAAATCTAATATCTGTGTAGAGTAGATCAAAGACTCTTGCACATATGAAAAAGGAGAAGGTTATGCCCTAAGAAATGAATTATAATCTTGCATACAAAAAAATTTTTAGTCAAAAAAATCTGTTCCAACTGATGGGAGGAAACATCTGATTAAATTAATTTTTGTTCTTAGAATACACATAAAACTTTGACATTAATAAAAAAAATAGCTCAAATTGAAGTTTAAAATTTGTGATCCATTATGTTAAAAATTATTTCTATTGGTTTTAAAATCCTTAAAATTATGTTTAGTTATTATTATCAAATCTAAGGGATTAGTTACAACTGATAACAATACATACGTGTGATCTCACTAAATATAGATAATAGTTATTAATTAAATAGATAAACTTCACTTCAATCTTTTATAAATAATATTTGCAAAATTGATTTTTAAATTAATTTATAGAGATAATGCTTTATAAATCAAGTGTTTTAAATTAAATATTAATAAATAAAATGAGAAATTGACTTTAAAGATTGAATTTATCAATTAATATTTATTTGTTTAATAAAAATCAATCATTTTGCTCGTCATTCTCTTCAGCAATTTCTTCAGGATACTCATTCTCTCCCTCCTCTCCTTCTTCGTTTAGTTGTTCAGGATCAATTCCAAATAGATGTAAATTTTGCTATTATTAATAATTATTGGATACACTAAATATTTCTCTAAATTAATTATTTTCATTAGCTAACTTTTCAACTTCTTCTTATAATTATTGTTTTTCATCACTCATATGTTGATAGAGCTATTTAAAATTCTCAATTAAGTCTAAATTTAAAATGAAATGCTTACCTTCCAATTTGTGAATTTCCTCATCCTTAGCTTCTAATTATTGTCCCAACTCTTATATAACTTCATCTTTCTCGTTGTCTTAACTCTTTGCTGACTTCTTATTTGATGACTGTTGTTTTTGCTTAGTATTGCTTGCCAATCTATCTTATAATTCATTAACAGCCTCTTAGTTGTCCTGTAATTATTGTTGCAATTGTTCTATAATTTGATCTTTCATGGATGATTCCTATTATAGTTACTCCATCATGGATTGAATGTCTTCCTAATGAGGTGAAAGTATTTAATACTAAATTATATTCTTAAGCTATATTTTCTAACTCCTATGTTTTCTCCTTCAAAACTCTTTCCAACATTTTGATTTAATCTTATGATTGTTTTTTAACTTTATTAACTTCATCTTATAAATGCTTGTTTGCTTAACTAAGTTTATTGTTCAAATTTCTATTTTCATCTGTTAATTATTAAATTTTCTCTCTATCATCTTGTGATCTTTATTCGTAATCCTTCTCAACCTTTTATCTAAGTATTACTATCAATGTTTTACAATTTTCTTTGGAATTCCTTCTCCTTGTCTCTTGCTTGAGAGAGTTCAACTCTCAATCTTTCTGCTTATTGTTGCTCTTCCTTTAGTTAATTAATAATTGACTGAGAGCCTCTGTCTTGATCAAGATTGAATTTCTGGTTGGATGAATAGGGCCTTTAATCACCTGATAAATATTACTAATCAACTCTTTTATCATTACTATCGATCTTTTTCTCTAAATAGTCATGTTTGTTGTTGACTCTATTGACATCTAAGGTTTTAGAGTAATCTTGTTTTTTAGAATCATTGCTCAAATAATCTTTGGTTGGCACCTGACCAGTTGGTTTGATTTCATTTTTTTTGAAAGAATTTTTCTAATCGTTTTTCTGAGGAACAGGAACAATGCTTTAGTTTTTCTAGTACATTTCTAAATTGTGAATTAAGGTATTATACCCTAATAAGGTATAATTTCTGTTTTGTGTTACTAATCTATTGGACCCGATCGATTGTGAATTTGGGAATCACATGAGTAGCATAATCGAAATGTTTACCCATATCTGCATTGATTGCACTTGATCGTAGCAGGTCTTTATTGACATTTCTAACATTTAACAAAGAGAGATTGCATATCTATTTTATTCCAAATTTTGAAAATATAAATACTGTATAAGTTATTAATAAAACAAATTTGAATTTTATTTTCTAATTCAATTCATATATCTATTACATCTAAATGATATATCTCTTGGAACGGAACTGTTGAATGGAAGTCCAAAAATTATGGAACCAAAAATAGAATTAATTCATTTATTTAAGAAATGCTACAATAATTACCTAATTTAATATATTAATATATATTATATGATAAATAAAATCAAAGAGTACATGTCAAACACACAACCAGTGGTTGATGCCTTGAAGGATCTGCATATATATTCAAACGACAATCAATTTCAATCTCAATAACTTATATCAAATAGATTAAGATCATTCTTTGAAACTTAATAAAGTAAGGTATGGTTTGTAGACAATAATTTAGAAACTGTTTTTGTAGTCATTGTTTGAAGTAGTATAAAAAGAGAGTGTTTAGGAAGGGAATTTGTAAAGAAAATTTAAAATTTTATTATTGCTTCACATCATCCTTAGTTCATAAGTTGGGCGTTCAGAATTATCAAAAATCCTAATATCCAAACAAGTGAATTTAAAAACCCAAAATCCAATATCATCAAAATTGGGTGTAGTCTGTCAACATTATTATCATTATCTATATAAATTGGCATCTCAAACTACATTTATTAATGAGGAAGTGGTTGATGGAGACTTGCTCATTTATTTTACTCTATCAAATTAATGCTATATTGGAATGGGCATGCAAAAGATAATTGAAAACGTTGATTCATTCCAAACTAATCCGTTATTGGCTAATATTATCAAGTTCATCTATTATGATTTACAGGATATCTTTATCTTCATCTTGAAAGACATTAAATGTCTAATAGAGAATAAAGAAGAAACCAAGTATTCAAGGGAATAAATGTTAGAACTCTACAAAGAAGTAATGTAAATTATATTAATAAACTCTAGTGTTAGGTCTTATAAAAAAGAATGCTAGACTTCTATCGCTTCAACAGACATTTCGATCACTTTCAACAGATAATGCCTCCCTATTCTCTGGCCATTAATAAGGAATCAATAGGCAAACTATTAAATAGTCAGCCCAAGATGAATTCTTTGCAATAAATTATGAACTAGCAGGAAAGTCATCATCTTCATAAATAGTAGCCACAAACTTCAAAATAGAAGAATTCCATAAAATTTGAGTTTAAAGAAATGAAAAGACAATAGTCAGATTCAATTTAATTTTCATTCTCAAATTGATTTTTGTAATGAGTTATAAATGCTTTTATGTAATGTACTTTATTTATAATATCATTTTCATTTCTTGGCTTTGGTGGTGGTGGTTGGAGCTTTTTGAGTTGGTTATGGAGCAGTCTTAGCTGGAGCAGTCTTGGCTGGAGCAGTTGTTTTAGCTGGAGCTGCAGCTTTGGCATCTGAACTTAAGCTTTAGTTTGAGTGGCTTATTTACCAACTTAAGCTGGTTTGGATGTAGCCTTGGTATCCTTAGCCTTAAAAATTGATGTTACTGATTACCTTTGGTTATTCTTTAACCTTTTCCTTGATTTCAGATGATGCTTTTCTGTGTTTCTTGTGAGCTTCGTGAACATCATGAGCTAATTTTTTATATGCTTCCAAAGCTTATTTGGCTTTGGTTCTTCTGGCTTATTCAGTCTTCTTTTGAATGGTCTTTCTTCTCAATCTTGATTCAGTAACAAGTCTTTGGATCTTTGGAGCCTTTTATCTCTTCTTTCCATCCTTGGTGGTCCATGTTCTTCTGATGAGATTCTTTTAGACAATAGCAACACCGTCTGCTTTTTTGAATCCAAACAATCTTCTTAATTTGGTCAATCTCTTTGGACCCAATCTTCTTGGGACGTTTTGATCTGTAAGTCCAGCAATTTCATTGGCACCCTTTTTAACGACTTGTAAGGCAAGGACTCTAATGTCTTGACCGACAATGCATCCTCTAATTGATTTTCTTTTCATCTCTCCATCCTTTCTGGGTCTGTAACCTTTGTGTCCCTTTCTCATGAGAATTCTGACTCTTCCCTTGAAGAGGACTCCTTGTCTCATGGGGAAACCTTGTTTGTCGTTACCACCTGTAATCTTTAACACATATCCTTTGTACTCCTCACCCAAGTTGTCTGCTTCCACAACTTGTCCCATTCTCTTGTCAAAGAAGATTGAGCTAAGGAATTCCATAGAAATTATTACCATTTCTTGTCATCATCAATTTCGACTGTCTGATTGTGGCACCAGTCAAGGGATAGGAAGTATTGAACTAAACAAAGTATATTTTGTATATGTTACCTTCATAAAAATCTTTGGATTTTTTAAATTAGATTTAAAATTATGTGTTTCACAATTTAATATTATCAAAGAGAGCACCACATCAATAAGTATATATAAATTAAATACATAAAACTAAAGAATCAAAGGCATTGATATTGTATTTTCACAATGTTCCAATCTTGCCTACTTGCCTAATTAGCACAATAGTTGCACACAAATTAATATTTCAAGTTCTTGTCAACCAAAACATGAGATATCAATTCTTTAAAGCACAATACACATTTAAAGTACAAATTTGGACTCAAAGCCTATTACTCCATTTCAAACTACACCAATTTTGGCAGCACTTAAAAATTCGTATGGTCAACAAACTCCTCTTCCAAAGTGCCCTTTATCAATAAACGATGTATATTTGGATTGCACTCTTTTATTTTAATCACTCCACAACAATGAGATTTCTGATCACAATAATAGCATTCTCTCATCATATCTGCACAACCACTGCAATATCTAACATGTCCACACGGTATCATCACAGTGTCAATCATAGCCATCTTGCAAGATCTACATCTGCAGATGAACTTTCTCAATGTCTCATTTTCTTCGATAAACTACTATTCAAATCCATAGGTAGGAATCAACAATACAGGGGAAAGTGCCACCTTCGGAATTTGACGAACAATACCTAAGGCTATGATTTAAGAATTTAAATTTGAGAAACTTATGATATTCGGCCATCTACTTAAACTCATTAATTGTCTTTTAACTGAGAATTGCAAAGTAATCGACAACTTTTTCTGCTTTTTCTCAATTGTGACAGCCTTCTTCCAATTATTAATTTAATAGAAAAAATCACTACACATAAGGGGTTTTTCCTGAATTGGGAGTTAGGAAAAGACTTCAATATGGATTTCACCCAAAAGAATTTAATTATAACATCCTACATTCCCTTCTTAAAATTATATCTTTTTATCAATTGTTATCTCAACTATCATACCCTACAAGGCCAATGCTATTTCTCGATTGAAAGATACGATCTTCTAAATTATTATCGCTTCTTTGTCAATATATAATTTTTGCCCTTTGAATAAGGCTCCATTGAATACAACAACCTCTGCACTTACATTATCAATCACATTTGTCACAACAAAGTTTGTTTCTAAATACTTAGTTTCTAAATCTGGATTTAAAGGCAGTTTTTAGATTAAATCAAAACTGAACCTTTCATTTGTTGCATATGTAAAATTTGTAACAAGTTTATTTTAATCAGATGCATTTATGATTTATTACTCAATTTCCTTTAGAATTATTTTGAATATCTCAATTTAATCATCTGTTTCTAACACAATTAGCATTTATTCAAACTAAAGCAACATACATAATTTGAGTAATTTTATGGGATTCAATGGTTTTTATCTTAAATCCATTTGGTAAGTGTCTAAATCACTTTTTGAAAGAAAAAACACAGCATTCTTAAAAGGGTACAACATCTAATAGTATGTTGAAATATGAATTTATAGCTTAAATCCAGTTTCTTAAATTTCAGGTATTACGATTCTTGCAAATAGTTTGTCTTTCTTACTTTGATATGCATTAAATCGATCTCTTTGGATAATTTTATTTTATAGCAATACTTATAAATATGAATTCATTGAGCCTACCATTGCACAATATCGATATCTGCTTAGTTTTTTATTCTTTTTGTTCATTATTCCTTTCAAAATGATATTTTTATTATTGCTTTATAAAAGAAATTATTATAAGTATAATTATACCTCGTATATAAATTTGATTTAAGTATATAAATAATATTAAATTCCGATTAAATACTAAGTATTTATAGACTTTATTATAAATCAACTTGATATATTTGTTTTCATTAGTATTTGCTAAGGTTATTGAGTTTAAGGCATATAAGTTCGAGTTTTATATTTTTATTTTAATATTAATTTTAATGGGATGCTTTGAGTCAAGAAAGTAAACATTTGAGTAAGAACCCACAATGACTGAAAAAGATGAAAGTATTAAAATGTGGATATTCTGTTAGATAATAACATTTAATTAGTTAGTTGTTCTTTTTCAGAAAGTGTCATTAGTTAAAAATGAAAATAATAAGAAAGTCTAAATAGAAGAATGCAGAAATTCCATAAATAAAGTATCGATCTAATTGAAGAAGTTAACAAGAAAATAGGGAACTTTTCAGCAAAAAATCAGATGTATCAGATTATGAATTAGATTGATATAGTGGTGCATTTACTAAATGTTGAATACAATTATGATCATTAATTTGCTGATTCAATAATCTCTTCATATTTTTTAATGCTTAAGTTGATGTTTGCTAATTAAAGTGCCAAAGCTCCTTCAGAGTAACTGTTTAAGGACTCATAAATTGGTTTAACAATAACTTTTAAGAATCCTGCTTCATTTTTTGCATATTACACTTCGTTATCCAAATTTCGTAGATATGGCGTTTAAGCAATACCAATAATATCTTCTAATTAAGACTAAATTAAGTGATATTTCAAATTATTACTTGGGCTTAAAACTCCTTTCTTAACCTTTCACTCCAAGCTCTGGCTACTTATTATTATTTTGCTGCACCAAAGAAATCGGCTGCATGTGTTAAGAACCCACTCAATAAGAGTTTATTCTCTTCAGTTTCTTATTATTACAATATAATCATACCAAAGATTTTAGGATCTCCTTTAGATTATCCAAATCTGATTTCAATATCATTTAACAGATTAAAATGGTACTGATTGTCAGTAGCCAGAATATTATTTACAACATACTTTCTTATCGTTGTTCTATCTTATTTAGGAATCGAACCAAAAAAGTCACATTATTTGTGTGCCAATATTTTATAAGTGACTGCAACATGGTGATTTTCAAGAACTGATTTATCATTATATAGTAATGCTAACTTAGTTTAAGCATTCACTTAAAACAAATTGGTTGTTCCTGAATGATCCACATCATGACATAATCCAGCAAAAGTCATAGCAAATCTTTATAAATCTGAAAAATATGTGCCAAACTTTTAATGATGACCAAACAAATAACAACCATGCATAACATTAACTCCATGTGTAAAATTGTGAAATGGATTCGATTTTTTATTGTACTTATATTTGAGTACTGTCAAAAAATTAATGAATTCTTTTGTGAGTAATGGGTACTATTTAATATACTCGCACATTTGAAATAGGTTATAAGCGATTATGTATTTATTTTTATACATTTTCTTATTGAGTAGATTAAATTCATAATCTAGTAATTTTTGTTATAAATTTGGATCAATTGCAATTTTCCTAAGTTCAGGATTAGTTTTATCTTCCTCATCATACTTATTCAAAAATTGCTATAATTTTTTTGTTGCCTATTTCATAGTATAACTTCTATATTTCTCTAAGTCTTAATCATGATCTTGATTATTAGTCTAGGTAATTCTTCTTCTGTCTTGATCTGGAAGATACATTACTAAGGCTGATTGTCTAAGAAATTGATTTTCCATCATGAGTTGTTTCGATTTAAAGGCCAAAGTAGCCTTTCTAATTGTAAGTAAGATCTTCACCTTACTTCTAAATATTCTAAATAATTCTTCTAGTGGTCTATAAAAATGACATCATTCATTTACCTTTTTACTTAAATATTAAATAAGAATATGGAGATCTATTTGATTTATTGCTTAAATCCTCTTTCTATCTTTAGGGAGAACTTAAAAAACCCATCATTATATTCCAAATGATCATTGGGAGAATCTATGATTTCCTTTACTTTTTAAATAATGGTAGGATTTTGATCAAATATTCTATAGATGGGTTCTCCATAATTAATTTCTTTCGGTAAACTATATTTTGATCTAAATTAATTAGATTACTATTATATTACACAAATTAATCGTGGTTCCATTGAACTGTCATATAATATAGATTAAGGAAGTTGTTAAAGAATAAACACATAATCATTTCATTATGCTGGGTAACTTATTAGAATGATTCTAATAGATCCTTTTTAGATTTGAGTTTTTTCTTATATTTTTTTATTGACTTTTTAAAAGTACTTTTGACTTTGTCTGCTAATTGAAGGGATAGATTGCCTTCTAACTCGATGCCAATTATATCTAAATTACTTGAAAGCAGTATCAATAAATAATTGGAAACAGTTTGTTATTTAGTTAATTCCTTTTCGAATTGACACAATAAATTTTATAAGTTAAATTACTGCATGATCTAAACTAATATTTCATACATCAATTTATAATTATACAATTAAATGGTCTTGGAGACTAGTTATAGAATTTCATTTCTAACAGATTGCATCTTCTTTAACCCAATAATTTAATAGCCTTAATAGATTAATGTGATAAATTTATCATAAAGAAAGGTAGCCATGAAGTATTGGGAATAGGTTTTATGAGCACTATCACTAAAAGTCAAAAAGAGGACAGCATGTTGTGATATAATATACTACTTAGGGAGATTGTGTGTTTTAAGTAAGGTGTAATGTTCAGTTTGAGTGGTATTGAGTTGATGAGCAGTATTTTTATGTGCCCAAGAACTGATTTTATATTCTTCTTTAAAGAATCTGAAATCAAAATTATTGGTCAGAATAACACATTGATGTCCTTCTTCAAATTGAATCAAATAAAATTCTTCAATATAAAATTGTTTTAGGACTAATTTTATCAAATCTTTGATTTCTTATAAATGATGTTATGCTTTAAAACATTCTTCATAAATTTCGTTCATGTTATTCTATATTAATTGATATCAAATAAGTATACCTTGATATCTCTATAAAATTCTTTAATTTTCCCTTTCAATTATTGATTGATGCTGACAACTGATTCACTAATTTAATTGATTTATAAGAGTACAAGTAAGATTTAATGATATGCTCACTTCCTGTCTTGTTGTTGAGAATGATTGAAAGTCCAGATAAGAAATCATTTTAAGACAAACCCTTTTCATAATCCACAAATAATTATTTCAATTCAACATTATCATTGATGGCATAATCACACAAACGAAGTATACTGATCAGGTGTTATTAATTTCTTATTTTTCAGACTGATTAGTAGAGCAGTTAATCGACTTGATTGGGCCAAATAACTCATATTTATATTGTATTATTTTATAAACAATTACTAACAATATAAAAGAAAAACAAAGAAGCCAAGTAAACTATCAAAGAGACTACAGAACAACAAAGCCTAATGGATTATTTAAAATAAATATGAGTTTAACTTAAAAACAAATCTCATTGCTAAATTGACCTCTCCCTAACTGAATTAATTTTATTCACCATATTTTATCTCCAATTCCTTATCTTTGGAGTGAGCAACTCCTGATCAAATTATTAATAATCACTAGAAGATTATTAAATATGAGATACTGTTTGAATGTAGTCATAAATTAACCCTAAAAGGAAGGTGTCGGAAGAACTTGGTTGATTCTTTATTCAGCATTCGATGGATAGAAATCAATCGAGGCTCTCTCCTTAGTGAAGAAGATATCGGAGTTGGAAATGGGATTTCTATATAAGGATATTAAAATACAATTTAGAATAACTATTTTTAAAATTGGGCAATCGTTCATATTTTTGATGCCATTTGTAATCTTGATTGTAATTGGAATTTCCATTTAGTTGCAATTTTCCAGTGGTTGAACTAGAGGGTGCTTTCATGATTTCAGGTTTTTCAGGTGATTTAAAATTAATGTGATTAGCCTAAAGATTACAAAATTAATGAACACTTTATATGTAGTTAGAGCAGCCATCGCTAGAACACTCCTTTCTGAGGTAGGTTTGAATGATTGGATAATGTCATTTTGAGTTGGTTTCTAATAATACTATTTGTAAGTAGTTGTATTTTAATTCTGCGAACTGTATATTTTATAATCTTCATATATCCTTGAGTCAATTCCTATTTTTCGATCTGCTGATTTTAAAGTAAAATCTTTGGAATACTAAGTTTACAGCTTTTGAGGCAAAACTAAACGTGACATATTCAAGTCTCCAATGCCTCTTTCCTATAAATATAATCCCAATAAGTTATATAAATAATCTTTGTTGTCTTCCAATAATTTCTCAATTGTCGTTTCTTGCAATAATTCTGGAGGTATGATTTCTAACCAAATTGGGTCAGTGGAGGGTATTTCAACACCATCAAATAAATCCTATGATATGCAAGGGATGGGGTTCGAAATTTGAGAAGGTACAACGCTATTCGACTTAATTGATATTGCATCAGACTTATCTGTTTTCTGTGACTTGTCTCCTTTTGATGCGATATCTTAATTCCCCTTTTGAGGAAATTGATTTAATGTGCTGTTGTTTATTTGCTTATTCTTTCTTTTCAAAAGAACAGTTTTTCGAGAGAGTTGAGGTCCTATAATGTTCGGAGTATTATTGGATAGAACTAATCGTAATTAATCTGATATCATATTTATTTGATATTTAATGTTCAACTTTTGATTAGATTTAATAAGATAATATCATGAAAATCATTGTATAGCGATAAAATCAGGATAATTCAATAAACACAATTACAAATTTTTCTGATTTATGTTGATAGTGATTTGAGATGTAAAGAGATAAAATTGAAAGATTTTGAATGGATTATTCGAAGTAACTTCACTAAATATCTGTTAGATGGTTGGATTATATTGAGAATTTAAGTATTATAAAGAATGAGTGTAGAATAATTATTACATTTCTATACAAACTTATTATTATTTTAATAATTAGAAAAACGACTTACATAATGAAAGTCTTAATTGCCTTGTTCTTAATATCATTGGTGTTAGCCGAGCCAAATCTGGTTGGACAAGAATCATAAGCTAAAATTCATACTTTTTTAGGGAAGGAGAACTGCAGTGATTGCGAAGTAAAAGGAGGTTCATATTGTGAAATCAGAACAAATACTTATGTGTGTTGCAGAAGCGATGATCATTGTCAAAAAGGAGTGGGGTGCTTATAAGCATTTACTGGCATCATATGTTGAAATCATCATCTTATATTAAATATATATAAATAAATATAAATAATATATGCATTTCATATATTAAAAAAATCAATCATTTAATTAATTTCAACATCTGAGCAATACCAAAGGTTATTCAGTTAATCATCACGAGTAGACATACTTTCATTCTTAAAAGGTTGAATTTCAACAACAGCCTATTTACCTTCTTTCAAGAATCGTTTGTCTAAATTTTCATAGTTTTCTTGAGATAGTTGGTTCTAGTTGGCTTTATCGAGTTATTACTCTAATTCTTAATCACTCTCTTCGATTTGAATATCTTCCTCTATGACTTCTTCGACGTCCTCCTCAAAATCTTATTTGTATTTCTCACTCAAGACCTCATAGGTTGATTAATTTAAATCTGACTATTCCATTAGTTTACTGGACTTCAAATACTCAATTTATTTTTGTAATTCAAAAATCCTTTCATCTTTTTATTAAAGTAACTCAAGAGAATTCTCATAAAGATTATTCAAACAAAAGATGGGAGTATGTATTTTCATATCATATCTTTTGTATTTCTTCTTGCAATATTAACAAAAGATGTCCTTAAATTCACATAACTCAAGATGTTCATTAAATTCAATAGCTTATTGCTTTTCTTGACACCATTCGCATAAAATAGGTCTACATGGACATTCATATAACTAAATTACATACGAGTTAATACATGCGATTCTATTTCCATTCTTAGTTTATCCTCTGAACAATATTTACATTGAACACTCCCATATTAACATTCCAAATAGTGATCTTCAAGATCCTTACGAAACATAATCTCCTCACACCCTTAATTTGGACAATCTAATTGCTAATATTAACAATAATTATTCTCGTGTTTCTCACGAAAGTCATAAGTGATAATTTCTTCACAGCCATCTTGCTAATTATTTAAAAAATATATACACTATATCTGCATGTTAAAAGTAATTTACTTAATAATTTGAGTAGTACTTTTGGTACTTTTCCTTCCATAATCCCTAAATTTTAATAAGCATTACTGTGAGAGATTTTACTCTTTCGACAACATGGACATTATTGATTTGAATTTTAAAACCTAAATTTTGAGCAATACCAAAATACCATTTTTCAATACATCTACCACAAAAGCTTTGATCGCATTCTTTACATACCCTCGGATTAACTATTATTTGACAACATATTGGACAAATAACTTCATCCAAAAATACTTTGACTTCTGCATAGTTAAATATTCTGCTTTGATCAATCACATCATCTTCTTCTTCCTCATCTTCATTCTTTGATGAGATTGAGTGACTTGGAGTATGATAAAAATGATTAGCAAACAATTCGTCTTGGTAGACATCTACATCATCGTCTGAAACAGAAACAGGCTCTGACACGTTCTCTTCTGATTCTTCAAAGTCATATGGATAATACATTTGTCTTTAATTAAAATAAATTTAATATTGCATCTTGCCTTCTCCCAAACCAATAAAATTTATAATACATAATTATTTTATAATAAATTATATTATTTTTAAATGAATTGAATTCGAACGACTCATTCCATCAAATACTTAATACAAAAACTTACCTTAATACTAAACAAAAAACAACGTTTTGTGGTCATTATAAATTTGATAGATTATATTATACTAGAGGAGAATTTATTCTTATAAGCCATAAATAAACTTATTCAAACTTCGAAATATCTTTAAATCTAAGGTTGTTGTAAACTTTACTTAATAGTCTTGCCCTTTATGTTAAATATAAAATATACCTATGTTCATATAAAATAAATAGTAGCTGGTTATTTTAGTTTCAAAAAAAATCATAAAGTACTTGATTCTATAGTATTTTGTCATGCAATCAAATTCTGAAAAAGTACTTTTAGCTAATTTAATCTCATTTATTATTATTTCAATGGATGTAAATTTGAACATGGTCTACCTACCAAATAGAATCCAAAGTATAATACTATCATAGATATGTATTATATTTTATTTGAAACATAATGAAATTCAACCTATCAATTAAATGTATAATCAAGAATCTCAATCTCTTTTTAGAATTGTAAATATTAATGAAATAATTATATTTCTATTAGAAAGAAACTCTTTAGAATTATATATTATTGATTAAAGGATTATTTTCAAAATATAAATGGAATAATGAACAATTCGATTATTAGACATTCGAAAAAAGAACAGATATATTAAGATAATGATAGTGAAGACTATTCATCCTCAAGGAGCCAATAAATTTTTTGATATGATTTTATTACGCATCTTGTATATTAAAAATTGATTAAGCAACTTATATATATCAAATTTCTTATCCACTTGAAGCAACATTAAGTATTTAGAATAAAGCTAAAATCGTTATTTTACTATTTACCAGAGCCGACAACCACAAACAAGAACACACCTAAAAGAATTGGGCCGACAGGAAGATTTTCTTCTTTTTTCTATTAGGTTATTTAATTTCATTACAATCAATGATTTAGGAACTTTTCCTTATTTGTTAACGTTTCCTTGATAATTTTAACTTCTCAATTTCATGGTTTAAGCTGATGGCTAAAGTCTAGAATATATAAGTACCATTTGTGTTCCTAAATTATTTGGATTTTATTTATTAAATTCACGCGTGTTTATAGTTTCAATATAAATTAAATTATATAAGAATAATGAAATAAAAATAATAGGATTTTAATTAATTAAGAACTTGTGTTAGTTTGAGGAAGAATAGATTATGAAAGAGAGAAATCTAAAACATTGTTAAATTTATTTTGCGCAATTAAAATTTATTGATGGGAAATCAAAATCAGAATAATAGTTAGACTAAGACAATATATGTACGCTATTTCAATTTTACAGCATGATAAGGCCTGATTTATGTGCAAGAGCTTTGTTTTTTTAATATGAAGACTGAGTAATTCTATAATATCATCCTAGTCATTAAGGAATTTTGCATTTCTTTTAAGGAAGTAATCATATGAATCCTATTATAGATTCAGAACTCTTTGCATATAATCAAGGGGCTGCCACTCAAAAAATTATGAACCTTTTAATTTATTGACCAATATTCTTTAGTAACATTATTATTAATGTTATCCTGCTCAAAAACAACATTCCTACCCTCTCCAATATTTAGACTATCATTAATCAAGTTAAATAATCGTAATGAGTTCTTATTCTTAAAATATTTGATGAAGTTAACAGATTTTGAAACTGTTGTAATAATCCATAAAACCTGCTACAATGTCATCTCTGTTTATATATATAAAAACTAAATATTTCTCTTTTAACATATGGTTCCTTATTTGAATAGCCAATATTTTGAGTGGTTTCACATTTCTCACATTCAAATTTTATGGAATATATTTCTTGCATGATTTAATCTACAGTTTTAATTTATTAGAATGAAATTGGAGAGTATATATTTAAGGGAGGGTAATAAAGGGTGACAAAGAATAACTTAATTATTCCATTGCTTCGTTGATTTTTGATGGAATAATCTAATTAATAAATATTTAATGTGTAGAGTGTTGATAAGTCAAGATTATTGATGATATCTTATATAAAACATCCATATTTAATATCTTCCGATGACAAAATAAACGAGCGAAATATCTCAAAGAATTTGAGAATTATTAAATAATTTTTTAATTAGCAATATCTGTTATGAATATTATTACCCCTGAAACAATCAAAGTTTCGAAAACTAATAGTTCTAATAGTTCCAATAGTAATCGTTTTACTATGGTTACAGAGAAAATCGATTTCAGCGATTCAAGGCCATTATTAAGATTTAAGACACTATTAGCTCATTAAATCATAAAACAGTGAAGTAAGTCCAAAAATCCTATTTTTCTAGTTTTCTTCACCTAGTTCCCAATTTTGCAATTTTGATCTGATGATGTGATTATTATTATCAGATAAATAAAATATAACAAATTATCTAAAACATATTCTCTTACCTCTTTGACCTTATGATTAATATTCAACAATCGTTGATCCATATAATAGAAATTGCAAAGTAATGCATTTCTATTTTTGTTTAAAAGGACCTTTTAAAGTTGTTATTTATATATTTATCTAAATAAAACTACTACATTTCAGAAATGAGCCACTTTAACCAGCTACATCTAAAGAAAATTATAATGGATTCCAACTTAAAAAATCTTTATAAGACTCGTTTTAATACTATTAAATTATGTTGTACAGAGAAAGTTGTATTAAATTATAAAATTATGTTATTTCATATCTAAATGATGAATTCGATCATCTATCTGTGAAGGTTGTATAAAAAATATCTTATTTTTCAGAAGAAAAAGAATCAAAGCATTTCCTTCTTTTATAGAAATTTTAAATAACATCCGAATAACTGTGTAATAATGACATCTAATTTATTAGCAGTAGTAACATTAGAAACCGATGACATACCGAATGACACAAACTTATTTGTGAGGACAGGGACGATTAATAATATATAAATATTTTTTTAAGATCAAATGAATAAAAATATTGTATTGACAAATTCTTTTAGTTGAAGAAATAACAGTAATCTAAAATAAATCAAAATATTTTCCAAATAGATTGTAATTCAATTCGAATGGCAAGATTATTAATATTTTAGATAAACAACATAGATTGCATTCTCTTGGAAAAAAACAATTTCTAAAAATTTATCAAAAATTATATTATTTTTAATAACAATATCAGTTAAAGAGAGTAAGAATTCAATCATTTCTAATATGTTTATCAACCTATAAATATCCAAATATAGATATTTCTGTCATCTACATTATTATAAAGAAAACTATTAATTTTTCTTAATTATGGAGAATAAAATAAACAGACATTTTCGATAAAAGCCAGCATTTATCCTGAGTCAAAGACTATTATTTTAGAGCTTATATAGGAAGGTCTCTGCTGCCCATCAGGCAAGGGTAAAATGCAACTCAGTTCTAAGATTTATAAAGTAAAATGGGATAGTTTGACAGCATTAAAGATGGTCAGATCAATTCAGAATTAATTTAATTTAAATATAGAAGAGCACAATTTATATTGAATAGTGTCCTTGTTATTCGAGAGGCAAGAGCGATGGAGCATATGTCCTTTTTGCCACTTCTGTATATTGAGTACTACCTTATGATGTATTGATTTATTGAAAACTTATTTTTAATTATTAATACTCTCACAAAAATTAAAAAAACTAGTTAGATAGGCAATGTTACAATAAAAAAAATAATAAACAGCTCATCTCAATCCAATTCTATGGTAACCTTTGGAAAAATTACAGTTGACGCATTTGAGTCAACATCTCATTTATTCTGGAATTATTTGGATTAGAAGTGAAGATCAACAATTACACGAGGAATAGGTTTCATTATATGCTGATAGGTAGATAGTTAGAATTTATAAAGATTGCAAATTTACTAATTGTTTTGTAATTTGAGTTAAACAATAATAAGAAGAAATGTTCAAACAATAAAGTTAATACAAGGAAAAAATAATACAGAGATCTTTTTTAACAGGAGTGCTGATTTGGATAATTGGTTCAATATGTTGAGAAGATACACAATTCAGTTAAACTTCAGTAAAGACTATAAATTGAGTAAGAGATTGGGGTATCAAGATCCGCAGACTCAAATATATTAGGCAAAGTGCTTTGCAAATAATACTAATTACACAGTGAAGGTAATACAAAAAAATAATAAATTTGATCCGAAATTGATACAGAAGGAAATAAACATCTTGAGAAGAATCAAACATAAAAACATCATCAATTTGGTGGAGGTTTATGAAGATCAGTATACAATATTTTTGGTTTTCGAGAACTATTTCGGAACTGAGATGATTTATAGGTTTGAAGACTTATTAAATAGTTAAGAACCATAATATGCCAGGATTATATATAAATTATTAGAAATTATATCGTGTATTCACTCTTTGGGCATTATTCATGGAGACATAAGATTGGAGAATATCTACGTGAAATCTGATAATTTAATGGACATTTGTTTGGCCAATTTTAATTAAGCTGAATTCATTGATAGTTAAGAAAAGTAAATCAAGGGAAGCGAGGGGTAATTTTAATTGAAATTTAGATTCTTAGTTACTAATCGCCTGAGTTATTGAATGGGAAGCCTTACGATCAGAGTATTGATATATATGCAGTTGGGATTATTTTTTATTACTTCATATATCAAGTGATGCCGTTTAGTGAATCGTAAGAACATGTATTGATTATTATAAGGCTTAGAACGACAATAAATCAGGCTAAATTGAATTTCCCCAAGTCAGAAACACTTCCTATGCTATTGATTTATTGAAATAAATGCTTTAAGTTGAACCTAAGTAGAGAATCAAACCCAATTTGGCTATGAATCACGAATGGTTCATAAAGATGAAAGTGCAGGAGAAACTATTCAAACAGAAAAGTTTCAAGGACTTCACTCTTCCAACTATTTTGGAGAAATCAGATATTTTTACTTAGTCTCCTGGTCAACAACCAAAAAGAGAAAGCATCGGGGTTTTTGAGGATGAGTTCTTATTGGAAAGTCTCTCAGACAGAATGGGTTTATTAAAAAATGCCTTTAATCCATCGAAATTAAATCACGACATTTTTTAGAAGAAATAGAAATGAAATTTAACTCTATATTTTTATTAATGTAAACGCAAATATCAAATCATGATTTGTTGAGAGAGGGAATCATAATTCAAAGAGAGTGGGGATGTAAGATTTCTTTTTCTGTAGTCTTCTCTCCAGAATATTAATTACTGTGTATTGAGAATTTTCACTGAAAAACCTTTATCTTTTTTTTATCGACTTTTTTGCTTTTATTATTTCCTTAGGACTTGTCAGTTCTTCTTCCAAAATTGTTTCTAATGGAATATTCAACTATGTTTGTGAGACATCATTGGCTAAATCCAATTCAGGTATAAAGAAAGCGGACTGCTTAATTGGTCTAAATTCAAAGGTGAGTCTTACTTAAGCTGAGGAGTATCTGGTAATTGATTATGATAATCGACAAATTCTTCGAAAGTCAAAGCTGAGTTAAACCTTTTCCTTTTATCACACATATAAATAATTATTTTCAAAAATATTTTTAAATAATTGCAAACCAATATCAATTAATATATAGAGATAATTAGGAATCAGTAATAATAATAAATTATTTAACCATTCTGTTCAAAATTCTAATTTAATGACAGATGCTTCGAAGAACAATAGAAAAAGCAAGAAAAAATAATTTTGATTAGACAACATTATTTTACATTAGATAAATGTATATAATTTAAATAACTTCAAATGCAATACTAACAAGCAAATATCAACGCTGAGTATCTAAATGACAAGGCACAATATCAATAACCTCCGTAGGGTGCATATCAATATCAACCTGTACAGGGGTAGCCTGTGATTGGACAACCCGTTCAACAATAGTATATTCTTTAAATAACAATAGGTACCAATATAACCCCTAATCTCAAATACAATATCCTCAATAACCCTACGTTTAATATGCCCAATACCCTTAGAGAGTGTAGTATGGAAATGGATATTAACAGCAAATGGTTGTACTTCCTTAGAATGCCCTTGTAGTGGCAGTTTAACCAATTAATCCTATTGTGGCCAAGGAAATGGCCTTGAGATCATACACCAGATAGTAAGCTATGCCATAACACTAGTTTTTACGGATGCAATTGCTGTATAGGTGTTTTGGCCATGATCTTTTTGATTATCAGATGTGTGGCATCATTTCAACAAGGAGGAGCAGAAGCAGCAGCTGGTGTCATGTACATTATTTCGTAATCATATTCACATATTGAAGCGATTTCTTTTTTGTCACAGGAGCCATCTGCGGAATATATTCGATTAGTAGATATGTGGAACGACTATTATTACATTACTAAGTCCTCTTGGTCATAGCATTAATATTTGAGATAATAGGGTCCATCATCATATTTGCCACTTATGGTGATAATGAAGATAACGATGATAATGACAATGATTCCGACGGTGATAAAGACAATAGAAGGAGTGTTGGGTATCAAATCATACTAATCATTAAGCTTAATATTTTTTATAGTATCCCTAATCATAGTAGTCATTTGTTACGGGATGTTTATAAGATATGCTAGACAAATCAGATACATGATGATCGATTTGAATATCACTAGAGCAAATTTATAGAATTAAAACGCTTAATAAGTACCACTATAGAATTAAGGAATTGTCTATGGAGGAGCTCCATAAGTTTGAATATATTATCTAAAGTATTAATTTAAATGGCTATATCACTTATTAATTTGTATGAACTATTATTAAGTATTTAACTATTAATATTAATGCCAATTTATAATGAAGTTTTGGGAGGAGGAAGTTAAACTCACAAATGTTCTGTAGATTTCATGTTTAGAAACATAATTAATCTTTAAACTTTGACCAAGGATCACGTGAAATTATTATTGGACAATCTGAAAATTGAGTTGTTGAATACAAATTAATCTCAATACTAATTAATATTAAAGGCTAATCAATTGTTGGCTTGTCATCTTTATGACAGAATGGCACAGCATTGGAAGAAACAATTTGGTCTGTTTGAGTATTCCAATGTACCAGAATGTCTAGATGCCAGAAATTACTTTTAGTTGTGTGTGAGAATGAATGCCTCTTATTGTTTGGCTAAAAAGTATTTCCCAGAGTAAATAATTTTTAATTTAAACATCGATACTTCTTAACCAATGAATATTCTAGACCAAATTCAAACTTATAGGAATTAGGACTCTGAATTATTTATTAAGCATTAATTAATTATATCAATAATCAGATGAATTAGACTAATCCATTGAATTCTGTATGCTGTTTCTCTTCTTTGTTTTTCTCTACGATAAGTTTAACTATTCAATTTTCTTAGCCTAATTAATCAATTACACATATTACTCTTTTTTATAATTTCTCTTGCAGTTTACCCAATAAAGTAGCCACTTTTCTTTGTTTTGGAGATAGTCTATTATTCTCATATCTATCATTTTCTTTGGAATCTGCTGGAGATCTAGATCTAGGCTGTGATTTAAGATGTGATTTGGAATGTTATCTTGATTTTGATTAACCCTTCTTTGACTTTATGAAGTTTATTATTGAACTACTTGAAGAACTATGCGATGATTTGACTGAGGATGATTTTGATGCTGATTTCTCTTTTTATCTTCCCCTTGAAACTGGTTTCTTTTTTTCATAATCTCTATACTTATCTTGTTGTTATTCCTATTGAATAAAATCCTTGAAGCTTTTGACTAACTCCTTTTACTGATTCTTAAACTTTGATTCTTATTATTAAAATAATGTTTAGAAGTTTCCTGATAATTCAGTTATTTTCTTATCAATTACCTCTTCAAACTTGATCATTTGATGTTATTATGGTTAAGGCTACTGAGTTGTTGTCATTTATTAAGACTATTAAGTTTATTGTGAGGTAACTTAACCATTATTATACACTTATTTCTTATTTGCATCAAAACTAACCTCACTTTAATTCTATTAAATATATTTATGCATTGAATCTTCTTGTTCTTGTTATTTCTCCTTAATATGAGTAACCAATTTAAATAATCTTTGCACTTAACTCTCTAATTACTCACATTTATCCTTCCAATCTTAAACCTCCTTCTTTAATACATTAATCTCATTCAAATTCTTACTCTATATATCTAGAACCATTCTCTCAGTTGAAGTCAATCTTTAAAAGGAATCTGGCACTTCTTCTGTGATATTACTTTTATGGAACCCTTACTTAGTTTATGATTGACTTGATTTTCCTTATTGGTGACTCTATTTCAAACTGGCAACCTCTCTACCCATACTATGAATCTTTTATGCTAAATCATGATATTCATTTATTTTCATATCCTATCTCTCATTTCTTTCATTTCTCTCATTTCTATCATTCCTTTCATTTCTGTCTAATCTTTCCATTCTTTCAAATCTATCCATTCTATCTGATCTTTCATGATGTTCTAGCTCTTCTTTTTCAAATTGTTGCTTATATTAACTATTGTTATTTTCAGTCTATTGCTAAGATTCAGTAACACTCTCTGTACTAATCATTGCATACTCTTCAAGCAAATATACTTAATTTAAATAAGTTTTAGAAGCACCAAAAGTCTCCTTTATAATGATCTTAATAAATTGGTATCTAGTTCCTAAGGGATCAATTTAAAACAACTATATTCCTTGTTTCAATTCAGGATATAAGGTAGTCCAAGTGATAAAATTTTCTCCATTTAATGATACCATCAATTCAATGACTGATGGATTGCTTTAATAATCATGCCAACAATCAAACCCGAAACATTTGATAAATTTTGGTCTTTCTTACACTTGAGATAAATCCAATGTAATGTATTACGGCAATCCTGCTAATGACATCCACAATGCCTAAAATTTCAATTCGATATCTTACTTTTCTTTCTTAGATAAGGATATTTTCAGCTGCACAATTAGGTAAAGTAGAACTAACATTACAGACTCTAACTCCATTTTCTGTTGTGCAATAATTTTAGTGTTCCATTTGAATTTAAATTTAAAATAAATAAACTTAAAAAATTAAATAACATCCAATATTTCTACAAGCTTTTTCCAATAGTCATTCTACGATTGAATATTAAGCCTGTATTATCAAAGAATATAATAAAAATACAATTTGAATATTAAAAGGTAGCTTAAATTTAGAGATATAAAAGAAAAAGAAAGTAACTGCAACAAATTCATAATAAATTAGTTGAATATTAATATCAGGGGAATTTATTTCAGAATAAAAAAATAAAAATACTTGATAACATTTTGATTGTTTAAATATTTAATGTATTTTTGATAATATATTATTTCACCATGGTATATCTTAGCTTGCATTATTCTAATTTTGATAGTTTTCATATCCATCTTTTAACTAGTAAATTGTGTTATCAATAGATAAAGAGGGATAGTTGTTGTTGTTACTAATATTTAAATTTGGAGAGTAATTCATATTCGAAATCTCATGATATTATTATTATTATTATTATTGTTGTTATTATTGTTAAGGATAATTTAATTATTGAGGCAAATATGTTGACTATGAGTAATTAATCTATTATTGTGGCTATTGAGGTGCAGGCTTTTAAGTTTATGGTTTTGTTAGACATTTCTAAATTTCTGTTTGGAGTTCCTATTCTTATGTTTTCAAGTTGTTAAAAATTAACTATAATTTATTCATTTATTAAATTAGAAATTCGATATCGTTTTCTTTCTATTAGATCAACTATTTTTAAGCCTAATTATTAGAATTCTATGAAAATTGCATCACTAATTGGCTTAATTGATTTTAAAGTTATTATTATTGCATAGTTAATGCTTAAAGTTCATTGTTCTATTGGTATTACCCTTATTAGCCTGATTACACTCTAGAATCCTTTGATTGAGAGATTTAAGAAACATCATATTACCCTTAATATTCCTTAGCTATGATAGGTTATTGAGGTTGGCTTTAAGAAATTAACCTTTGAAGAGACTCTGGCAATTAGATAGGCAGTGGGATATTTTTCCTACAGCAAGAAATCAAGTGAATGGCAACGATATATTCATTTTTAAATAAGAAGCCTTTTTAATTGGTATCAACAAGTGCCCATAGTTCTGTTAATACCTCTTTTGACAATTCAGATTTACTAAAGATCGCTTTAGCACTTTCGCCTTCAATATATCCTTATTGCTTTTTATCCTATTGTTAGTAATGCAAACTGTATTTCTCATAAAGTTCATTACTAATTTCAAATTGATTGGAAATTTCTAATTGAGCCATTTGTACTAAGGGTGGTTTGTATTGTTGCTGCTAATTTAGAACTGGAGCAGTCTAATACATTTGAGATATGGGAATTTGAGAGGGCTGGGGAATAGATTATTGAAAAGCACCAAGCATAGGAGAGGAATTGACCTATTAAGGAACTGGAAATCCATCAAACACAGGCAAGCGAACTTGTTTATTTTCAATAAGTAATTAAGGATTCAATTCAAATCCATTTTGACAGTACGCTATTAATTTTAAGATTGTAAAAAATTCTTAAGTGTAGAGTTTATTTTCCTCATTTCTGACAGCCATCAACCAAATTGCTTTTAATTTATCGGCAGGCAATTGACTTTTTTTGAAAAATAACACAGTCTCTTTGGCATTAGTACTTCCAATACACTAATGAATTAATTCTTTCATTTACTTGAGGATCAAAGGTGCTCCAAAGTTGTCTAAAATATTGATCTTCTTCAGGAGTCAATTATAAATTATTCATTAAATTTAATGTTATTTAATAATCTAAATATAAACAAATTAAAATCATGATGTGATATTATTGATTATTGATTTCAAGTTGTTCGAAGTCAATATAAAGATGTGCAGAGACTCAATTTGGTATTTATATTTAGTTGAAGTCGTTAAAAATTAAAATTGATTATGTTTATATTAATATTAATGAGATAATAGATATAAATACTAAGCTATAATTTTTAATATATTTATTAATAAATATGAAACAGATCAACTAGGTTTTATTTATCTCCTTGCTTCTTATGTAAGTTAATATTCTATATAGTCAAACATTGGGATAAAACAATGAAAAGGAGTAAAATTCGAGAGGAAAAGATAATGATGTATGTATTTATGCTTTTCTTGGAAGTTTATAGGATTGAGAATGCGAAGTTTGTAATTCTTTTAATATTTTTGGCATTGATCTGTCGTTCACTTGTACACAAGGAAGGTTATTTAAAGGATTGGGGAATTGATTATTAGTCTCAAAATTCTTCATTAGAGCTAAGCATAATAGCCAATTCCAGAAAATGATGAATACTATAAAAAAGGTATTATTAGTAATGGATTGATGTTAGGTTCGATTGTTAAGCAGGTGAAAAAAGTTATGAAATATTTAAAAAGTAAATTCAACAGAATAAATGACTCGTAAGTAGATGTTTCCAAGAAATACAGCCAATTTGATATGGAGGAATCTATTTGATTTTTTACAATGATATATAATATACACATAAAAATGATTATCAATTCTTTTTTTTCTTTTTTTGATTTTTAGTATTGATTTTAATTTAAACTTCTTCTTTTTTGATTTTTTTAGACTTCTAATCTTTTTTTTAGACAACTTCCTGTTTTTGTAACTATTGCTGAGCTGGAGGATGATTATCTGGTTTTGGATTAGGTAGTTTCTCTAGTGGTTCCTCTTTGTTTAAACAGTTTTCGCATTTGCACAAATCAGTACATTTTTAATTAATACTATAGCATTCACAATATTTCTTTTTGCATTCTGATTTCTTACAATTGCATCCTTTTTTGGTTTCCTTGCTTTATTCTTTCTGCGATTTGGGTTCTTGTAGTAATGTGATTAGATACCTGGGATGATTTGTGCTTGTTAGCCATTATTGGTGAGGATCGTAGAGAAGGCTTCTGGATTTCTGAGTAAGGCTTCTTCGATGGCTTTTGATCTTTCATTGGGATTGTCGATTCTATTTTTGCATTCGGTGCAATTGCAGCTCTGTGAGCAGACCTATGGATATGAGAAAGAGTGATAACCCAATTGTTGGCGAAGCATTCGCAGTATAATTTTAGACATTTGCTTTTCTTGCAATTGCATTGAAAGGAGAGAGACCTTTTAAAATTGCACAAGTTGGTTAACTTTGGACTGAAGTTCTTTGGATAGAGTGTTTTAGTATTACGACGAATCAAAAGGGGGATAATAGAATGGCGGATAGGGATGTCTATACCATGGAGGTGGATATGGCACAGGATATTTCATCTGCATAAAAGGGTTATTTTGGGGATATTTCATTTGAGGGGGGACCTATTGATAGTAGGGATTGTAGGGCTGTCGGAATTGATCCTCCTCATCTGGAGCATCTCCTGCAGACAATTTTCGAAATGGGTATTTGGGTTTGTTTTTATCTTAAAATTCAGGCTCAGCATGAAGATTGAAGTTTGACATATTTTGAGGAGGGAAGAGATAACACTGTTGAGGAGTGAATCTTGGAGATAAGGATGGTGGTTGTTGAGGCCATTCTTAATCATAATAGTGGAGTTACTTTTCAACCTTGTGTTCATTGGAATTGTGATCATCTTAATTCATAATAAATTTATTAAAAATTAATAATGGCAACCATCGATAAGGAATAAGTCGACATGGATAATCCAGCATTCGCATAATAAGATCCCCATCTCAAAATAAATGACGATGATGATATGGGATTGCCACCTTAATTTAGAAATCGTTACCCAAGAAGACCACCTCTGTTTGATGGCCTATTGAACAACGTTAGAGCTGTTACTAAGAAAGTAGAACACATTAAAGGCTTTAAATTTGAAGTTGCGGGAGGATTGTCAAATAATTTTCATTTGGCCCATTCTTGGTTGATACCACCATCAGTATCATAACAAACTAAATCATTAGAACAAAGGCAAAGCTCCAAACCCTAATCCTATGAAACAACCACCTGTTCCAAGTTATACTTTGGCTGCGTAATATTTGGGTGGCTCTCTTAAAACCCCTTTCGATCAACCGACATATATCATGACAGGAAGGTGGGATTCAACTGGCAAATTAGAGGCTGCTATAATCAAGAAGCTCAACGAAATGTTCAACTTCAGGTATATATTAATATCTATCAAAACCTAAAAAGATTTAGTGCATTCTATTTAAATTCTGATCCTTTGAATGCTTAAGTGCATTTAGATTGCGATATAACAGGGGAGGATTACGTTCATTCAATTAAGCTTGGCACAGGATCTCTATAGTTTCAATATGATGCAAACCATAGGAAACAGACTCGTATTAGGATATGAAATGATGACTCTGGTATTCAATTATAAAATAATTTCAAGACTGAAAGGAATCTCTCATTAATGAGTTATGCCATGAAGTTTGGTATCAACAAGAAATAGAATTTTTATACTCAATATGTTGGAGCTTCGGATTAATTGATTTTGGCTTACAATCACAGAGTAACAAATTCATATCGAAAAATAGTTATTGGATAAAGCATATTTTATGTCGGAATTAGAATATTCGAATTAAACTGGGGAATCAAGAGCTATACTTGTAATAGAATATAGTTATGGTGTTAGGGCTATAGACAGAAGTTTGCGATTTCAGAAGTTATAGTGACACTGAATTCAAATATGAAATTCAGTTCTGCACTAACACTTCAGGGATTTGCTTATTAATTGAAATTGTGCGCAATTGCAGATTATCATAAGGATAGCTATAAATTTGGATATGGGATAGCAATGGGTTAAGTTTGATAACTAGTATATTAATCAAAAAATAATTCATCGTAAATTTTTACTAAGACTTTTTGATAGAGTTTCTTATATTCTTTTGTTTAAATTTATTAATTTTTAATCTAAACCATCTCCTTTTTAACTATTCATCTTCATTTCCACATTCTCCTAATTGTTAATGTTTACATCTGTATTTCCCTTGCACTTCTACTTCTCTATTTATAAAACGATGTTGGACTACTATTCTGACAACCCGACTTATTTCTCCTTGTGTTATTGAAGGATCTATTAAAACTCAATCCAATCAGGCCTTCTTTCATTATCTAAATCGACCATCGCTCTCAACACATTCTCCACTCTTCCTGGATACAATTTTCTTAACTTCTAAAGGTTGTCCTCTAATCGATCAAATTGTAAGACTCCTTAATTATAAGTATCTCTGCAATCTGTTAATAATGCCAACGACAAGACTATCATACTATAATTAATGACATTAATTAATACCCAACACCGAAGACATCATTTTTAAATTTATTTGATTTTTATCCATTCTCTGGAGGCTAGAATTCATTGCTGAAGAGATGTGGGGCTTTTGCTCGAAATGGACTGACATCTTAAACTCTATACAATAAGTATTCCTCATCAAAATATATTGATTCAAGAGTCAAAGCAGAATGAGATATTCCTTTTTTTTATAAGAATAACAATGCATCTGACAAACCAGAGATCATCTTCCAAATCTCTTCCTCTGGAACATACTCGCTTGTTTGAGATCTCTTTTCTATTAATTATTTCACATCCAAGGGTAGATATTCATAATATATTCGGAATTCTCTTGTTTGAGCATACTTATCACTTGCATCCTAATAGAACAAAAAACAAACTAAATTAGGATGTTTCCATTTTGTTCTCTCCTAAATAGCACTTATTTCTGCTTAACTTATAATATTGGTCCAACAACAGAGATATTTTGCGAATGGATCAACTCTGTAAATGGCTGAAGTTGAAGTTATGTCAATCACATGAATTAGTGATGTGTAAGCGGATAACATGTAATCTTTTGGATTTTCATTTGGTAATCTTTGTCTGGGAACATCCTGGACAACTGGGTTGTAAGATGATGTTATTTTGTTTATTGGTTAGGTCTGCTTTTGCTACCCAATATAATATTCAGGGTACATTCTTGTCTGTTAAATTAATTACTAATATTCAAATTTTTATATTTAATGTTTTATCAAATTAAGTGTAAAATTGCACTTTTTAAAATCATTATTTAATTTACCATTCCTTAATTTTCTACTTGTGGTTGTTATTCCTTATTCAGAATATTGAGATAGAATATTTCTTTGAGTTTACTTATGTTCCAAAATTAAAAAATCATTTTAACTATCTATATTTAATAGTGAATATAATTACAAATATATATATCAAGATATCACACAATAATATGTAGATCTTTCTAAGTACTTAGTAAGTTCAAACATATAATTCAGATTATTGATTATAAAATTTAAGCTTTATTATTAGGATATATATAAGACTTGTTTATTTGTTTTTTGTTAAATAATTTTATTATTGATCATAATAGATGATAAAGTTTACTTCTTAGAATAAATTTGTATTTATGCTACTCATATTTACAATGTAAATCTGCTCATCAAATGGGATCCAACATTTGAGGGGTCATATTGATAGTAATGAAATTCATTTATTAAAGCAATAAATAATAAGCATTTGACTTCTATCAGCCATGGTAGTGGCAGTCCCATAACGGCAATAACCTTTGGGGGATTATTTATTGTTGGTGCCTTTTGTATGCTATGGTACAATGAAAGACGGTAACTGTTTATAACTTAACAACCTCTAGATAAGCTATAACGGAATACAGAATAAACCAGGCTTATAAAGAATGCACATCAGTCGATTCAGCCCAAATTAATCCGAACACTAATAATAAATTAATTCACACGAATGGTAGTGAAATATGTTAATTATCCATAGGCAATAGTCAGACCAATTAACTAATAGTTGATGAGATCTTTGGGCTCTAATTAAAAGATTGTGTGAAATTAATAAGAAGTGTTGAAATGTTTCAATGGGTGAGAAGATCAAGATAAGAAAATAATAGAACAACTTATTATTACGAATAAATTTGGAGTTCAACTTTTCATGCAGATGTGGGAGACGGGTACTTCAATGATTAATCGAAATGGATAGTATAAGCTGAAGATAAAATTAACGAAAATGTTTATGTTGGAGCCTATTTAATAACAAAATCTCTGGCTGAACAAACAGATGCAAATGAAATTATTAATTTAACTTCTGAGCATGCCCAAAACGTTGCCAAATATTTTGCTACTTAACGAATATTCTAACATTTGTAATTGTTAATACAATAATATTAGTGATGCTTAAGGGAAGGAAATGTATTTTTAATAAGAAAAAGGTAGACTTCTCAACAATGATCTTAGAGTATCTTTTAGAGCTGCAAGAATAGGCCCAACAACTGTAGTGTCATAATAATAAAATAACACTTTCACTCCTTATATTATTCATGATAAATATGAATAAACATTAAATTAGGATGGTGAAAATCTTGAAAATCCTAATCCTTTGGGAATATTATCTTGCTGTTGTTGCTGTTGTTTTTGCTGTTGTCAACTTTGCAAAGCCATAGAATAACCTTTATCTGAATTGAATTTACTCTATTAAGCTGTCCTAACATAATAGTAGGTTTTTAAGAAATTGGCTGAAGAATATGCTTGTCTAACTCTGTGTTAAAGAATCACAGGATATATCTTAATGGTAAATAACAATAATATTCTTAGGGATTTGGATTTTATTTAATCTTCTATCCTGTAACATGGGTTGTATCTTTGGTTCCTTTAATTGGTGACTTTTTAGCTGCAATAACAGGATTTGCGTTTTTTTTGGTAAGTTTCTTAATTTCTATTCCCTTTTCTATTCTAACAATTGCATTTGCATGGCTTTTCTATCATCCAAAGTATGGAATTGCATTAATAGCATTATCTGGTTTAATTGGAGCTGGCATCTATTTTTATTTAAAAAGTCAATAATGATATGATACCATATTATTAAAAACTAATCAAATTTATTTATATCAGAATTAAAACAAATTTTTTAAAGATTCTATTGTATTGTTATTGAATTAATCTCGTAAAATCTTCATAAGCTTTATAAAGATAAAATGTAATTAATTAATGCAAGAAACTAAAACACATTTAAAAGGTTTAAGAACAGTAATAGCTTAAAAGAAGGAGAGAATGTCTCATAATTATCAACATTCAATTATAAATGGATCCTTTCTAATTGAAGGTACAAAAGTAATAAATCAGTTTGAATATTAAAAAGAAAGTGAGGCTAAAATGCCAACTAAAAATAAATTCTAAAATTTGTTTAGATATCACAGATTATCATTGAAAAATGAAAAACAAGAAAAATTGTTGAGTACTGCTCAAAATACCCGAAAAAATTTTACTCAACAAAGACCTTCTGTTTTAAATGTGGAATTTTCAATAGATCAGAATATTGCAAGGAATAAATCGATTGAAATGAATTAAATTAGGAGACCCTAAAGAATTAAACAAAGGAAAAAAGATGCAGAATTGAATGAAAGGGATAGATTTTACACTGTATAATTTATAACAAAATCTGAAGGCAAATACGAAAATCGAAATCTCTTAGAATTGAATGTTCTCAAATACTAGAAACTGTCCCATTCTCCTAAATTTGGCAATAGGCATCCAATGAAAAATATCAAATTGAATGAAAAAATGAAAAAGGAGAAGAATTAAAATATATTGTTACAAGGTCTGCTTTGATATTGTGTTTTATATTACTAAGTCAATTTTTATATAATTTAACAATTGCTCAAGGGGCATCAAAGTAACTGGTTTTAAAATAATGCTTTTAAAATTCTTTTTCTATTTTCAACTAAATTTCTATATTATGTATTATTTAAAAATTAAAATCTGAAATTGGTAATATAAATTTATGGAATCTAAGATTTTCAAGAAATCATATTAGTATAAAAGACAAAATTTAAAATTGAAACAAATTTATTTATTATAATTGTAATCATTTTATTTCTTCTTAGACTTCATCATCAACATTATATTACTTTTAAAAATTTACAAACCGATGAATTGTGCATTAATCAAACTCGCCTATGTCATCACTTAAATTTGATGAATTTGGTTGATCAGGAGATTCCTCTTAATTATGAGATGAATTTTAATTAACTCCTTTATTTTCACCTGGATTAGTGGAAAAGAAAATGCTTTTTTTAGTTGGAATTTTCAGAAAACTATTTGATGAATCTGCTTGTTAAAGATCACACTTTGAATCAACAGAACGATTATTCTTGATTGTAATAGTTTATGAAGATCCCAAGAGAATATTCCTTTGTTTATGACTGTTTTTGGAATATTTCGATGACAACCGAGGCATATTTTTTCTGATGGCCAATTTTCTTAGTGATTTTTTTCGAACTTAATCATCATCAACAATTTAAAACCATTAATGCTTTAGAGCAGCATCAGGATGAGGTCTGAATGTCCAATCTTTTTGTAACAACTAGATTATTAGATCTTTGGCTTCTTCTGAGACTTGTTCAAAGAGATCATTGGGAAATTCTATTGCAGCTTCTTTAATTTTCTCGATCAAATCATTCAAACTATAATAGAGATACAAGAATTTACTAATCAGAAAGGAAAGGCAATTATCCTGAAAGCATGGAATATAAAATACAACCTGCACTCCACATGTCAACCATTTAGCTTAAGTAGGGAATTGAAATATTACTTGTAACCTTCTCCTGAGAATATTTCTGGAGCTGAAAATGCTACGGTTCCAGTGTATGTCCACATTTCTATTTTCTCTCTATCTTTCAGATCTCCAAATTCTTTATAAGCATCGCTAAATTTACTTACATTAAAATCAGTAACTTTGATCTAATTTTTATCTATTGAATTAATATAAATACTTTCAACGCACAAAATATTATTGGGTTTCAAATCTCTATGACAAATTCCGTTTCTATGCATGTATTCTATTGCACTCAATAACTGCTTGAATAACTCCTTAGCATCACTCTCACTATAATGTCCTAATTCATTGATCACCTCAAACATTTCTTTCCCCTTAATCAATTCCATAACCACGTGAGCCTTACTTTCAGATTAGAAGCCATCATTAAAATCTATATATAATTTATGAACTTTCACAATGTTTTCATGTTACAACTTAAACATTGATTTAAACTCAAGAATCATCTACATTCATTATAATCACTTACATTTCTTATTATTTCATCATCTTATGTTTAAACAATCTTCACTGCATACTCAATTTATGATTATTTGTGTACAATCCTTTTGACCAATCCTAGACAGCCTTCTCCCAAAATTTCCATCATCTCGTAATCTTCATCAAATTTTTTTAGATTGGGACATATGTACTCTGAATCGAATTCATTTATTTCAACATCCAATTTACGCCCTAACTCCTGTAGTTCTTCATATAAATCCTTCTCATCATTTAAGGGTTTCTTTATTATCAATTGAATCCTTCCTAATATGCTTCAACATTTGTGTACCTCTTAATTGCTACTTGATCCTGTCTCTGTTATTTTATGCTTAAGTTTATTTATCGTCCGACTCAGATTTGAGAAAAGTGAACCTTCCACTTCCCTTCTTCTCAGTTGTTTAGAGTCTCGGAGGCAACCTTTACGTTTCAAACGTGGAAGATTCATTGAGTGTTATTTAAGACAATTAATCGAGCATAATACAGTAAAAATATTTTATAAAGGAATTTGTTACAGTGAATATAAAGTCTTCTTATAATATGATCGACCACAGATCCCTTTAGATTACTGAATTATATTTCTACACTGCTGTCTTAACCCATAATTTTATATATCAAATCTACTCAAGAAACTTGTTGGTTTCTCAGATATTACACGAATTAGTAATATACAATTAAAGGAAAGATTCTAAAACAAGTGAGTTACTATTAAAGACAACTTTTATTCATACTTTATATAATCATTATATTTTATAATATTAATTCTAAATTTACTAACTTCAAATAGAAATGGAATTAAATACAGATCCAATTATTTTATAAAATTCATCTACTGTCTCCTTGGGGTAATTATTATTAGCATCATCTTAGGTAATTTAAACCAAAATATTCTCAAGTAATTTACTCTGGATCACAAGTGGCTGCATCTAAAGAATAGTAGTTGAATTAAGGAAATGAAAATGATTCTAATAAATAAAAATAAGCTCCATTAATCGAAAAAGAAATTGAATTTAGAAAGATATTTTCAAAGTATTCATTTGACGCAATCTTAGATTTGCTGTGACGAATGCAATATTTGGGATTTATTATCTATTAACTCTAATTTTGCGAGGGATATTATTACTTGAGAGTGATGATGTGGTGGGTATAATATTATTGCTTACCAGGTAATTTTGTAGTCTAATTAGTTATACTTTGTGGGGAATAGCATTTTGCATAGCCATCAAGACATTCAAAGATTAAAGACCTTCATAACTAATTATATATCAAACAAATTTATTTGTAATAGGCATCATTGACTCTTATGTATAATCCTTTATCTTTTCGGCATTGCAAGGCGAAAGGGTTTTTTATGAGTTTTTCTTTATGAGTCTATGGATCACAACAATAGTCCTCTTGATAACATTATATTGCTATTGCAAAACATCAAAAGATTTGATGATTGTAATATAATACTTAAAACTTGAGTATCTTCAACATTCCTCAGATACTAATGTTTGAAAATTATTAATTGATTTATGAGAAATTTAATTTATAAACTTATTTATTACAACCTCAGTAATACCCTTTAATTTCGGAAAGTCTCCCCTAAGACAATAGCCGCTTTCTATCATAATTTTCCTCTATGATTTCCTCATCCTATTATGTTTCTGGTTTTGTAGGAACTTTCATAATATACTTTTCATAATTTGAATTATTGCTGAATCTTACGTAAGGAAACGAATTTTTATGAGATTGAGATCGTAATTAAATAATCTCCTATTCAAGTACATTTTTGCCAACAATTTCGAGATTCCCAACATCGTCAGGGACGGTTGGCATTAATTTCAAAATAAGATCAGAATTTTCAGAAAGCTTTTTGTTTAGAGCAGATTGAGACGTGAATGTGCTGAAAGGTTTAAAATCAAGTTGACTTAAGGAAGACCTTCTAACAATTTCGACTTATGGAGATTTAGGATTGCCATAGACCTAATAATTTTTTTCAAATAAATCCACAAAAGTCTTAGGTTTAATATTCGAGTCTTTTTTTCGTAATCCCAGTCGCTATTTACTTTATTGAATAAAAATACCCAAAATTAATTGCCTTGTTTCACTTCTATTGGTGTCAAAGCATCAAGTAGCCTTTTCATTTCTTCCTTAACCCTATGTTATTCTATTCTATCCAAAAGTGATTGACCTGGTAATCTTTGCATTTTAGATTCTAATTTTATTTTTGTCAAGTCCCAATCCTATTGAACCTAATCAAATGTTTCAATCACTCTTTCACACTGACTCATTTTTAAGGATTCTCCTTTTGACATTCTACTTTACAATTATCTAGTTTTTTTTTCATTCTTTATTGTTATATTTATAAATACTTCTATTTTATTCCTTTCAATCCTCTATTAGATCTATTGAATATGTTCTTAAACTTGATCATCATTTAAGATTACTTCCTAAAATTCCTTAGTTTTAACTTTATTCTTTTTTTATTAAATATCCTTACTAGATTACTCTATGACAGTATAAATGAGAATAAATACCTTTAGAACTGAAAACCATTCTTTCTGATTACTCATTTTATTATAGAGTAGAAGGAGTTGCTTGTGAATTTGCAGTAACCTTTATCTATGCAGGTTTTCTATGTTATTATTAACTTCTTGATTTTTCAGCCAAAAACTATTGCACACTTCCCACAACCGTATACTTGACAATATTCCCTTTCGAATCCTGTCTCGGTCCTTTTTCATGATCGGGTATTTTATCTAAAAGTTCCTTTGATCCACTAAAGAAATTTTTATGAGCCTCTTCAACAGCCAGAGGAGAGACGTGAGTTAAGAATTATGGTCTAACTCTAAAAAGATTCATCGTACTATCCTTGCTCTCATTAGCAAATTAGTTAAATTTTTTTTACATTTTTAATTATATTTTATGTAACATCCTAGATCAACTTCGGCTCATTATAATACTTGCAATTCTTAATATGGAAATGGTTGGCTATTGCATGATGGGAAACAACAAGTAAAGTTAAGTGAAACTCCTGTTCCTACCTATGCTGAAATTGTTAGAAGCATGCAGGTATTAACTATTACTATATATTGTAAAGGACTTTAGAAGAGCAGAGAAGCTGATTAAGAATAAATTAGTGGCTCAGCAGTTTGGTTTAGAGTAACAAAAGAAAGAGACAGAGGAAGAGAAATAAAGAAGAAAAATCGATAGTAAGGTGCCTCCCAAACCATTCCCAGTGAAGGAAAGCGAATACACAAAGCCAGCCTAAGGGATTAATGTTGGTATTCCATTTTTATTATATTTATAGGATCTCCAATTTACGAAACATCCAATATGTAATATGGACAATTAAACCCAACGAAATTTGAATTAATTGAAAAGTTTTATCCAAGAGATGCTAAATTCACTTAGGGATTCCAAGGACATACTTACAAATTTGACGGTCTTACCACTAGTGTTGCCTTTTCAAAAACCCACAAAGCTTTGGATGAGTACTGATTAAAATTATAATATTATTTTATAAGTCATAATATAATCATATAAATAATTATTAATTCACTTTTTAGGGAATGTCAAAGTAATCTTGAATTTTATTAGACTTCGTCAGATGTTCATATAGCTTTTTAAACTCTTCCTAGATCTCAGGAAATCTAATAGCTTTTTGAGATATTATTTAGTAATTAATTGGTGAGTATATTGTGAGAGGATTATATGGGGGACATTCATCCAAGGCAATAAATGGGTTTAATTACCTAGACTAGATAATTTTTGTACCCATAACCATCTATGTAAATGCCCTCTTTTAAGGGATCAAATTAAGTTGCATACTTTTTTAAAAAGTCAAGAAGAATAGATTTTTTATCATTTTGAGTGTAATGCTTGCACATATAGATGGCAGCTAACATTATTGACAAACAAAATGAAGATATTCCTCCTACAAAATTCATCTTGATAAATGATACCTGTATGAGCATCATTCAGATTTTTGGATTTGAGCAAATACTTTAAAATGAGCATTATATCCCTATACCAATAAAATCTATTCACCCAATCCTTGATGATCGTGGTTGAAGCAAATCCCAAGTGTGGATTGTTGTAGATATTGCTCCACTAGTAAATCCAAGTTAAATCCACTTGAATGATTTTGCCTAACATAAAAGGCTTGAACTACCTGAATCTTATTGATCCAAATGGAAACTTTGCCAATTCTGTTAAATATAAGCGTCATCATTGTAAAACGCAGTCTTGGGATTAAGCTCCAATTTCAGTATGGGCATATGACTTTGAATTAGTCTACAATTGGAATATAATCATACTTTGAATTGACTAAAAAAGGTGTCTATTTTAATAGTTAATTTATTGACTATAAAAAGTTAACTATCTGATTATAACTCAACGTTTAAGTCCCCCAGATTCCTATATCAACATCACTTACTTCTAAATCTAGTCCCGTTTCGAAAGATCCATAAGCATATATATTAAGGTCTGAATTCATGGAAATAATATAATGTAATCTATTGAAGCATATTCGTTTTCGTATTTTATTTTAAAAACTCTTAACTTGTATGTTATTCACAAACTCATCGATGTCTTGTGTTTTAGATTTGTTTAGGTTTAATTATTTACGTTTAATAGGAGTAGTCTATGAAGAATATGGATATTGTTTGTTTCCAACTATTTCTACATTATTTTAATTTTTCTTTTTATATTTCTCCTTGTTGCTTTGCTTTTAGATACTTGAGTTCTTCTGATTGTTCTCATCCTATTACAATTGACAGTCGTCTGATTCTGATTGGGAATTCCCTGTTGTAGTACTTACAGCACCAATCTATATAATCTTGTTAATTTTACATGATTAAATTAGGCATCCAAATCACTGGAATCTTTTTTGGATTTCTGCTCTATTTTCTATATTTGATTCAAACTACTAACTATTTATTATTTTTATGAAGTTGTTTAATACTTCATCTTATGAGTATTAGAGGGAGAAGTTTAATTACATTATTTCTCCTTAATCTATTATTCGATCTAAGGTTGTTGATGATGTTGTTTTTGGGTGAAGGTCTAGTTTTTTTGGGGTTTTTTTTGTGAATCCACTTTATTTTTCTTGTTCTTTGGCTTTTTATGTGTTTTCTTGTTAGGTTATTAAAATTATTGAGCAGTTGGTGGCAACTTAAATGCTTCAATATCACTTTGGTCTATCATTTACATTTCTAAACTTATATGAGAATATTAATTGTTTTGATTCTGTTATTAATGAATCACTTAAAATTCATCTTCAAGAACATTTAGAGATAAGTTTATCAGATTTTTTACACAATTGATGGGATCGAATTCATCATTCTTTCTTTTAAATTAAGTTTTCATCTAGAACTTAGAAAACATGATATTTACATTTCCACCTATGGTTCTTTCTTACAATGGGTCACATTCAGTGGATAACTTTTCTTTTTAGGCTTCTAATTATCTGTTTTTATAACGGAAAGTTTGTGTTCCTCTATTGACTTCATCAAACTTATTTTCACTAGTCTGGAAAGACGTACTTTAATTTAGAATATAGGAAATCATTTATTAATTATTATAATCTTTTAATGCTTGTTATTTAATCATTTTCAAAGAGAGATATATATATCCTTTAATTTATAAGATGTTGTATGATATGTAAGGTATGATATAAGAATATGAATAATATCTTAAAATATTGATTAAAATAAAGATTATTATATATTTAAATCTATGTCATTTAATCATAATTTTATATTTTTTGGACACTTCTTCGCTATTGTCAAAGGGATCATCGACTGTTGACAATCTTTTAACATAACCTAAGGTTGTGTTTCCGAATAGAAATGACCCAGATGATTAATGTTATGGTGACAATAATTGAGTACTAAATGATGCTTTACTTTTGTTCTTAACTAATCGACCTCTAGCGGATTGTATTTTTAGTTTTTGATTAAATAATTCCAATTCATCCAACATTTTCTAATCTACTACCTTCCATTAGGGTTCTGTAAATTGTTTTTCCTCTTGAAAATGATCGTTCAACTTATAAAATTATTATATTTATTATGTTAATCTTATGTAATCAGGAACCAAATTAAAAACCTAAAAGAATATAGGGTATTGTATTGATTGAAAATCAAGGATGAACTCCATTATTATCCTATTTATAAAAATAATTAGAACTTCTCAAAAAACAAGTAGATTGCTATCACGTCATTCCACACAAGTAATACAATTTCTCCAATTATTTCTTCTTGATGTTTGTCCAATTCGGATTTAATTATCTAATGATGAATTATATACTCATACTGGCATGTAGTTAAAAATAACTGTTAATAGATTGATTGCTTTATAATAGTTAGATTAGTTTTCGATAAAACCTTAAATAATATTTAACATTACTGTCCAAAGTATAAGTCTTTTGTGATTTGGCCATTTTTAGTAAGTGCAGACCGTTGGCCAATCTTTGCAGCATTTCGAAATACATCATTATAAACTTCTCTTTGTCTTGGTTCTTCTCCCTACAACCTATTTTGCTTAGGTTTACTTATAACGAAATCCATCCCAATCGAGTAGAGATTCTGAAAATTATTCGCCGTGCATGAAATCATCCAAAAGAACATGGCAAGTGGCCAAGATTTTGAGTTTTACTCGATATGATACTTTATCAGGGAGAGACTAAAAGAATTTCTAAAAGGTTTTCTTGATTGGTTGTGGAGTGCGACAAATCAATTGTTTTTCTTAAGGGAATCCTTGCATGAGCTATTTTAGATCGGCAATGTTTAGAAAGGGTTTGCTATTCAAAATGGAACTAGTAAATAGAGCCTTCTCAAAATCTGTTTATTATTTGAAGAATTTGCTAAACATTGTAAAATTAATATATAATATATATTTAATATTCCTTTTTATTCAATTGCTCATTTACCAACATTAATAAATGAAAGGGATCTTAACATAAATTGATTATTTTTACTTTGAATAAACATATCAAGGAGGAAAGAATCAATTCCAGAATGTGAAGTCCGAATTGCGAATTCCACATTTCCAACTCCAGAGATCCGTTGACTTCTTAACTTGAATATTTCTTCATCTTGATCTTCAGATTGGCCATGAACCAAATGGCATCCAAAACAATTGTGACCACTGTCAGATAAAAAACCTCCCTTAATTTGAAATTATACATATCGTAATATTTTGTTCTCGTGTTGATTTATTGAGTTGCTAAGATAGAGTAAGATGAAAAGCACAGTTAGAAATACAGGGCAATTGAAATCAAATTTGCTTAAGCAATTAATAATGCTCAAGTACTTGAATAGTTTCACCTCATCATACCACAATCGCTGTGCTGCAATTCTTTAGTGTTACATATCCAGAGGGGATCGTTGCTCCATTGTTATATCCGCTGATATACATTTTTATTTGTTTTTTTAATTTATATTATGGATAAAAGAAAGTTGTTATTTGAGGACAATTTGAAAACCAATTTCTAGGATTTCAATAATGACTTCAAGGACAATAAACTCAAAGTCAATGATATCAAAAACAGAGACTAATCCAATAAGAGAGTATCCACCAAGTATTTCAATTTGAAATGTTAGATAACCATATGAAGCAAATAATAAATCAAATGAATTGAACAATAAAACTAACTCTAGTTTTTCAATCTATCAGGATAATGATACATCCTATTTCAGAAAGAGGATAGAAGATCTATAATTCAGAGTTGACTCTTAGGACTTAAAATTGAAGGCAAAAGATAAGGAAATACAACATCAACAATCTTAGATTAAACAATATATTCTTGAATTGCATCAGATCCAAATTATAGAGAAAGATTATAAAGAGTAGATCATTGCTCTAAACAGTGTGCTCTCCTAATGGAAAGATAAATATTTTGCCAATCTCAAAGAATACTAATATAAATTAGCTACAATAACTAGACAAGCATCACAGGACTAGAATTCTTTGAAGAAAAAATATGAAGAAATCATAGAACAGCAATAAAAGGAGATCGAGTAGATTGAGTTAAGATTTGAAAATGAAAGGGATAATATCTATAAATCTATGGAATTATAAAATAAATCATAACATATAAATGAAGAGATAAATGTAAGAAATTCTCTAAGCATATAATAGGAATTGATATCGAAATATGATGAATTAGAGACTGAGAATATGGGATTAAGAGAAAAAATACTAGTGTTTGAAGCTAATTAAGATGAACTCAAATTTCACATCTAATAAATCTCTGGCAGATTATTAGAACAAGTGAACAAGACTGTTTAAGTATTATATTTATAAAATACATTAGCTTGAATAATAGAAATAATAGGAAATCTAAAATTGTTAGAACTTATTATTGGCAAAGGATAAACAAATCAATAATCTGTTAATACAAATTGAAGAATCTAAGAATGATGAGTAATATCTCGATTAAGAAAAGCTAGTACAATTAGAAAATCTGAACAATTAATTAATTGAGTAAAATTCATAATTAGAAGATGAAAATCAAAAATTGAAAACATAACATTCCGATTAATTCGAGTAAGAGAATGAAGAACTAAAACTCATCATTCAAAAATAGAAATAATAAATTTAAAAATAATAATAAGAATTGACTTAATATATCTAACAAAAAAACTAATTTGAATAGCTATCAATCTCAGAAGCAAATTTAAAATCATAAGAATAATAAGTTGAATTTAATGCAATACTTCAATAATTAAGTTAGGCAGAATAGGAATGTGAAAAATTAAGACAATAGAATCATACCCTCTAAAATAGTATATCTAATTAGTAGATCTTTGGATATTAGAAGGATGAATTATTAGAATAGATTGAATCATATGTAAGAGATATTAAGGAGAAAGATGAAGTGATATAATCATAAAGAATAAATTAAAAAGAATTTGAGAAGGTATTGGCTCAATATAGAGCAGAAAATAAAGAATATAAAACAAAAAATGAGCTATTGTCAAATTAAAATGAAATATCAACACTTTAAATAGAAGAAATATTGAGGGAAAAATAACAATTATAAAAGTAGTTAGAAAGTTTAGCAAATGAAAATAAATTATAAACTAAAGAAATTCAAAATCTCTAAGAAACTATTAATATATAGATGAGAAAAGAAAATGACAATTCATTAATTATGAAGATAGAGAATTTGAAAAACAAGAATTCCATTCTTTAAGAATAAAATATTATGCTTTCATAAAAGGCAGATGAAGTTTTGGAGGAATTTGAACAAAAAACTAAATTTTATTAACTAGAAATTGCTGAAACATAAGAATTATATAATTTAATTTCCCTTTAATTAAATGAAAAAGAACTCAAATTGAAACAACTTGAAGAAAACCTGGTTTTATAAAAGGAACATTCGTAATAACTATTTGAAAACAATTAAACTTTGCAGGAAGATCAAAGGCTATATCATTAACAATTGTCTAATTTCAAATAAATAACTGAGGATACTTAAATCTATGATGTTGATTTTTAAAATCAACTTTAGGACTAGTAAATAAAGTCTAAGACTTCTGATAGATAAAAAGGCTTCGAATTTAACAATGTGGAAGAGCGGTAAGAAATCACAACTTATGTGAGTAAATAAGAAAATAATTAAAATGAAGAGCTTCTATAAATGATAAACGATTTTGATTTGTAATTAAGATCAGAAAAAGAATTAAATGAAAATCTAAATCTTCAGCTTCAAAATTTGCAAGGTGAATTTTTAGCATTGTAAGAGGATAAGCTTAAATCTTTAATATAAACTGAGAAATAAGAGGAATAGATAAAATAACTAACATAAAAATTAACAGAATAAAAACTATTAAATGAAGATTTACAATAAACATATCAGAGTAATTTAGAGATCGAATTAGAAAAAAATAAAAACACTTTTGAAAATACAATAAACTTATTGCAAGAAGAAAAAGATTAACTAAAATAAAAAACTATTGAAGCCATATAGGAAAACATCGATTTATAAAATAAATTATAATAGTTTGAAACAGAATTATTATAAAAACAATTATAATTATCAAGAATTGATCATTAATAGGTAGTTGAATCATATGAAAATGAGAATAGCAATAACTTTGAACTTGAGTAGTCAACAGAAGGAAGACAATACTTAATAGTTAAAAATGAAAAAAGTGAATAAGTAAATAATTAGTAAGAAGATGATGTGTAAGTTTAGGAATTTATGAAGGATGAAAATAGTTAAATTAAAAAACTAGAATAAGAATTTGAGTTCTAATAGTAAGCTTAGGTTCCATTGAATTAAAAAGGACTGAGAGAATAAATAGTATCTTCATTTGAATAAAGCTCATAAAGTGTAGAATAAGCATCAAATTAAGAAACTCTCGTCTTAAAATTAATTGAAAAGATTAATTTTGATGAACACTCTGTTTTATCAAATCCAAAACCTGAACAATAGGAACTATTTGAGGTCGACTAGCAACCCAAGGAAGTTTCCTTTAACTAACAACAAGACGACCCTTCTAAAATTTCCAAAGAATTAGCGAATAATTTGATTAATGTAATAATTTTATTTATTTATAGAATGTCTTAATTGATGCAATCGAATCAGTACTTAATTTAAGTAAGTGAATTATTAATGTATATCATTTAAAACTTAAATTTATATCAATCAACTTAAATTGTATATTCCCTATTAATATATAATTATCTAATAATTTTATATATCTAACCGATCAAATGGCATCCTACATCCATTATGAATATTGATAAGACTATCTTATTGGTAAAATATCTAAGTTATATATTTTTTAACTTAAACTTCTTTTACACAATACTAAATACTTTTAATTTTATACAAAAAAAATTTAATAAAAAATATACTCTGAATAATTATGATAATATTTAATTATAACATAATAGAAAAAGCACATATAATAATCCTAATATATAAAATATATAATCCCTTATACAATTAGAGAAATCAATTTAATTACTTAAACAGCACATAGAATATTGTCATTTAAGTGAAAAATTAATTATAATTAATAATACTTTATAAGTTAATAACTTAATTCTCCAGATATATAATATTGTTGTCCTAAAATTTAACAAATAAATCAGCAACAACTGTCTTATTTTTTTGGTTTTTCCTCTTAAGGCAATGGAGTTTGTAAATATTATTGGGGTTGTGGTTTTCTTACTTTTCCAGCGATTCCTGTTTCCTGAATTTACTGAGTAAAAGCTTGAAATGCAGCTTCCACCTAGTTGATATTAATGATAAATACTTGATCACTTGTTTTTGCACTAACTTCAAAGAATTTTAGATTATATTCTTTGGCCATTTCTTCAGCCATAGCTGTGGTTACTTATCTAGATTCATCGGTTGCTAAATCGCTTTTGTTTCCCAAAAGCATCAACAATACATTTTCGTCTGCATAATGATTGAGTTCGTTCATCCAATATTTACGGATATCTTCAAAAGACTTAAGGTTTGTAATATCGTAAACAACAACGATTCCTTATGCTCCTTTGTAGTAAGAGTTAGTAATATTTCTAAATCTCTCCTAACCAGCGGTATCCCATATCTACAATTTAACTCCCTATCCATTAACCCTAAGCGATTTAAAACGAAAATCAACTCCGATTGTGCTGAGATACATATCTCTGAATTAATCATCGCAGAATCGAATAAGCAATGAAGACTTTCCAACAGCACTATTCCCTACTATTACTATTTTGTATAATTACTCCTCCATTTTTTAAATTATTATTTTACAAGAATTCATCGTCACTTATTAGATATCATTCTGTATTCATTCATTTAAATAAATGATGTAAATATATATTGTATATGCACTCCACATCAATTTATTTAATTAATCGGCCATTCTTAATTATTTTCAATCAAGAGTCCTTCTCAGATTCTACATCCACAATTTTTGTGAAAACTATAAATGTGAATTAGATATCGAGAAGCATTCAAAATATTCCAATTCATAGTCAATTTACTTATTAGCATCATTATTTATAAAATTACTGCAAGTTCTACATATATTTTGATATCTATAAAATTTATAATTCACATTAATTTATGTTCCTATTCCATAAAACTGTTTTTGATTTATAGAATGAGACTCTTGATATTCAACTTGCAGTTTGCTTTTTACTTTATTAATCAACAACAAAAAATCAATGTATTCGAACATGATTTAAGGAATACCAGTCTCCATGTATAGTCTTTTTTAATATTCTCTAGGGACTAGAACTCCTCTTGTTATGCCAAGCAAAATAATATTGTTTATGAAAATGTAGTAATGGTCAATAAGTAATTTCTCAACATTATTCATAGATAACTTCCCTTATGGGCCAATGATTAAGAAAAATAAACTGAAATATAATGTTAGTTTTGTAAACGTCCAATCATTACGTTAACGAAATAAAGAATTGGAAAAGGTTCTATAGTATGTTCACTTATTTTAATCTTAACCTTTCCAATACTGTTTTGGTTGCCTTGTTATAAAGAGTCTTGCCAAGATGTAGTTCATTTATGTCCTAATTGCGGTCATATAGTTGGCGAAAAACTCTATAAACCATGTTCTTGAATTATAAATTGATATTATATTGCTATCTGTTTTAAAGTTAATCAAATTTAATCGAATTCTAATTGCTTACAATTAATCTCCAAGATCAGAACATATTGTTATTATCAAATAATATATTCAATTCAGAATTAGAACTAAAATTAATTGCCTAAATTTATTTCGTTATTATTAGAAATCTTTAAGAAATTACAAATAGCCACAATTTTAGCAAGATTATATAAGTTTATTCATTTCGAGCAGGATCTCTATAATAAGGCATTTGTAGCCATTAATTTGAGTAACAGAAAAGGAAACCAAATTTTATAGTAAATTCTAATTTAAGAGATACTTAGCTAGAATTAATAAAGGTTTTTCTAAATACCAAAATCAAATTAGTCAGAAAAAGACCCTTAAATATTAAATTAGAAAATAAATATGACAAAAAAGATTAAGAAACAATACTTATCATTGTAGATATTAGTTTAAGCAAATTTTTCAAAAGGTGAAAATGATTCACAGAAATTATCATGCAAATATTACAGATCTTTTGAGAGAGATATAATCATTTATTGGAACAATCTGCTACAAGAGCATCAATACATATCTAAGATTTTCAATAAATAGACGGTTAAATTGGAGTTTTTGGGTTATACGTTTAAGGAATTTTATGATAAATTTAATATTGATAATGGAATTTCTCAATCACTTAATATTTTGGATATTCTGTGTAGTTTTATATATGTGACAATGTATAATATTTATTAGCTGATTCAAATACATTATCTATTAATTTAATAAATATCAAATTCAGGCTTAAAGAAGGTCTAATTCATTTAATTTAATAATTCTCATAAATTTTTTGTTGAAATCAAATTCTTTATTTTTCTTTCTTCAATCTCTTGATGTAATTTTTCTTCTTTTATTTTATCTTTAGGTTATTTCGTATACTTCAAAATCGAATAAATGATAGATTCTATCATTTTTTCATAGTAATGCTATTATGATATATCAATTAGGCAATAGTAACATAATTTATAATCCTTTTGATATAAATAAAATTGAGAATTAACTACATTATCGAAAGTAAAGTTATTTTGGAGATTATTAGTGCATTAATTAAAAAAGTTAATTACTATTATTTAGATACTTAATACTGAAATCAGGATTTAAAAATCTTTGATTTTAATTTATAATTATTTATAAATAATTAAAATGGGTCAAGAGCAATCAAAATTATTTAAGCGTCAACCTTGTACCTTACAATACAAATATGATGATCATGTAACTTTTAATAATAGATAAATAGGATATATCATTGAAATTCGACCCTAAAGCAAAGGTGGGATACCAAAAACCTTTGCGATTTTAGGAAATTGTACATATAAATCCAGCATTACGAGATTTGGATAAGGGTAAAATAAAGGGCATTTATTTTAGATATCCTCATCTAATTGCAATTTTTACATGAGCAAGCACTCAAATTAATCATTTTTGAGAAATTAAAGAAATGCGATGAATTAGTGATATTGTACTAAGCTACCAAATTCATTGTTAATTGTACTTCAAATGAGTGCTTGGAACTTATTAATACTTTTAATATCATCAACATCTTAACTTAAAAGCAGGAACAGGACTTAGACAAATAAATATTGATTATTATTATTATACACAACATTGTTGGCAAACTACCTTCAATTATATTGGAATAATAATAAATATTATGGCTGATTAGACATTTGAATCCTTATAATGCTCTAAATGTTGCTTTAATTTTATAGATATTAGCAGATATTTGTGTAAATCAAGATAAATGCATTGAGAATATCATTGAAATTCTAAATAAACTCAAGGATGAAGCCAAATGGAGATTTGCCACTGAACCCATATTCAAAATCATGGAAGTCTAATAAAACATTTATCTAATAAGAGATGCATGCACATTTATAAATGCTTTAGCAGAGACTCATTCAGATGACGAAATGTGTGAATTGATTAAATAATAAATCCAGCAATATGGTCTAACAGTAATTTATGATGATGTAAAGCTAAAACTCAAAAATTAAGAATATTAAATATCTCATTGCTCTTATGAATATGCTATGCAATTTTTGTATGACTAAAAATATATTCCGCATTACTCTCAAGTTGATAACTACTATTTCAACAATCTTTAGGAATTTGATCCCAAAAAGCCATTGATATTTAAATATGGATACTTTGATGAAATTTTTAATACAGATCCAGACTATTTTGAAATGTAAAAGAATCAACTTTAAGTTTAATTGGATGTTTATGATTAATTCATTTAGCCAGCTTTCAATCCAAATAAAACTATGTTGGAAAGGTAAAATCCCTTATTTTTATCTACTATAACCAAAAAAGGAAGTGAGGAGGGTTTAGTTGGTGCTTTGAAAGGATTATGGGAAAATAAACCAAGTGAAACAACAAATTAATAGATTATATTGAATGCCATCAAAAAGGCCAACTCATTGCCTGAAATACAAGAATTACTTGTTAAATTGAATGAGGAATCTTCTGGGGTTTCTGTTCTGTCTAGATTGATCGATTTGTTAACAAGAAAATTGGATCAGATTATGGCAGATTAAAAGAAAAGAGATCAAATGAAGAAGGAAAGGGAAGAAGGATATAAATAATAAATTGTAATCCATATATATATAGTAGGCATATTTACAATTAGAAATTAAACAGAGAACTAGCTAGGAAAGTTAAAGAGATTTAAAGAACCTTAATGAAAAACTAAATCAACTCATAGATGAAAACAAAAAGTTGCAAGATCAAAGCTAATAATACTCTTAACTCAAAAATAAATTCTAAGATATGTCAGGTTAATTGTTAGAAGCTTAGAAGGTTATGGCTAAAGCCTAATAAGTAGCAGAATTAGAAGCAAAGTTAGAAGAATATGCTAGTGAAATAAACAGATTAAAAACTACTCATATTCAACCCTAATTATGTAAAATACAGGCATCAGATGGAGGCTCAGAACCTCCTCCTAACCCAACTGACAATATTACAACAGTTTAAGCAGCTCCTTAAAAGGCTGCTCCACCACCTCCTCCTCCTCCACCTCCACCGCCACCTCCCCCTTCGGCAAAATCTTAAGTTCCACCTCCACCACCACCTCCTCCCTCTGTTCCTAAATCTACTAACAATTCTGCACCTCCTCCACCGCCACCACCACCTCCTCCCCCAGGAGGCAAAACTGGAGCTCCACCTCCACCACCTCCTCCCCCTGGAGCTAAAGCTGGTGGTCCTCCTCCTCCACCTCCTCCACCTGGTGGAAAAGCTCCTCCTCTTCCTAATGCAAAACCTGCTGTACCAACAAAACCTAAATGTTAACCAACAGTGCCAATGAAAGGATTAAGTTGGAATATTTTAAAACCAGATTAAATTGGAAATTCAGTATTTTAAGGAATGAATGAGAATGAAATTAAATTTGATATTAAATCTTTAGAAGAGAAATTCGCTTCTAAACCTGCAAAATAAATCCAATAGAGTGTTGGTGCAAGCGATAAAAAAAAAGAAGTTTAGAAAATCAGTTTATTGAGTGGGGAGAGAACAAAGAATATAGAGCTCATATTGGGTAAATTAAGAATGAGTAATGAAAAAATAAAGAATGCTTTATTAGAATGCGATAAATCAACCTTGAATTTAAATGTGATAGAATCTTTATTAAATGTTGTTCCAACTGATTAAGAAAGATCTTTGTATGCAAATCCCGAAGAATTAGATAGGGAGAGTTTATAATTGTCTGATCTATTTTACTTAGAGTTGTGTTAGGTTCCAGCACATGCAGATAGAATGTAGGCTATTAGAGCTGAGTTTTTGGGAATAGACATGTGTAAGGAATGCAGAGGAAAATTAAAACAATTAAAGAAGGGATTTGAATTTTAGAAGAATGATGAACCATTCAAATTATTGATAAAATGCACATTAGCCATAGGTAATTATGTAAATGGGGATTCTGCTAGAGGTGGAGCCTTTGGGTTCAAAATAGATGCTATAGCAAAAGCAGCAGATATAAAGAGTACAGATGGAAAAGAAACATTATTAATGAGTATTGTTTAAGAGTGCGAATAAATTTATGAAAAGCAAGGAAAGGGACCATTTTTCTCAAATGATCGCAATGATCTTCTTGAATTTATGTGTAAATTACCTATTTCTTAGATGAATATTGATATAAATGAAATAAAGAAAGTATAGAAGTTTGTTTAGCTTGCAATAAAGAGTTAATCTAAGCATCCTAATGATAAAGTAAGTAGATTTGAAGAATTGTCATAATAACTATTATTGGAAATAACAGATTTATCTCAACTTTTATCAACATGTGAATCAATATATTCAGATCTATGTATATTTTATTGTGAAAATCCAAAAACTCTATAGAGTGATGCATTTTTCTAATCCATCCAATCAGTTTGGAATAATTGCATTAGAGTATTTAAATTTATATTTTAAGTCCAAACAACAAATAGAAAAGTTATAATAATTAAAGATCAAAGAAGAATAAAGGAATAAATTAGAATAACAGAAGAAACAACAGTAACCAATTGCAAATTAGGCCAATATGCATGAATCATTGCCAAAAAGAGTGGGGGCATTACAATAGCTGTAATAATCTTTACCAAGTGATGCAGTTAATTAATTAAGAATGATGAAATAAAACAAAAATGAAAACAACTGAATATGAGTATTTTTAAATATATTAAGAGTTTAAATTTAATTATAATTAATAAGAATTACTTAAAATTTTGTTTTTTTTTTTAATTAGAATGATAAGCATTCTTTTTTTAGATCCTAATTAATTTAAGATTATATTAGTCTAATTTAATACAGATATTCTGAATGAAACTATTTGTTATCTATATAATAATTATGATTAAATGAAGTTAATCTAAAGATATATGGTTTACAATCTATCAATAAATATTCATTTCAAATAATTTAAATATTCGATTTTTAGCTTCAAATCAACCTTTCTAAGTTTATTTTACCAATTAAAATCAAAATTTTTAATCCAAAAATTAATTATGATAATAAAATATTTATTAATGCTACAATTTTGAAATGATGAATTTAAAAGGTTCATATAAATCTTGTTGAGAATACTTTCTCCTAAAAATGGAAAAATGATATAGAAATATTTATCTTAGGCACTAATTTCAAAGTAGGTGATCCTTGAAAAACTTAACTTGACTCCTTTTGGATATCCTTTAAATTTTCTCTTTTTCTTACTTTGACTCTAAAACCAGATTTCTGATCTAAATCCTTTTTATAGAGACTATATTCCTTGTTTTTAGGTCCCATAATTTTTATTCCCCTTCACTTTCTCCAACATTTGCAATTAATATTGTTATTTATATATTGATTCTAATACTTTTGTGCCAATAGCCACTAAATTCGTTAATCCCTCAATTATTTTAACACTATAAATTCTAAAAATGTTTCCTGATACCTAATTAAAGGTCATACTATCCTACAGCTATGGCTTTCATCTGATCCCAAATCACAAGCTTTGTAGTTATTTGCTTTTGTTTATATATGATAGATTGAGATTCTCTTATATTAGAGATATTGATTATTAATTTATGTTATAAAATTTTAAAGAATATTTTACCATTTATTAAGAACATTTGAGAAACAAAGATTAGTGGAGATTGCTAATGGTCTTCGTCTCTATCTATTAAATGTGTGATGTTATTATTGTAACAGGAGATGCAGTTAATGAAAAAATTTAAGGCGACAAATTCATAATGATATATAGAATCTTGGTAATATACATTACCATTATAGACCCAAATACTTTTGATTGCGTTCTTCGAAGTACTACTATTGAGATTACTCAAAATAAAAAATGGATTGATAAATCTAGTGACATTGCTAAAATTTATATGTGTAGTAATTTGTTGGGAAGAGCTGGATTATTACACAGAGGAACAATTATTTCATAGAATACTGGATAAATTCCTAATTCTGATGTTCTTCGTTTTTGCAATAGAATCTTAAGTTTGTTAGACATTGGCCATAATTTTCAATTTGGTTTACACATTGCTTCGAAACTTTGAGTTCAATTCTAAAATAAACACAATATTTGGGATAAAGATAATTGTGATTCATGTGATCCTTTAATTCTTTATGATAACAGTCAATAAAAAGAACATTAGACCTAATTCAAATTCTTAACTAGTAGCTATGGGATCTAGCAATAAAATGATATATACCCAATTGAATTCTTAGAGATAATCCAATCCGAGTAGAACTCTTCATCAATTATATATAGATATACCTGAAAATCGGAATATCTCTCAACTACCACAAGAATAAAAATAAGATGATCAATAAACAGAATCGGTTCAATAAGATCAAATAAATGAAGCCATACTCTCTTCAGCAGAACTTGGAATCTACCTAGTGGATAATCTAACTCAAAGTGTGTAAGTAATAAACCCACAGTTGTCCAATATTATAATGAAAGAAGATCAGCTGAGCACTGAATTTCTCGAGACTGAATTGTACGATTTCGGATTGCTTCTTGAAGAACCTTGTTTATTATTGCCTAAATTTCATAGGAGTCATGATATTGGACAGTTCCTAATATTCACTAAAACCTTGGAGTATTGTATAAATTTATATTGTTGAGTTCCATCTATTTTGGAGAATAATATCTAGAGTGAACCTTCCCAAATCAAGCGATTGCAACTATTAACCAAAAAAATATCCTTTAAAGCATTCTTCGATAATCTAATTGCTTACAATCATCTGAAATACTCAAACTATCGTTAACTTATTGACTTTTCCCTCAAAGTATACATCAAATTCGATTCTTGCTATATGCAAGTTGTTCTATCGCCATTAATCTATAAACTTAAGCCTTAAATTGCTATCTTCGTTTCTGACATTACAGAAGATCCTTATATCACATAATTACTGAATGCTACTAAAAACAATGATTTTATGATTAATGATATTTCTCAAAAGATTAAATAACCCTTAAATTGTACAATATCTATGTTAGAAATTATAATGGTATGTCAATCACTTAATATTATATAAGAACACCACTCCACATGAAATAAGAGAAAAATATATCAGTCCAGCACTTGCGGGTTGTAAATTATTAATTAATACTGCAAATGACATTCTTGATTACGCTTAGCTCCAAAAGAAAGATAAATTAGACTTAGTTTAGATGGATGTTCAGATATAAGAATTTGTGACTGATATCATCAATGTAGTAAAATCTTAAGCCATTTTCAGAGGATTAAAAATATCCATTAATATTAAACAGAATGTTCCTTAATTTATTAGAACGGATCCAAATAGATTAAGATAAATCTTAATTAATTTATTAGTAACTTCAATTTAAGCGACTGTTCGTGGCTCCATTATATTTTGTGTTTCCAAAAGTTAACTGCTAAATGAACATGTAGACTTCATTGTGAAAGTCAAGGCTAATGAAACTAATTTCTCAATTCTTAAGATTATTGAGAGAACAGTGAGATTCTTTAAATCATAAACTTTAAAGTCTAAGATATTAGATCTTGGTCATCTTAGACAGTATTCATAATCAATTTTGATCTCATTCTATTTAACAAAATGTCTATCCCAAATTCCATTTGAATATAATTATGAGCGTGTTGATAATAAGGAGGAATTTAGTTTTGTCATTAAAATATAAAATTTATATCCACAATTTAATCAAAATTTGAATTAAAAAAGATTGTCGGAATTCACAAATTAGTAAAGTTTTTATTAATAGTATCAAAATAAAGGAGACTTAAAGAGATATTAATCTTAGATGTCAAGTTTACAAGCAGAAGATCTCAATATCAAAGTGGAACTCAAAGAGGCTAAGCAAAAGCTGAATATCAATATCATCCAAAATTAAGGGCCAGTACCCAAAGATAAATAATAGGAAATTCAAGAACAATCTAATGAATCCGATGAAAGTCTTTCTGATTTGCAAGATGACGAAGTATCCATAGAGTCTAAGAATGGGATTTCCTATAGAGTGGAACAAATGCTAAAAATAAAACCATACTTTTTTGATTATGTTAATGAAACCTAAAAGAAGTATGAAGGATCAAACTCTTAGCCATCCCAACAACTTACATTTGGAGGATTAGGATAAGGCAGATCATCCATTTATTCTTCACTTTGCTTCACCAGTGGAACCATGCAACCCAATGATTTACTGGATTGTTTTGAAAAAATGGAAAAAATAAAACAACAAAAAAACAAATCCAATTGTGGAGTAATTTTTATTTTAATAGTTAGTGTACAAAGATATTGATTTGCGAGAGTGTCGATCTTGATCTTTATGCTTTATCACATTAATTGACTAATATTGGAATTACATATGAGTATATTACTCAGAAATCTCAAATAGTGAGCACTCTTGTTAAATTATTAAATAGTGATTTGTAATAGTAGTAAAATAGTAATTAATAAAAGTAGAATATTGATAATCAATAATTAAAGATCACAAATGATAATTAATAGCTGAAGAACAATGAAAATTAACCTTGTTGTAAAGGATTATAACTAATATTCCTTGCTATTGAATAATAAGAGGAGGAACTATTTGCTTTGTTTAATTCAATAAAAGATGTCTATGCAGAGTTCAAAGCGGAACCCAGAATTATCGGATTGATTGGTTGTATGGATGAAGAAAATCGAGCTCAATTAAGAAAGCTTCCCTTCCATGATTATTTGTCAAAACCCATTATGATCGATGCCCTACTCTTTATCTTGGCTAAATGGATTAAAATGAATTGATAATATATTTAAATATGTTTAATAAATGGTTTAAACCTACAATCCCAATATTGCGAATCAATTCAGGAATTGATCATAATAGTGCTAAATTGGTTGAGGAATCCTTAAAGCCACTTACTAGAATGAAAGCCCTAGCAGTTGTCGTGAATTCGACTGGAGGTTTGCTTGTATAGGGAGAATTAATGAAAAAGAAAATAGAATTATTTGCTAAAACTCATAAAATACCTCTTTACACATTTGCAGAAGATTCTGCATTGTCAGCTGGATATTATTTATTATCAATTGGAAATAAGATATTTGTTGATGAAGCATCTATGGTTGGTTCAATTGGAGTGTTGTATTTGAATCTGAGTATTGATAAGCTAACCAGAAAATTAGGCTTTGAACCCCGAAAGTTTTCTTCAAATAAGTAATTTGATTTTAGACTATATATGTAAATAGAAAGCTTTTCTTAAACATCACAGGGTTAAATGATGAAAGAGATGAGGAGATGGAGGGAATAGTAAAGGATTAATTTGGAATAATGAGATAATAATTTTTTGATCATTGTGATAAATATAGACCACAATTATAAAAATAAGATGCGGATGTTAAGGATTTAATTTATAATGCCAATATATTTACTGGGATAGAGGCAGTTAAATATGGGTAAATGATTAGTCAATATAATTGATAGATTGGCTGATGAAATTGGAAATTTTGAGGAAGTGTTGAATCGCTTACATCCTGATTGCTAATTAAGAGACATTACTAGAATACCACTTGCTTAATATTACATAATGAAGTAATAGTCATAATGAGTTTAATAAAAATTTCACTGTGGAACATTTTATAAATCAATTAATTGAGATAATTCAAAAGATATTGCATTCCTCCTTCTGATCTGGTTTCTTCTTGCTATTAGGCTACTATCCAATTTGGCTCTATTTAATTGCTTATTAATTCATCAACTCAGGTAAATTGCTACCTCTAAAGATTTATTCATAATTGGAGAAATCCAACTAAGTAAGAGCTGACTTTTATTCGGCATCTAGCATTGGTAAATTAGCTAAAAATTCATCAATTTATCTTTGTATGTCTTCTAACTCATCTTTCGATTTTTATGCTTTGTTGATAGTCTCCTACAATTTCACCTGTTTGATGTCGATACTCTGAGTTTTTTCGATGTTTGATTATTTAAGTTCGATTTTCTAAGTTTCAATTTCTTGAAGTTGTAATATTATTGAATTCTTTTGATATGTAGCTTCTATGATATCCTCATCAAGCTTTTAAATCTTCTGTTCAGAGGTAACTTCACCTGGATTGGAATGAAGTAAATTCTTAAATGAATATAGTTATTATCTTTTATTCGCTAATTCAACATTCGCAGATTCTAAAGATATGGCGAGCTCCTCCCTTTACTTTTTGGCACTTAGAATTAGAATACGCTCAAGGAATATACGTTCACAGTATTCACATACGGGATGAAGAACTTCATCGTTTAGTTTTCTTCTCTTAACCAAGCAATTAGAACAGGTGGATTTTCCACAAAAATCACTAATCTTAGAACCAAACTTTACCAATGATTTGGACGTTCAAGTTCATCATCGCAAATGTGGCATACTAATTAATTTTCAAATTCAACTGCTATCTTAGGTTCAGGATAAACAATCTATTCACTCAACATTATATATATAATTTTCCTGGCTTATTAAAATTAAATGATCAACTCAAGTTTATTCAGCAAACCTAAATAGAGATAAATCTATTTAATTTACGCTTCCCGTAATCATACTCAACCGAAATCCACTCCACGCACTCATCTTAAATTACCTAACTGCTCTCCTAGAATTAATGAAAATAAATCGAAAAAAACCAATAGCTTTTATATTCATAAAATGCAGAGATCATAATAACAGAGTCCTGTTGTTAGATAACCAATTCGAAACAGAGATTCAAGTGAAAGCTTCATGAGGGATTTAGAATTATCTGGCAATGAAGATTTGAAAGACATCAACAAGAGTCTGTTATTGACTTCACAAGAGATCAATAAGAAAATGCAATTTAATATCGAATCATACTTAAATAATACTCTGAAATCAAAAAGAATCAATCAAAACCTTAATAATATGATTGATTTTGATTTGAACCAAGATAATAATTCAATTAACTCCTTTGAGTTCTCAAGAAGTCGCAGAGAAACTCCTCTTCAACCAATTAGAGTTTATTATAAAAAGTGATGATATTTTGTGTAATATATTACTCATAGCTTCATAAATTATTCATATTCTAAGAATAACGGGGAAGTATCATAAGAAAGGTTTGCTGTTTGCCTAGATTCAAACTAAAGTTTCTATAATTAAGTTGCATTTTGAATCATTAAACTTGTGAGAGGATCCTCCTTGAAATAATTTAATTATTGAATTAAAGCATTAAATATTTTTTCCAAAGCAATTTAAGAGTATTAATCTTACTATGTCTACATTTAACTTTGAATATTTTCTATATCCTTTAATAATTAATGGATCTACTTATTTATAAATTTATTTTTATTATATTTGCTATTATTTTGCTAATTCTATAATTCTATTTGCTTGATATCATTTCTATCCTATTAAATTGATTTATGAATAAATATCGGTCCAACATTTTCACAGGACACCTTGTTCTCCTTCTTAATACTCGGTCGTTTCGGAGGCTACGACTACTGTCTCTTTAAATTCGGTAATATTTGAAAATTCTTGAGTCCAATTCTGTTTGTGCCTTCTTCATCGGATTCAATTAAATCAAAACTGTTTTTCTTCGAAATCTCAATAGTTTATTCCTTTTATTTCATCTTATCTTTTTCTTCCTTCTTGATAGGCTAGACAATAGATGAGCTATATGGGTCTTTATGTTATTTAAAAATATGATTCCTTATAAAGATGAGTTCTAAAACTGAAATTAGTTTGCTTAAGGTATAATTCTTTTGGATAATATCAAACGGTCTTTTTTGTTCTTCATTATATGTAAACAGCAAGTAAGGATTGATAGAGTAAAGCTATAAAATTATTTTAATATTTTCACTCTTGGCAGCAAAATGCATCACTTAATAGTTTTAATATTAATACCTGAATTGCCTTTGTGACCCAGCAATTTGAATGAAAAAACATCTCGTTAGTATTATTCATTTATTGATATTGCAAAACGCAATGCAGAATAGGATGACTTTTTGATAGCCAAATGCAAAGGCGTGTTATTATTGATATTCCTTTGATTAGAGTCAACACCTCTTTCGATCAACAAGTGCCCAATTTTTGTGGCTTCTTATAGATTCTTTTTAAAAGATGGAATCAAATTATGCATAGGACCATTACCTTTTTTATCTTACTTGTTAATTTAAACTTTGGCATTTAAAATGTCTCTGATTAAGTAGTATTACATTTTACTCACAGCTTAGTTAAGAACACTGTTGTATTCTCCTCTTTTAAAATAAATCACATGTATTACCCTCCTATATTTAGATTTGTAGATGCATTTATTATTATTTTGGCACAATGGTATTTTTCTTCTTTGATCGCTAATGAAAGGGGAGTGTGAGAAGCATCATCCAATTAAGAGGATAGTTCGAATCTTATATTGAGAAGGGCTCTCACAACCCCTATGTCTTCATTCTCAACTGCAATATGCATTAGATTCGACCCATTGTCAGAGACATCAGCATCCTAACCTAGGGTTTTGGTCTAGATGAATTGGCAACTGCTTGACAATTCTTAGAGAGTTAATTCAGTATTTCTTTAAGTTGCTCTAGTAATGTTGGATTATTTTGGGATTTGAACAGTGATTGAATCTTGAATTTGATCATCATGATATTTTTGATTGTATATCAAGTAATCGTGGCAAATGATAAATTCATTATCTTTGAGGAGTTGATTTATTTAATCCCAAAATCTTTAGAGATCATCTGCTATCATCATGTCTTTCTCTAAAATTATAATATGAATGTTTATTACTGGATGAATAATAGATTTGATTAGTGTACTTAATCCAATCTAAACCAAGTCCTTTGAGTTACTTCTCTAAATTCAATATTGCTTTAGGTATCTTTGTGAAATCATTGCTTCTTAAATCAACAATTTTAAGTTGTTCCATTTGAAATAATTCATCTGGTAAAATACGTATATGATTTTTGCCAACATCCAATCTCTCTAATGAAGTTTTCCACTTCTCCCCCAATTTGAGACTCTTTAATAGGTTATTATTGAGATTGATGTGTGATAGAGATAATTCAAATATACAATTTGGAACTTCCTGAAATAGATTATTGGCTAAATTGATAATCGATAAACGAATGTATTGTTATATTCCTTCATGTAAAGAAGTCATTTTGGAATTTGAAAGATCCAGCACTCTTACATTATGATCATAACTATTAATTAGATTCAAATTCTGCATTTTGACAATATACTTCGTCTATTGTTTTTTCATCTAAGACATTTATCTATCTAAAACTGAATGCTTTATACGTTTAATTTTCTTTTTGGCTTGTTTCATCAAAATCAAAGACTCCCCTTTACTTTTCTTTAATGGAATACTCATCTTTAAGGTTCATGTCCTTCCTTCTCTTAAACTATATCTGATCCTGCTCATATTGATGACAGGTATTTTCATATGATTATAATGTATTACTCATAACTGATCGATATATTTTAATTATTGATTTTATCAATTACATAACCCAAATACAAAATACTTATCAAAATGTAATTATAGGAACATACTTGAATCAAATATTCATAAATACGCCCTCTTTATTAGAAAATAGCCAAATATAAATATATACTACATTATTATCATTTTATTATAAAAATAATAAATCATAAATTACATTATATATATCTCTGATTATTTATATAAAAATAATAATAACACACATAACTTCTCATAATAAGAAGGGAAATAGGTTTGTGAATTGCTGAAAACAATTAATATCGTTTGTTTATTGAAGAATGAAATTTTAGTTTATTTAGAGTATAAGATGACCAATTTAAAGAAGAATTCTATTTTAAAGGAGTAGGTTGATGTGAATCAGTTACTATTCACGTAGTTTGAATCATAAATTCGAATTATTTTGCTCATCTCTTTTTTCAATACAAATGTTACAATCAGAAAACCATTATTGATGTTATGTATTAAAAGCAATTACATTAATTTAATTATATCAAGTTAAGTAGCTTGGTATAAAGATTTCGGTAGCAATAGAACTTGATGGGTTCCTGAGTCAAATAAAGTATTACAAATTACACCTTTTAAATTATAAGGCAATTAATTTTAAGTGTATTAGTTATTAACCTTCGAAAAGTGATTCACAATCTAATGTTTACTCATCATAGCAGTAGTTTTGGAAACTTGGATGCAAATAAGAAATTTGATTTATTCATAAAGCAAATACTTGAGTGAATTAGAATCTTAGAACAATGAAACTAAAAGTGTGTTTGCATGATTAAGGATGTAGATTTAAGCTATTTGGAGAGATTTTGATTTTGAGTAAAGAATAAATAATTCATAGATTATATTATTATTATTATATTAATTCAATTCACACGTGTGTTTGGAATTAAATAAATGTAAAAAATAACCACGTTAAATAACAATAATAAAAATGACAAATAAAACCAAGATCCTCAATTATATGAGACCAGCCATGGCCATCATCCCAGATGTGGCTGAGCCTGAAAGAAGAGTACCAATATTAAATTGATTTTAGATCTTATTTAAATACAGAGCATTATGGACAGCCATTGCAACTTTGCTATATCTGATTTGCTCCCAAATTCCACTCTATGGTATATACAAATCTTCTGCTGGTGATCCATTCTATTGGATGAGAGTCATATTAGCATCTAATAGAGGTACTTTGATGGAATTAGGTATCTCACCTATGGTCACTGCCTCAATGATTATGTAACTCTTGGCAGGTGCCAAATTGATTGATGTTGATTAAAACGTAAAGGAAGACAAATAACTGTATTCAGGAGCACAAAAATGTAATAAACTCTGTCTATGTTAGTGTTGGGAATCCTCATTGCTTTTGGAGAAGCCTTTGCTTATGTTTGGTCAGGAATGTATGGAGATTTAGACAAATTGGGAGCAGGAAATGCTATCCTCATCATAATCCAATTAGTCTTCTCAGCAATCGTAATGATCATGATCGATGAATTACTCTCTAAAGGATATGGAATTGGAAATTCAGGAACTTCCTTGTTCATTGCTATTAATATCTGTGAAAACATCATGTGGAAAGCATTCTCCCCCATCACTCATAAAACCCAACTTGGACTTGAATATGAAGGAGCTGTCATTGCCCTATTGCATGGACTCTTTATTCAAAGCGACAAAATTGGTGCCATCCAATCAGCCATTTTAAGAGACTCTTTACCTAATCTTACTAATTTATTGGCTACAGTCCTTGTATTTTTGATCGTCATTTACTTCCAAGGATTCAAAGTTGATATTCCCATCAAAAATAATAAAGTCAGAGGAGGATTAACTTCATACCCCATTAAGTTGTTTTATACTTCAAATATCCCAATCATTTTGTAGACTGCACTTGTATCAAATCTTTATTTCCTTTCTTAAATCCTATATAGAAACTTCAAAGGAAACTTCTTAATTCGTTTATTAGGATATTGGTAAGAATTAGAAAATGGACAAACAGTCCCAGTTGGTGGTTTAGTCTACTATGTATCACCACCAAGATCTATTTCAGAAGCTATTTTTGATCCAATTCATACTATTTTATATACTGCTTTCATTCTTGGAACTTGTGCAGTCTTCTCCAAAACTTGGATTGACGTCTCTGGATCATCACCAAAAGATGTAATTATCTATCACAATAATTAGGTTGCTAAATAATTGAAAGAATAAGACATGTAGATTGTTGGATATAGAGACTCATCAATGAAGGAAGTCTTAAAGAGATACATTCCAATTGCTGCTTCTTTTGGTGGCATGTGCATTGGAGCTCTTACTATCATGGCTGATTTTCTTGGGGCTATTGGATCAGGTATTTTATTCTGTCTATATTTTAATAGGAACTGGTATTTTGCTCTCGGTCACTATCATTTATGGCTATTTTGAAACGTTGAAAAAGGAAAAAGAATAAGGTACATTAGAGTTGTTTTGATATTATAAATTATTGTTTTAAGTGCACCGCAATTTATATACAAAACATCATAAATTAGAAATTAATTAAAAAACTTTCTGAAGACTCTCGCATTCAAATTTTAGCAAACATTTTTAGTTTTTAAATCTTAACATTTTTAATCTCCATGCTAATGGTTAATTTATTGTGCAAGTTCTCTTATACATTGAGTATTACACCAAATCATAGGTTTAATTCTAACTACTTTACTTTCATACAAAAATATCATTGATATGGATGATATGGACTGTTTTAATTTAACTAAAGTTAAACATTCATTAAAATCTTTTTTAATAAATTTTCCTTTTATTTTGCTATTCATCATTTTTATATTAAATAATACCTTCAATTAAGCAATTTGATTTTTCATCAGCTTTACACATCATTCAATTAATTAACTAACTGAACACTTTGTTAAATATAATTATTTTTTTTAATTAAGAGAAATACTACTTTCCTACTTTTAATTTGTGAATGTTCTATACCAAAATTAAGATCTAATGTGAGGTGAGAATAAAAACTTTCTTTATTATAAATTATTAAAATGAATTAAAGAAAATATGAAAAGCAAAGCAGAAAGTCATCTCAAAATAAAAACTAAGATTTGGAATAAAACCCCAAGAGGAGATGGTCTAAGCAAGATACTCCAAGGAACTATGATAATATCAATAAATTATAATATAGTTTTGACTATTCCAGGATAAATAACAAATATTTAGAGTAAATAAGGAACAATACTAAAATTAAATAACTTGTTGCTAAATAGAAATTGGAATAGCAGAATTCCCATCTCTTTAAAATTCAACAAGAATTCATACCAAAACCAAAGTGGCAAAATTATTAAGATAGTTTATATTCAATGATAAATCAATAAAAATGTTTTGCCTATCTTGATTATTAAGCATCCTGATATTCATATAATCATTAAATTAACATTAATTTTATCTTATTTTTTACCTAGAACATTATTAAAATACTTTATAAACAATAACATTTTTAAGACTTTGAAACAATATTTTTATTTATATATACATTAATCATTCTTGTAATATGCATAAAGAATTGGTAAATCTAAAATTACTTTAGTAATAAAATAATAATAAACACCAAATATGTCAATCATTTACGATCAGCACCCTTCATAGAAAATTTACTAGATGTTTATTTTTAAGGATTTGCAAATTTTGATTACACTTTTAATTAAGATCATATATATCTAAACTTAATTCAATAGTATTATTTATAATACATAACTTCTATTAATAATAACTATTATAATATGGATTTAAAATAATTGCAAAAAGAAAATCACTTCAAATAACCTATTTCAATTAAAATAAAAGAAACAAAAAAAGGGCTTTATGTAGCAGAATAAATAAATTCAAATCAGATCTACCGAAATATTCCTTCATGCCAATAAATTCTTTAAAATTGAACTAGTACTTTCTTAGTAAAAATAATTATTTGGATGTTATTAAAAATTTAAAAAAAATACATTAATTTTTGTAAAATTTGGATTAGTAAATTTATAAACATTTCATTGGAAATATTATAGTTCATTGAATAAAATACTAAATTAACCTTCAAGTAACAAATTACTTAAAGGAGATGGCATCATTCTTAATTTAGATAAAATCTAAATTTCTGAATGGGAAAGATGATGTTGATTTATTGTGAAAATTGATACGAATCTAATATTTGAATTCAAGGATAGCGTATAAAGATTGGAAAGGCTAAAGCAATTAACATATCCAAAATGAAATAACAAAATCTAATTCTATTATAATATAATAAATCAATAATTAAGATGAAAGAAAATTCTAAAATCTTGAAATATCAAAATTAGAATAAATAAAATAATCTATTTAATTAGAAGTTAAGAAAATAACTAAGGATTTCAATATTAATAAGGAAATTAAAAATTAAGCAAAATACCTATTATAAGATTATAAGGAGATTTATCTTATGGCATGTTATATAGAAATGGGAAAATGTATAAAAATTTACTTTAAAAAAAGTAATTAATATTTAAAATAAAAACATAAAGGAGGATTATTGAAAACCATCAAAGATTTAAATTTATCTTCAAACTTAAATGAAGAGGAATGAAAATCCTTATTAAAAAAATGATTATATAATACTATTTCGTTTAGTTACCTGAAAATTTATGACATTAAAATCTTTAGAAGCAAAATCTGAATCATAATCTACTTTCCAAAATTTTACAGCAATTTAAATTAAGTCTAATCCTTTAAGCTTAACTTTTAATGGGAATCTTAAATATTTGTTGTAAGATTTTGATTTTCTAATGATTATCTTTTCTCTAGAAAAAGATGCTATTCATAGCTCCAATATCCAATAGTTTTAATATGAGGCCTAATGTTAATAGAGATCAAATTTGCTAGATTGGAATTTCAGATAAATTGAATTAAAATTTGTGAGTGCTATTTTTATTCGAGAATATAGTTGTTTGAGATATTAATTATTATATAATATTTTCTGAATCGGTGTTCGAAGAAGATGACAGATATTATTGATAGAATAGTAGTTGCCATAAGAAAAAGGCCTCTATCTTAGAAGGAAATTCTTAAAAAGGAGGAAGACATAATTATTGTGCAAAACGATAACAGTGTGATCGTTAAAGAAATTAAGTAAGATTAATAAATTAATTGAGTGAAGATAAAAAGTCGACCTCACCAAATATATTGAAGAACATTAGTTTAATTTTGATCTTACTTTCAATCAAAATCATTCGAATGAATAAGTTTACATCAATGCTGTTAGACCAATAATTCGTGCAGCCTTTCAAAGAGCCAAAGTGACTTGTTTTGCATATGGATAGACAGGAAGTGGTAAGACTTATACAATGATTGGGGATATTGAGAGATAAGTCCCTGGGATGTATTTATTGGCTGGACAAGACATATTTTAAATAATTGAAATGGTAAATTTATTAAATTAATTAAAATTAGGAAGAATATACACATCTTTAAGTGTATGTTTCCTTTTTTGAGATTTATTGTGGGAAATTATATGATTTATTGTCTCAACGGAATTAGATCTAAATAAGGGAAGATGCAAAAGGGAATGTGAATATGATAAATCTGATGGAGAAAAAGATAAATTCAGTATAATAACTAATGCATTTCATTTAATTGGGGTAGAATGTTAGAATAACAGGTATAAATAATAAATTATAATAATAGCATCAAATAGTTCGAATTCGGAATCATCAAGATCTCATGCCATATTATAAGTGATATTAAAATCAGGAAAAACTCTTCATGGAAAGATGTCATTTATTGATTTGGCAGGCAGTGAAAGAGGGGCTGATGTCTAAGATTAAAACAAATAAACAAGAATAGATGGGGCTGAAATAAATAAGTCTTTGTTGGCATTAAAAGAATGCATTAGAGCTTTGGATTTGAATAAAAATCATACACCATTCAGAGGATCAAAATTAACCTTGGTATTAAAAGATAGTTTGACTGGTAATTGTAAGACAGTAATGATTGGAAACATTTCCCCTAGTTCCTAAAGCAGTGAGCATACTCTTAATACTTTAAGATATGCTGATAGAGTGAAAGAGTTAAAAAAACCTGAAAATAGATTTAGTCAAGGGGATTTAATGTAAAGAGAGTTAATGTTGGCAAGACAAACAAGTATTTTGTTATTTGATTTATATAGAAAACGTTACAAGAAAATAGTTTAATGAGGAAGAGGACTAAGAAAATGTAAGAAGCTTTAGTCCAATTTCCAATATCAAAAGATAATCCTTATAACCGTTGCACTAATCCACTTAAATGTATAACAATCAGAATTTCAATTAATAAAAAGAGATAAGAAAGAGTGATATATCTTCTGTTATCCATAAGTTTAATCTTTCTTCCATTCCATAAATAAATGTAAATTTCAATAACACTTAATAACTTAATCAATCTAATTACTTTCCTACTCATTAGAGAATAAATTCTGCAACTAGTTACTAGAATGATTATGATCATTTTAATAATAGTTAGAGCAATTTATTCTTAAAGACTTAAAATCCTACTTAATAAAACAATCAACTATTTTAATAGCATTCATTTAATCAAACTAGTACCTATAGTGATTTATTCAGTGAATCCCCATATCACTCCTAGTAGGAACAAGGATTTCGATAATTAAATCAATAGGCTGTATAACAAAGTTAGGAATTAGAAGAGGAGTTTGATTATTCAATCCCTTAAAAATCATAGAGACAAGGGCAAAGCAATTGTTCTTAGATTGTTTAAGACCATAAAAATTTGATAGATAAGATTATTGAGATTTCGAAATTGGTATTTTATAATTGTTATTTATTTTAGGAAATGAAAGAAATTACTATGTATGAGAATTAGAATGACATGCAATCCTATTTATAAACAATATCTTAATAATTACAATAAAAGGTTGATTTGATTCAAGAATTCCAGCAGAAAGTTTATGAAGTACAATAACAAAGTCAACATTGGACATTCCAACCTAATGACAGCTAAAATAGAGATGAATTATTTCTATATACTAATTACTGAGTTAATAATAATAAATAAAATATTCAAAATTGTACAAAATCATTGTTAACAAATGACCAACCATTAATGTAATTAATTGCACTCGATTTATCTGCAGAAAGTATAAAATCAAAAGGTATATCAAATTCTTAATTCAGTATGTCTTCATTAATTACTGGAATTGGTGGTTTATATTTTCTTTATTTTATATTTAATGAAGAATACCTATTTAATAAATCCTTCCAATTTATTTATTTTAAAAATGGATGATCTTTAATTTCATCGGCATCTCTTTATGAGGCACCTAATCTCTACAAAGGATTCTTAATCAAGAGAGATTATATCATAGATTTGCATTCTTTTGTGATTGTTTCTGGGAATTGAATGTTATTTTATTCAATATTGTAGTATCATTTCATCTCTATTGGCTGAGAAATATGGCGGTCGACCAGTAATCATTTCATATAATAAGATCCCTTATTATTAATTTAATTTTAAATACCCATATGATACCAATCAACAGCCCTACCATGACCGACTCTTTTTAGCATTTCTGGAGCCAAATATGCCATAGAACCACAAAAACTTTTGGCTCCATAATTGTCGTGAATTCCTTCCTTTGATAATCCAAAATCTGTTAACATTGCATGTCCGTATTGGTCAATGACAACATTTTCTGGTTTTAAATCTCTGTAGATGATGTCATTTTAATGTAAGTGTTCCAAGGCAGTCAATATTTCAGCAAAGTACAACTTGGCTTATTATTCTGATAATCTTTATTGTCTTTGGATTAATTTAGATAGATCACCTCCAGGACAAAAGTCCATCAATAAACATAGATGAGTATTAGTTTAAAATGCATATCTTAATTTAACAATAAATGGATGATTCAAATAAGACAGAATATTTCTTTCGGTTAAAGCATACCTTAATAAATTTTATCCAAGGAATTTATTCTTAGGTAAAACCTTCATAGCCAATTTCGGTCCTTGATTAGGCCTACCAGTTATTCTCTTTTCAACCAAATAAACATCTCCAAATGAGCCTTTACCTATTTGTAATATTATTCTAATTGAAGATGGTCCAATTACTTCAGTATAATCTTATGCAGGATGGATGTAGGCTGTTGATCTATTTGAATGAGAATTCATGTATTCAACTTTTTATGGAGATTAACAACGCACCAACATTTGATAAGCATTTGCTTATTATTTACTATTAGGGGAAGTGATTACTCTTTCATTAGATTCTTCAAAGATCCTAACTCTTTAACATAAGTTAAATGAATCTTATTTCATCTTAATTAAGTTGATTCACTACCTTCTAGTGTTTATCAAATAGTATTTTGAGAGCAGGACAATGTTGGACTAAATCATAAGGTGTTTTGCCATCCAGATTCCTTATATTTATCATTATTGAAGGCCTAGCCAATAATATTTCAGCAATCCTCTTGTGTTCTAAGTTTAAACCATTAATTTACAAAAATAACAAGCATAATGCAATGGAGTATTTTAAAGATTGTCCATATGATTAATATCAGCACCTATAGTTAACAACAATGACAAGATGTATTCACACCCTTTTTAAGCACAAATACTTAATGCAGTTTATCCCTGTGAGTTTGTTAAATCGCAATCAGCTTCATTTTTTAAAAGTAATAATGCTAATTCGTAGTTCTGATTCATGCAACTATAATGTAATGGAATCAATCCTTTATAAATAATGATATTTAATACCAGAGTCATCTCTAATGTTTATTTCAGGTTTCAAGTCCTTGGATGCAATTTCTAAAAGTTTCTCTACTTCTTTTATATTATTCGATTTAACATAATTTAATAAACTTCGATTATTCTCTTTTTTCTATTGCCACCAACCTTGCCATGCTGATTTATGTCTCTTCTTCAATTTTGTCATATACTCTCTATTCACAGGAATCTTTTCTGTATTTCTAATATCATAAACATTCCCTAGGTTCTAAATTACTAATACCTGTATCTTAATCTTTGATCAAAAAGGCTGCATCATTCTCACCAATGTTTTAATACAAATGGACAGGCGCAGTATTTGTATGATAATGAGAGGATTTCCATTACTACTCCTCCATATAACTGGGTTACTATTCAAATCCAATGGAATTTTTGGAACTAGACTTATTACTATTGCAATTCGATAAACTTTCTTATGAATTTTAATAAATTGGCTATCTTAGTCGTTGTTTAATAATAATTATACATGGCTTCTAAATTATAATCTTTTGTCTTTTAGGTTTTCTTAACTGAAAAGTCGTTTCCCTTAATGGGTTACTCCCCTACTCTGTTCATTTGCTAATTGGTTTCTCTTGGTGTTGGTAACATATATTAGCGTTGCATTATAAAACAAATTTATATTAATAAGTTAATAATAATTTATATACTTCATTCATATCTACTCTGTTTCTATTAGTTCTCGCACTTACATTATCCACTTAAATCTTAATACTATACTTGTAAATAATTTCCAGAATATAATGCTATTTCTGGTCTATTTCTGAATATAATCTCATTTTTAAATCGTAGTCTCATTGCAAAAGAACTTACACCCACTTTTTTAATTCCTTTTATTTAAAATAATTTTTATTATTGCTGTTGTTATTTGATTTATACATTTTCTGTGATATTTATAGTTAAAGATATCACTTGGAGTTGATTAGATAGAACAAAATAGACAACTACAAATGGTTTATGATAAATTATCAAATTCAATTTAAATGTCGAATATGGATATCAAAATATATGAAATTCTTTATTTATATTACTTTAAATATATCAAATTTTCTATTATATGTTGTTTATATTTATTTCATCCACAATAATCTCTTTGTTACTACATAATTCATTTAGAATTATATCATATCTACGATATGCATTTTCTTTTATAAATTTATTTTGAATTGGCTTGAAGCATTCTAAAAGATTTTTATATATAAAAACTTTATTCAAAGCCTTTAAACAAATAAATGAAGATTTAAGTTCAGGATATATTTCTTTTAGTTAGTCAGGCATTTCTCGAATTTTATCATTTGATCGAACCTGATCATGACTTATTTATTGAATTAATATTTGAGTGTTTTTCTTCCTTATTATATCAAGGATCTCTTATAAAATTTTCGTATAATTTTGTAGGTAATTTCTTTTAAATTCATCGACTTCATCTTTTGTATTATCCTAATCCCATTATGATAATTCTTGATTGTTATCTAACTTTAACTTTGCTAATTCCTCTTTTACTAATAAGTAAATTAGGGTATCTGATTAAAGTTAAGACTCCTTTTATTAATAGTGATTCCCCTTAATCATTTTGCTAAAAAATTATGAAACAAAGTTAATTTTTGTAAAGAATTCCATCACACAAAGTCTTCCAGTAATTTATTCATAAGGAGCGATAAAAACATTAATAAAACCTTCAATTAAAAATTTTTTTTTTTCTTAAATTCCTAAATCTAAAATTTATTCTGATATCAATATTAATAAGTATTTATGTTTTAGTTCAACTAATGTTGGTCTGTCATCTGGACTTATATCTTTACATTTCTCTATTAATTCCCTTAATTAATTATCTTGGATTTATTCCAAATCTATATCAATGAGATGTTTTTAGGTATGCATATAGCATATAATGCATCCTAATGAGTAAACTGTCATTTTCTCATCAAACTCAATATTCTAACCAGTTCCAATCAAATCTTTTATCTCTTAAGGTACATTTTTATTCATCACTATTTCCTCATTATCTCTTTTTAATACATCAGTTATAAAATAGCCTAAGTAAAATCGCTTAGTTATATATATTTATGATTCTCTCTAATCTGAACCTAGAATAAAGTGCTGACAATTCAACATTGGAAGATGAATTCTGTATTAGCTTAGAGTAATTGCCAAATTTATTAATTCTATGATTTTATAATACCTAAGTATTTTAAATTTTTCATTTTCTTCACCAAAGAAAACTGCGTCAAAATTTTTACCTTAACCTAATTCTACGTCTTATGAAATTTCCACAAATTTGAAGATAAATGAGTCACTATTTTCCTCAATTATCATCGAATCTGCAATAATTCCAAATTTTAATTTTTTAATTTTTTTTAAGTTAGTTTTTAATTATTTTAGCTAATAAAATTGATATTTCTTTTACTTGGTTCAGTTGTGTTTAAGTCTAGGTGTTTTTTTCTATTTCATATTGGAAATATTCTTAATTCATATTAAAAATAATATATTTATAATAATAAATTTTGATAATTCAATTCTATTGCTTAGAATCTGCCAAATTTATTTTCCATTATAGTTTTACTTATCCATACCAAATCAACCTTTAATTAAAATTATAGTTTTAATACCATTTTAATCCTGTAAACTAATTTATAAGCTATCCTATTTTACTCTAATTTAAATTATATTTTAATGTTGGCAATTTCATTATATCATATATTTATGCTATTAGATTAGCTAAACTGATTTTCTTTATTCTTTAAAAATTATAATATGTTTATTATTATTTATTTCTCTAATCTGCTAATTCATTTTATTTTCTGTTAATGATTAAAAATAATTCGAAAAGCTATTCCACTTTAAGAAAAAAGTCAACCTAGTTCATATCGGAAACATCTAAGGGAAAGTAATAGACTGTAAGTAACAAAACAAGGGCAAAATCCATCACATAAACAACAATAAAGTTATAGTTGATATAGATTTCTTAGGAAAGCTATCCCGACAATCAAGCCTCCTGTGATTGATTTGAATAAGATAGAGGTAAATCCCTTTACATTCGCAAATAGAAATTCGCATAATAATTCATCAGATCAAACCAATTCTAGGAGTTAAAATAGTGATGTTGAATAATAAGGGTTTGTGGCAGTTAAACAAAATAATCAAGACTAGTTATAAATTTTGAAGCGATAAAAATAGTTACTTGAATATAGATTAATGTAAGAAACAGAGTCTTGTCAATAATATCAATAAAATTATCATTTTCTGCAAGAGAGACTGCAAAAGTTGGAACTTGCAAAAAATAACTACATAAATGAAATGAATTCGTTTACTAAATGTTTAAAACTGATTTTAAACAAGGATGAATGATTTTAGTCTATAAATAATTTATAAATATAATTATATTTATTATTATCAATTGAATGATTAAGTGAGTTCACATAATTGATCATAAATATCTTATAACTAATTATGCGTAGTTGTGAAAGAGAAGTTTTCTAGTTAGCTGTGTTAGATTATAATCCTATTCTCAATATAAGATATATTGCATTCGTTAAGATTGTAAATCATTTAAGCCTTTAAACTTTTCTGGTTTTTGAAAATCTAAATTTATCTACTATTCAAAATCAAATACCTATATTTATAAAATAATGCTTTACTTCTCTTAGGCATCCTCTTCTTCAAATTTGACTTAACATATACCAATATTTTTAATAAAATAATCAGTTGTGTCACTGTTAAATTCATTACTGCTCTTCTTTGATGAAGACAATGATTTTGACGAGTCTTAAAATGTAATTTCATTAATGTTTGGTCTTTGCTTAGGATCATTATTTAAACATTCCATTATTATTTCAGCTATTTTGCTATGTTTATCTCTGAGGATCGATGGCAAAATGCCTTTTCTGGCATCATTAATTACTTTAATCATTTCCATAGAAGTAGAAATTGGATGAAACAATAACAATATTATTAATCCCAAAGCATAAATATCGCTTTTTTGATCATAGAAGGATTTATTTCTATTTTAAGTGATTTATTCTGGAGCTGCATACATTTTGGTGCAAATATCATCATCATTATCCTAATCATCGAAATCATAAAATTGTTTTAATTTGGTCACTAGACCGAAATCTCCAATTTTCACATCCTCTGGACTATTCATAAAGATATTTCCTGGTTTTAAATCACGATGAACTAGTTTGCATTCATTATGTAAATAGTCTAATCCTTTAATAATTTATTCTAATATCAGTTTAGCTTCTTTTTCGTAATTTTAAAGTTTAAGTTGATATTTTTCAATCTTCTTTTTTTTGAGTCTCAGTAATTCATTATTTCTTTTTTGTAGATAGTTTTCAAGTGTTTCTTAACAGAATTCAGTTTAGATATAGAATATGATCTTATCAAACTCTAATTTTTTCTCATCTTGACTTGTTGATTTCTTACTTTAAGTATTGTGACTTTGTTTCTGACGACTTACTCTGGATTTTGGTTGGATATCATTTTCTTACTCTGAATAGCTTATTTATTCATTTTGAGCATCTTTAAACATAATCAAATTTTCAAGATCATTCTTTGAATTTGATTGAGAATCACAAAAACTAAAGTTATTTCTTTCAAATTCATTTTAATCCTACTCTTACTTTCTAATTAGTTTTGATTCTGATTTGTTTTGCATAACTTCAACCCAAGAATTGAAGTATCTAATAATTTTAGGATGAGATAGACGGGCTAAGTATTTGGCTTCTGGGGAACTTTATGATTAAAATACTTTACCTCTTTATGCTCTTTCGATATTCTTCTCAAGGCTATCTTTGATATCCTTAGCTTTAAGTTCGATCTAAAATAAAATATAAACTCAAATTACTTTTTTTAGAGCATAAGTGTTCTTATCCAATAAGTTGGTCACTTTATAAACCTTAGAGAATCCACCCTTTCCTATCCTCCCTAGTACCTTGAAGTCCGATTCTAATCTCTAACATAAATATTAGGAAAATAAGCATTAATATAAGTTAGGTGTAGTTAAATATGCAATAAGAGTGTATTTTATACCTTTGACTGTAAGGTGGCTAGTTTGGCAAGATCGATTGGAAACATTTATTATCAAATTTATCAGAAAAATTATAATAAAAGTAAACATGAATTGTTATAATTATAATAATAATCACATCTTGATTTGTTGATATAAACTATCATCGCTCATCAAATCTTATCCTTTTTTATCTATTTCTTCCTAAAAAGGTTAGAATCAATAACATACTTAATCGTATTATGAATTGAATGTCTCTATTTTTTATAATTAGAACTCCTGTTTAATTGTATCTAAATTAAATTTCAGTTTCTCATTTTCCCATTATAAAGATGATACCTAATTCTACAAACATGTAACATAATCCTTATTCTAGGATTCCTATTGAATGTCTGTTAATTATAGATTTCTTTAACTTGATGAATTTAACTATTATTTTTATTTCAATGAAGGGTGTATTTTGAGTTTTCTGTTTGGATGACTTGAATTAAATAACTATATTGGAACCTATCCAAATTCTGCTACCTATGTTTCCAAAGCTTGTTTTTCTATAGAGGTTCTGCATTAATTCCAGTTCACATTTTCAGCATAAGTATAAGGATAGAATAAATTATCTTACTTGACAGCCTCTTCTCCTCTGGTTTTGCAACCAAATATTAGATCTATCCACTTTGGCAACTAAGAACTTACGTAATCACTCTCTAATGCCATCCTCATTTTCAATAAGAAATCAGTCATTGAATTAGCCCAAGGTGGTATGATGGCATCATCAATAATCTCTCCTTCCTAAGTCATTCCCAATTCCAATTTATCACAATTGATCAAGAAATCTGGATCAAGTGAATAGAATTCTGGAATCAATTCTTTAGAGTCGGCGTGTAAATTTAATGTTGTATACCAGGTGCTATCAATACCTCTGAAGATACGGTCAGTTGGTCCAAATACACCGTTTTATAGTTTAATAACAAATTCAGGTATTTTTCTAATTAAATAATACACGACAGTTCCTGGACTGGAATAATGAGTAGGATATATGTATGGTATCATGTCATTATTATTGTTATTCTTTTGACTTTTCAATTATTCTTAATAGGATTGTTTATATTTTTGTAATCTATGTTTGTTTAGTGCTCCAACAGGACGAGACAAATCCCTGAAGAATTCTGGAGATGTTAAATCAAAGTTTTTGTCTGTATATTCTGCAATGATCCAAGGAAATACGGGATATGCGGATAGATCGCAGAAGCTTCTACTGGAAAAAGTGTTTAAGGACATCAAATAGTCAAAGTTGCTTAAACCGCCATCAACCCAAAGTTCTGTTAGTTTTTCAACTGTAATGGAGCTGATTTAATTTTTGGTAGTTTTTCTGATTAAATATTTATAGACAGTGTCTAATTGTTGTGGGTCTTCAAAAACAAGTAAAACACTTCTTTTTTTATTGAAGAACCAGATTTCTAAACCAATTTATTTAAACATGTAACGATATTTCAAGAAGAATTTAATATCAGTCAATTGCCACATCAATATCTTCCCTTTTGGAGAATTGATTAATGGAATGTATTTAATTCCTTCATCTCTCTAAATAGAAAACAATCCAAAGATGTTGCCTTCAGGCTTAATCAATTTACACTTAACAGCGAGTTCAATTTTGAGTCCTTACTAAGAGGAGTAGGCTCTGTGTTCATTCATTGCTTCATTTAGTGTTGTGTTGATGATTGTGCTTATAAATGAGTTTTCATCTTCTGCTTGGGTGAGTCCTTGATAAAGCTTGAGAAATCTGACAATATTTTATTTTGAATTTGATTATGAAATGGAAAACACAATATTCTCATCGCACTACGTGATAATGAAATTAGCTTACAGTTTCAGTAATGTAGGGACTGATTGGATTTCTATTAATAACAAACAGTTTATCTACTCTAAGAAACATGATAGTATATTGTGAATTGGCAGTTCTGGATTGAACTTTGTAGAGTCGATCCAATAATTCATTGTTTTTGTCTCTCTTGAAATGCTGATACAATTAATTAATATCTAGTGAGTCGATGTCTTCCATCAGTAAGGAGGGAGTCCATTTGATCGACATGATTTGATTCATGGTTTTTGTGTCGATGTTACGCAAAATCTTCAGTATGAGATTATTTGAGTATTTCATCTTGATCATGGGTAATTTTGGTTGGTTTGGCTGGAATACTAGGGAACGGGAACAGATGTGCAATTTGCCACGAATTCTATTCTTATATGAATTGGTGTTACTCATTGTTATTGTGAAGAGAGACTTTGAGGGATAGAAAGTAGTATTCTTGAGTTTCCAAATGTAATAAATTGAATTCCTGTTTAGGCTTTCGTATTGAAGAGAGTGAGAAAAACATTAATTAATTTATTATATAATGTCTCAAAGGAAAAAAAAGAGAGATCCAACGCCGACGAGAGTAGCTTTGGTTTGTCTCAAGACCACTCAAAATAATATTCAAATCAATAACTAATCGTTGCTCAAGATTTTCTCCAAACATGGTTCAATATCAAAAGTACGCTTTTCATTGATATTATAGATTTTAATATTTGAGAGAGGCTAATTGTTAACAAAAGTCTTTATTGAATATGATGAGGTAAATTCTGCTATTGATGCTATTAAGTATGCATTTGGGTTAAATATTGTAGATATCTAAACAATACTAAAATATTGAATCAAATTTCTTGTAATGTCTATCACTCTCGTTTAAAGTAACTGAAATTAGATACAGTCCCGTATACGAAAGGACTGGATTTTACTAATATTCCATCGAACATTATTGAGCAAGTTGAATAAATTGAATAGCAGCTTGAAAATAATGATAAAACATTTAATAATAATGAATGGCAAGACTTTTAATTTGAAAATAGATCAACAGATGAAGTGTCAGATGAAGAGGAACCTCAATTTTCAGAAGAGAAGATGAAAGACATCATTACAAAGCTTAATCAAATAGATGAGGAGATAAATCAAACAATTGAAACCAAAATTGTAACTGCTCTAGATAAGTTGAGACAGACACAACAATTCATTAAACAATAAGAAAATCAAGTAATTCAAATCAATTAATGAAGACCACAAATGATATATTCAAAATTTATAATTTCTCTCATTCACAAATTGTAATATTTTAATTAATCTCTATTTAAATACTTATAACCAATGCGAACCAACAATGCTAATTAAATTAGATAAACTCTCAGATAGACCTTATTTAAAGGTAGAAAGCATCAATTTCAATCCAATGACAATATTCAAATCAATGAAACACCGTCAATAACATTATACAAAAATTTTGATGAGATTTATTGTTACAAGAATAAGAATCTTGGTAATGGAATTAAGTATAATAGGTTAGGGAGCACATGGGATTGTAAAAATCTGTTATAACAAATTAGAAGGAAATGCAATTCAGTATGCAGTAAAGGTATTCCGCTCTGGGGACCCTGAAATCATTAGTACAATAAAAAAAACCTTTAAAATCAATAGGCAACTGAATGATCTGCAATGTGTAATCAAGGCTATTGATCTATTCATAAATGTCACCAAAGAAGAAATCCATCTTGTTATGGAATTGTGTCCATATCCCTCATTAGATAAAATACTCCAATAAAAAAAATAATTAACTATTAGATAGCAACAATTACTGATTCTAGAACTAGCCAAAGCAATAGATAAAATTCATAGCAAATGTGTTTGTCACAGAGATCTCAAACCAGATAATATCTTGGTGTAACTGACGGAGGATGATGCAAAAATTAAAATAATTGATTTTGGAGTCTCCAAAAAATTCGTCACCAAAACCAGAAATTCTACATAGAACATAGAAATGTGGACAAGAACTGGTTCACTGTTTTACTAGGCTCCTGAAATCTTCGCTGGAGGAGGATACAACTAAAAAGGTAAGAGTAAATAATTACTTAGTCGATATATGGTCTATTGGGGTTATTGTGTATTAATTGTTCTGTTAATAATTGCCATTTTAAAATGATCAAATAATAGATACCATCGAACTAATATGTGATCCTAATTACAATGTAGAGAACACCGCACAATTTGAATCCCTAGATCTATTGCAGTAGGATCTATTGAAGAGATTACTAAGGAAAGAACCTGAAAAACGATTATCCTCAACAGGTTTCAATCATATTAATTTATAGAGTTCATTCTACATCCTTGGCTACATCCGGACAATCAAGAACAAAATCAAAACCAATTTTGTTTTTCATTGAATCCGGATAAATTATAAAATTTATCAACATCTGAATAACTAATAGGTGTCGAATAGATTGATCAAAATATGGTACTTACAAAAGAGCCTTATTGTGCCAGTACCATTCTACGAGTAGAAGAGCATAAAGAGAAAATAGATAGAGTGGATGAGATAGGGAATCATATATATTTTTACTCTTCATCCAAACAATTAACTCAAGAACCAGAAATCAAGTCGTTGGATGAAAAGTAGACAAGCGTGAATCAATTAGAGGATTTCAAGGGCGAAATCATTCAAGATACTCATAAGTCTTTAGATGAAGATGTTGAATTAAATAATTACAAAACTGTTGGTTCCTTTATAATGAATTGATATTATTTGTTTAATATTTTCTCAAATTTAATAAGCAAATAACTTTCTCACTCATAATTATTTATTTAGACCAATTACTTTCTCATTCATTATTATCTATCGATATAAACAATAAAATAGTAGATTCATCAATTTCGGAGATCCAAAATTTCCAACTCAAACTTACTCACAGCCATCTGCACTATATTAAATGTTGCCGAGCAGAGAATGATTAAAATCGTTCCAAAATGAACTCTATTTACCCATTTGAACATTGTTACTTCTTACCGATCATTTTCATCATCCTGCAAATAATCTGACACGGACATAAAACATAGTCCAGAAATTATTATTAAACTTAGTGTCATCCAAATTAATTCAATCTTCTCAATTTAATCACAAAATTGCCAAGTTGAAAAAATTACGCAACTTAAATAACCTTTAGGTTTATTTTATAATACTCTTTTATTGCAAATAAATATTCATATTTGCAATAAGGATATTTTATTATTTAATTGTTTTGATTGTACTACTTGGTCGTCCATTCATTCAAGCATTTATTATGAATATATGACAATGAGCCTTTCCATTACATGGTTTAAATCGCTTGTGATTGTTATTTTAGTAGCAGACCCAACATATATGTTTTTATTTTTTTTCATTTTAATAATTTCAATAAACAATTATAATGCACTTTTGTAAACTACGATTCTTTCATGAATAAATAGACTAATTTCTTTCTACATTAATATCTTCCATTTGATTCAACATTAGGTTGCTCTAGTTTTAATCTTTTCTCCCTCTGAAAATAATAGAGCAATTCATAAAGTTGATTTGGATCTCTCATATTTTGTTCCAAATAAATCAAAGCATTCTATCTATGATGATACAAAATCTAATATAATCCTCTTTGATACTTAGGTACACAATTAAAATTTCAGACTTCTATTCTACTTATGAATTGCCAGACTTCCCAAATAACACTCTCCTAAATATTCTAAATACTTTGAAACTTCTTAAATTTTGATATGTTAAGTTATCTTAATCAAAATTTCAATAAAATCACAGTTATCTACTAAGTGAGTATTGAAGAACTTCAAAAATTTACTTTGATTATTTTTCAGAGATTATGCTCTATTTATTGTTTTATAATTACCCTAATCCATTCATCATCAAAAATCGATCAACTGCCATCAACATGAGTTATTTGTATTATTTTAATACGCCTTGTTCACTCTTCCAATTCAATCTTAAATACGTCTTTAATCTCTCTAGAATTTGAGTGAATTGATTTATTTTTTAGTTTTTTTTGATTTCAAATGTAGAAAAGAAGTGAATAGCTGCAACTATCATTTGCTAAAATATAGAATCTTCAATATTCAACTCATTGAACATAACTCCAACTTCTTCTAAGGCCGACAATTGCAATTGCGTTAATTCTTAATGTACTACATGAGGCTTCTTCATTACCAATAATGAATTGAAAATTGAGAATATAAAGGCTTAGAATGCTTATTTTGAATATGAACTTAAGATCATAACTATGTAATGAGAAAATCTTACTTAAACCAAAGTACTGTTGGTAATCGAATGGAAATAAGGTATTGTTTAAGAATTGTTGAGTCAGATCTTTAAAGAGGACTTTGACATATTAGGAAAATTTAGTAATGAATGGGAATTAGAAATGATAGTTAATATTGAGCATTTGTTTGACATCTTAATAGATGTTTTTAATTTAGGTTTAAGCAAAAGGGTACTTTAATTGTTTTAACTGTTTGTTGATTTGGAAGGTAAAGTATTAATTAGTTCCTTGTCTGGGTTTTGATAATTTTGTAATTTCTTAATATTTATAGCTAAATATGAGATATAAGATGGATACATTTTATCTTCTAATTTCAGCAAGAACAATCTCTTGAAAAATCTGGAATCACAAGATATTTGTGTTTTACTGAAGTAATTACTAGTTAAATCATAGGAGTTTAAATATAAAAGTAAATGCAATTAACAATAAATATAAGTGTTGTAATCTCCAACGTCTTATTGCATTTGAATAGATTCGATTAGCAATTGATCTATTTGATTAATGTTTTTCTTTTTCCTAGGTAATAATGATTGAGAACTATACAATTTATTTGATTAGAAGATGTAACCTGGGTCGACTATTTTAGATTGTCTTTATGCTAGGTTGGCAATTGTAAAATTTAAGTATTTATCATCAATTTGAATATGATTTTGGATGAAATTTTGGACACACATCCAATTTCCTGGATTCCTGTTGAGCATCCCTAATAAAAAGTTTGTGGGGAGATAATCTATTAGAAATCTTGGTTTTTCAAATAAATATGGCTAATGGATATTTCGAAATGAGTACCAAATCTTTGACATCCTGGAAGAATAGATAATTAAATTCTTTGATGATGTTGAAGATAGTTTTGAGATGGGTTTGGCTCAAGGGACTGCAGAGAAATGCTTAAAAGTAGACTGCCATTTTATTTTTGATACAAATTTCACATAGTAGCATGAAGCAACTTTTGAATATATAATGATAATATTTATGAACATCTAAAATAAAAATAGAATAGTACACGTTGTTTTTGCAATAGTTAGGATATTTTTAAAAACTTAGTGAATACTTTATTCATCTATTAGATTATACAAGACTTTCATGTCTGTCTTCTAGAGTACTTAGTGTTTCATTAAAGTCAATACAATTTTGAGTATGAGTATACAAATTAAGCTCTAGAGTTGTAATTGTTGACTCAGGATGTCCTGGATTGAAGTTAAGAATTGAAATATTTTTTTGGTTTCTTCTTTAGTTTTGGTGGAAATCATCTTTAACACTCTTTCCATGAACACCAATACTTTGGATAAGTTGAGTTGGGTTTCTGCATGTTGGATTTCCAATTTTTGAAAGCAAAAGAGTTTGATTTCTTCATTGTCTTGATTTTCTTTTGACTTTTTATCTATTTAGCATGGACCTTTGATTGCTTCAGCCAATACAAGATTTATATTGATGTCTTTGGCTTATAAAAGCAATAGGCCATCAACAATAGTATTAAAATAAAGAGTTTTAGAATTGGAAGCCAGCTTAAACAGATTGAGCAATTCATTCACGATATTTTTTTTATCAATAAGTTTTTCCTTTTTAATGAGGGATGTAAATTTTTTCAAGAAATCCTTATCCTACTTGTGTCTATTGCTAGTGACTTCAAAAAGAGACCGCAAATCACTAATAAATTATTCATTAGTTTTATTATCAGTTTACTTCTATTTACTCATAAATATATTTAATAAAAATAATAATATAAAAAATATTAAGAAATAATATAATGTGTAATATTTTCATATCTTAAATTTACGTGTTAAATGGATGATTGAATAAATATAAAATCATTAATAAATTAGATATGTAAGCAAAACGAGAATATCTTTGTCCAATTTCAGAACCAAAACCCAATGAAACTCCAATATACAGACATCCAATGGCAAAAGTAAACATTAGACATAGGTTTAGGATGGATTTTTACCCCCCTTAGACAATAGAAAGGTGAATATGCAACAACAATTTCTAGTCCAATTTGAAAAGCTATCTGAGAAGAAAACATTGGGAACTTTCAATGAAGAAACCCAACGATACGATCACATTTCATACAAAGTATTTTAAGTATCTATGCATTAGGAATTGTAAGAAATTGCAACTTCTCTTGGTTCTTCCCTTTGTTTATAGGATTCAATTAAAGAGGTCAAAGATTAGTAAAACAATGTAATTAAGCCTGTGGGAATTTATTTATCCAATAGAAGGGAGTGGACACTAATAGATGTGGCCTGTATCTTATATGGATTTACATCTTGTCCATTTTATGATACTCTAGGAGTTGAAAGTATCACATATTCTATGAATATCACTCAAGTGAGGTAATAATATATTATTTTTATTTAGTGTGTGTTTTGTATAAGCAAGCACAATAGGATTTTTGGCCAAATCGAATTTACCTTACTTAAAAACCATAGTAACAATTGGAGCCCAAGATCCAGCCATCCTAAACACTTTGGCATAGTAAAAGAAAGAAGTGATCACCTGGGAAGACTACATTAAAAAGTCAGATGGAAAGGTCTAACCTTTTCCAAACTTGGACGCATAACACCCCTTAACCTTAGTTTTCACAAGTGGCACAACTGGGGAACCAAAGGCAGCTATTTAGACTCATCTTAATTTTACTTCAATGCTTGCTCTCTTTGAACATTAAGATAATTTCAATTTTACACAAGATGATGTGTATTTGTCATATCTACCATTACCCCATACGTTTGAGAGGGTGGTTCATTTGGCAGCTTTATCAGGAGGAGCCGAAATCAATTACTTTAGTGGAAACATACAAAATATAGCTAGAGACATTCAAAGATGCAAACCAACCTACTTTTGTGGAGTCCCCAGAATTTTCAACAGATTTTATGAAGGAATTCAGGCTTAATTGAATTCTTTGCCTCCTGAAATCTAATAAAAATTTGAACTTGCTCTTGGTGCCAAAACAAAGTATTATAGAGCCACAGGTAAAACAACTCATGATCAATTGGATGAGGCCTTTGTTAAGACCAGAGCTATACTTGGTGGTAGACAGAGAATTATGATCACTGGTGCTGCCCCAATTTCACCAAAGATTTTGGAGTACTTAAAAGTTTGTTTCTGTTGTTAAATCATTGAAGGCTATGGATAGACAGAAACTACTGCTGCCTCATTCTTAACTGATTATAATGATTCTGTATGTGGTCATATTGGTGGGCCAACCATTTCTTAGGAATTCAAATTAGTCAGTGTTCCAGAGATGGATTATTTAACTGATTAGATTGTTGATGGACAAAAGAAAATAAGAGGCGAAGTTTGTTTGAGAGGACCAAGTGTTATTAAGAGTTATTTCAATAATGTTTAATCAACTAAAGAAACTATTGATGAAGAAGGTTGGGTGCACACTGGTGACATTGGAGAAATCATTGATGGAGCACTTAAATTGATCGATAGAAAAAAGAATCTGTTCAAGTTATCACAAGGAGAATATGTTTCACCAGAGAAAATTGAAAATTGCTATTTGAGAGTTAAAGGAATCTCTGAAATCGTCGTTTTTGGTGACTCTCTCTCCAATTATACAGTTGGAGTTATTGTACCTGAATAGACATTTTTGAAACAATGGGCAACTGAATTGAATGTCTAAGGAGATCATGCATAATTGTGTTAAGATAAAGCTGTTAGAGCTCATGTCTTAAAATTAGTTAATGAATAAGTATTTATCATTTTAATCTCTAGGGAAAACAAGATAATCTAAATGGATTTGAGCAAATCAAGAATGTTTATTTAGAGCCAAAACCTTTTATGTTAGTTGGAATATTGACTGAAACGATGAAAATGCAAAGACATAAAGCCAGATAACACTATCAAGACATCATTAAATTCCTTTATTAAGAAATATGATCTAATTTATGCTTTATTAATAAATCGGAATTTAATTTCTATGAGATATTATTTATTAAATTTCAATCTTTGTTGAGAATTTTGAGTTCCATTTTTCTATAAGTTGTGTTTATTAACGAAATTTCTACTGGTATACCTATATTTAATTACGATTCTAAGAACTAGGGCTTCCAGGTTTTTTATAATAGCTTATACATATAACAAATAGTCTCTGCCTCAAATTAACAGTTCTTTGGATTTTAAACAAAAGTATCAATTGCTGCAAAAATACTCTTTATAAATTTATTATACTATTAGTTTAAAGAGAATTTATACTTTGTTTGCTTTAATAAATGACATTTTCATCACAATCTTTTCTCTCATCCATGAAGTATTGATCTTCTCCCTAATTGTAAAATAAGTCTCTCTATCTAATAACTTAATTTGATCATCCTCCTAAAATATCTTTAATTCATCACAAACCAATGTAAATCTTTATTTTGACATCATCTTTCCACCATCCCCACAGTAATCTGCTTCTTAGTAGAATAATCTGATGGAAAATGAATAGTTGATGCAACATAATACTTCATACAAAAAATTCCATTAATTAAAGTCAATACTACCTTTATTCATTAGATCTACAGAGGTGTACAGATGCTTATACTTGACTGAAGTACGATTTTTGTGTTTTTAAAATATCTCCAAAAACTAGTACATCAAGATGTCATAATCACATGGTCCTTACTGACTCTACATATAAGCAACTTCTGAAGTTGAAATATCATATATAATATTATCAATTTCACTTTAAGAGTATTTATTATCTGAAAACCATTTAAGTAGTGTATCAATGAATTTTGAGTACGAAACATTAGGATATTCTTATAATGATTAAACTATTTAGAGATATAAATTGAGATCTTAGATATCATATTCTGCTTTTAAAAATTTAACGACTAATTAGCAAGTACTACTTTTGGTTTCAAAAAATAGGAAGCTTCGAATAGTTCTTTTGTATCTATTTGCATCACTAAATTATGACTAACCATAATGTGCAACGATGTTCTCATACATATGAACATGAAGAGGAGTATTTTAAATAGTATTAGGAATTTTCATAATTAATTCATTATAATTTTAGAGGATAGTACTTAACTAGTATAATCCAGTTCTATAATTAATATTGAATTTAGATAACACTAGATATTAAAATAATAATATTACTTTATTTTAATAAATTCGTAGCATACGAGGCAGATTTTACTGGACAAGTGGATATTCTTAATTTCTTCTCTATTGTTAATTTAGGCTTGCTTTGCTTAAAATCCAATTTAATTTAACTAAAAGAAACATCACTTTCATCTCCAGAACCTTCTTTGGAAGAATCGCTTTTGTAAACGTCATCATCTTCTTTGCTCGAGATTTCAATCTGGCTTGGGATTTTCTGAATTTTCATCAGAGGCTTAGAAATATTGATATTTGTTAAGGTTTTAATAGGAGATTTAGTTGGAGAGTCTAGATCTTTAATAGATAATTATGATTATTGTTTGGGATCCATATTAGTACCTTATCTTCGTTTAAATTCCTTAAATTCAACATTTTCCAACACTCCATACCCATTGGCTTACTCTTTAATCTGATTAATTAAAAATTACGGGGCATACCTGATAACCTTAATTAAAGATTCTTCATAAAATTTAGACTAATAATATTATATAATTTTACAATTGTTTCTTTTTCCTTAGCTCTATTATGGTATTTTTTGAACAATGCAACATTTTCATTAAATTTATTTTCAATTTCTTTCATTTCAAGTTCCATTTCTTCTTTATCTATCTTAGCATCCATAACAACTGAGATCTATGTTTATAACACATTCCAACATTACTAAATATAACATTAATTTATTTACATTAAAATAAAAATTGAAATTGCCATAATTTTAAAGTAAATATTATTTGATTGCAAAAATGTCTTCGCTTGAATTATCCCCTCTCAAATTCAATATCAGTCATACTGAAGTCCTCTAATTCTATCCTTCAATTAGGTAATTTGATCAGCCATAATAACAGTAAATTAAGGATCATTGCTACTTAACTCTTACTCAGGGAAATACAGAGCACTATACTCTTAAATAATCTCAGATAAAGGGAATCTTGCCCTCCTGAATAGTTTTGATTCTGTTTAATTTCTAGGCACTCTCTCTTTTCTTAGTTATGTTGAATTGACTTGTGATTCTTGATTTCCTTGACATGGCTAAACCTATACTTCTTCATCTATTTTCTTTGCTTATTTTGGAGTCTGAGTTGAGGTACTCACATAAGTAAAATACTCTGATGTGTCTTCACTCTACACTTTTGTTTTAATTAAATCGCTGGTGTCAACAGAGGATTCAGTAATAATCAAGTGAGTTGATCCATCATAATATTCATCCTATAAAGTAAGAATTCTAGAATATGGATACAATAATACTTATATTAATTTTCAATATCCTTTTTATGCACTTCAAATTTCTATTTGAAGAATTCAAACATATCCTTCTATTATAAAACGAGATCCATCTCTTCAGAAGTTTGAGCTTACTTATGAAATTTTTCTATTCCTTAATATTCAATTAATTGTAAATTCTATTCCCAGAATTCACTCATAATTTCATGCAATTGTTCTTCTCTTCTTTTATCTTTCTTTCTTAAATACACATTTTCTTTCTTCATTTTTACAATTGAATTTTAAACTGCCAAAGCCTCTTCTTTCATCATCCTCATTGACTCTGCCTATTTTTCAATTGCTTCTTGATAATTCTTATGCAATTAATTTATGTCCTCTAAACATTTCTATTCTATTTATTGATTTCTTTGTTGCAATCCCAAAATGATTTTTTAGACTTCTTCTGTGAAGGCATCCCATAATTTCTTCAAAAATTATCCGAATTCAAATCCCACAATTGATATCTGTCTTTCTAACTCTAATACTGAACCTTGGAAAACTATTTCCAATTTGTTATAATATTCTTAATAATCTGTTAATTTTTATGAATGCACCTATTCGACCATCATGTCCAACCATTATGCCAATTAAACCATTTCTCTTCTTTAATTGATATTGTGGAGGTTGACATTTTGAGAATCATGATACAATAGTTTCTTCATTCTTTTAACTCCTCTATTACAACTTTCATCCAACATTGTCAATGGCTATAATAATCGAGGTTTCAATTTGTCTCTATTTAGAATTAAATATTATCACATCATTACTTGACTATGAGATCCTTAATGTGAATGGAGATGGATTGTTACTACTAATTATTTAATTAATCTCGTATGCTTTCCATTCTATTTTATTCCAAATACCTATTATGAATGCTTTAAGTATATGGAAAGATCTTCTTTATATCTTACTCTGTCAGTAGATGCTAACTCATCGATCTAGAAACATGAGTCTTTTATTAATCCGATTATTTCATTATTTTATGTAATTACTATAATTATTGCATAATCAATTCTCCGAACACCCTTGTTTACCTTAAATTGAAAAATTTCTACACTTTCCCCATTAACCCAATTTTAAGCCTCCTATAATTCTGAATTACAAAAAGGAAAGTAATTTTTCAGCCATTTTTGCAGTCCAAATTCAACTCCTATTTAAAATATATTTTGACGTTTGAATGAGACTTCAGTTCTTATTAATATTTTTGAAATATACGCAAAATATGTAGGAAATCAATTTCTAAGATCTCTGGAAGGATTTCATCCATGTAATGGGTGCTGCCACTGACATGTAGGCAGTCTTAGACGCAGTTGGCAAAGAGCATCCACTTTGGTTATAGTCTAGAAGCAGATTGAGCATTAGACTGAATCGATCAAATAATTTGCACATGTAGAACGAAGATCCATCTTTAATTCAAGACATCAAATATCGTTATTATGAAGTTGTTACTATGCAACAATTTGGTGAAATTGTCTTGGGATATTTAAAATTCTATGAAAGCAATTTATAAAGAATACCTATTAGACTTCCTGAAGGGGATGTAGGGGAATGGTAGGATTTTGATGAAAATGAAGCTGTATATCAGACACAATCCATGATCAAATTGTTAATGAAGTAGTTTTTTTATTAAGAGATTTTTTTAGAAAACGATATTCTTTCAGAAGATTGTGGATCGAATAATTACAGAAGGGCAGTCCTATTACTACTATTTCTACAGATAGGCAATAGGCCCGGTCTGTTCAAAGCATATACATTCCTTTACAGAAACCTGATGGATTATTTGGTTCATTCGATTCTCCATTAGTATTAATTAATATAATATATTCGATAAGTCCATGTCCAATCATGTCAACGAAAATTTGATTACTAGCAAAAAAAGTGTGCAAAACTCTATTGGAGATTCAGAGTAAAACCCAGGAGCAAAACGTCTTTCTTAGAATACTCCAAAAAATAGATTATCCAAATTAAGAAAATAGTCCTTAGATGTTAGTATTGACAGTCTAAGAGAAAGTCATATTTCCTAATAAAGAAATATGAGCAAAGCCAAATCCAATCTCAAAACTAGATAACATGAATTGAACAAAGAACATATGGAAAAAAGCATGATAGAAAAAAATAGAAATTGTTGTGGCACTGGATGTTGTCAATTTTGATTTATTACACATACTTTATTTATATATATATATATATATAATTTAATGGAAATTCAATTATTAAAAAGATTGAAGTCTGATATACAATTGCAACTAAAGTGGCTAACTTAAACTAGATTTAATGTAATATAGACATTAACATTTATAAGGCCATAATAATTATGAAGTCTTAATGCAAATACTTGTAAGCCAGCGTTCGCGCCCTTGAAATGTTATATTCAAATTCAATATCAACACCTTATTTTTATTAAAAATTATAAGAATATGAAACATTAACTTTTAATTTTGAATTTAAAAGAGATAGAATATTGAAAGCTAAATAAGCTTTGCTTGGTGCTATGTTGAAAACAGAAGAAAAGATAGATGATCCCAAAACAGCGGTGTAATTTATTACTTTAGTTGAAAATTTGGTTGCCTTTGCTGAAACTCATTATATTTCGATAAAAGAGTTTTCCAGAGTGATGCATTAATAATTAAATGAAAAACTAGAAGTGAAAATAGAGATCAATAAAATAAATGAACATCTAGTGACATTGAATAAACTTTAATTGTAGAATAGACAAATGCTTCTAAAACTTCCCTTAGATCAGATGAAATAAGAAGAAGAGGATACAAATCATAAAGATGAAGAAGAAGAATCGGAAGAAATATAGGAATCTACCAATTAATAAGTGGAAGATGTTTAATAAATTGAATAAATAATATAAAATCAAACCCCTCAATAGATTGAAATAGAATAAAAAGATGAAAATATAAAGAGCCCTATCAAAATTGAGGATATGTAAGAATCAGAAAATTAGGTTGATGATCAAATTCAGAAGGAGTAACTAATTTAGTAAACTTAAAAAATTAAACCTGACATATCGGTAATAAAAGTAACAGAGAAAATGGCAGTAAATTAGTTTTAAATTTAAGAAACTATAAGCAATGGTATATGAGAGCCTGTATGGAAAAAAATAGATTGAAGAGTAACAGGATGAAAAGCAAATCATAATTTTGGATCGTCCTATAAGAAATGTTCGTCCTGCCACTCGAAAATAGCTATGAAATATATTTATAGTTAGAACTATAAATGTATTAATTGTTTTTTCTTTTTTATATTTCAGTTTGATATATTAATTAATTAACGAAATTAATATCCTAAGAAATGTTACATATAATTGCAAGAATTGATTGTTATAACATATTAATAATTTTTAAGTCCAAAATTGATATGACACATTCAATCTATAAAAGCATATGATATTTTGGATAATTAATCAGTTTTCAGATGTATATTTTTTTCATGAGAATAAATATCAATGTGTTTAATAAAAAAATAAAATATATTCTCATATTATTCCAAATTAAGATAAAAATTAAGGCATATTCTTTTTAAACTATTCTTCGTTCTATTATTTAATTCTAAGTTCCAGGTCCTTTGTTAAAACATTTATCAGTGCCTGACCTAATTACTATTCTGATTTAACAAATTATCTACTCAATACATTAACGAAATTTTGATAATATGTACATATGATGGCAAAGAGTTATCTATTGATTTTATTGAATGTTTATTGAGAACATTTGCCTTAGATTAAACAGACAATTAAATCATTCAAGATACTATCAATGATAGAATCAAGAGGCAAAACAAATGACTGAATCACTCCTAATTGGGTTAATTACTGTTCCTCTGAAACAAATTCTAAAGTTGAAATTACAATGTCTGTAGTTTGATCTAATGAAATTTTGTCTGTTGGTTATAGGTATGAGGAAGTGGTTTAAGTCTTGTATTCTTAAGACAATTGCTGCAATAGATGCTTCTATAGATTTTCGACTATGCTCAGCAATGTCGACAAAGATTGAGGGTTTAATTCAAACAATTACAATTATTGCGAACTGATAACTTGGAGAACTTGAATCATTTGCACACAGGATTTGTTGTACAGCTAAAAATAGTAAATAATCAATTACGATTATGTAATTTGATATCTTATGAGTGATATCTAAAATAGCTATGAGTAGGTCTAAGTATTTACGATCTGCAAATAGCAATTAACAAGCTTGAGATATATATTTGCCTTTAAGAATGTTATTCATAATTTTGTACACAAGACCAACCAATCTACAGATCTAAGCTGAGAATTCTTATTTGACTTTTTCATCCTGAATAGCAACTATCAAATGTTGAACATAACTAGTCAGGATTCCTTAAAAGGTTCTGACCAATTCTATTTAGACTATTGATGAACTATGGTATTGAAATCTGAGACTCTTATTTTCAGTTATGGCAACCATCAATTTCAAACATAATTTACAAAGTTGAAATTGCTGGGGATTATCAATCAAAATAAACCTAGTCAAATCAGCAATCTTCATTAAATGTTATTTAATCAACAATCTGAAAATCTTGCTGACATCAACATGTTTGAAATACCCTAACATTTCGTATAAGTAGATTTAAATTGATTGAGATGTTGGTTGTATTGTTAAGAGTTAGTTCAATTATACGATTGACTCTATATAATTCTCATAGGCTGAATCAAACAGGAGTATGGAAATGATTTCTGCAGCCAATGTACGACAACTAAAAAACTACTCCTATTGCAAGGCTGAATTCTTGAGATTGAGCAATACGACCTTTATTTAAGTGACGACGCTTGAGGACTAGAATGAATCATTATACAGATGGTGTTTCAATCTTACTATAGTCTCCTTCATTATGATCAAAGCATATTCAATTATTTCTTTATTTTGAATCTACAGTTGCATAACAATGTATTATAGTAACTGATTAGTAGCCTATTGTGGTTGTGTTTAAATTGGTTTGATGCAAGTATCAAAGAAGATTTTGTTGGATCTCTGTCTTCCTATTGATTCATCAGACTCACTCAATGCAAATTAAAACAGATTATCAGCCAAAGACATTGCTGACATAATCACCAAAGGAGGTAGATTGCTTTGAGGGATTGATAAGAATTGCAAAGATTCCTTTATGACAGTCTGAACCACTTAAATGATGTCTTCATTGGATCTATCTAAGATCAATGGATTTATCACTATATAATTGATTAAACTCAATTCGATTATGAATTTCTCCTAATCCTAAGCAGCATTTTTGAATGAATGATATATCATTTTTAAATGATTGCTCAAATCGATGGATAAAATTGGAAATAGATTTTCAAAGAATTCCTTGAGTGTATTTTTCAATTTCTTGTGGTTTTGAGGAGTGTAACCTTGAAAGAAGGAATTCTAGGAGTTTAACAATAGATGAATAATTGATTTTCCTATTTCAGTGATTGTTGAAGATATGGAAGTTTTAAATGTTGTGTCCAATTCAAAATCGGAAATGAATTTAAGTAACCTTTTCATCAATTCTATCATCTAATACATATGAGGATCTTTAATTTTCATTTATCTCTACAGAATCTGAATGCAAAATGTTTATAAACAATAGAGCCATTTTTAACTGAATGCAAAATCAAAGCGAATTTGTTTGAGACCATAACAATTATTTAATTTAGTATTTAACTCCAATATATCACTTATAATCTCTTCATTTGTTGATTACACAGTCTAAAATAAAAATGTGCAACCTGCATACATCTCTTTTGCAAATAATCTCTTCTTGTCTTTGTTTAAAAATATCCTTTTTTTAGATGATGCCATTCTTTTTAATGATTTCAAAGCTAATAAGGCCAAAGAACTATTACTCTGACTGAAGACCTGTACAATATTGAATAATAGCTCTATTAATTGCTAATCTGTAAAATAATCAGCGAATTTATCTGGAAACTAAAAGTCATACATGTATTCTTACGCTAACATTATTTTAGTCATTTGGATCAAAATCAGATTCCAATTCAAAATAACTCACATTAAAATTAAACATCAATATATCCTTTAATGTGCTCAGAGATTATTTATATAATTCAGGAGGACTGGTTTTCACTATTCTACAGACTATCTCAAAACAACTAAAGATCTCCTAATTCTAGAATCCAAACATTATCCTTCTATAAGAGACATAAGAATCATATGATGAATATTGTTGGATATTCTGAATCACATTTTATATCAATTTCAAACCAATAGTAAGAGTCTCAATATTATTTCCCTCAAAAAATACATTTAGCCGGTCTTAGAATTTCATAAATTGAGTTCCATTCAACATCATTATTTATTAAATTAGCAATCCCACAAGATTGCAAATTGAATTTTGCTAATGCATTGCCAATTCTTTCTACAAAGTCTAGCAGAATAATGTAACCAAATTTTCATATATTCTACATTTTTGATACAAAATTTCCACTTCCTCACCTGTATAGCATTGACCCACAATAACTTGAACTTCTTTTGAGGAACGCTCAGCAACCTAAAATCCTTTGAATTATCTTTCCGATACTATAATTTTGGCAATGAACTCGGAAATGACAAATAATGTAGAGCCTGACTAAGTTTGGCTTATAATTTAATACAATCCATCGATATTTCTGATATCCTCTATGAATTGATAAATGGTTTAATCTGCTAATTATTTTCTCTAAAGCAATAATAATGAACAGTACCTCAAAAGATTAAGAAAAGCAACAATCATGGCACAGAGCATCAAATTGCTATTAATTCATTTCTCTCACTTTAAAATATTTAATTAATTTAATTATTTTATTACTAATCTATTAGATGTAAAAAGTTAATAAAAATAAGAGTCTTTTTTTTAATAACTGTTAAGATTGATATTCATAATGTGTCCAAGAATTATGAATTATAAATCTACACTACTATGTTCAATTTCACTATTCGTAAAATTATAATATAAATATTCAAATTTCCTCATTTTATAGCTGAAAATCCTTCTGAAGGTTAAAAAGAATTACTTCAAAATAAAATTGAAATTAGATAGGAATAATCACAGTACTATAATGATAATATAGATAGTCCATTTTTAGATGAGGATTCTTATATTTCTCGAATTTAATGTGTTCTCTGAGAAGTCTTAGATGATCAAAATGTCTGAATCTGTAAGTATATTAAGTTGTGAAATATTATGTACATTATGAATATTTGAATAGAGACACTTATATTAAAATAGTCAGTAATTATTATATAGAAATTTAATGAACTTTATTCATAAAGCAACTTTGGTTGAAATTACAATAATTGATAACCCTTAGAAAAGGAATAGTTTTCGAAATCCTTAATAATAGTAATAATCAGTTCTCCCACTTAATTTAATCTAAAAACAAAATAGATATAAGATTTTCTCTTTAGAAACTGTTTTATAAATTTATATTTTTATATTTAATTAACAGTGTACAAGAGAAATGGACAGATCAACAGCAAATGTACGATCATCAATCAATTTTTTATCAAATAATGATTTTGAATAGAGGGAGAAGATAGAAATTCAACTGATACCAGCATTATAGAGTTTTTAAACTTTTATAAAGATGAGCAATGAGTCTCAGATGGCATAGATTTCTGATTCTTTGATGGCTATTGATTTCTTTAAAAAGAATTGTCCTGAAGGTTCGAGTTTAAGAGATTTTATTATGTATGCTGGAAAAGCCTTGACATATGAATATTACAAAAAGGGTTCAATTATATTCCATTATGGTGATTACGGAGATAAGTTTTTTATGGTCCTAAAAGGTAATGTTGGAGTATTGGTACCTAAAGGGAACCATGATATTGAAATGGATAGAGATTTCCTTGTAGAGACCAATAGGAATGAACTATGGAGTAATGTTTGGAAAGGTAGGAAATTACAGAGTACAATTGATATGGAAGTGCTATTAGCCTAAGGAGAAGATCCTTGGGTAATCTCAAATAGATATTTTGAGGGAGGAGTGTGTTTATATTAAAAGGTATTTTAGATATTAGAATATTTAGATTTATGCATATTATAGTGGATAGACATTTGGAGATGTATCATTATATACAGATAAACCAAGAACTGCAAGCATATTAGTGTTGTCTGATGATGTTCATCTGATTACAATGAATAAGAATGAGTACAAATAGATTTGTGAGAAGTCTCTTTAGGATATGAATAGCAATGTTGACTATTTTATGAGGATGTTGCCAAATAATAGCAAGTTCGTAATAACTAAATTTATGTAATACATGCATAAGATTGAATTTGCTCCTTAAAGTATATTATGGAAAGAAGGAGAGGAATCTAAATTTTTTATGTTGATATTCAAAGGGAGAGTGGAATTGGTAAAGAAGATTGGGAGAGTGAGGATTACATTATGTTAATTAAGTGACAATAGTTGGGTTGGACAAGAAGAAATACGTAAAATAAGAATTAAGCTCTTTTAGTTGATTAATCCAATAGATTATCTACTTGTCAATGTGCTGACAATACAGTTGCCTATTATATTCATCTTGAAGAATTCAATTAGATCAGAAGAAACTTTCCAGAAATTTGCAAGATTTTGAAAGAGAAATCTCAATTACTTAAGGAGTACATGAAAACAAGATATGAGATGATTATGAATAATTTTATTAACAAGCCAGAAACTATTCAGAAGTAGCAACAGAAGGTGGAGAGAAAGACTATTTCTGAAATCTTCCATACTTCCATAAAGACCAAAACCCAGGATATCAGATCGCATTCTCCTAAGGCATTAAGCATAATTGAAATCACTGAATACAATAACAAAATAAATTAATCGAGAGTAGGTTTTTTATTTCCAATTTAGGGTGGTTTCAGAAATCTGAATATCTTTCCTTTGGACAAGGATTCAGTTCTATCGATAAGGGATAGAGTTTGCAGATAATTAACCAAATAAAACAAAAAGAAGGAGAGGGTTCAACCTTAAACAATGAGAGAAGGAACTCTCTTATCATCGACTATTTCAGATCTATTCAAATAAAATGAGTAGGTTCAACCATATTCAGGTTTCAAATAGAATGATCTAAAGAAAAGTTCCTTCTCCTTTGTTAACTTATTTGGTTAAGGATCTACGAATAATCCCACAAATTCTAGTGATCATTTTACTTCAAGACTAACAACCCAATAATCTTATTTCAGGATGAAAACAGAACAGGGGAGATCCTAAATCTAAACCTAAACTAGCTTTGATCAAAAGTATCTCATGTTCAGTAAAATTTAGGAATAACAGTGTAGAACTAAATAAGTTACGTTCCAATAGTCCTCTCACTTCCATTCAATTCTCAAATAGAAGTCAAAATAAAAGAATACATAGCTGTAAGATGATAGCAAGACCAAAAAAGTACCCTTAATTATTGAAATATAAATTATTATGAATTTTGTAGAAAGAAGAAATAAAACTAATCCTGATTAGCATTAATTATTAAGCATGAGCAATCAAAGTTCTTCAAGAAATTCTGCAGTCAAAGCAACATTGAAGGTGTATTCTGAAATGAGAGAAGATGGAAGCTGCAAATTAGCAATGAGATTTACACAATTAAAAATAGTTCTAGCCACCCATAAATTGGTTGGATTCTGTTATAAACTTAAATCTGTCAGATTACAGCACTATTTTGATGTTTTGATATTAACGAAGACATCAAATATTCATTCTGTATCAATTTTAAATAAGCCTTAATAAGGGTAAAACTATTATTTGACACCACCTACGAAAAAGAAAAGTGTAAAGTTTTAGCCAAAATACTCCATTGCACCCTTCTTGTTATTAAATTCTATAATTTAATAGCATCTTCACAGAAATTTCAACATATTACAATATAATCAAAACAGAAAAAGGAGACACAGCTCTTTTAATAACGTATTAGAACAGTTGTATAGAAGGAAATAAACTTAGAATTTCAGAATTCTGAAATCTAGACTATTATTATCAAAGACGTTTAGACGAATTAGTTTTATGATTAATCAAAAAATAAAATCAATACAATTAGAAGTTTTACTAACAACTTCTTAATATATTCAAAATAATAATCCTAATTCTCATCAAGAAAGTTTATTGGATTCTGAATTCTCATAGTAACAGTAGACCCTATAAGAAAGCAATAATGATATTCAGGATTATGAAATAAATAATTAGATGATGAGTGCCAAAGAATAATTGGCCATGAAATTTGCAAGTACCTCATTATTGATAGGAATTTTGAGTTAAATAATGATAAAAGCATAATTTGCATTTTTGTTGCATCTAAGAATTGGAAACAATCAAAAATTAGACATCAGAGAAATAAAATCCATAGATATCAGTGAAAATCTAGATTAATCTTTAATTGAAGAAGAAAAAATAAAACCAAAAATAATTGCAGCTAATCAAATAAATCATTTCTTAATTCAAAAGCTCAGAAGTTATTTTGAATAGATTAATGAGGGTCCTTCCAGAGTTTCTAGACCTTCAATTAAACTCTTTAGAGGAGGAGACAAGAAATCAAAATCTGAGAATTCTAATCTAAAATTGTTATTAACTGGTTAGAAGCTATTTAAGGAGGATGATCCTCAATAAAAGAGTACAGATATCACTGCCAATGAAAAAAAGTGTTCATTTAAAGCACTGCCTGGAGTTCGATATGTCACATAGTATTCAGATATTTCAAAGAATGCTATTTCTGATGTAAAATTATAAACATCATTTTAGAGTGAAGTAAGTGAACAATCCATCATTACAGATTATGCTAACACTCTACAAAGCATTCAGACTTCAATCCTAATCAAAAATTAAACCAATTAATAATACAAATAGAATTAAAGAAAAGAATCACTTAATTCTGCAATTCAATAATATTGTATATTTCTATGTTAATCATTTAGTGAGTCCTATTAAAAGTTAAAAAAACTCCCCTGATAAAGAGTCTAAGAAAACAATTGAAAATAAAAAGGAGAGTAAATACTCTAAATTAACACTTTTGTACTGTTTCCCTATCATAATTATCCTCTTTATTGTAATTTTAATGAAATGAAATATTTTTATATTAAATAATTATGTAAGCTCAACCAACATAGCCATCTATTACTACCAGTGCAGGACCCAGAGATCCATAGTGGGTAGATAGACTCAAAGAGGAATATACAGCCTTGATCAATTACATAAAAAACAATAAAAGCGAAGATAATGATTGGGTTAAATTGGAACCAGCAAATAAAGAATGCACCAAGTAATCAACAATAAAGATCATTAAATAGTTGGAAAGGGAAATGTTGGGTTGTCCACAATTTGATTCGTTATGAATTTGATTTTTAATTTGAAGTTAACTAGACTCTATTATTTAGATTCCTCCCACATACCCATTAGCACCAATTGAAATTGAAATCCCATCATTAGATGGTTTGACACCCAAAATGTACAGAGGTGGCAAGATCTGCATTGATATTCACTTTGCTCCTCTATGGCAAAAAAACGCACCCAAATTTGGAATAGTCCACGCTTTACAATTAGCTGTATATATATATGAAGTTGATTATTTAATAGTTGGCACCTTGGCTGGCAGCTGAAATTCCAGTGTTGATTGAGGAAGGCAAGATTAAAAAGGATTGATAATGTATAATAAAATTAATAATGTCTAAAATATTGAGATCAGATTATGAAGAGGTTCTTAAAAGGAATCCTAATGACATTAGATCTATGATAGCACTAGGTTGTCATTCCTTTAATTTAGGTTATTAATTGTTGCAACAATAAAAAAGGAATCAGGCACTCTATTGGTTTGATGCAGCAATCAGTTTGGATCCTAATATGGTTGATTCTCTATGTGGAAAAGGTAACTGCATGATCAATACACAAGGTGATGCTTTGTAGTTATTCGATAAACATTAGAAGGCAATTTAATGGTATGATCGAGCATTGAGTATTGCACCAAATCATGTTCCAAGTTTGGTAGGAAAAGGTACCTAGTTCTTCAAATTAATAGCCAAAGCACTTTATCAATTAGAAATAGATTTTAATAAATTAGCTAAACGTATTGCAATCTTTAATTTTATGTCTAGCAAAACTCTTAAATAAGTAAAAGACAGAGTATAGTCTCAATGAACGAGGTATTACAACCTATTATTATTCATAATCTAGATTCATTAGAAAAGCAAAAACTTGAATAACGTTTCAAAGAAAAAGGTATTAAACAATGTATCTTATAAGAAGATCAAAGCAAAGAAAGATTAGAAATCAGACTTAAAGAAAAAGGTACTATCCAAATATTAGAAAATAGAAAAGCTTAATTTAAACAAGGAATAAGAAACAAAATTAAATGATAAAGGTACTCATAATCAATATTCTTAAGCCAAAGCCTTGCATTAATACAAAATTGAAGCATTGCTTTAAGGAAAACGTATTATTCTCTACAAATTTAGCTAAACCTAAACATTAAATTGAGTTGGAGTAGGAAATTGAATTAGAACTGGAGTCTTAAAAGTACTTTGATTAAGCATTATCAAGCAAGCCTAATCAAATATAAGCACTTACAGGGAAAGGTAAAAGTTTTGATATCAACTAGGCCTTTGCATTAATACATTTTATAAATAACTTGATGCTGAAAATATTATAAATAAAGTCTTATCTTTGCCATCTATTTAAGGTCATAATGATAAATAATCTGATATCTACGCAGCAAAAGGCACTATTTTGATTAATTCTAGGTGATATTTTATTAAACCAACAAAAATATGCAGAAGCCAATAGTTTCTATGACAAAGCATTAGAATTGGATTCTAATCATCTTTAAAGCTTATTTGGAAAAGGTATTAATTCAAAGAGAAGTAGGCTAATATTTTAGATTGATAGAGAATTATGATGAGGCTATTGAATGGTATGATAAAGTGATAAAAATAAAACCAAATCATATAAATGCAATTTGGGGAAAAGGTTAATAATAAGTTTTATCTGTGTAGGCGAATCATTAAGAATGCAAGACAAATTCAGAAAGGCAATCGCTTATTTTGACAAGGTTCTGAAATACCATCCAAAGCATTTCTTGTCTCTATATGGCAAAGGTATCATCAAAAACTATATGTTTTTCAAGGAGAAGCACTTAGAATGCTCAAGTATAATTATGATGCTTCTGTTGAATACAAACAAGCACTTGAATTGTAGCCTAACCATATTAAAGGATTATTTGGATATGGGGAAGTATTAAAACTGATGAGAAAGTACCAATAATCTTTGGTATGCTACAAGAAAATCTTGGAAATAGATTAAGGCAATATGGAAGCAGTGTAGTTGAAATGTAACTATCTATTATTGAAATTTAGATGAGGTAGAACATTTCATTTCATAAATGTAATAAAAGGAATAGATTAATATAATGAGAAAGTAAGATCTCTAAAGCAATAGTAAATTTTTTGATGGTCTTTAAACCAATACTCTAAATTTTAGAAAAAAGTTTTGAATAAAAACAAAGATGTATATGATAATACTAAAAAATTTTCAATTATTAATACAAAAATGAAAAGCTCTATTAATTTTTTGAATAGTAATTTATCAATCATGATCATGTTATTTTTTTTTCTCTTCCTTTTTTCTTCTAACCTCCTTGAATTTGGTTCTTAATTTAGCATCGTGTCTTTAAAGATTTTCTAAATTTTCTTTTTCTATTTATGCCTTATCGATATCCAAAGCTGCCAAATTTGTATAATCTCCTCTCAGTTACGCATCAGATGGTAGAAATGGAGGTTTGATGGTTACTTAATGTGGTTACTAAATATGATTTATGTATATTTACCATATGTCGATGATCCCAATATCGTACGCCATCAAACTCTATGTATCCCATGTAAGTACCAAATATTTTACACAATTCTTATTAGCCCATATTAATGGATCCTTCAAAATAATCGGTAGCTTTTCTTTTAACTTTTCCAAATTTTAAAGTTGCAGTCAATCCTTTATTTGTCTAATACGTAGAAACACCAAGAGTCTTGATGAATTACTAATAATATACTTCAACTTTCATTGAACCCATGATAGTTCCACTGTAAAGTTCATAGGCAAAATTATAATCAATTCTCTGGCCCCCATTGAATATTATGGTTCTTTTACCCTTATTCTTGAGAGTGATAGAGTTAAGTCCAGCCGAGGCTTCGTAACAATAATTTCTAATCATATACAAAGGTGATACCCAAAGTATTTATAAGAATCATCTCTACCAACACCATAGAATTAGCTTATGGGTGGGTGGTGACTAATTTACTCTGCATATAAAGTTGTTCCATCTGACAAGAAACCTTCGACAGTTTCTCCCAAGATAGGATTTAAAGGCTTGTGGAAACTCAGGTTTATGTGGAATGTAGCTATGGTAGCAGTTATGACCAATTTCAACTACTCCATAAAATCTACTGTTTGAACGGCTCGGTTGATATACAAAGGAAAGAATATGGTAGATTATAAATTTTTCTCCAAAGCCGATTTGGCAATCATTGCCTTAATTGGAAAACTGATTTTAGTGAGATTCATGTCTCCAGATAAAATTTTACGTCCGATTTGCTAAATCACATAGGTCCCCACGGATCTCATACATTTGATTTGCTTTTTATCTTCGAATTTCTTTCCACCATCTTTCTATGCTTGATCACATCTAGAGTCATCCTTAGATTGAATCGGTTGAAATGTTGCTACCTTTTATTATATAATATCATATGGATCATTATTGAAATGCCTAATAAGATTATTGATTTTCTCATACTCTTCTGTGATGTAAAATTGCACAGCATCAGGAGCAGTTTATTAGACTTGTTATATTCTTATATCGTTATCCAAATCTTCTGAACTTAAGGTGCTATTCATTTTATTTATTTAATTAAAATCAAATCATTTTTCAATGATAAAATTCATAAAATCACTTACTCACTTTTAATCCACATTGACCATTTCATATTTCTAAGTACTTTAAAAGTTCTAAAATTTATCATTCAAAAAAGATGTTAAAATAATTTTACATTTTACATTGTTGTTTTAATATTATTACATATTTACTTAGGTTTTAATTTAGCTGATAATATGATGTGTACAGATATTATAGGAAGTAATTCGATTAATTAGCATTTGATTAATTTGTTTATTTTAATAATTATTTGATGCTGATCAGCAGTGCAAAGCAATCTGTTAGATCAAGTAACAATGAAAGCACAAATTTTAATTCTAGATTATGTAGAAACCTCTAATCGATGACAATAAGTGCAAGATTCTAAACAGAATTATTATAATTGGAATAATAAAATGAACCATTTTTATTCAGTTAATAACGATCAACACTTAGGTAATGAATAATTAAATTTAGTTCTGTGGATTTTAGTAGATAAATTAGTTCTAAACAATCATGTAGATCTAGTATGCCAAATATCAATATTAATGGATATCATAATCCATGTTCTAAAAGAAAAAATGATAGAATGATCCTAAGAACAACACCTTGTCTTATCTATATGCCTGGACTTAAAAGAGAAGACATCAAGGAAGATACATCATCATAACTCGCTTATCAAAAACAGATTAGAAGTCCTCTTTTGAAAACTCCCATTAAACACATAAGCTTTTAATTTAGAAATAGAGATAAGTGCAATCCACTCCATAAAATAAATTGACTTTTTCAATAATCATTAATAAATTTGGATTGATGCATATTCTTCCTTAAGATACTTTCAATTTAATTAAGATTTTTGATTATGATATAAATGTTAGATGATAATCTTCACTTAGTAAGCGATTAATTGAATTTTTCGATATTTTTAATATCTCTTTAGTATCTAGTTCGCTCTTACAGTCGAAGTTATTGGAGCGTCTTTGTTTCAGTCATATAAAGGTCTAGTTTTTACTACTAATGTTTTTGTTGAGCCTTTGATGCACTAAGTTCTTTTCTGAGATTGAGATTTTCAAGTATTAGTTTTTCCTATTGAGAGAGAAGGGATTCAATTTATTAAGATGTCTTTGAATTCATGTCATTGATCAGTTTGTCTTTGGCAGCCAATTCTTTTTTCAATTACTCAATTGTTTCAATGTTTGTTTGAATGTTGGAAAATGTTTATTAAAATTTAACAGTTTGAGGTTCGAGTGTAACTATAGAATCGGCACTTCGTTTTGTTTAATTCGGGGATTAGAACATTTGGTGAAGTTCATCTTATGTAATATATAGTGGATTCATAAAAGGAAATAAATATATTTTATTTCTAATGCAATAAGATAATTAAGCTCAAGAAGCACAAATTTTAGAAGATTTAATTATCGAAGACTTCTAAAAAGTGATCACTTCATTGACAGATGCCCAGGTTGCCATTAATTATTTTGAAGATGATCCTGAAAATCCTAAAATATTAGTATTCCTGAACTTAGTAATCCAATCTCTAAATCAATCCAAATCGAATTACTAATCAATCAACATCAAATATTCGAACTTAATGGCCAAAATCAAATTGATAAAACAACATGTTAAAGAATTATGTTAGGAAATTAAGATCTAAATTAAATACAACACAATAGTTGATGAATATCTTTCTTTCTTTACAAACAAAATATTGGATCAATAGATTGGCATAGAGGAAAAGAAGCAATTTAATGTATCCTCAAAAGAGTCAACAAATGTTTCAGAACTCTTAAGTGCTCTCCCTGTAGAAAAATGGAATCATGATATCTTTATATCCAAAGAGTAGATTATTGCTAGTCTAATGTAAATTTTATAATTAATTATAGGAAGAGAAAAGGAAAGCTATTTTTGGAGATGTAGATGCTTTGGATTAACACAGTCAAGTCAGAACCTAAAGTGGAGGAATATGGAAAACCTTTGTATTTGAGAGCAAGTTACAAGTCTGACTTGATTTTCTTTGGTGTTGCAGTATGTTTATGCATAGTAGTTGCTTATTGCATGAGTTAATGATAATTATAATAAAATTAATAATATATTTGATGGATAATGAGATCAATAATTAAGATTAATAATAACAATAATTTCTAGTTGACGAAAGTGTAAAACCATAGAATTTATTTACTAATCATCTTATCTCATCTAATAGAAGGAGTTACACAAATTTTTCTCAATCTCAACTCATTCAGTCAAATCTCCCTTAATTATTAGAAAAAGTGTTAATACATATTTTATCTGAATAACTAATAGAAATGGGTACATTCGTAGTTGTTGACAATTGTGATTTAGAATTGTTTTGTTCATAACTATCTGTCTAACCACTTAAAGATTTTATTTAAAATTAGGATAGCTCCAAGTTACATCCTTAATAATTGTAGCATTATCAAAATTATGAAAAGGATTTAGAAACAATTAAGATATAGATTGACCCAAGGAAATTAAGAATGTTGATTGTTTAATGTAATAAACTTGTTGTAACATACAAATCTATCCAATTATTGATTAACAAATTTAAAGTACAGATGTATGCTAATTCTATTGATGGTGAATTGAGTAGGCTACAATGTCATCATCTACTTGAAAAAATAGAATAAGAACTTTCTCAAATATAGAAATATCACGATGTAGTTAAATAAAAATTAGCAGAGAAAAACGAAATTGCTTAATTTTTAAATTATCCCATAAAAGATGTGTATAAATAAGAAATCAAACGATAATTTTGTTTAATATTCATCCAAAAAGATTAATAGACATTCCCTTAAAAATAGAGAACTGAAATCTAGCCTACTTTAACAATCCATAAAAAACTTCCTAGTTATCGATAATCTACAATTAGTTTGTTAAGACCTGGCAAACATACTCAATCTATTTCAAATGACAATAGAATTAGTGAAGAAATCTCAATAAAAAGCAGAATTACTTAACATTTTTATTCAATTGAAAAAAAAATCAATGATACAATGTCTTAGAAATAATTATCCTTCTTATAAAAATATAAAACTAAATTTTCCAATACTACTTATGACTCATTCACCATGAAATTAATCGAAAATATTTACTTATCAATTTAGACCAATTTTCTAATTAATAATATAGATGAAGTATTTGAGAATTACAACGATCAAATTAATCTTTAGCAATTATAAACAATTATGAAATTACTCAAAACTTAAACTTGTATTAACATATTTGAGAAAATAATAAACTCTAAATCGATTTAGCTTAATGAAGAGTTGTGCAGTAAAGATCTAAAAGCCAAATGTAAATAAGATCTAAAGATAATCTCGGATATTTTTACATAAGAATAACTTATAAGACTACATCAAAATATCCATCAACTAAATTAAACGATAACTTCATATTTAAATTAATTAGACAGTATAATCCATTAAATATTAGACGGAAATAAAAATACCATTAACTTCAATTTACTTTAAATATAGGCAGATTTCTAGCAAATATCTGAAGATATTATCTCGAGAATGTATGGTTAAACTTTACTTATGCTAAAGTATATTCAAAATAATAGCATCATTTTATTGTAGTCTTTATCAAATTTCCTTTCTAAAACTAATTTTTCTGAATAGCATTTACTCCTTTATCCATTTCAATAATTGGCATCCGCAATCAATAAGACGATAAATTAGGTATTGCATCAAGCCTAAAATGAAATTGTAAGTAATCTCTTATTTGAAACTTATATATGCATTATTTCAAAACATATGATCGATAGAAGATAATAATATATTGAATAGCTAAATTCGTAAAGTAAGTTAATCATGTTGCAAATTTCTTAAATCATCTAAGGGAAGTTACTAAAACAGTAGATTTACTCATATTCCCAATCAAAGGTTTACTTATATGATCTTAATGAAATTTAATAATCCATCGAATGGCTATTTGATTAACATATTCTTAAGAAACAAATTAATAGAACTATGGATTCAATTGAAGAATTTTCATTTTTTATCACGCAAATAATATCTTAGATTAAGGCTCTATTTGAGGAGGAATTTTTTAATGAAAATATTAAGTATAATAGAATTGCTTCCTAATTACAACTATTTGAAAACTATGTTAAATAAGAAATTCTAAAGAAGCCTTCAGAGCAACAGCTGAAAATTCAATGGTCAAACAAAATATTTAGACTCTTCCATAAAATCAATAATGAATATTTACCAACGTCAAGATCAATGACAAGAAGAAAATAAACAACAGAACCAAAATCTTTAGATAATCAAACTGCTTTATAAAGCCCAGCCCAATCTTCATAATAATAAAAGCTCACATTTTTTAAACAGAGTATATATGTAAAAGGTAATAGAACACATATTTAATAAACTGAAAGATTAACATAATCCACTGTAAAGTTTAAAGACTAAAAGGAATTGGAAAAAAAAATAAGTTGAAAATTAATTATTATACTTTTAATTCATGATACACAATAATTAATATTATAAGTATTCTTTTAGATATTTAAAGAACAAAATTTTTGATTTTCCTTTACTAATTATCTTATGGTTTAATAGAAAGAGGAATAATATAATTTTAAGAATAATTTTTTTGCTTTTTATTTATTTTATTAAGTTCGTAAATTAATTAAAAAAATACAAAATATATCTTTATATGACTTTCTTTAGTTCCTCATGAATTAATTTTCTCTTGTTGGGATGGTTAAACGGTTAGGACTTATGTTTTATTAAGCAAGTCTTAGAGGATTTAAAAATAGTATTATACTAAAAGAAAGTAAATATTGGAAATTAAAGTAGATATGAAGATTATTGATAATGTTTAACGATAAAAATATGAGTAAATATATTATATTGCCAATTTGAAATAAAGATTAATAAAATTTAATTGCTTTGTAATGAATTATATGAATATATGAGTTAGAATAAATGCACATAAGTATTTGAAAGAAACTGATTTATATAATAAATCATTGATTATATATCACATCTCAGTTAACCTTTTTTTTATTTCTTGAATCAGATTCTCTTGAGTAGTTTGTTTTAATTTAAACCATTAGTTCAAATGATTGGCACTCAATCTTTCCTCAGGTTGGATACTAAACATTTAAACGAATAAATTTTTGCATTCTTGATCTAAGTTTGATCGTATGTCCTTCCAATAGGTGTCCCATTGTTTATTTTTAATTAAATTCCACCATGGATCATGATTGTCTGGATTATTTGATTCAAAGGGAGGATGACCAGTTATTAAAATGAAAAATATAACAGCAACCGAAAACAAGTCACTCTTTATATAATTTGGATTTGATGTCCATATTTCTGGAGCAGTGTATCCTTCACTACCAGCTATGGTTTATTTTTCGATTGCCATCTTCCCATTCCATCTGGCAAAACCGAAATCACATAATTTGATATTGTATTAACTATCTATAAGAACATTTGATAATTTAAGATCTCCATGAGTAAATCCTTATTCATGCATATAAGTTAGAGCTAGAGTTACCTGATACATGAGGGAGGCAGCTATGCAAACTGGAAATGGAGAGGATTTGATCAATTAAACTAAGGTGCCATAGGGACAATATTGAAGGACCAGACATGTGAAATCTTGGCTGTAGCCGAATAGCTCAATTATATGGGGATGCTTGATGTGGATGAGAATTTGTATTTCATTCTTAGTAACTTCAAGTTATTGGAAGTAATACGAATAAGTTAATGGCGGTGTCTTATATTTTTTGGGCTTGGCACTTCAAGGCATATTCTTTCTTTTCGTTTCCTTTGGTCTCAAGCGCGAGAAGAACTTTAGCATCATGTCCTTCACCCAAGGTAGATTAGATTTTTAAGCCTTAGAAAAACTGGGGAGGTAATGCCTAAACTTGTTGCATTCGAATAATCTTAAATTAAATTATGTAAAATCATGAACTTAATTTAATATTGGACATAAACTCTAATCTCTTGCCCTCTCTAAAAGATAATGATGCGGCAATTCTCTAATTTATAAAGATTATTTTAGAATTATAGTCATGTATAGATTATCATAATTAATTTACAATCAATTTGCTTCTAATTATGGCATTTATTAACTCTACAGGAGTGGTTGAAATTAAGATTTTGAATATAAAAACTAATTTCAAAATCTTACAAACTTTGAATAGTGTAACTTTTCAAGAAAGGAGTCTATGATGATTTGAGAATCCAAAATTATAAACCTCCTAAGTTAAAGTAAATATCGATACTATAAGGGCAAATAAAATTTTAGAAGTCTAATATCATATTCATAATTTCTCAATTTTTCAATTAGAGTAGGACTACTACAATAAGTATTTGAAAATGTGTAACGAAGCTAGCAAAGAATAAATTTGATTAGATTTATATAATCTAATTAGAGATTTTAAATAAGAGGTTCTGAGGAATAAAGGACTAAAATTAGAAGTTTAATTAGCAACATGGATTGCACATGGAGGAAAATAGGATAAGCATTTCAATACAATATTGACTGAAATTCTGTTAATACTTTAAGTGGTATAGCTATTATCATTTAATCCTAAAGACATATATGAGGCCAATCAGGCAAATTTAAGTGAATTGCAGTGTGAATCCTTTTTTTTAGGTATTAATGGATGACTAACTTTATTGCCTTGGCTTGTTCAGGTAGTATGATACATAATTTAAAATTATAAATTAGTAAAATGTCAGAAATCTTGAACTACCAAATTATGTACATAAATTATTAATATTTTACAATATTTAAGGATTAAATAATCCATATTTAATATAAAAAGGCTATCTATTATTATTTAATAAAAATTTTGTTTAATTCTTGTGTTTTTATAATTCATTTTATCTATTAAATTTTCAATGAGTTTATTATTTAATAAATATATTAGTATCTTTATTTTGAGCTTCAAATAATGGTAATCATATCTTTAAATTATATGAGTCTAAATTTCACATTCAATTAATCAAAATTATGATGAATCTAAGAATTTTTAAACAATCTTTCTTAATTAGATTTGTTTTTTAATTCAGATCAAGGTGTCAATTTAATCCAAAATATTTTTGATAAATCTTATAATTATATGAATGGATGATGGCTAATTCTTATCAATTAACTAGTGTAATTAATTAATTCTATTGTATTCTATTGTATTTTCTTCAAAGTCATCACTATTTTTGGATAAGAAATCTATTACGGAGTGATTTAAGATGCTTCCTCTACTTTCTAAATAGTTCTATAATCAATATAAAAGTTCATATCAAAACTAATAAGATTGGATTGATTCATCTTTAGACAGTTTTATCTCCAGACTAAAGAATTTATCTACTAATCTAAAGAAACCAACTATAAGAGTTGAAAAGTCTTATTATTATTAAGATATAAATATAAAGGATTTAATAGGAATTCATAAAAAGGAACAAAAAGATTTTACAGTTAATAAACATAAAAAGAAATCTGTAATTAAATTCCTGCATAAACAGTATAATATTATTTAAAACTAGAAAAGTCAAATATTACAAAATTAAATTAATAAGTTATCTGATCTTTTGAGTATCATACTCAATAATGTAAAAGAATATAAGCTCATATTAAAAATAATATTAATGCGCTGTATAACATTTGAAGATCAAATTCAATAACAGTAAAATTAAATTCATTCATCTAAAATAATACAATGGTATTATTAAAATGTTATGGCAAAGGAAATATCGGATTTTTAAACTGCGATCATCCGATAAGTTATTATATTTTATAAATTATCAGATAATTAATTTTTATACATGATCTGCTACAAAAGGAAATTCTTTTCAATCGAAAAGTACAACATTTTTATGTTAAAAGAAGGGATCCAATTTTCAAATGTAATTTTAAACGTATTATCAAGGATTAACACTCACTAGTAATATAGCTTTATTCGTTTGAACCGAAAATCAATTGGATTAAAAATGATAATTCTGACTTAATCTCATTTGAATTGTGCCAGAACAAAAATAAGTAGAACTTCAAATTTGCTCCGCATATTGGAAAACTATTAAAAGAGTTTATGAATGGGAAGGTCTGCTTTTAAGGAATAAATAATCACTATAAAATTGCCTAATATATCTAGAAAAGAAATTATGGTTCTGTATTTATCTTATTCTACTATTTTAGATAGTTCGAATGAGAAATATTTTCAACGAGGAATTAGTCACATGCAAAATTCTTAAATAGGGAACAGCGGAATAAGAACTGGTAAAATTTATGAGTAATAAAGGTATTTCGAAATGAAGTAATTGCCCTATAGTTTTTAAATCATAAAAATATTCCCAAGTTAAAAGAATATTATATTGAATCACACCATAACTATATAATATACGAGTTTATAGAAGGAGCTTCTTTGGATAATTTCATCAAGAAAAATATACTTAATAAGGATCAAATTTATAAAATAATGAAGGTAAATTTTTGAAATTATCTATAGGATTTATTGGCAATAGTAAAATATTTACATAAAGAAGGATTCAGTCATTAAAACATCAAATTAGAGAACGTTTTTTATTGTTCAATCTAGGATCATATAACTTTAATTGATTTCGGATAATCAAAAATAAAGAATATAATACATTTAAAACATGTTTCATCAATATACACTGAAATTACTTAAGATTAGACAAATGCCAATACAGATAGTAACAGGGAGTCTTCCATGGAATAAGATTATAAAGATTGTGGAATTGTGTTTTTGTAATTGTAAGCAATTCTAAATAAATTTAAGAATAACTCGAAAAATATTGAACAGTTAAGAATTGCTAAAACTGAAAGAAAATGGAATAATTCGTTAGATTGTTACTGAGTTTCATAATTAAAATGTCTCTAAATTTATTATGAAACTTATTAACTATAGTAATTTATAAACCTTAGACAATCTTAATTTTGCATAGACCTTTTATGAACCTATTGCGTCTATGAAATACTGAAAATTTTGAAACTATTTAATTTGTATAATCGAAGTTTTGTTGATTTAATATATGTGTACTCTTAATTAAGGAATTAATTCATTAAGTTTAATAAAATTTATTTATCCAAAGATGGGTGATCATTTTAAGAAAATTGACATACTAATAAGGAAATAGCAATTCCAAAAGAGTTTAAGTAAGCTAGAGAAATTGTAAGTTGAATTGAACACTAAATTAAATAACCCCGAAGAATGCTCTGAAACTGAATTAGTATTATGATTATTAATGAGATTCTTCAAAGCAATATTTATGAAAGATATGCCCAAATCTTTATTGATATCAACTAAGTTTATCGTGCTATGCAATATTTGATAAATATGATCAAAATAGAAAAAGAACTTTTCAAAACTCAAAACGATAAAGAAAGCATTCTTAGACTATGTAATTCTTATGCTAAAATTGGTAATAATTGACAATACTTTAAGGAAGATGTTGCTTTTATTGTTGCTACTATGAGTAAACCTTCAAATACCTTGATTATGCATAATAATTGTTGATCAAGCATGGCTTAACTTAAACTGGAGTATATGCTATGACATTAACACAATTGGGGAATTATTACAGATTTATGTTCCAAGATGATTTAGCGGAATCGATGTTATATGAGAGTATCAAAATTAGAGAAGACCTATTTACAAGATAATCAATAGTACTATTTCCTTACATATTTTAGGAAGTTGCAGATTCTTTGCATGGATTATCGTAATTATTTTCAGATGAAGGAAAGATAGAAGAAGCCATGAAATCCATTTCAGAAGCCATTTCAATATGGACAGAAGTTCTAGGTTATCAACATATAAAAACTGCCAAGTCAATCTATTTGAAAGGCAATCTGTACTTAAGAATGAAAAATAATCAAGAAAGTAGAATTATTGTAATTTATCTAGATTTATCTGCTGCTGAAAAACTTATTACTGAAAGCTTAGAAATTAATCTCAAGATTATGGGAGAGTCATCTTAAGATATTGCTGATTGTTATCATTCATTAGGAAAAATTAAAGCTTATAATAAAACTTCAAATGAATTTGAATAATATTTCAAAAAATCTCAAGAGATCCTAAAAACCTTGTATGGTCAAAGTCACGCAAGTATCGCAATTATTCTTAATAATTTTGGAAGATCTTATTTTGAAAGAAAATAATATGAAGAAGCAGTTAATTGTTTTGAAGAATCTATTAAAATCTACACATAGTTATGTGGCAATATGCATGGTAATTTAGCAATTACCCTCAAAAATTGTGCAGATTGCCACAAAGAACTCGGTCGATACAAATAAGCTTATATTGACTATCAAAGATCATTAGAAATTTATTAGGTATTTATCTTTTATAACGAAGAAAATGTAAATAAACTCTTCATAGGCAAATTAAATATAAAATTTAATGTCCTAAATCTCAGATAAGTACTTAGAGGATTGATATATAAAACTCAAATTTATCAAAAATTATCAATATTTCACTCATATTTACATGTTCTTAGATTGACCAATTCTTTTTTCTCATTCTTTAAAGTGAAGCAGCAATTTAGTTATAAATAAATTTTTAAAATAGGTGATACTAATTTAATTCATATTCTATAGAAGGCGTTAAATTACAAGGCAATTAACTGTAAATTAGTCAAATTATTGATATATAATTTTCAAATATTTTTGGAAATGGAAGATCTTAAATTCACCTTGAATTAAATCAATATTAAGAAGAGATTATTCATTATGTAGTTTAAATATGTAAATTATTATATTGTTATTAGTTGATATTAAATATTATTTATTATATAATATGCAATAATAAAAATTATTAAAAATTTTTGATTAAAAATGAAAATAATATGAAATATCAGATATATCTTAGATAACTCTCCTGGTGGTATTTTCATAAATAGTTTAATATTTGTTACTTATTTTATATAACAATATTGTCTCATTAAAATTAATGTAATGTATTATAAATTCTTTTCTGATTAATCTTTGTATTATATTGAAATTTATTATTATCAAATTCAATTGTAAGATTATTATTTTAACCGCATCATATTCAACATTCTTGGAAATATTCGTTTTAAATTAGAAAAAAGAGTTGCCTTTTAAAAATCCATAAATGAACTTCGCCCATGTGATTTTATATAAGTAATAATCAAAGTCTAGAACGGAATTAGAATAGGATGTGTTATTACTATGTTTAGAGGTTTTTATGTTAAGTATATAGGAAATATGAATTAATAATAAATATATTCCTCTTGCTTAAACCATAAATCAATAATAATATGTATTTTTACTTCAATTTCAAGATCAACATTTTATAATAGTAATTAGTTTTAAAATAATGAAGAATCCATATATTTAGAAAATTAAGGTGAATAATTTAAGAAGTTGTTTCTGTTATAAATACAATGAAAAATATACCAAATATATCTCAAGAATCTCATTAAACACCTAAACAATGCATATTAATAAAATATACATAGTAATATTTGCTTAACAATAGAGAAATTAAAAAAAATTCTTTAATTTTAATAAGTACTATTTTAGTTTTTGAATAATGTATTATTTTAATTAGAAAATGTAAATGAAAACTAGGATTCTCTTATAATATTATCAAATCAACTAATGTGTGATTAATTTATATTATAAAAATATAATAAAAAAATTTTTTAATATAAACAAAGAAAAGTAAGTATCAAAAATTGAAATGAAATTTTCTAGTAAACTTTGAAATAAAAATTGATTAAATTTTTGATTATATATTATATATTGTGAAAAAATGGGACTTACTAAGTTCTATTATTTAACGGTAAGAGAATAAATAATTTTGTAATTATAAACCAGAAGTAATTGTTATCACATAGATCATCAAAGCAAAAACGAATTATAAGCTTTAGACTCTTACAAGTACACCCAGAAAAGACGAATCTTTAACGTCGATGTTGAGGAACTAAGAACAAAGGTTGCATATTGATAGATTGCTGTTTATTTTGTATAAAGTAAAGAGAAAATTCTAATGAAGATACGAATTATATTATTTCGTCATATTTAATGTATAAAAGGTGATAAAGATGGATGATATTTTTGATAATATATTTAAAAAAATTTCTGCCTATAGAATGAGTGTTGCATCTGACTCTAAATGCGAAAATGAACCCAATCAGACTTCAAGTGAGGTATATTAAATAACATAAATGTTGTTTTAGATAAAATTCCTTTGGACGCCAAAAGCAGAGGAAAAACTTAAAGAGCTTCACGTCTTGTAATAAGGTAACTGGAAATCCATAAGCTCAATACTAAATGGTCCTTCGCCGATTGAATGCATGCATAAATGGCAATAACTTCATCCAGATTAAGTATGTTGTTTATAATAAAGAAGACTCATTCAAGACAACTGTGGTCCCCTTAAGAGGATGAATAGTTGAAAGAATTAGTATAAAAATATGGAAAAAAATGGAGTAAGATCTGTACAGTAATGAATTGGAGAACAGGAAAACAAGTGAGAGAGCGTTATTTGAATTAGCTTTAAGGGACTATAAATTAAGATAAATGGACAGAGGAGGAAGATAAACTGATTCTGAAATTATATAGGAAATTTGGAACTAAATGGAGTTATATTTCAAGTTTTTTAAATGGAAGACCTGTAAATAAAATATGTCTATAAATATAGGAAAATATGGTAAAGAATAGGTTTTATGCCAATCTAAAGAGAAGATATCAATGTGATCTAGGGGATTCTGACGATGATGATTTTGAAAGGGAATCTGCTATCTCCTCTGATGATGAGAGAATTATACTGTAAAAAAGGAGAAAATTACCTAAATCAACAAAGGATGATCAAAAATAAAAAAAAATTTAAGTTAAGGATGCAAATCAAGAAAATCTTTAAAGGATGACGAGATCAAAACTGATTAAATAAAATGATGAAAATAGCTAAAAATTAGATGGCTCTAATGAGAATGAAAATAATTCTGGTATTCATTTTCAATATACATTAAGGATAGCAAAATGCTAACTCTCTAATCAATAACCAAATCACTAATATTAAAAGAGAAAATTTATTAAAAATTGATCACAGTAACATTAATTCTTAATTTCTTCAACAACCTCTTCCTACTTAGACAGCAAATTAAGAGGCCCAAATATTCAATAATTCTCATATTTTCTAATAATATTCCAATATGGCACTATTGAATTAGTCGAATACAAAAATAGTGACGGATCAAAATTCACTTTTATATTTACAACAAAATAAATAATCATAATTGCCTTTTGCAATTAATCAATACCCAGGAATTCAAATGATAAACCCCATCTTAGGGTTTGTTTCTCCATAACAATAATATGTATATTAGTTACCATGTCAATAAAATTACTTTGATTAGATTAACTATTTTCAAAAATGGAATGAATTCTCTTCATTATACAATAATTAGTTATTGTAAAGTGGCTTGTAACCATGAGATTACTAATAAGAATGTAAACAAATTATATATGTAATCGCATTATCTATAAGACATATAATATATAATCAAATTTTCTTAATTGCCAAATTAAAATTACTCTATTTTATTTCCAGTTTTAATTTGTTTCTTAAATAGTGTCTAAGACTTTTGCTAGTAGAGTCATCATCCTCAAAATCGGATAAACCTTCTAAACTAACTCTTTTGTTATTAATGAATTATAAAACTTATTCATATAGTTCCTGATAGCTCTCTACAACTATTAAATTCTTTATCGACTAGTCGTTTTGAATTATTAAGTCTTTTATAAAAATTATAAAAATACCTTTTAAATGTTCCTTCTCTGTTTAAGTAATTAATTCTTCCTTCAATAACTGTTGCAAAAGGAAAAAGACTTTTGCATATGGAGAATCAAATTACCCGTATTTTGCCATTAAATATAAATATTATTATGTTATTTTTTAATCAAAGCAGCATTAAATATTATTTGTATCCAATAATTATTTTTAAGTTTTTTAACAAAATGAATACGAAAAACATATCATTCATCCAATAGATGATAGTAATTTAGATATAATGCATTGATATTCATATATGAGGAAATTTTTAAATTTTCAATTAACTGAAAAAGATGACTTTTAAATTAAATTATTAATTAAATTTAGTGGAAATAATTGTAATTAAAATGAAGCAAATAAACAGAACCATAATTAAATTGAGATTATTAAATTTAACCAAAGTAAGAGAAATGTAAATAAGCAAAATATAACACTAATTTGATTTCCCTATAATTTCAATCTCTACACTTGTACTACCAAAAGTCATCTATTTACTTGGATGTAGACACCATACAGAGCATTAACTTAGAAATTAAAGTTTAATGTATTATATATCATATAATATTGGTCATAATACAATTGTGTCTCATTATAAGATACCTTTGAACTGATGAAAATATCAGATTTAATATACTTTTAGGTTGAAGGATGTTTTTTAATGCAAATATTATTCACCCATTTAAGTCATAGAATGAGAAAAATAAATAGAAATATTTATTAATAATAATTAAGATTTTAATATTTTATTGTTCATGCCTGCATTGTTTGAGTGAAGGTTTATATAATTCAGCTCGTCTCTATCAATCATTTTTCTATTACAATATTATACAATATTTGAGATCATAAAATTAGTTTGATAATAAAGAAGTCCTATTAAGGTAATTGATAGAATATAATCGTTTAGAGGGTATAATCCAAAAGGAAAAATTTTTTAATGACTAAGGTAACTTGGAAGTTAATACTTATTGAAATTTAGTTTATTAAATTAATGATTGATAATAAATATGTTAAGAAAGGCTATTTTGTTAGGAGCATTTACTACTGGATGCACATTCTTTATGCCCCCGCAACAAAAGAAGGATCTTCAAGGATTTACAGCAGGCTTCATCAATTCCTTCTCTGCAATCAAAACATGTACAATGACATCTTGATTTAGTAATCGAATCTCTTTATGACTATCAAGTAGAGTTAACCAAATTTGAGTACAATACTGAGGAATATCATCAATAAAGATCTATTGTAAGGATATGTATTCTTATTTGTAGATTCATCAAAGAGTTGCTGATAGGATTTTGAGATTAAGCATTGAGAACAAAGGGGTTTATTTAAAAGCAGGCCAATATATTGGGAATTTGGAGAGAGTTATGCCAAGGTAATTTATAGTTAAACTTAAGGGAATTTACATAAACACTAAGAGTTTTATAAGATCAAGGACCTCAGGTGTCTTTTGAAGATGTCAAAATTGTGTTAGAATATGAATTGCAGAAACCAATTTAAGAAATATTTACAACATTTTCTCATAAAGCCATTGCAGCTGCTTCATTAGCTTAAGTTCATTAGGCAACTTATAATGGAAAAGAGGTTGCTGTAAAAGTACAATTTCCCTAGTTACGAGTTTAATATAGGTATGATTTAATGATAATACACAATATTGCTAAATTGTGTGATTTTGTTGTGTCAAATACTGGTACAAGTGAATTACATTTTTCTGATTTATTTTCTACATTTCGAAAGGCTTTGGAGAAAGAACTTGACTTTACTTTGGAGGTTTAAAATGCTGAAATAACTAGAACCAATTTCAAAAATAATACTAGAATTTACATTCCTCAATTTTATGAATTTTCTTAAAGAGTTATTATAATGGAATTCATTGATGGTGTAAAAATTAATGATGTAAATAAATTAAAAAATCCAAGGGAATGTGCTAATATTTTAATTGATATGTTTGGATAAATGATATTTAAATATGGTCACGTTCATTGTGATGCACATCCAGGGAATATATTGATCAGAGAACAAAATGGAAAATAATAATTGGTATTATTGGATCATGGATTTTACACAGATATTGATCAAGAGATGTTATAAAACTTTAGATGTTTATGGAATAATATTGCTAAATTCAATTATAAAGAAGTGGAAAAATACGCAACGAAATTGGGCATCAAAAAGGAACATATCGAATTTTTACCATTAATTTTCTTTTATAGAACCATATCATCAAAAAAGAAGTTGGGGGATGCTTTCAGTGTTGAGGAGAGACAATATTTAAGAAATAAAGATCTAGTAACTTTGGAAAATATAAATGCCTTATTGAGATCGATGCCCCCTGAGATCATGTTTATAATTAGAGCAGCCAATTTAGTAGGAATTCATAATGCTTTACTTGGAGGTATTTCATATAAGGTATATTAACTAAGGTACTACAAGAGACAGACTTTTAAAATTCACAGAATATTCTGTTAAAAATTCAGAAAAGAGTGTTTGGAAATAAAAGTTTGAGTGGATAAAACTAAAGATAGCTCTATTTTTATTTGAATTTTTTGGTTTAACACATAAATGAGTATTTTATAATGTAAATTATATCTATTTTATGAATAATCTATCATTTGAGCTAAAAGTTGGTAATCACTATTTTACTGATTCAAAATAATTTCAGTATTATTATAAATAACTTTAATATTATTTTAATATAGTAGACTTAATAGAAATGATATGATAAAGTTATCAAAAGAATGTATTTGAGGTAGATGTGAATGTGTGAAAAAGATATTAATCTATATCCTTTCTTAAAATAATAAATAAATTTATTTAATATATTGAATATGTCTCACAAATTTGTAATTGTTGGTGCTGGTCTTTCTGGATTGAGCAATGCATTTTTCATTAAGCATTTTTTCCCAAAGGCTTAAATAACTTTAGTAGAGTAATCTAATCGTGTCGGTGGGATGATCATTTCAAATAATAGAAATGGATTTATTTGTGAGGAAGGTCCAAGATCAATAAGAATGGGAAAGTACAATAGACCACTATATCATATTCTAAATAAGATCGGACTTTATAAAGAATGTAAAATAAGTAATCAAATCAATAGTTGTGCCCAGTATTCAGTAGCCATATAGTTATATATATTGGAATGGGAAATTAAATGCTGTTCCTCTGCAAATGAATTTAGAAACAATATCCTAATTTGTATAGGATAATGGAAGTGGGGATGTCTTTAAACTAATAAAAGCATATCCGAAGATGTTGTTTAAGAAACTAGATACGGACAATTTGGGAGATTACTTGGAGTTGGTATTGGGAAGGGATTTGACTGAAAAATATGCTGAGTCCGTATTTTACGGGATCTATGGGGAATCAGTGTATAATTTATCGAAGGCTTTGTGTTACTAGAAGAGTCATATGAAAGGATATGATGAATAGCAAATAAGCAAGGATTTGAGTTTCGATAAGGACTTTGAATAGGCGAGGGATTAGAAATTGAAAGGAGGTAACAATGATGATTATGCATAGCAAATAGTTATAGATTCAAAGAAGGTGTAGAGTCTCTACCAAAGAGGATGCATGCTTATTTATAAGAGACATATGAATCGGATTATAAGGTGAAGTTGAATTCGAAGGCTAAGTGTATTGATCTGTCAAGAAAGGAATTGGTAGTTGAGAGTAGGGAGGAATAGGAGGAGTAAAGATTAAATTATGATTATTTGATATTGAATGCTCCTACTCATCAGTTATCTCAGATAATGATTAATTCTAATTTGAATAAGGTTGGGGAGATGTTCAGAGGAGTTAAGTGCAATACATTGGTGACTAGAAATATATGTTGGGATCAAAAGATATTGCCTAAGGAAGTATGAAATAGATAGTAATATTAAGTTTAAAGGCTTCGGATATTTAATAAATCCAAAGTAGTAGTAGGTGATTTTGGGGATGGTGGCAGATTCACTTTCCTTTCCTTCGTAATATCCTGAGAATGCTACCAATTTATCTGTTATGTCAATATATGATGTGAATGATCATGTGATTTTGAGTGAGTTGAGTAAACATTTGGGAGTGAAGATTCCTGATCCAAAAGAGATAGTCACTAAAAGTTGGTCAAAAGCATTTACTCAATTTTCACCTGGACATTAGGAGGAAATGAAGAAGATAGAGTCAGAATTGAATGCAAAAAGTATAATAATAGGAGCCAACAATTACACACTGGCTATCCCAGAATTGGTGTACTTGTCCTATAGTAAGGTGAAACAATTATATTTGTGAATAATAATTTTCAGTTAGTGCTTTTAAATTTAAAATATAAAACATGGATTATGAAACTCTCTTTGCCGTTCTGCCCAAAGAACCAAAAAAATGGTCAAGGGAAGATGTATCGTAATGGCTCAACTTTGTTGGTTTACAGTCACTGTAAAGCACTTTCAGTATGTATTTATTTATAAGAGTAGTAAATAATTCAATTGATGGATCATGTTTAGAATTAATAGAAGAAAATGACTTAATTGATGATCTCGGAATCAATAGTAAGATAGTTAGAAAAAAGTTAATGCATTGTAAATGTAATTTTAAAGAAAGGGTTGAAAAATGGATTAAAGGAGTACACTTAACATATTAAATCAGTAATGGTTGACGATAAGCGATGCGATAAGATGGAATAAGAAAACACTTCTCTTGAAAATACAGAATCAGCACAAGCATAATATGGATAAATTAATATATCACATGACATGATGACTAATTACATTAAGAATAATGAAATGTTATCTCAATAGTTCTAACAGCCATTATGCGAAATGTAATCGCTATACACTATAATCTAGTGAAAACAGGCCCTAGTTTTTAAAGAAATAATAAACCGGCATTTAATTAGAATAGGAAGTTGAAAACTTTGCACCTAAAATATCAAATGAACTCATTATTCAACCAACTGAAGGACCTCAGACTAATTTTTATTGTATAAAGGAATCAGGTGGTAAGATAGGCAGACACTCTAGCAATTAGATATTAATATTGGAAGAAAGCATTAGTAGATTTCATGCCGAAATAGTCTTTTAAGATGAAGATGTAATTTGAGTGTTTTATGAAATAGTTTTTCATTAAAGACATTGGATCAACTACTGGCACTTTCATCAAAGTAGAAAGCAAGTTAGAATTAGAAATTGGAATGGTTATAGAATTGGGCAGCAATTAATTTGAGATTTAGTAGTTGACTTCTAATAATCAAACAGTAGAAGTAAAGCTATCTTTATCTATTTATAGGTTGTCATGCTTATTATTGAAGGACTTAATTCCTCAGAAAAGCATATCATAGCTTTGAACCCCTAAAAGTGCGTTACGACTGTAGGCAGAAAGCAAACTGCAGATCTCACTTTCAGCGAAGATCATCATCTCTCAAATATTCATGCCAAGATCTGCCTTATTGAAGGACGTGTGTATCTGGAAGATATGGGATCAACTAACGGGTATACTTATTAAATGTTATGGTAGTTCCTGGTTGAGATTGTCTAAAGAAGGACTGTTCTCATAGTTATATCCATTACAAAATCAAACGGCTTTCAAAATTGGAACCACTTCTACATATTTATGTAAAAGAACTACTTAGTTGATTACCGACAAGAATAACGAGAATAGTTGTATAATTTGTATAGAAAATGACCGAGATGCTCTATACATGCCCTGCAAACATAATACTGCTTGTCTAAAATGCAGCAAGAATTTAAAAGACTGTCCAATTTGCAGAACCAAAATCCAAGATGTTATCAGAATCTACAAAAACTGATATTCTTATTAGATATATATATAAATTATATATTATTTAAGTTAATGGGATCTATTTGTGCAAAGGATAAAACAAACAAAATTGTCATCAAAAGCTATGCAAAACCTGGAAATACACCAACTCCTAATGTTCCACCAAAAACCATGAATACATACAAATATGTTGGTGAAGAGTTTCAATAAGAAATTGAAAAAAATGATCCATCTTATTCTCAGAAACAATAAAAGTGGAATCAATACTACTAGAGGAAATATGACCTATTGAATGATGTGAATTATAGTGCTTTATTAAAAAGATCACCATCGATTGAGTAATTATAATAACAGACTAATGAAGATGATCAATGCAAAGAGCCGAAATTAAATTCTAACAAGCAGTTTTCAAAGAAATTAATATTGTAGCTAGCATAACAACTTGGTGGCCCTTTCAAATTGACAAATCAAGATATTATAGATGCTTATCTTCTAAAAGAAATCAATAACGAAGATTTTAAAAACATTCTTATGGATGGAGCTATTTCCAAATACAGATGGAATTTTTGGATGGCTCAAGTTTATAGGAACTAAGATTATGATCCTCTTCTTTATTAAAAATTGAAAAATGAAACTCCATCTCAGAAAGTCCTCGAAGATATAACCAAGGATGTCAATAGAACTTTTCCTTCTCATGATCACTTCAAAGACAACAATTAAGGTTAGCAATAATTATTATCTGTTCTCAAAGCCCTTTCCATTCTCAATGAGGATATTGGATATGTATAAGGAATGAATTATATTGTTGGCTTCTCTTTAATTGTCAGCGGAGGTAAAGAGGAGGAAGTCTTTTGGCTTATCCATTTCATTAATACCAATCCTCTCTTCTTCTGGTGGGAAATATATAGAGTCAACTTTAATTACACCAAAGCTTTGTGTCAAGTCTTCTTAAAAAATTTTTATGAATAACTCCCAGGTCTTTATCAGCATTTCTAAGATGAAGGAATAAGTGAGTAGTAATACATTTGGCAATGGATTTTAACCTAGTTTTTATATACATTCCCCATCGATAACGTGATTTTCTTTTGGGATTTCATATTGGCAACCGACATCTTTTCAATCATTAGAATTAGTATAGCTTTTCTTAAGGAATATGGATTTGATTTAGTCAACAAAGACATTGGTGAAATTTCGGAATATTTTACTGGGTTCATTAAAGATCAATTACAGATAGACATTCCACAAATAATCGAAGCTGCAAAAAAGATAGATGTAAATATGACTGATGACTAAAAACAATTCTTTAAAAATTATAAACCTCAATCATCTACTTGATATTACTAAATTTCGATTTTATATGTAAATAAATTTTATAGAAATATTAATTTAATATGCTACATTATTTGTAATATTGAAGTGCTGTTCTTTAATTAAATGAATTAGCAACAGAAATTAAGCATCTATTATTCATTGTAATTTAAGCATCAACATTAATCTTCCACACCTAAAAACTCAAAGTATTAGGATATAAAAGATAAGTGATATATCAGTATAATTTTGATCCATCTTTAACAGGTATTTTTTTAACCAGTATGATAACAGAGCTAACATAATAAATATATTAACCAACATGATATCAATAATTTTATATGGCTATTATGATCATGATGTAAAAGAAACCTTTTAAACATTTGCTATAGATAATTTAAACTTATTCAAAATCATTTTTTGTATTTCTCATTTATAGAGTTGGATCTGATAGCAATTTAGAATAAGAAAATTTAAAAACAGTTCTATATATCTTATTGAAATAGTAAATGAAAACTGTATTAGGATAAATTTCAATCAAAATTGAAAGAAGCATCTAAAGAAATTCCAGTGTCATCTCAATGTAAGAATAACATGTTAAATGGTTATAATAATTAAAGGAAACATAAAATGAGGTAGCCTAGAAAGAAGGATCATTTAAAATATGGATATTTATCAGAACAGGGCTTGGAGTTAAATTATTGATTGGATATAATATATTGTAATAGTAATAATCAGCATGAATAAATCAAGAGTAGAATAATATCAAAAATTATTAAAAATACGTGAATATATCAACTCATAATAATCATTTATACTTAACAATACTTAAATAACAAATCCCTACTCCAGCAGCTGCCAATACTTATGTAGGATAGCTATATCCCCAATCTTCCATATAGGCGCATGTGATTTAAAATAATGCTAGCATAGGAGGAAAACACAGAGCCTTTGATCCTATGAATTTTGCATAGTCTAATCTAAGCTAGGATTTTGTCCAAGTTGCGTTTGCAGAGCTGAAGGGATAATCATAGATCCCCAAAAAGATTGAAAATAATAATCCATTACAATAGCCTTAAATAAGTTGACTTTTTTTCTTTTAATCCATTTTATTATATTTATGAATATATTAATATTATTGATTTTATAGCCATGTCTTATGATATAATTGTTGGATGGACTAATAGTAGTGGAATATCAATTTGTTGACTACAACAATATTTAATTTGCTTTAACTTGCAAAACTTAATTCTGGTGTTTAATTGGATTTGGTTCCACATATTCAAATGCTGACATTATCAGGATGTCTAATGTTAATGGAGTTTTGAAAATTGAAGACACCCTAGAGCAGAACAAGATTTCGTTTACATCTCCTACTGTCGATGCTTAGCAAGATATATATGTTTTGGATGCTTTGATAAATGATACATATATATTTTCTTCGTTTTTAAAATCGACGAACTCAGATGATCCCACAGATGAATTAATAGACTCTTATAATAATGTTGAAATGTTTTATGCCATCAATGAGAAGAGTATAGATTTTGATACTTACACCTAATTTGGTAGGTTTTAACTTCAAACTTATTAATGTCATTATACTTGTGCCACATGTTATGGACCATTTGCATATTAATGCACAATGTGTAATGATAATAGCATCCAAGTTCTGAATGGCTAATGCAATTCTAATTACTATAATAATGTAACTGAATTGCTAAACAAGCAAATCTTAATAAAGGATGAGTTTATTCTTTAGTGGGAATATGATAAAAATGATAATATTATCTTATAGATAGAAATATTCTCATGTGATTGGTTTGGCTTGGGATTTAACAACGATAAGTAAGAATTGCAATTTAATATAGAATGGAAAATACTGATATGTTACTCATTACTATAGAAACAATAACCATCAACAATGACAAAGGGTATTATGTCTAGATTGATGACATGTTTGGAACTCAGAATACTGCTCCATTATCAGACACTCAGTTATTTGGAACCTAAGATTGGATTTTGGATGGCTTTACATACAATAATGTTACAGATTTATTAGTTATAAGAGTTCATCGTAAATTGGTCACTTCTGATAAATACGACTTTGACTTTTCGTAAAAGAAGGACACCTTGAGTATTTATGCATTTGGTCTAAATGGTCAATAATACCATAGTGCCAATAGAGGGGCATTTCAATTTGAATTGTCTAAGAATAATTAATCCTATTAAGAAGATTATTGGGACAAATTAGTTCATAATGGTCACGTCATACTCATGTTATTATTTTGGTCATTTATTTCAGATGTCGGCATATTTTACGGAAGACAATTGAAGAGTTATCCAAAGTATGTTCGAGTCCATGGCATGATATTTCTATTCTTATCAATAGTCACCTACTTTTTTGTATTTGGGATGATATCGTAATAATAAAAAAGAATATAACAATTAGGATATTAAGAAACCAAAATAATTCTTCACTTTATTCTTGGAGTTGTCATATTATTAATAATGACAACACAAATATTTTTAGGTTTACTAGCGAGAAATAATTTAGAATCCAATAATGGCACATATTTGATTTACAAAGTGAAATACATTCATAAATATCTTGGTTACTTATTGTACATAATTACAAAGATACAAGTAATTATTGGAATTACCATATATGATTCCTCATATATTGGACTGTTCATTATCTATTACGTCTTATTGTTTTTAATTAAATTTACCATCGAAATGCTCTATTATTATTAAGTGTCTGCAATGTCTCGAAAGAGAATTAAATACAGTTAAATTGAATAGGACCAACAAACTCTCTATGAGAGCATTATTGAAAAACTGAACACTGGCACTCCATACTAAGAGATGATAGAAGACTATCCTAAAATTACATACATTATTCTAAGAGAAGCAGTCTATGATGTGAGTGATTTCAACCATCCAGGAGGATAATACATCTTCAGAAAAATCAAAGGTAGAGAAGTTGGACGTTATTTCTATGGATCCTACCCAATTAAAGACACTAAATTACATAAACACTCTTAGTTTGCAATCAATTATATCGAAACTCGTTATTTAGGAGATTTCAAAAATGAATCATGTCCCATGCTTTACACTGTCTCAGATTTTAAGAAACCATCTCATGTTTGGACATTACAAGAAATTAAATCCATGGGTACCAATGTCTCTCTGTTTAAGTTCATTAACTAAGATTTTAAAGTGAATTAAACTATCTAAGGAGTCTAGTGGTTTGGTAGATACTTCTATATCAAACCATATGGCATTGGAATAGATTTCTAAGAGAGACCTTACACAGCTGTTTCATGCTTAAGTGAAATGAATATCAAATATAGGTATGAATTGATTGAGTATCTCAAATCAAAAGATTGGACTAAACCTTTGCCATAACTGCCACAATTATCAAACATTTTATAGTTTGTTATCAAAAAGTATAATGGCCAAAAAAACTTAAGCAAGTTCATTCACACTGCATCTCATAAGAGATTTGAAATCACAGGACCTTATGGCTTTGGATTGGAATTAGATGATCACAGTTCTGGAGTGCATTATGTATTTTGTTAGGGTACTGGTGTTCTGCCATTTCTGGATCTATGTGATTATCTTCTAAGAAAGGCTATATTTTCCATTATGTACCAGGATGGGTTGCCAATTCAATAGCAGTATAATTCATTGGACAAATTTAAATTGATCCTCTGTGTGTCATCCAAGACTTAAATTTTGGGATATCCTATTTTATAAGACTTAGAATATTTGAGTGGCTAATATAATCTAAATTTATTTGAGTTCCACATAACAAAGTTGCATTACACTAAAAGAGACATACAAGATAAATTGAAATATTAGGCTGCAAAGGTTTATGTGTGTGGATTCCAATAATTTGAAGATGACTTAATAGAATTGCTCTAACAATGTGGTGTAGACTCCAGATATATAGTATAAATATGAGAGCTATCAATCTGCGTTATAGTATTTATTAATCACAGTGTAGAGAATAACTCTCTTTCTTCTGAGATGCATCAACATCTATATCTTTATTATAGATTGCTTTCTTTGTTGTTGGTTATTTCATAAATTCTTCTTTATTTTCTCTGATTTCTCAATATATATTTTGATTCTTTTAAATAATATATCATCTATTCCACTCTTTAAGATATTATTTCAGCTTTTGTAAAATCATCCTTAAATGTATATTCTTTATTTCATACTGTTTCAAATTTCCAGTTAATTCTTATAAATCACTAATACTTTTTGTATGTAAATTGCAAAGTAAAAACAAAAAATTAATTATTGATATAATAAATTATAAATTATATATGAATTTAGAATTTTTATAAAAATAGATGAGTTAGTTAGGACTCGATTCAGTATGTACTAATACGTACAATAAATTTATTTTTAATTTGAATAAAGGTTCATTCTTGAATTTTATTTGGTTGGCTTTATAATTTAATAATTATTCACTATCGATTATAATTTCTGGACAATATCTTATTTATCAATTATAGATATTCCTTTTCAATATGTTTTAAGCTCAGCAAATTAAATCTAAATTGAATATTTTCTTTATTATGATAGAATAGTCCAAATAGAAACGATCTTACACCAAAATACCTCCAAGTAAAAAGAGAGCTTTGATTCATAAGGTTTTTCAAAATGGATTGCAAATTAAGCAAGTATGCATGAGTATGAAAATGTAGGCAGCTTAGTAATTATAACTGAAGTATGCTACGGCTAAAACAATAATACTTCTTTACAGAATCAAAGTGGTGAGGAAAAAACTTATATTCCCATCAAATAAACGTTGTTTAATTCTTCCTTTAGACAATAAGAAAAATAATGTTATGATTGTCTCTTTGGTTGCTGGAAAACTATAAAATTAGAAATGAAATATTAGATTTAATTCAAAATGAATTTTTCTTCATCTTGTCCACATAATTACATTTTTTCGAGAACTTAGTGTTATCAAAACTTTTACCTATTTTTGGTATTTACATAATGCTAAATATCTTTGTACCTTTGAGTCATAAATTGATGAATTCTAGAACGGAAACAACCAAGATTTTATGATTAACAAAATATATATCTACATTCAAATAGGATCCCTATACTTTTTTAAATATTTTATATAGTTAACTCCAACTATTTAACAAAGAGTGCAAGTTTTGATAAATATATTTAAAATTAAAATTAATATTATACTGTTATAAACAAATTCGTCAATCTTATTTTGGGTTAAGTAAATGGATGGTGCTTCTACTTTAATTGAGTCATTATTAATATTAAATTTATTAATTATATAAAAATATATTCATAGTAATCTCTACTTGATATAAAATTTTAATATAAACTTATTTATAATTTTTTTTCTTCTCTTCTCCAAAAAATAGATAAAACTTATTAATTTTCTCCATAAAATTAATGTAAGCACAACATAACAAAACATAATGAGCATTCAAAAAGTTCACTACAATCTAGTTGATTTTCATTTCAATTTTGGAAATTTATATAATTTGATCTGCGTTTTTCTTTATAGAATCTATGCTACATTAAATATGAATCAGCTTGATAAATTGGATTTGAATTAAAATGAGTGATGTATATTCATTCAAATTTGATACTATATAATTTATTTATAAATCTAATTAGAGAGCTGCTTAATACAAATCTAAAATATTATAAATGGGATGTTTGAAATGATATGCTTAGATATAAAGTATTGATGTGTATGACGGGTAAAATATAATATAATAATGATTTGAATATTTTCATAAGAATCATGCAGATGTTAAACTGACGCTATCCCTAAGTTGATTAATTTAGATATACTGTAATTCTTCATCTTATTCTGATTCTGTTAACTCATCCATTACAGGAATTCTAACTTAAGTCAGATTATAAATTATTAATCTATTGTTCAAGATTGTCAAAGCTGGACCAAATTAAATTCTCTAACTTCTCAAAACAGGCATTGCTATTCTTGATATCAAACGAGCAAACATAATATTAAAATATTAATTATGGTTAATTGATATTATAAAGGAAGAATTAATTCCAATTTAATATATAATATCAATTCAATACATAAAGAATTTGTTTGGATTATGTAAAATGAATTCGTTTATAAAATTGCTCCTATAAGAAGAGAGTTAGTTTATTTTACAAGAAATATTATTGTAATATGTATTAACAACATCAACGAAAAATTTTCATACTGCCTGTTATTGGCTATTAACAGATACTACACTTCTATAAATTGATAGACATAAGAGCACACTATTCACAATACTTCTAATGTCCACATGGTATTAATGCATGAGTAATCTCTCTGTCCATACAAATAATACAACAAGTGTCCTGTTGTATTTCAGGTTTTTGAGGTTTTTATTCTTCGTTCAAATCTTTAATCTCTTTTATAACTATTTATTTTTTCACTTACCGTTTATTTTATTCAAAGTTTATTTGTTATGCCATTGATGATTGAATCTAATTAAACTATTCAATTTTATCTTAAATTTGACCTCTTAACTCTTAGTTCTAGGTCTAATTTAGAAATATCTCCAAATTTGATAATTGTTCATTGATATGATGCTACTGAGTATGGAAATCCATATCAAATAAAGCTGACAGGATACTATCGCAAACCACGAGCATTTCTTGAATTTGAATGTCGAGGTTTGGATTTTATAATCGATTTTCACTTTGGAAATCCCTTTAGGAAATTTCAAAAACTTCCACGTTCCTTCCATTCATCAGCAGAAAACATTAATCTTATACTATAACTATCTCAAATTTCAAGTTTTCAATTTTGATCGGAAGCTTGAGATTACGACTTTGTAATAAATTTGGTTATACTTCATTTTAGTTTCAAGTATGCAATTATTTAATTTTACAGACCCCTTTTTAAAATCCTAATCATGATCAACAGCAAATACATACACAAAACCATTCTTAATTCGTATATGCCATTCTTTAGATAATAATTTACCTTTAGGGAACTCTCGAGTATTGATTAGTTTATATTCCTACATATATTATGACTTATTGTAATTATTAAAATATAAATAATTATGAAAAGTAGAAGTAAAACACTTGTTTTTTGATAAATAAAATTAGATTACTATAGAATAAGATGTTGAAACATTTGAAGTAGTGATGAACACTTGAATAATTCAATTAAATAACAAAAGTTTTAAAATTAATAGGTGGAACTCTATTTGTTAAATATGTTGATTAACTACAATTGATGATGGAAGAAATTGAAATCAAAAGAACACCCTTGAATTTCTTTGGATTTATAAATGTAAATTTTGTAAATATTCTGGGAATTGTTAATTTCTCAATATAATATAAGTAAACGATTATGAAATGTAATTAAATTAATTCACAAATATAAGACCACACAAGTAATATCATCCCTAGCTAAACTATTTCTTTTCCATGCATCCACTGCAAAATTTAGTAATTTTTATGCTGCCAATTCAGCATTTATATTTTTATCATAACATTGACTCAAAATTGAAACTACATCTTGGGATGACAGGTACTCCCAAATCCCATCTGAAGCAAACACTAAGATTTTGTCTTCGTTTGTTAATTCGTACTCTGTAATTTCAGGAGTTGCTATAACTCCAGCTTAAGCACCTAGTCTATCTCCCATTGCTCTTGTCATAGCTAATCCTGGTGCATTCAATGTTTTCAACCAGACTCGAAGTGGACCCACTTAATTACCATAAATATCTTATTAAGCAGCTATACGCCCACCAGCTTTTAATATTCTTATAGCCTCATCTTCTCTAGAAGGCTTTTAGTCCTTTGTTAATTCAATAGTCTACCAAGAATTCCCAGTTTACTTTGCTATTACACATCTACTATCACCTACATTGGCTATGTATAACTTATTTAATTTTATCAAACCACAACACAAGGTTGAACCTGCAATAACAGTTTCAATTTTTGAATTATTGACCAATTCATTATTTGTTTATAAAACACCTTTTATCAATGTTTCTCTTGGATCTAAAAGACTTTGTTCAATATATTTGGGTAGAGTGATTCGAATAAATCCAGAAACACGCTCACCATTCACCCCATGTCCATCAGCCACACCATAGAAATTCAGCCTCTTTTCTATTATAAATGCATCTTAATTAGTCTTCTGCTTTCCGCTCATCAATTATCCAGGCAAACTCATTACTCCTAAATTTGTTAATAATTCTTTGCGACCAATTTTCCAAGACTGTCTGAATTAGATTACAATCTTACTTAGCATCTGATGTGATTGATGGTAATTTTGGTAGCCTATCGAATGATTGATATTAATAGCGTTTCGGTGTTTCAACTAACAATTGACATCAAATAACTTACTGTAAGATTTCTTATAACCATAGGAATACCTGTGAGTCATTTAATTATTATTAATAATATTCAATTCATTAATTCCTCTTTAGCATTGCTTCTCTTATAACTTCCAAACACACCCAAGTTTCTCGTTTACTTATACTTTTGACTAGTTCTTAATTTTATTTCTCCCTGTGTATTTTCTTATTTAGGAGTGTATTAACTATCTTGAATGGAGACAACATATTCTTCCTCTAATTTGAAAATAGCATCTAACAAATGAGAATTATTATCGAATGCCAACTATTTAGCCTTTTAAAACAATTCAGCTGTTCCCTCCTATTTTGTGAACACAATTCTTAATTGCAAGATTTCTATGTATAACTATACTTATTATATTGGATCTCGACTGATCTTGATTGCCTCTAAATAACTAAGTTCTGCAATATCATTTAAATCAACTCTAAAACATCATTAAAATGTATTACAAGAAATATAAATCACCGATTAATGAATAAATTTTTATCAACAAATCATCGTCTTCACATATCTCAGCAGCCACTGTTAAAAATTCGTCAATTTTTTTGAATTCTTGTGTTACATCTTAAAATGGTAGTGTATTCTCGATCTTTTTAAATTCAATTAACCCATATAAATAGAAAATCTGCATTAATGTTTAGGCTAAATACTTGGCTCATTTAAGGGTCTAATGGATCAGAGACTCCCATTTTCAGACTCTTTGTTTCAATTGCATGGAGAGCTGATTCATAATCTTCCAAATTTAAATTTAAATTCATATTAATTAAGTGAATGTTAAAATATTTTCTGTTTTTTGAATGTATTTCCAATAGAAAATATATACAAACTAAATATATCTAGAATTATATTTACATTATTTTTGGATGTGTTAATTCAATTTTTTGATAATTTATATGGAGTTTTTATTTATTATATAAATAAACTTGTTAGAAATATGTTGATAAGAGTATTTGAAAAAAGTCATCATGATCTCAAAAACTAAGAATAAATCAAATATTTATTAAATTTAAAATGAAGAATAAAGAATTTAAGTTAGACTTCAAAGGGATATATTAATTACTAAATAAATTAAAATTAAATTATTTTTATTATAAGCAATTTTAATAAAACACATTTCATTAATTATATAACTCTAAAGATTTAAATAAATTAGTGGATAAATTAAGAAATTTGTCTAGATTCGATTAAATAATCAAGATATCACAATTCTTTCTAAATTTCTCTAATTTTTTAGTAAGTTTGAGTAATTTGTAAATAAAATATAATACCAAGATCTAATATAAACAATAGAAATCTGTTTAATTAATTTATCAAAAAAACTAAATGATATAAATACTCTATTCCAATTAATCGACTTATGAAATAATGTTCTTCAAAATAAAATGTTGAAATTTTTGACGTAGTTATCATAAAACTTAAGGTAAATTATACAAATTATTTTATTAAATTAATAGATTCTAGCAAATACCCTAAAAAGACAATAATTCTTATACTATTTTTGCAACGAATAATTATTTCTAAAGTATATATCTAATCATCTTTAAAGCTTATGATAGAAGAGAATAAATCATAAATCATCCAAGTCATTTTCAAAAGAACATGTAAAAAAGTTTTATTAATATAATTATTTTATTATTTTATTTTCGTTTTTTCACTTAATTCTTTTGAATCATTGTTATCAGTGACTTTTAGCAATTTTTGGTTACGAACCGATTAGTAATTAGGTTAGATTTACATTTTATAAAGTCCAGTTTCTTACCTGAAATTTATAGAAATTAACATTGTCGCAAGTTTTGAATTCTTTGAATATAAGATAATGTATCAGAAGAATGATTTATTAATCAATAAATTAATGGGAATTTGCAGCTCTAAAAAATCTGATAAGGAAGCAGGAATATAACTGCAAATAGAGTAAACAGTAGCAGAATAGAAAAAACTGAAAATTGAAGAAGAGCTCTAAGTATAAAACTCAACCAGGCGTTCAATTTGCAATTAATTTTCTACACTTAACACAAATGGAAATGCTGTCACACTTCATTAAGCTGAATAAGAGGTCTAAGAATATTAGGATGGTGAGCCAGAACAACAATAACAGCCCAAACAAGCCAAAACTTCAAAGAAGAAGCCTAGATCAACAAAAGATGACGTAAATTACTATAGAAGATCAGATCACGTACTGAAAGTCTTTTCTTTAGTGGTTGAATTAACTCAAAATGATCAAAAAAAATATTACAATATTACTATTGGAACAAAAATTAAAGATTGTGTACATTATGCTCATATGAATGGCATATTGATCACTTAAAATGATTTTGAACTTTTTACTTTACAACCAGAGACATTTAAAGAGGCTAATAAATATTCTCGAATACCAACATTCTTTTCTACTGATAATTATTTTAATATTGACAAAGAGAGTCCAAATAGCTTTATTTCTTTTGAGAAACTATTAAATATTGAAAGAAAGATTGCTCTAAAGTAAACTCAAATGAGATCAAAGAAGAAACAGAGCATGATATAAGATTAGCATCTAAATAAAAAAGAAGCTGACTTTATTTTGACCACTAATTTAGAAATGCTTGAAATTATAACTGTTGTTGATATTGAACAACAGTCAAGATTTTTAAATGTGTTGTTTCATTTGATCCTATAACACTATCATTAAAATCTAGATTAGTATTTAGTGTTTATAATAAATACAACATTCTTGTTTGATATACCTCCCTAATTTGATTAACCAAACATGTATAGGTTGGCATTGTTCTATGATAGTCTCTCTTACTCTTTAAAAGATCTGTAATAGATTTTACTTAATGATAAAAGCGAATTAAGTAATGTACTACACAAAAAATTGTCATTAAACTTAATAGAGATCCTCATTGGCTGTTATGAGAAGTATCTCTACAGACTCAATTTCACAATATCAACAGTATTTTATGTTCCAAAATATAAATCATTTAAGCTGGAATCGTTTGGTAGAATGAAAACTTTAATAGAATTCGGTCAAAATCCAGAAGTGACTTTGAAGACTTTGGAGGAAAAGAAATATAAGACGTTTGTAAAAAGTTTCAAGAAAGATTTATATGCAATAACTGATATGATAATCTACTTCAAAAGGGTTTAGACCTAGAATTTAAGAACCATAACGACAACGAGAAAGAAGTACTTTGTTAACATGAAGAAAGAGTAATTAGAGAATTTAGAGGAAGAGAAGAATTATTGTTTATTAGCTGAGAAGTTGTTTTGTCATAATCAAGATCGTTATCTACTTGAATTCCTTAAGATGGCCATATATTCACATGAAGGGAGTGATGTTGATAAAATGATTTAGGATTTCAAATAAGCTACAAACTCTCTTCAGAAAGAATTAAATGAAGTAGATTTTTAGTAAGACTCAAAATAATTCGATGAATAAGATTAAAATCAAGAATAGCAAAAACAATCTAACTCTAATTCAGTGGATTTGGATGAGTTGGCTGAAGTAAAGTAAATAGACAGCTTTCCTGTGAATATAAGAGAAGACTATAAATCTATTGCGTTGAATAAGGACAAAATTTCAGAAGTAGACCAAACGTATTAGGAGATAATATATCAGTCATTACTCTATGGTAATAAATTTCAAGCTTGTTATGAAAAGTTTCAAACTTTATAGAAACCTATTTTTTAAAATTGTTATGTGGAGATACTTAATATTTTCTATTTTATTAGACAATATCCAGAAGATTCATGGCAAGAGAAATTAAAAGTTGTTTCTTAAAAGATGGACAAAGTCATTGATATCATTAAAACAATAAAGGATGATAGCGTTGACAATTTCCATATTACTCTCCTATTTTAAATTATGACACTGTCTTAAAAGAAACCCTTTGTGATTTTAAATTAATTATAGAAATGCATATCTAATCAACTGAAATAAAAGATGTAAATGGATCATAGATTAAGAAGTCAAAATTAAGCTAAAGGGTTACTTGAATAAAAAAAACATGTAATGTTATAAGTTTGGTCAGCTCTGTCTTATCTCAGCTCAGATAATTATTTTTAGGCAATCAGCAAAATCTAAAAAGCGATAGGATTCTAATTGAAAAATCAGCATTAAGCATCATTGTCCTATGGTTATTCTTTGTTAGTGAGTGGAGAAATAGCCAGAATAAGTTTAGCACCAGTTTCAGCTATGCTTAACTTAGAAATGAGTTTAGTAATTTACAATCAATTCTTTCCAGAATTCAAGTCGGTTGAAGATCAATTAGACATTTAGGATAAATCAGAATACAACCCTTTTTAAATCAAATATAAAGATATAAAAGTCAAAAATTTAGCTACAAGTAACAAAGCTAAAGTAGAGTTTTTGCTTGGAATGAGTTACTTTGATATCCATGATTAAGAAAATTCATTGTTGTGCCTCAAAAGAGCTTAAGAGTTGATGTTACGATCATTTCATATTTATGCAGAGGAAGTTGTTTTTCTAGTATTATAGTAATTATGGATACATGTTTTACAGGATGACATTGGACATGCTATGAACATTGCATTGTTTTATGCTAATGATATGAATTTATAATATAGAAATGGTCGAGAATTTAAAAAGAAGATAATTTCAAAATTATAGTTCATAATAGGGTCAATCTTTGAATTTAATGGATAATATTTAAGTGCTATTAGATTTATAGAACGTTCTAATAGGACATTGACTAATGCAAAAGGTAATAATTTTGTAATTTAAATGCATTACTAAGCCAAGAAGATTCAAATAATTTCAAAATTGAGAGAGGCTTTTTTTAAAATAAAAAGTAAATAATAAGTAAGATGTGAATAAGATTTGAGTTTATTCTAAACTTTGAATGAATCTTTGGGCCAGACATTTCAAACACTTTATTTTAAGTAACCAATTACTCTGAAAACCTCAGTGTTATTGGGTAAAGTTGGCAAGTAGATAATTCATATTCAAGGTTTGATGAGAACAGATGGATAAACTAAAGCTATGAAATTATTGGGAGAACTGATTAAAGCTTTAAATAAGAGTAAAAAGGATGAAATCTATGGTTTGGTCTAGGATAAGTATCTAACATTATCTTTGGAAAAAATGAATCCGAAAGAAATCGAAGTGTAAATTCATAGTATAATAGAAATTCATGATAGATACTTGTAATTTCCATTAAAGTAACATCATGTACTCAAGTGTTAACTTATCCTATTGTGTGTATTATTAAAATAGAAATCCACTAATTAAATATTTGAACATTTCAAAAATATTGAATAAACAATTGAGGATTTCTAAAATATCCTATAATGGAAATCATTATCATCTAGTAGCAAAGATGATGTTTATGTTTAAAATAAATTTGAGACCATTGTGAAAAAGGGAAGAATCGCTATGGTCTATCAAATTGCTAATGTTACAGAACTAATTGAACTCTTCAATAAATTTAAGAAAAAAATATTTGAAAACTTATAAAATAGGGATAAGTTCGTAGATCTAGCCAACTAATATTAGAAGAAGATAATAAACAGTTAAGCTTTTCTAAAATTATTGGAGACTAAGCAAGAATGTTTGCTTGGAAGTTATTCTTAAGTGAAAATAATTAATGATGGAGAACATGAATTACAATAAATAGAACCAGTTGCTGCTATTTAAAGGTAAAGTACACAACACTTGAAAGTAGTGGAGTAATCAACAGAGGTTGATACGAAGGAACATTAGAAGTTGGTTTTTGATTTGAGAAGCATTGAAGAATTAATGGTAGAGAAGAAGTTAGCCCATCATAGAAAAGGGAAAACTTAAGAAGAACTTTTAAGAATTGAAGAGACACCTGAACCAGAAAAAATGAAGAAATCGCATAAAAGAAATGAGACTGAAATCCCTGTTAATAATGCTCTAAAAAAGAAGAAAGCTGATTATAAAATAAACCCATTCCAAAGTACTTTGAAAAAACAATAAAAATAGCAATTATGATTTTATAGAGTTATTAAATATATTTATAATTTAATTTAGTTTATGGCATTATAATTGCTGTTTGATATTAAATTGATTGGTATTCCAAATATGAATTATAATAACTCAATCATTTACTTAACAAATTAATTTTAATATGATATCTGTATGAATTACTCTCAAAAGTTTAATTTATATGGCAACCATAATATTATTCATATGTTAAAATGCCAAATAATTATAAATAATGAAATTCATATATATAATAAAGTTTGTTGGGTTTATTTAAATTAAAATTACTATTAATGAAATTAATAAATTATACAACGAAGGCTTTATTCAATCTCAAAGTGTTTAAGTTAAGTCTTAATACCCTAATCCATGATTAAATACAAGCGTTTTTTGGAATGACTTTTTGAGCATTGCTAGATAATATTAGATGAGTAGTGTTACAATAATTGATGTAAAATTACTGCCTTTTTTATTTGACAAACTCTATTGCTTCTTTTAAATCATATTAAAGGATTGAAGCCAAGTAAAGCACTACTATGGAGGGAGCTCTGCCTATTCCAGCTGTACAATGAACATAGACATATTCATACTCATTTATTAACTTCTTAAGAATTTAAACAGCTTTATTAGATTTCTTTTCAAAATCTTCAGAATCCATATCGAATATTTAATAGTTCTTCATCACAATATTATGTCGTTTGTAAGCATCTACTATTTGCTCCCAATTGACACCACGATGAAACATATCCAGACGAGTTTGGAGATTGAGAACTGCTCTCACTTATTTTTACTTTAAGTATAGAATATCCTATTCATTTTATGGATAAGGTCCTATCAATATATTCTCATTTATTTCATAGGTTTAGAATTGCACTACAAAATTCCAATCCAACTTATTTAATCTTCCGAATTCTTCATAATAAAAAAAGGAAGGCTCCTTATCAGCAAAAGAGTATCCCTAATTATTTTTTTTGATCTTAGATTTTGGAATTTTGGAAGAAGAGAATGATCCATTTTTATGTATTTATCTAGCCTAGAATGCAGTGTATATTTGAGTCTTCACTTTTATGGGGTGAAGGTCATATTAATCCAACACTTACCTTATTGAGGATAAATCTGCTGTTTTTAAGTAACGTCCATTGCCTCGTTCCCATATCATATTTCCTGTTTCGTCATTTCGTATCACATAATAATATCGAAAGAAGAAGTTTAAAGGATTTACAATAAATGATATCGACCATTATTGGATAGGTTCTTGAGTTACTAGAATCACATATGATTGATTTTCTTACAAATATCAATTTTTAATTGCTATTTCATAAGTACAGGTGATTTCCAGGAACCTATCTCAGGAATAGATCCTATTATCATCATGCGTTCCTTTGGTTGTAGGGTGTGATTGAGTTTTAATTTTATAGTTCTATATCCCCAAAATTCCTCTAGAATAACATTAGAACTGTATTACGATTGAAGTACTCGCTCTTCTTGCCATTAAGAAGCAAATGTTTGGTGATAATACGATTTTCACCAGGTTCCCAAAAAGCTTTGCAAATGGAAGGCTCATTATAATCGTTGACTAAGAATTTGTACTCAAATTTTCGGGCGATCCGAGGCATTTTGACACAAATGGTCCATTCATTATTCTTTTGTATTTATTATTATATACTTAATTCCATTATAAACGAAGTGCCTTACAAGGATCCCACATTCCTAAGGATTCATCATCTCCACATAAATAAATAGCTTATCCAAATTGTGTGATGTAATGAATCTTAAAATAAATTTTAACAATGCGAACATCCGTAAAGGAAGTGTTAGTGGATACTGAGTTCATTAATAAATAAATAAAAATTTTAAGATAACTAAAATTATTTTCAAATTTAATTCATAGTCAAGTGGATTTTCAATAAGATTAGAATAAAATCTAAATCATTATAAAAGTTCACCATATTATTCCTACAAATTATTATCAAAACATATTTCACATCAATGATTAGAGCTAAAATAGATGTTTACATTTAATATTACTATCAATATTGCATTCTTTATAACATGATAAATAACAATTATTTTACTACATATGCAATGTTGACTACACTCAGTAATTAACAAAGCCAAAATATGCATAATTAATATTATTAAATTTTAGTTTTTGATCTTTATTTGTAATTATCAACAGGAACTTACTATTAATAAGTCCGAATTTTCTTGTTTAATTCTTTTTATATATGATAAACTAACAATAATAAAAATAAAAACTAAAGTCACTAAAAATAAATTTATATTAAAATTATGATTCAATTATTTCCAAAAACATATCTAGTATAGCCTGGTAATCTAATCGAATCATCAAGATCTTGTGAAAATCTGGACTATTGTGATATTTTTGAAGTTATTTCATTTTATTCCATTTATTTGCCTTAAAAATTGGTCGTACTATCGATTTTGTATTGAAGAACAGGCTATTATTCGATTGACTATCTTGCAGCTAATTGAGGAGGATGAATTAATAAATCTAATTAATGCAAATAGTTATTGTAAGATTCTTTAGTTGAAAATTTCTTTAGAAACTCATTAAAACTAATTCTACCTGATTTATATTATTAAAGCATGAAGAATACCCTATAATAATCATTCCCTTTAACTTGAACTCCCTTAGATTTAAGATAACTCACAAAGTCATTGAATACTAAATAGCCTTTTTATTTCTAATCTAATTTTCTAAAAAAGTTTTCAAGCTATTGAATATCATTTCCTATTTATGTTCTCAGGTGTAAAATGCTCCTTTCCATTTTGGCATATAAGCTAAATATCTAGTGTATTAATTTCTAGTGATCTTAATTCAAAACTCCTTCGGATAATTATTTTGATTATCTCCATTAAGGTGTAGGTGTGAACTTAAATAGGTTGGCAAACTCTGCATATGAAATTATATTATCATCTTCACCACCTAAAGTAGAAAACAAGGACTCAATTTCTTCTCTTTTGAGCAGAATATCTAATTTTTGTAATGTGATAATAAAATCATCTAATTGCAATTTCCTATCTCCATTCACATCAAAGAACTCAAAAAGTTTCCATAAACTAAATGTCGGATCATTATTTAATTTGTTTTAGCAATTTGTTAATTACTCAAAAACATGATTGGTAGCTATTAAGAAACTAAAAAAATGATATTCCTCAGGTGTAAGTTATTTAAATTATTTTTAGAGTACATTTTTAATATCGTATTACTTATTATCATCAACAGCAAGAGGTATAAATGGTTAGGCTTGTTTCATTTTCAAAAATTTTATTTGAAAAATAATAAGTTAAAAAAAATTAGCGCAATCAATCTATATAAATCAAGGACATATTATCATAGTTTGAGAAGAACTTGGATTCTTAGTAAGAATTAGTTTCAAATTTTGTGATTTTTAAGTGTAATTTTATAATTAGAACCATTATTCCATGTGATCTTGTCGGAATTAGTCATTTTATATTTATATTTTTGATAAAATATAATGGAATCTAGGATAATTAAATTTTAAATAGTATTTATTAGTAATTATTTTAAATAATTTAAATATATTATGTTTGGAGGTGGCATTTTTGGGAATTAAAACCCAGCCTAAACAACTGGAGGAATAGGATAATTATTAGGTAATGTAATTTAAGACAATTAAGGTCAATAATAACAATCTACATTTGGAGCACCTTAAGGAGGAGCTATATTTGCAAATCCAGCACAATAATAAGGTTTATTTGGATCTGCTCCAGGAGCACAAGGACAAACTGGATTTGGTGGCTTAATGGGAGGACAAATGCAATAAGGAGGCCTCGGTGGAGGATTAGGACTTTAATAACAACCTTAAGGCACATTTGGTTTAACAGGTGGTTTAGGCCAACCTCAAGGATTAGGATAATAAGCTCCTACATTTGGTGGTTTAGGAGGAGGATTAGGAACAGGATTAGGAGGAAACCCTGGAAGTGGATTTGGATAATAAACTGGAATGGTAGGTTAAGCTCCATAAACAGGAGGTTTATTTGGTTAATAACCTTAAAATGGAGGAGGATTGTTTGGTTAATAATAATAACCAACTTTATTTGGCTAATAGTAGCCATAACAACAACAAGCAACAGGATTATTTAGTGTTTAACCCCCTGTTAATTAACCTTATGGATAATAATAATAATAATAAGGAGGTTTATTTGGGTAGACACCTTAACAACCCTAACAAGCAGGATATGGTTATGGATAATAATCAACTACTCCTTCATTTGGTGGGAATTCACTTTTTGGCTAATAGTAACCTCAATAATAGGGTGGTGTTCTTGGTATGGGAGTAGGATTAGGACAACAAGCATAACCAGGTAATTAAATTGTATTGCCTGGAGGTGTGGATGATTCAGTAAATGATGCATCTTTAGAATAAAGAGTTAGATTGGAGGATACAGTATCAGCTATTAGTTGGGGAACAACAATACCAAATTTCTTAGCGATATCCTCTTGGGATGGAAAGGTCAGAATTTTGGAAATCTAATAGAATTCATATAAAAGAGAATTATTTGAAAGAAGATCATTTTAAGTTGATGGGTAAGTTGGATAAGTGAAAAATCCTATAATTTGCATGGATGCTAAGGGAGATTTGTCTCAAATTTTTGTAGGATGTGGATTTGATCATACAGTAAAAGTTATAGATACCAACTCAGGTTAAATTGCATCAATAGGATAACATTAAGCTCTAATAATATCAGTTTATTGGATAGAATCTGCCTAAATGATACTATCTATTTCAACAGATTAATCATTAAAAATGTGGGATGTCAGAGCCCCAGGATAACCAAGATTTTAATGTCAATTCTAATACAAACCACTTGTGTCTGATTGCAATTTCCCATTATTGGTTATTGGATTTGCATCTGAAAAATTATCCATAATCAATTTGAATGAATTATAATAGTTACCAGGAAGATTTTAATACATCGATTCACCATTGGGAACCTATTCACAGTTAACTGCTTTAGCAATATTTCCCTCAAGAGATGGATTCACTTTAGGTTCTATTGATGGAAGAGGACATTAAACCAATATCACAACCAAATAAACATAAGGTATGCCTACTGAATTTTAATTAAAATCAATCATGACTTTTAAGGCTCATAAAGTAAATATTTAAATGTTATTTTAGGTTGAAGACAACTAAAAAGGAAAAGTCTAAAACTATTTCTTCCCCGTTAATTGTATCTAAATGAATATCAAAAATAACTACTTTCTAATGACTGCAGGAGGAGAAGGTTAAATGATATTTTGGGATATCAATGTAAGAAATAAAATTAGAACATTTTAATTCAATTGTAATCCTATCGTTTGTGCTAAAATGAGTCCTGATGGTTCCATGCTGGCATATGCTTTAGGAAATGATTTTTCAAAAGGGCCTGAATTCTTTAATGAATTCTAACCTAAAATATAAGTTCATTTTATTCCAGAAAATGAATTAAGATACCCTAAAAATTGATATATATCTATATATTTTTATTCATTCATTTTACTATTTATATCATCCTAAATCTTAATTATCATTTTAAAAAAATGTTATCATATCATTAAGAAATAGATTACTCAAAAATATTTGAAATTGATATTAATATCTAACAATAAATATAGATTCTGGTTACTTATAAAATTATCTATAGATTATAATCTTTAATTTACAATAAGACTTATTAATTAATTTTATTAAGTTTTAATACTTGAGATAAATCATCATGGGTGCTTCATAAGCTCAAAAACTATTTTAAAAAGCAATAGAAACAGATAATGTTGAAAATGCACAATAAGTTCTTAAATAATTTCCAGAATTACTAAATACCATTCTTTATCCGGCTGGGAACATCTCTCCTCTAGCAAGGGCATCATGGAGAGGATGCTTAGATATGGTTATGTTGCTTTGCGAAGGAGGAGCAAATCCAGATGCATCAGATAAAGATGGGTTGACGCCATTAATGTGGGCAGCAAAGAGGGATCATGCAAATATTTGTTGCACATTATTGAGATTTCATGCAGATATCTCAAAAAGATCAAGAGAAGGATTTACAGCATTAGATTATGCTATTTTACTGGGGAATTATGATTCCGCCTATATTATTTATGAATTTGATAAATTGATCTAAGACCCTGCAAGTTATGAATTAATTCGAACTATAAAATAGTGGAGATATGTAAATTATGAGATATTTCTTCAATCATTACAATAATCAATTATGCCTTAAAATGTTGGTGACTATACTACGAAGCCTTTAGGTAAGGAATATTATGATTTTAATTTAAGGTCGAGTGTACAATGATCCAGTTGTGGATCCAAGAGAATCATGGAAGGATATGCTCAAAAGAATCATGAAATTTGATCCTCCTCCTATCTGTGAGAGAAGTGAGTTACCCCCTCATCTATAACCATAAAATCGATTGTTGGGAAGACTCAATAGTTACATATATGGCATGAATCCTATGCCTATAGAAGGTAATTCAATGGAAATGTAAGTACCTGAAACTAATGATATTGCATGAAATAAATTAATAATATGAATTTGATATTGTAATAATATTATGCTCATAATTTTGTATTTCATTTATCTTCCTTTCTTAAACATTTAAAATTAAATAGATTAAGTAATATGCAAGAAACATATAGATTTGTATAGAATACAATTTTACATTTAATTGCCTTATATGTATTTAAACTAGAAATTGCTAAAATTAGTAAGTTAATAGTGATTGTGGTTATAATGATTTAATTTTGTATATTTATCGATTATATCATTCAAACTTTGGTTTGATGACACCAACATTATTGTAATATTCGTCATGAATTTATGATCTATCTGTATAAGTATGAGCAAATATGAATGCTGATCCAAAAACAAGGAATGAATATAATTTAAATCTTCTCCAATTTTGATTTTACAAGTATCCTTATTTGAAGACTGCTTTATTCTTTGGTCTACAATATAATTTTAGATAAATACTGATAGTATGTTGGAACTCCAGTTGATGTTTATCTGTAAAAATATGATACTGGGATGAACTAATGAATCAATATCAAATGTTACATATAACAAGCTGAATACAATTCCAGAGGCAGCAAAGTTAAGGATCCATTCATATTTGAATGTATTTAATTTATCAGCATAATCCATTTTTCTTTCTCTTAAAGCTTCATTCATATAAAATTTATAGAGTGGTTAGTCATAGAAAGACTTTTCAACTGTAGCAATATATCTCTTTTCTTGATCTCTATTTGGAATTGGTGGAATCTAATCTTCGAATCCCATTTTAATAAATTTTTATTATTAATATATCAATAAACTAATCTGAAGATATCATTATGCACGTATAAACCTCCTTAGCCATTTGGAAGAATTTAGAAACTTTATGAGAATTTGTATGTCTCAGCTTCATCCATCTGTAATTACCCAGTGACAAAAATGAATAGAGAATTCTCCAATGCTCCTGGTTAGACATCCATATCATCAATTTTATAAACTATTTTTTAGAAAGCCAATGATTCCAATTTCTCGTTGATTTATTTCAAGCCATCATGTTGTTATCCACCTTTAAATAATAAAATTAAATAAAAAACCATATGTCATATGAGAGGCATCAGTATAAAATTAGATTAAACCCATTTTGTTTGTCATTAAAGTCTAATAGTATTGTTAGAGGAATTGTTATGCTATGGTTTAGGCGGGATTCATAATTAAAAAAAAATAAATATTTTTAATGTTTTGAATTATTTAAATTTCTGTATTTATTCTGGAAAATAAGTGAAAATTTAAATAATTATAAAAATAAACAAATATATAAAAAAGAACATAGTTCACTTATTTGAATGATCACTCCATCCACTTATGTTGAAATTCTTTTGTTAAATTTACTAATTTTATGATATTGATTTAGTTTTAATTATTGGTTTAAATGAATGTGAATACAACTATATCGATAATCTACTAGTTTAGCTATTCTCATTCCGACTTTGATGCTACACACCATTATGTAGCTTCACAGAAGCTATTGTTTATTTTTTGAGCAATGAATATTCTTCAATATATGAATTTAGTTCTAAGTCCTTGTAACGAAAGGTTTCTGGCTTTTAGTCAGTGTAGTGTTTATTGCAATCTTCATACACTGGTGTTTCGAATACCTTATTTTAAGTTAAACTTCATGTCACGAGAGTGGATTTACAGATTTTTCTTTTGAGAGAGTTAGATTAATTTATTCTTGGCTGAAATTCCTTTGAAAGTTCTAATTTTAGGCCTTTGATAGGGGGTTTCAGTTGAGTAACTCTAGAGTTTAATTTATTTTCTTTGAAGGTCTTCTCTATTGGTAAAACTTTATTTGGGCAAACTTGCTGATTAATAGCTTTTGGGCTCATAAAAATAGATATGATATTCATACTATGTTGAATTGAAGAGAGATTAGCATTACCATTAAGTTTTCTTTAAATATTGTTTTATTATAAGGCAAAAAGTCGTATTTAAGGGTGAATTTAATTGGATCTTTAATAGTATGTAAAAATGTTTTAGTCACAAAATTCCTTATCAACAAGTATAGACTAGATTAGTTTAAATATTTACTTATTATTCATAGTTTTTCATAATAATTAATATTATAAATAATTTAGTAAAATATTTATGTAAGGAGGGATGGATGATACTTAAGATAAATAATAAGGAGATCAAGATTTGAATAATGAAGAAAAACATATTTTAGAATAAAAATGTATAAAGCATTTAAAATATTGATAAGAATAAATATTGAATAACAGTGGTGTATTGGCTGCTTATGAATATTTTTTGAGAAGACTTTGTAAGGATGGATTCCCAAGTGGAAATGTATATGAGTATGCTGCTTAAGCTGTTTTAAAATATGAAAAAAAGAAGTAAGCAGAACAGTTTCGACAACAGACAATGGCAAAATCATTGGCTGAACTCTAATTAAGTAGCATATCCTCAAATAAATTAAGATGAAAAACTCAAGGCTTAGCTTCAAGCAAGTAAAACAGATGGTAAAGCTGATCCAAAAAATGATAAAAATAAATCACCTTAGAAAGGCAATAAAGATTAAAAGGAAAAAAATCCAAAAGATCAAAATTAAGGAAAAAATGATAAGAAGGATACTAAAGCATAAGGTATATAGTTAAGATTAAATTCATTAAGATAAAACAGATCCTAAGCAAAAGAAGAAATGAGTTACATATTTTAATTTATTTCTTAAAATAAGTTATTATAATATAATGCTGTAAATGACAATCTATAAGATTAGTTAATATTGGAGAGCTATTTATTTATATAGTTATAATTAGGAGTAATCTCAAAAACTTTTATTTAAAGTGTTTAAAAATTATTGCTTTGTCATCAACTATTGACCACCTCTTTATAATCTCAGAACTGTTGCAATATCTAGTTATTTGACAGCATAGCTTCGTTATTTTTTATCTGCATATGTTCTCAATATAAAATACGATTAAGCATAGTCTCCAGAATTGACATAGAGATGATATTCTATCAATTTTAAAAACACCTTCTCCATTTCATTTATTTAAATCGTTGAAAACTATGGAAGTACTTTGGCAAAATTATTATTTTCAAATGATTCATCATCCCATATTTTTGATGCCATGACTAAAGCAGTAAATAACACTTTCTGCCAGTTCAAACAATTGATTTCTATTCCTTGATTATGTTCTAATAATCTATTTATATATATCATCGATATAATTGCTACTTCCCTTTCCATTTTTGTTGTTGTCATTATGTTTTTACAATAATTTTGAATGATATCCACATTTGGTATATAATTTGTCAATTACATATCAATAAACACTTTATTAAATAAAATGGATTCTTATAAATTTAGTGTTGTGTCAACTGAAAATTGAGATTTAGGTAATTGCTAACTTAAATAATAGTTTTAGATATTAACTTATTTTCATCATATGCTTAAAATTATTCATCCAAGTACTCTGACTCTGGATTACAATTTTATTGTTCATTATTTTCAAACTCTTCAAGATAATCTTGTTCTTGGTCTTCTTCTTAATAAAGAGATTCCTTATTAATATGCTATTTTTCAGTATCAACTTGCTCCATTTGGAAATCCTAATCTTAAATGTAATCGCCATTATTCTCATCATTTATTATATTCTAACCTAACATTATTATTGTTTTATACTATCTGATAAACTGGATACATTATCAACCTATTAAATTGCATATTTATTAATGTTTTTTATTTAATCTAAGTCAGCAAGAACCATCATTTTTTAAATTTAAATACCAACACAATAACTTATTTCTTCAATATCAATATTAATCAATGTTGATGCTAATCTTCCATTGTCAAAAGATTGATACATCATTTAAATTTATTCTCTTTCTAAATTTATTTCATTCTTGTTTTTCCCATTAATCAGCAATAGTTTATTGATAAATTTATTTGGTTTTTCTTAATGAGATTTCTAAGTAGACAATTTTTACTTTATTTAATTTTAAATAGGATTCTTAACTGTCTTTGCTGCTTGTTTTGAAATACTCTCTTTTGTATTTGTCATCTATACAACATTTGTAACTTATAAATCTTATTACTTAGAATTTATTTCTTCAAATTATGGACTCCTTTCTTTTTTGCCTTTACTTTAAACCTTTTCTAATTTTGGTAATACTCTAGGTTTGATTTAAGTCTACTCATGAGAAGGTGAAAAACATTTTAAAGATGCTCTTCTATTTATGGGTTTTAGTATTTCTGTGAATACTTCTTTAGCTTAATCAATTTATCCATTTGAATTCAATGAACCAGGTAAAGTATTACGATTTTAAGCAAAATTATTATGATTTACTACCTTGTTATCATTGCCAGGTTCCTATTATTCATTTAATTATTTGAATAGATCCACAAATTTTTATCTATGTCCAGGTAATAATTTTATCTCTTCTAAGACAATGTTTTATGATTCTTATGATTATGATGCTAATTATTGTAAACCACTTTTATATCCTCTTAACAATAATTTATTTGTATATTATTATAAATTGTACTCCACTAATTATCTATTATTACTTTATTCTAATTACTTATAAAGAACACTATCTTTAAAACCTACTAAATCTGACCGATAGGTTGCATTGCTACTATATTCAGTATCTCTATTGATTCTCTCTAATATCAAAATAGCACTAATTTATTACTTTTTGAAGCAGTATTTAATTTGTTCGTCATAGTTGATTTAACGTTTAGTATTTTATTAACATAATTCTTCAATCTTGCATCATCATCCCATTTTTTCATCCTATATTTATATTATTTAGATTATTTATAATAAACAAATATAATCATGATCATTGAAATAAAAATAATTCTCTATCAAATATGTCTATATTATCTATCACTATTTTATAATGTTTATCTATAGGCTAATCTTGCCCTATTTTATTGAATATAATCAGTACCAATAATTCCTACTTTGATTATTCGTATCTATTTTCTGGAAAACAAAACTTTCCTCCAAGGATTCTAATTTGATTTAAAATGTATTTTTTCGACTTTGTAAACTAAATTTTATTTCATTTTTATGGTCTGTTGATAAACTTGAGTTGCAGACGGTATTTAAATCTTTCTAATTCAGAGACATCAAACGTTCAACCCTCAGAATATTTCTCTATTTTATTTTATCTAATTATCTTTGGTCTTTTTCTAACTTCTGTATCAAAGTAATAGTTCTCTATTTTTATTTGTCAAACTTATGTTGAAAAACTCCATGATTCATTTATAAATTATTATTCCTTTATCTTAATAATCCATTTATAAAATTACTTATAGTAACATATATAGAGCTTATTTCATAGTTCACTAATAAAATTTTATACACTTTTGAACTCTGATTATAATTATTACAGAATAGATCCATCTATATTCTTGTTTGAATGGACATTCTTATTATTTATATCTATTCTAGATTCCAAATTTATATGGAGGATATCTATAAATAAAAAATTCAATTAACAGTTTAAAGTATTTTAAATTTAAATATAATGTATGACACTAGACAGACGTACTTTGATAAAGATTCATCCCTTCATAATATCAGCAATCTTAGTGATAAAAAGGATTATCATTTTTATCAAAGAGATCTTTTAGCAGAGTTAAATCATAGTTAATAAAGATTAACTGTTTAAGAATTGGAAAATAAAGTTGTGATGTTAGCTACTGAAAATGAACGGTTATTGTCATAATTAAATGATAAAAATAGAGAAATTGAATTGTTACAAGAAGAATAAAGGATGCTTTAGAATGCTTATTAATCATAAAAAGATGAGAGATATAGAGCAATTGAAAATAGAACTACAAAAATGATATATGAAAATGAGAAAGTAGTTTTAATGAATTAGAGTTTACAAATCTAATTAGAAGAACTGTCTTATCAGTATGAATCATTGCAAAAAAAGTTTTAAGTAGAAACTGAAATTATTGAATAAAAATGGAAAGCCCATTATGGAGAATTGTTTGAATAGTAAAACAAGAATCTAACAGCAAATATTGAGAAGCTTCTGACTGAATTAAAATAGAATTCTGATCTTATTTCATCATACGAAGATAAATTGAAGAGTTGCTCCAAGGAATTATAAATGGCAAAGGAATAACTTGATTATAAAGATAAAAAAGGGAATGAGTTACTTAATAATAATCAACAAATCAGTAATATTATTGAATAGTAAGATGCGGTTATAAAAAAGAATACTGAAAAGATTCAATAATTACAAATGTAATTAGAACAATAAGTCAATGAAAATAGATAATCAAAACAGAAATTGATCCATTAAGAAAAAGATATAGAGAGTAGAAGGATTAAGTATGAAGAACTGATAATTTAATTTGAAGAATTAAAATTATTGGAAAAAGAAGAAAGATTATAATTAGAAAAAAATGATTAAGAATTCCAACAATATAAGCATGAAATAAATTAGATGAAATCCAACTTAAATGAGTTGAATAGAAATCATAAATTATAACAATAAGAAAATCAACATAATTATAATAAAGAAATCAATCATCTTAAAAAGTAAATGTAGTAAGTGATTATGGAAAATGAGGATTTATAAAAGCTACTTACTTAAACTAGATAAAATTTAAATCATGAAATTACTAAAACCAATAACCTAGAAAAGTAAATAGCAGACAATGCACAAGAAATCTAAACTAAGGAATAGCAATTACTAATGTAATATAAAGAATTGGAAGCCTAAAAATTAAAATTCGATAAACTATTCCAAGAAAATACATCCTACTTAAAATAATAATAAAACCAATTTGATATCAAATTGCTATAAAATTAACAATAAAATAAATTAGTAATTATTATATTTATTAAGTTAGTAAACAGAACAAATTGTATAGTAAAAGAATAAAGAAATAAATAATCTCAATGAAAAAGTCAATGTCTTATTACAGAAAATAGATGAATAGACGTCCTACATCTAATAATTAGCCTACCAAAGTAATATTAAAGGGGAGGAAATTGAAGAAACTAGACCATAAATACAAAGTCTAAGAAATGAATTACACAGGCTTTAATAACTTACAGTAGAATAGAGTAATGAGATAGACAATTGGAAACTGAAGACGATACGCATGGAGGAAAATTATGAAATGTAGAATAAAGATCAACTTGAGAAGTTGTAAAGATTTCAAGATGAAATACAATAACTATAAACTAAATTACATAAAACATAAGAAGAAAATATTAAAGTAAACAATAATTTATAGGAAACTTTATCTAATTTAAATCAAATACAATAATTATTATCAGAGACTCATTAATAATTGAAATTTGCAGAAAATAAAATAGAAATTTAATCTCAAGAATTGGTTGAAACTATTCAACTTAGGGAATAATTAAATTTACTTAAAGAAAAACATCAAAAAGAGATTGAAGCCTTAAAAAAGGCAGTAGATTCAAGTTTGAAAGTTAAAATTGAAAAGGAGATTGCTTAGGAAAGAGAAAAACTTGAAAACTATTCTTAATAGATAACATTAGAAAAAAGAGGCTTAGAAAATGTTATTTAGAATTTAAATACCGAAAATCAGTTGTTGAAAACTGAAATAATGCAATAATAAGAATATTTTAAACTACAAGTTTAAGATCTTATTGTAGATTAGTAAAAGCATTTGATAAATATCGATCATGTTTATAAGTAAATAATCTATTTATAATTTTAGATTAGAATTAAAAGGTTTATCTGAAGCCTAGTAAATTTAGTATAATTAGTTTGTTGTCTAATTGCATTCATAAATTGCAACATTAATAGAAGAGAATAAAAATTTAAAGGAATAATCTTAATCATGGTAATAATAGCTCAAAAAATCTGAAAAGTAAAGTTCTAAACTAATTACCGAGATGGGTAATAAATTAATTTTATATGTTATTAGAGTGCCGTGTATAATCTTTAAAAAAAGATAACAGTAGACTAATAGATGAGAAATGTTATGAAAAATCCAAGAACACATTTCTCGAGACTTAAATAAAGCGTTCCACTCCTGTTCGAGAAGTTCGGTCATCTTCAACTTATGTTGTTGGAACTCCAAAAAGGAATAGGTACGGTCGATAGTCAGTTCTAAGGGAAATAGATTTAATTAATCATTACTATTGAAAATTTTTAGTTTAAATATATTAGAATCATCATCCAGAATGCGATTATTATAAACTAAATCATTAAATTAAATATTAGTTTATAAAGTTTACTTTAATTCTTAACCTTGATATAGAAATTTCACATTAAATTATCAAATACATTTTTAAAGTAATATAATGATCAAGATCTTTTGGTTAATGTACTTATGGTTAGAGCAATTCCAGAATTTTAGGTTTGGGGAGACTCGTAAGGTTTACTGTGATGAATATTTCTTTTGATACCAAAATTAGGCTCCTTTTTGATATTGGTGATAGATGTCTTTTTGTATCGTAAAGAACTAAATTATATTTGAGAAATTTACAAATTTTGTTAATCGGGTATTTTTTCTAAGATAATATTTTTTGAGGATTTGCTTTTTAATTGTTCCAGCATCTAATCATACATTTCTTTAGATATTCCAATATGTCCATGACTAGGACTTTGAGTTGGAAGATCAGACAAAGTTTTTCTAAATAAAATAAAAATAATTACTCTAACTTCTGACTTATTTATATTATTTTAGCAGCCTACTATTCAAGCGTTTTTGATGCCTAATTTGATATTCCCATTTATACAGTCTAATCTTACATTTAGGACCTCTCTCTCTATAAGGATATAATTTTATCCTCATATATAGTTTTTAAGTCTTATATTTGTTTTTTATGTTTTTTTTACATTTCTTCGAGATGTTGGTTGAATAAAGTTTCTTGAACTAGTAATTACTCAGATTCTTATTCTTAAATTTTTTCTTATAAATTCATGATATCCTTTTTTAGGGTGATATTTTCAGCTTTTAAGTTTTAGTAATCTGCTACCTTTGCTTATAATTATTGATTTTATTTTATAAGTAATTATACTTATTATGTTAAGACTTCTACTTAAAGAGATAATTTGTTATTTTAGATGTTTAACTGATGATTTAAGATGTGCTAATCTCCTGTTTAATTCATTTTTAATTTGATATTTATTAGAAAATAAATCAGACTCTGTTCTTAATAAATATGATTACATTATAATATAATGAAATCTAAATTTAGATTCTTTATTTAATAGTTGATTATTTATAATCTATGAATAGCTATAATTTATCATCATCATTTTTTCTAGGTCTAATCCATAGACAAGAACAATATTTTTGGATTTTTATTTTTGGCAATTAGTTAGATGGTTTCAAAATATCTAATCTACATGGCTGCTTTTGAATCCAACATATCAGCAGCCTCCCTCATTAGTTTAGCAGCTTCAACATCACTCTTTTTTTAATAATAAAATAGTACTTTTGCGGAGATGATTTTTGACTAAGCAAGTCTTTAAGCTTTAGGAGCATTGGATAGGGAAGATTGCAATTCCTCGCCCATTTACATATCCTTAATAAAAACATGTTCTAAATAGATTCCTAAATGAAATCAACAATATTGAATACCCCATTCTGAAACAACATCAAAGACGAATCCTTCTATTTCATCAGCAATCTTCTATCTGTTCTCAATAATATCCTATAGTGTGTGTTCACCAGCAACAGTTCTTAGAGTCTTAAAATTATTATTTTATTACCGCATAAGTTATTTCTTTAACTGCTTCAACAATTTTCTTTACTCTATAGGCTGATCTACACACATCAACAACTCTGTAATACACAATAGTGTCAATATTGACAGTGATATTGTCTTTAGTTAATATAAGTTATCTTTCCAAGTCGATAATGCTATATTATCAAAATTAATTGTTTTACAATGTCTTTGTGCTTACAGGAATTATTCGATCTGTGAATCTAAGAAATTAACATTTATGATATACGGATTGAATTCATGTAGTCCTGGCTCCAAAGTTCTTTGGTATTTTCCAAATTTTTATAACAATCCCTTTTACCCTTAGGTTATTTCATAGTATGGATAAGGACAAAAACAACAACAACATGGCAACCAAGCTCTCAAAGTTCCAAAAAAGGATCCGAAACAATTTAAAACGCTTTCATAACAGGTCATTTTTTCATTCATTCCGTCATCCCTTCATCAATAAACTATGGAAATTTACATTTCATTCTCGAAATTGGTTTTTGCTCTTCTCATTTATCTCTTCTCAGCGAAATTTGCTTCTCCTTGTAACATTAAATAATATAGTAATTTAATTAATGGAATCAATTATTGCATAATGGAAATTGTTGAATCTTATTCTCCTTAACCGAAATCAATTTATAATCATAATGATACTTCAATCAAAAATAATATAGATCAAAATCTCATTTCTCAAATGTTTAATTAACAACCATTGAATGTGCTAGTTGATTCACTATTTTCTCATTCTCCACATAAATCTTATTTGCATCCTTTACCTATATACACATATAAGATATTTGCTATTATAATCTCTATATTTATTACTTTCCCATCTATCTCACAACTTATTTATTTCACTTCTGGCTCTATTATAAACACATCTGTTAATTCTCTAATTTTCTCATAAATTTCTTATGAAGCATTATAAATTGATAAACTCGTAAAATTCAATTTACTATCAACTATCACGAATCCAGCAGGTACTGTATTTTACTCTGTGTAACTTACCAAACTTTTACTAGCTAAAATCAACCCTTTGTTTATTCCATCTTTCAAATCTCCTATAGTACACATTTAAAGAGGATGATCAAATCCTTTTGGTTATTCTCTCAAACCTATTGGAATCTATTTTACTATGTTCTACAACTTTTTCTATGTAATTCTGCCTTTATTGGTGACCAAATCATAGACTTTAAGCACTTTCTATTACACTTCCTTTAATGTATCAGTTGTTAATGATTAGTCAATCTTGTTTGCCTTAATGTAGTCATTAAAGGCTAATTAATAATCCTCAAAATAGCAATGAATCTAAATTTATATGATATTAAATACGTTTCCTCTATTGAAATACAAATCAGGGTTTTCTCTATTTTGATTCTTTTCAGATTGGTTGTAGGCAGACAAGGCCAAATTTAATTCATTATTATTTTTCTTTGGATTCATAAAATAATCAGAAAGGTATGCATTTCCAACTAAATACCAGGATTGTGCATTTTTTAAATCAAATGTCAATGCTTTCTTTGCAATTTCCAATGATTTTGTCACATTTTAACTCTTATCCTTCTGATCTCCAACTTACCTCAACACTATAGACAAATATTGCAATGACTTGATATTATTTGGATCTTTTTCAATTGCAGTTTCAAAACATTACTTTGCAGCTACATAATCCTTTTTCTTCCACAAAATATGCCCTAAAGTATTTAAGCTGTCTATGTGAAAAGGATTCAATTTCATCTAAAAATTGATTTTGAATTAATTTTACTGCTTTTGTAAGTGCCTCTTCAGCAAATTTTGAATATTCAGGTAGAATGTCAGAGGCCTTTCCTTTCAAAAAATATAGCTCTATTTTATGCTTTTTTGAGACTAAAGAATTTTAATATTCAAATTACTTTCTAAATCTTCATTATCAATCAAGGAGTCAATTTGTTTAATTATCTATGTAACTTAAGGTTTATAATGTTCTCCTTTTTGAAAATCATATTCAGCTTCTTCTGTCAGCTGATCAACTTAAAGCTTTAATTCTGAGAGTTTTTCCTCCATTTAAATTAATTAAAATTAAAAAATTAATAAGAAGAGTAATTGGTTGTTCTATTCTTATAAATGTAATTGTTTATACTATAATAAATACAAAGGAACTAAGCAGAATGATGATTATTTTTATAGTATATTAGCTTATTAGATTGAAAACTAAATATTTATATTTTTTATTATTAAAATTTTAAATAATTATTATTGATTAATAAGAAAAGTAAAAGAAATTAATCAAATAGGAAATGGTGTAAATATAAAAATTAATTAATTATGAACTATTAATAGATTAGAATTTATATCTATATTTTCAAAAAACTTTATGTTCTTAAAATGTTGATAAAACTGCTTTAATTGATCTAGCTGAAAGCAGCTCAGTTAATTTATTAATATCTTTAGCTAATTTATGATTTTCGATGTCACTTTCTCTTAATGTTTTGTCTAAAGCTTCATCTCTATGTCTGCTGTCCTAAAATAATTAAGAAATGTATTACTTCCTTAAATTTAGAGTGATAAGTAGTATCATTTTTAAAGTTATTATTAATTTTATTCATCTATTCGACTTCATGGTTATTAATTTTAAATTCCTTTTCTTTGATTTTAGTTAACTATTCGAGTACTTTTTTCTCTAGATCTTTTCTATAGACTAAATCTTAAGTAACTGTTGATGAAAATTATTCCAATTGATAATTATCTACAGAAAGATTTCTATTTTCTAATTCCATTCTGACTTTATCTTTCAACATGTCAGAATATTATTCTGTTATTTATCTAAGTTCTTTTTGGGCTTCTAAAATACATTATTGACTGTCTCTTATAATTTTAAGTCTATCTTAGTCTATTCTTTCTACTTATTTTTCCATTTAGTTTAATTTTTCTTTAAATTCTTCTAAAACTAATTTCTTTACTTTTTCAATAACTTCCATAGTTTAAATTTAACTTGATGAATTAAATTTAGCAATGTCATCCTTAACCTTATTGCATTATTCTGATTAAATTTAAATATGATCATCTAACTTTCTATTTTCATCCATCATCTAATCGCATTTTTAGCCCCAATCGTTATCGATTTCTCTTAGATTGAAGAAATGAGCTCTTTATTATTCTGCCAATTCTTCTTATTGTTTCTTTTCAAGATCTCTAATATTTTTTTCTGATTCTTAAAATCTCTCCTCTAAAGCTTTTGTGGTAAATGATCTTTACTATTAAATTTATTTGATATTATTGTCCCATTTTTGAATCTCATTTTTTAATATATTTTTATGATTCTATAATTCACCTGCATTTCTTTCTAACTAATCTTGTTTAGCTTAATTTCCTAAAAGCTTTTATCTCCATTGCAAAGTCTTCTCTTCATATTCTTCTTTCAATTACAAACCTAAGGCTCTCTCTCTTTCAATCAACTTTTCCAAATGTTTAGCAACAGCTCTTCTTTCTTCCTCTAAATGTTATGCCATTTCCTTAAGTGGTTATCTCTATCCAGGCTGATATCTTCCTTAATTTTTGCCTGGATCTTGCATACCAGCCATATTCACATTATCTTTATTCTATTTTAGAACTGAATTCAATTCTCTTATTGAATCTTCTGTGGCTCCATTCCCTTGAATTTCTATGGATAAAATGTAACCATTGGCAGCAGCAGCTGGAATCAACATTCTAACTCCTTAATTTCCTAATTCATTCCATCTGAGATCCAATGTTCTCAATTAGGGATTATTTCGAATAATATTTGCAAGCAATCCTGCACATGTTGTGTTCAACCTATTATTTTGTATGTCAATGTGAGTAATAGATTTATTTATAGACATGACTTGATACAGTAATTCAAGAGCCTTTAGATTGTTGTTAGCACAAAGTTGATTCCATTATAAAGTTAAAGTTCTTAAGGACTCTTAATAAATACAATAGATTTACAATATTAGTTTTGAGTGCTTGAAATATTTCAATAAATCCGTTGGGACTAATATTATTTCCTTTGAGATCCAGGATTCCAATATTTGGATAATTTTTGATAGTGTCAGCCACCAGTTTTGCTCCCATATCTCCAATATACATATCGTTTAATGTGACTCTTCCAGTTGGACATTGTCTTTATAGGATTGGAACTAGAGTTGAAATAGAAGGTCCTTAATTGTTTCTGCTCATTTGAATTTTAAATCGTTATAATAATTAAATAATTCTTGTGTTTCTAAGAACAATTAACATTTTTGGTTTATTATTATTTAATATATTAATCATGGACGATGATATTCCTGACTTGGAAGATTTTAGTGAATAACTCTAAAAGAAAAAGGAAGCATCTGTTGATATTGGTGATTACGCTAAGCCGGTGGAGGAAAAACCTATTCAAATCCAACAACCCAAAAAATAAGATAATGATTTAACAGGTTTGAAGAAGGGATTCTTGAACGATCAAAAGAAAGACGATGATATTATTAAACCGAAAGAAAAGAAAAACCCTTTATAAATAGATGAAGTTTAGGAAAATATGAAATAAAACAATTAGTCACAATTTGGATAATTCATGTCATAAAATAAAGAGGAATGGTTAAATCAAGATCTATTACAAAAAGTAATTGATGCTTAATTAATTGTAGATTGCTAGTAATCCAAAATTATAAAAATTATTTACTAATCCAGAATATTTATCAGCAGTATAATAGATGTAGAGTAATCCAACTGGTATTATGTAGAGATACAAGAATAATCCTGAATTTGTAGAATTAATGTCAGAGTATATGAAAACAATGGGTGAGCATTTCTAATAATTAAAACCTTAAAAATAAGATAAGCCATAATAATAATAATAATAATAATAGCCTAAAATTATTCCTGTTGATTAGAATCCACCAAAAAAATAACCATAAACATAAGAAGAGAAGGTCTAATATATTATAGAAAATGATAAAGAAGTAAAAGCTGTTTTACAGGATCCAAGAGTAGTAGCATTTATTGAATATTTATAAAGAACAGGAAAAGCTGACTTTTAAGAAATTGCTTACAAAGATCCACAATTAATGTAGAAATTACAAATACTCATCCAAAAAGGTGTTTTAAATGTATAACGTATGTGATATCTAATTATTTATCAAAAAGAGTTTTTTCTCTGCTTGTGATTTCCAATTCTCTTAGATTTTGGAAGATCAGATTTGTCGGCTTTTTTCTTATGTTTAAAACTAGTCTCGAAATTCTTGATCTCCTTTTTATTATCTTTAGAATAAGTATGCACTGTGTTGAGACTTTCATCAAAGGACACTTTTCTAAATTCATTGTTAGAATAAAATCTTTTTCTGTCCTGAGTTTGATCATCTGTAGTGATTGAAAGATGATTGATCTTAAGAATCGATTCTGTCTTTTGATCTTCCCATTCAGCAATTGGATCTGACTATCTACATAAATTAGTTTATGGACAACTATTTTCTAATTGATTGTTGATGGCAATGATTAATTCTTAATTGGTTTGATTGCTTAACATAATAGAGGAAGTCTTTAAAATTTTAGATGATTGTTAAAATTATAGAAATATAGTATTGATAATTGATAACTGTATGAAAAATATAATATACTGAGACATCAAGATCATGACTTATTGTCAATTACATGCATAAAGTCTTCGACAATTGATCTACAATAAGTGTAATAATTATGTAGGGATCCCTTAATTAATTGATCAGATACAGGTTGATGCAGAGGAGATTAATCAATAATCTTCCATCCATCAATTTAAAGCAACTTCTCCATTTTTTTAGTTTGAAAGTACTCCTCAATTTTCACTTAATCTCTTAAGGATTGATTAGATTGTATCTACTCTATGACTTTTTACAATTTCAAATATTTATCTTTTTTTTTTAATTTTTTATTATATAAACTACAAGATTCTTACTCAGTACTGGGAGTGTTTATGTGAATGATTGGGATTTTGTAATGTTTACGAAAGGCCTTCTATTCATCCTTCTTCCTTTGTAATCCAAATTGCAATAATTGAATATGAAATAAATCATTAATTGTTCTATCATTCTCTTTAATATCTGATCTTGCTTATCCTAAGCATTTCCCTGTCATTTCACATAATTGAATATAAGTGTCAACATTCCTGAGTCTATTAAGTACCATAAACTCGGCTATGTCTTAATGACTTTTAGGAACAAGGGACTAAGTTAAATGGTGTTACTGAAGTTATTGAATGAGGGAATTGATTTATTTAACTATGATCTCTTTTTTCTTTAATTCTTCTAAATACGAGTGCATTTAATTTAATTAATGATTGCCTTCTTGAGTGGATTAATTTTGATGGTCATTCAAGTGATGGCTAAAAAATAGAAGGATTTCTTATTCGATTTAAAGGAGAGTAAGTCAATATAAGTAGACCTCTCCACCTCTAAATCAGATAAGGATTATTTGATATTGTTTGTTCGTCCATAAGAAGATGAAAAGGATGTTGATTTGGGTGAAATTTAATTTAAAAGTGCTGATGAAACATACAAATTAGAGGACTTTTATGAAAATGCCATATTTAAATCGAAATCAAGTGAGATCAATTTAAAATGTATCACATCTCCATGTAAAGGCAGAATCACTTTGGTGAATAGTGATGTCTTAGAATTGACAACTTCAACATAAGAATTGAGTTTGACACAAAAATAACCAGCTTAGATTGTCTAATTAATGCTTCCTAGCTAGTATGATAGATTAGTGGGAGAATTTAAATTATTGGATGATGAATCAGATAAGATAAAAATAGAGGTGTTTGATGAAAGAGCAAGGTTATATGGAGACAAAGTTTAAATATCGGTTGCATTAAGTAGCAAGGATTGTGAAAAATGCAAAGTATTGGTTGTGTTGAGTGGAGATTTGAATTTTAAAGAAGAGACGACAATTAGCAGCTAATTGCATTTATATCGAGATCTATAGGATATAGAGATCAATGAAGATGTGCAAGATTACCTTTTTGAGAGGAATGAAAATCAATATAGAGTCAAATTACCACAATCATACAATATAATATAAATTGGTATTCTTGGTGATTTATTACCTGTGATTAGAGTAACTAATAACCAGGACTCTGAGATATTCAATTCTTAAGATCCCATCTAAATTTCATAAAAAGGACAAGCCTATCATATCCATTTAAGAAAGGCAGAAGTCAATAACAATAATGAAATAATTATTAGAGTAAATAAAGGAGGACCTTTAAAATATTCATTAGTAGTTAAAATTTTAGATGAACCGATATTATATAATAATTAAATCATATTAGCAACTATTTCAGATAAAGGATCCCATATATATTCATTTAAGACAAGTTATAGTGATTAGGAGATTGGAGTTCATTTAAAGTATTATCAAAAAGGAATGAACTCTCTAAAAATAGGAGAATGCGATGGAACTTGTACTACAAATACTGAAGATACACACAACATAAGATTCCGTTAACATGAATAAAACCCATCAGCCTATGTGAGTCCAGAATGTTCTAGCAAGGATTAAGAGGGATTTTGTAGATTCCAAATCTAGATTATCAGTGAAATGAAAAATACTTACCTTCTAAATACAGTAAATGAAATAAATCGTAAAATCATCAAATCAGATATACCTTATTAAAACTATTTAGAGAAATAATAGTAGGAAAATCTGATTGTTAAATATTAGCATCAAGATGATGACGTGGAATTAATATTTACAGTTAATACTCATAATGTTGTATACTTGATAAGTAAAGACAGTAGTTGCTATCCTGTTAGATAAGAATGTGCAAAATATATTGGAGGATCTGATCATTTAGTTATACTCAGAGGAGAGTAATTAAAGCATACTTAATTTTATGTAACTCTGACTACCAGAGAAACTACAATCTATTAATTCTAGTTAAAAGTTTTGAAATAATCAGATATAGACGTTAAAATTTTAAAAGAAGATGAAACGTATCGTGGAGTATTGTCATTCATTAATGGACAACAAAAGATTCAGTATTTTAGAGTTGTCATTTCCGATTAGGTTGATCAAAACATTGAAATTATTCAAGATAAGGAAACCTCACCAACTATTGAATTTGCCATTCATTCATCACGAATGTAGGTTGCTCTTCTTTTCAATAAAGGCAATCAACTGCCAAACTTAGAAAATTATAATCTAATTACTAAAACTAATTATCTATCTATTTCACCTGATAATTAATATTATACAAATTAGGGAAATTATACAATAGGAATTGCTAATGCTTTTGACAAAGCTACAGATAAAGAAATAATGTATACTCTTACTTATTCAACGAGTAGAACAGTTAAAACCTTGCACGTTGGTTAATAATTTGTGGATATGGCATTTGGAAGGAAGAGTAAATACTTTAGCTTTTATTATAGTAGGAACGCATCATCTTTTTATGTTAGTTTGTAAGGTAAGGATTCATAAAAGCTGATACTTAAAGTATCTAATGATATTTCATAAAATTCTTAAGAAGTGAAATATTTTAAAAAGGAGCATTCAAGTACCTTGCTTTTGGAATAATTTGAATTAAATAAATTATGTTTAAATGGTTTGACAGAAGAATAAAAGGAGGAGGAAGAAGATTCAAATTAATTGCTGTTTTGTTAAGCTTATGTAATAATTGAGAACAAAGGTTAGGAGGATATTCTATTTTAATTGAACATTTGGAACCCTGATGCTAGAATAGAAATGAAAGACGGACAGCAATATTAATTTAATTTAGAGTATTTATCAAAAGAAACCTTTTTATATTATAAAATTATCTCTAATGATACCGATGTTTAATTACATATTAATTCACATTATGGTTATACTAAATATGAGATTGAAATTATTGATACTTAGAATTAATAAGCAGTTTCTTTGTTTGCAAAAGAAGAGTACAAAACATAGCATTCCAAAAGCATTTACATGAGTGCATTTGCATTTTGTGGCAAAAATTGCTTATTAAAAATTTCATTAGTAGCATAACAATAAGAATACAACATTTCATAAATTAACAGAACCTTAGATTTTGATGATTTGGTGTATGTCACTGTGACACAAGAATTTATGGATATACAGACTGGCATCCCAACTTAAATTCAAGTTAATTAGAATTCTCCAAGAAAATTCATTTACAATTAGATAAATGATCTGTCATAAGAATCAAAAATGAAATTAGTGTTACATGAAATTTATGGAAGAGGGACGATTTGTTTATCATTTAATGATGAAGACTAATAAAATTTAGAGAATTGTGAATTTTAAGTATTAGGAAATGTATTAGAACTAACAAAGCAGTAAATATAATCGAAATTGGATGAATTAAAACTAAAACAAAACCCTTACATTGTAATAACAGTATTTTCATTAGTGAGTACTAGCAAATTGCAATTATCAATAGAAATATTCGATGACAAAAATAATCATAAATTGGTTTTAGGAATTCCTACCAGGATAAAAATGAATGCCTAAGAGGAATCATTTTATTAATACTTTAATATTCAAAGTAATGATGATTTATACTTCAAATTCATAAAAATGCAAGGGCAAACCTATATTGAAGTAAGTAGATGCCTAGATGACTCAAAAATAGCATGTGAATCAGAAGTAATAATAAATGAATAATTTTTGACTGGCCAATCTTATAGTCAACACATTATCCATAAATCGGATATCAAAAGATATTGTGAACTATGTACATACGTAATTAAAGTTAAAACCATTGGCAATTCTTTGGATTTATTAATAGTAATCACTTCATAATTAAACTTTGTGTAACTCCCTTAGAATATAGCATTCACAGATTTTTTAGATGGACCAGATGACTACAATATTTATCATTATTCTTATGATACAGATCATCAAATAGAAGTTCAAATAAATCAATATAATGGAGACACTTAGATGTGGATTGGATATCATGCAGATCTTAATATATCCAACTATCTTTATGGACCATACAACACCATTAAATAAATGAAATTGATGAATATCACAAATTCAATTACTTACTATTAAGCCATTATACCACCCAGATAACACTTAGAAGAGAATGACAAAGATTACAATATAACTTAATAGATCAATGGAAATTAGACTCTTGTTGGACATTACAATGATGATGACATCTATATTATTGTTAAGAACAATCAGTAAAGACAAACAAATTATTCTATTATTGTTACTCAATCTACAACAGGCAATGGTTAACTATTATAGGACGGAATAATCACATCTGCATATTTGAGCAAGCTGACCCCTACAATAACATTCTATCATTAATAAAAAAATTAATAATAACTCTAGCTCTTTGTAAAAGTAAATCCATATGGAAATTTGAATAATTTACCTTTTGAAGATTATTTCAAAATAGAAATATCAGATGAAGCAAATTCAAGTAATTTTACAATAATCCATGCTTTTTCAATTCGTAATAATTAATTAACTTATATACTTCCAGTGCTTGAAGGCATGATAACAATAAAAATGCACAGTTTGTTGGAGATATCTTCTAATGATTTCAATCATGTCGATTATTCTTTTAATCCAAGAGGAGATATTATTCCTATTCCTAAATAACCTTAACCTAGACTCTATTATTTTTCAAATAACTATTTAAATAGAATAGACTTATAGATCAGCATAGTTGGATAGGATGTTTACATGATCAATCAGAATTCTAATTAAATAGATATGATTGTTGATTAGAGACCAAAATACTATGAATCATATATATAAGGGGATGGGAAATTGGCAATTCAAGTTTACAATTGTCTTGGAGATTTGAGTGTGTCTATCACTCAAGATTATGATTAATTTTTAAATAATACTTATAATGGAACCAAGACAACTTTGGAAGGACAATTAACTGACATTTTAATGACTGTAAAGCCTGGTCCTATTTATTATTAATTCTCGTCTAAAAGTAGTGTGTATAAGTTTACAACTAAATTGTATTCTTAATAAGACAAGATTCCTTATGGTTAATTGATTTTAGGAGGAGATGGATAAATCAATTATTTCTTTGGTACTACTGATCCAGACATAATTACTATTAAATTCAAGCCAATAAAATGTGTAGGATGCGATTTGCAGTAGGAACATAATAGTGTTATTAAATACTATGTGAATTGGGGCAGCAGTGTTGAATATTCGCATATCATAGGACTTTGTCAATATCATTCTTATAATAATTTGAATAAATTACAGGTGGAGCATTTTGATTAGAAGGATGTTGGCAATTATTATTTGAATTAAACTGAAGAGATTTCTTTTAATATCACAGTCGATAAATAGTCACTACATAATTAATTGTTTATTTCTATTAGAGCATAAGTTTTATAATTCAATAATGTCCCTGTTGGTGACTATGAATTGTATTATCATATTGCAGAAGTTGGATTGCCAAAGAATGCTTTCTATATGTATAAACATAGATTCTTTGAATTTGTGATTGCTTTGTCTATTTTGGCAGCGACTACTTTCAGCATGTAAATTAAGATATATATTTGTTAGGCTCTGCTGTTTATGTATTTTCTATAGAAAAGCTCGTAAGTTAAAGAAGTAGAATTTGAATATGCAATTGGAATAGAGGATGGAAAGTGCAAAATAGAAAGAGTAGACAGAAGTGCAAGTGGGATATGATTCTTTTTAGGATGAGAATAATGAATAGTCAAATTAATGATCATAAATATATATATATATTTATCACACACCAACACTAGGCGAAACATCATAATAGTAATTATAATCTTCGCTTAAATGAAATTGTAGGCGTGGTACTTACAATTATTCGAGTAGTTATTCATCTATATAATCGTATTGATTTGAGTCAGCTAATATATAATAATCAATAAATAAATACTGAATTGTTGATCGATCATTCTGCAATTTTCCTGGTATCTAAGTGCATAATCTTTTTATCCAGAACTTAAGGCATTTAATATTTTTTTAATTAATATGCGTTTAATAAAAATCATCACTTTGGGAAACCATTTCAAGTGATCCTACTCCAAATTATTAAGAATTTAATAGGGATTCATTAAAAACCTCTCCACATACTCCAACATATACAATCCACAATCTACTAGATTCGTTTATCTTGGTACTATAGGCTAGTGCACAGGAAAAGTTGATCTCATCACAATCTCATAGATCTAATCATCAGTATATCTCTTGTGCTCTTGATTATAGACATGCATCAAATAAAACTTAATTTGTATTCCAATCCTTTAATCCTATACAAGAAGAGAATCGAAATAGATTAAATACCCATTCTTATTCACATCATTACTCAATTAATAGTTATTATTACACAATTGTTCGCAAACTTGCAATGGATTCACTACAAATATCACTGCCCAATGTTCACGTAAATGCAGAGGGAACAATACATATTATTTCATAAAGATGTTTTCTTTTGTCCATCTCTATAGCATTTAATTGTTTTATAAGTATTGAGCATAAATTTGTTTGTATTCTGCATGAAACGATAACAGTCGAGTGCAGAAATAAGTGTTGTAAATAAGTAGAGATTTGTTTTTGAAGATATCATTCTCAATGAATCTTAAGAAAAAGTTTATTATAGTGTCATTAACATAATTCTGAGGATTTAACTTTAAGAAATCGTAATACTTGATGTCAATACTTACTAATCTCCCCTGACTCAAATATTGATAAGTGCATTTGAAATCTTCTTTTACTTTCTCGTCATATGCATGATGTTTTGATTGCAAGTCTAATTCATTTATCAATTCCAAATAAGCTTGTTATTGCATTTCCTATTTCATTAATTGTATGTTTTACTTTCTGCTTTTAGATCTTCTCCTTCAATTGATGCTTAACAATCTAATCCAATTCACTCTCTTCCTAAACTACAACATCGCATTCATATGTCATTGTTGGCTTTAAATTCATTAACCATTTCGGTGAAACTAATTGAGGTGCTGCTATGATCTCAATATCTTATTCCTTTTTTTGTTATTGTGTAATTGTCTAAATTAATTGTATGTCTTTTGAAGGTTATTAAATTTCCAGTTTCTCCAATTAATTCAATAACTCTAGATGTTCTTGTCTCTTATTTTGAATCAACTACTCCATCTTGTTTTATTATTATTTCTTTTTTGCTTTTATCATTTAATTTATATTATAAAAATGGTGGATTTAATTAACCAAACAAATTTCATGATACAAATAATAACTCAACTATATTCCTCACCATTACATCACTCTTCTATAGCAACATACCTTAAATTCATTAATAAGCTATTATCATTATTATTATTATTAATTTAGACATAAAATAATAAGGGATCATATTTATCAATTATTTCTTTCGCTAATTAAAATGTTATGATTCTCTACTTTAATATTAATTTTATAAAATATAATAACATATTTTTTGTAATACTTTTTCAAATCATTCAAATTATTAGATTGCCATATTTAATTTCATACTGTTCTAAAAGTAATCCATTTTCCAATACTGACCTTTTCTATCGTCTTAAAATTTTCCTTTAAAGAATCAAATATTAAATTTGATCATTTTTATCTCAACTTATTGTTTATTACAGTAAGTATTTATAAATAAAACTAATTTATATTTTAATTTGATGTTTATAAAAAATATGATAAACTTGAAAATCCAAATCATTTTAGTTATTGATTAGATTGATTTTGTACAAGATATTTCTCAATTTCTTCTACATCTAACCATCTCTTTTTTATTCCATCCTTCCACTCACCATATTTTTTTTCTCCATCAGGCAAAAAGTATACACCAATCCCTTACTATTTACCTAACTTATAATATAATAATTTACCGTTAATCCAAATACCCTCATATTTCCTTCCATCTCCCCATTCAAATGATCCTCTACCATGTTTTTTATCATCAACATATTCCTAAAATTAAAATAAATTTACTCCTATGTATTTTCTTCCATCCATCCAACTCACTTATCCATGTCCATGCATTTTGTTTCTCTTCCATTATCCTGAATATATTCTGCTATCTGGCCATTAATATGTTCCATATCCATCTATTTGATTATCAACAAATGTTCCTTCATATTTAGAACCATCTACAAAAATTAGTATTCCCTAACCATTTTTCTTTCCTACTTTATATTCCCCTTCATATTTAGCACCATCTGGCCATATTTCCACTCCAAGACCTTCTTATTTATCATCGACCCACTAAAACATTTTATTCAATAGATTACATTTCCTTAATATTTCGCCCCATTGATATGGATATAGTCGCCCTTCCCATTTGCTTTATCATTTGACCATTCTCCTTCATAAATATCACCATCAGCATGCAATAATTTCCCCCAACCACAGCTTTTATCATCTTTCCATTAACCTTCATAACTTGAACCATCAGGCCATTGTTATTTTCCAAATCCATCTCTTTTACCTAACAGCCATTCTCCTTCATATATTGCACCCTTATCTAATTAAATTGGTCCAAATTTTTATCTTTCCATGCAATTTATATATGTGATACTCACCTCTTTTAATGATTGTGGGTCTAAATTCTTTTTTAAGGACTAACTATCATTATCAGCATCAAATTTTTCTCTTTCTTTATTTATCGACTTCGGAGATTAATTAATTTGCTCTTGTCGCGATCCAGAGTTTATGCTACTTCCATTATCTTCATAATTTTGAAGATCAATATTATCTAAATCTATTTCGTTCTTTCGACAATCTTTTGAAACTAATTCCCCATTTTTCATGGCACAACAATTAACTTGACAAGTACCCATATTAAGTATAATATTATATATATAGATGTAATATTAATGTTCAAATTTCCTATCTTTGATTAATTTTAAAGCTATATTATTTATATATTTCAGGTCTTTTTAATTTATTACAATTGTTTGCTAATATTTTAAAATGAATGGTATTATTAAATAATTAAATAATATACTAAAGCTAAATAATTTAATGTAACAATTTATTACATTTTCTGTATTGAGTATTAGTTTTCACTTACTTTAAAGTTTTATAACTAGTTTAATTAAATTTGATAAAAATTGGGTTAAGCACTTTGAATTGAAAATGACTACATATAAAAGAATGTTTTCTGTTGTATTTTTTATTAATTCAATAAGACTAAGACAATTTTATATATATATTATTAATAAAATGATTAAGAATTGCATATATCCTTTAATTGGATTTTTTACTGTTGTTGGAAGAATTTTCATATTTTTTTGCTTTTGGTGGGCATATGATGGTGTTGAAGAAGCTTTCAGTGATAAAAGATTAGGGTACTAAAATGAATTTTATGCTTGGGAATCACCTCCTATTTTTAAAATACAGTAATTATTCTCAAACCCAAATTGTCCAGATGGAGTATGATAAGTGATTAAATATTAGACTGAAATACTGTATAATTATATTTGGTAAGGGAGATAATCGTTCACAGAAGATGGAGTTGAATAAAAAAGCATCTCTTCACATCAATTCAAATTTTGGGTGTATGAACCTTTGCCTTCTAAGAAATTTATACTCTGCGCAACATTAGGATTGAAAAATGAGACTTATGCATAGTTTGGAAGAGTTAAGAAAACTTGTGAGGATAGATAAATGAGATCATGTAGTAATGGTAGGTTTTGTGTTCCATCTACTTATCAATATTGTCCAATTACTAAAGTAGAATTTGATGAAGCAGGTGTTCTGAAGACTGAAGTTGACCCATCCGAGATGCCTATAGCATATTTTAAGGTTGATACTTACTTTGTTAGTGTTTACAACAACAGAGATTAAAATTTGTATCCAAATCAACCTTAGGATGATAAACTTGTAGAGAAATACTCCTCTAAAGACATTGAATACAAAGATAACTCTTTCATTCCTTTAAATACTGTAAATGACTAATTATTTTACTCAATTAATTCAGCATCTGATTATGATCGAACTATAAGTGCAAATTACAATAAGACATTATTTTATAGAAGATATAAAGAATGGTAGTATGAAGCATTGGGAGATTTATTTGACTATGCATTCAATATTTTTGATTCATTAGACGAGATTATTATGTTGTCTGATTCTGGTACAATAACATCATTGATTTATCTATTATTGGTTTGCTACCTTATTCCAGCACTCCCTGTTATCTTGAGATTTATTAGTGTATTCAAAGTGGAAAACATATTTATTTGGGATATTGTCATCAGAATGGTTTTGTTGTTTACATTGTTGGCTTAATCATTATATATTATTAAACAATGTCAAGATGTAGTAAACTATTCTAATCTATTATTAAAAAATGATAATATTGTTGGATTTGAAGTATATTTCATATCATTATATAAAGGATCAATATGATGGTGTAATCGAACTTATAGATGGGTAGGAACCATATCATATAATTTCAATTGCAGTTTCATTAGGATTCTTAGGAGTTGAAGTATTTTTGTGGTTCACAATTGGTTTGAAGGCTTGTTTTGCTTGGATAATGAAAATTTTTAAATAAATTAAATTCAAAAAATAGATTAAAGAAGAAATTCGAAGGGAAGAAGATATTGAGAATTTAAATCAATTACATTCAAAGCAAGGTAATGCGGAACAAGAAAAATTAAATTGATATTCACAATAATATTTAAATTTTGCATTTAATATCATTTCAATTTATTCAGTATTATATTTTGTTACTAAGATCAGTAGTTTTAGCAAAATCTGATTCTATGAATTAAAACATTCTTGCTGCAATAATATGAATACGTTATCTTTTAAGAATGTCAATTAATTTTAACTATTTCTTTAAAGCCTGAAGTGATTCTGTTATTTATTGTTCAATTCTTTAATTATCCTTTTTGAATTAGTCTATATTTAAAGATAAATCGCTCTATTTATCATTATTAGATAATTTATTTTTTTATTGTTCTAATTTCAACTTTTAAATTTATTCAACTGTTCTATTTATTCCAATATCTTTTTTATTAGCTTCTGCATCAATTTTTCTATATTCCTTCTTAACTGATTCTATTTCTTTTGTGATTGCCAGATTTTCTTTTTCTGACGCTTTAGTCTTTTATTAAGCTTCCAATAATTTTTATCTGAATTATTCGTATTTTTCATTCAAACTAACAATTTGGGCATTATACTTTTTGGTTTAATCAACAATGTTCTTCCCTTTCAATTCTATTTCTTAAATTAAATTTTCTTTCATCTTGTTTTATTATAGTATATTATCTAATTCCTATTTCAAGGCATCTGCTTTCAAACTTTACATTCTTAATATTTTTTCTACATAGTTTAGATAGTAATACTTTATTCATCTACTATTAGTTCTTATTCTAAGATTTCTTATTTTTTGTCATCATATTTTATAGGCTATTGACTATCTCTATTTTGGTCAGCACTCTTGATGTTTCTAACCTGATTTACCATCTATTGAACAGCAACATCATTATTGAAATCTTCATCTTCAGAAGAGTCATAATTTTACTATTACTATAAATCTTACTCTTAATCGCTATCATCTTTATATACCTAATTTAAATTGAATTTAATAAATACATCATTGAATTCATTCTCATCGTAATCCAGATTCTCATCATAGTTATCATCCTCATAATTTGAATCTTTATTTTTGAATTTTATCTAAAATTTTACCAATTACTTCATACATAATCTTCCTTCAATGCTCTTCTTTATTATTCTAATTCTTAATTCATTCTCATTAATTGTTCTTCTTTTGATCTCAGATCATCATAATTACTCATATTATTATATAATAATTATATTCATTTCTCTATAAAAACATACTATTTTTTCATCTTATCCATGTCTTTTTCTAATTATATCAATTCTTTTTCAAATTATTCTTTTCTTCTCTTCTATCCAACTGTGTCAACCTTTTTTAAATGAGTATATTATTGATATTGTTTATTGACTTCATCATACCTTTGTTTCAAACCATCTCTAATTTATTATAATTCTTCTTCAGACAATAATTATCTAATTTATATTAGTATTTGGATATTTACAATTTATTATTTTGTTCTTCCAATTGTCGTTTAGCATTGTTTTATTCTTCTAAATAAGATTATTAGAGCTGATCTTTGATTTAACTCAAATACAATGGAATTTATCCATAATTTTTTTTGGTTATCCAATTAGGATCTTCTTGTGGTTGTTTTGGAGCTATAAATAAAGATGGATTTAACATTTGAGAATGACATCAATCTTATTCGTGGCGATGAAATTTCTATTAGATTATAATCCCATTGTCGGTTTTTCAATGGATCTAGGAACCAAAGGTTTCAACTTATTTCTATGAGAATGAACAAATTCTCGACTTCTTACAAGAGATCCCTTCTCAATCCATTCATCCAAATTGTTAGTGCCCATAATTCTCGGTTTAATAGGTGAAAGTTGTTCTACAATATTAATTAAGATTATGAACATGTTTTTGCTTTTCCTATAGTTCCACTCTCAGATGCATATCTATTAGATGACAATTGATAATCTCCGCTTATGTTTTTAACCTCAAATCTAAGCTGATTTTCATACCTAAATAACATTTGAGTGATTTGCAAATGTACTATAGGATGGCTATATTGTACCTGGGAATTAAGATCTATATTTTTTTTATCGCTTAGGTGGGAGGGGATCTTCTGTTATTATATTATAGATGCTTTCTTCCATTAAATAATTAATTATATCTCATAAATCATATTTTTCTTCTCTCTTTCTCCTTGACTCCTTTATCTCATAATTCCTGATCATCTCATCCAATTATGGATCAGTCTTGCCGTTATGAAAGATATTGCTACATGGTTTATTATCTGGCCATGGTACAATATCATAATGTACATGATTATCACCGCTATTCTCAAGCCAACTAAATACTAAGCAAATATTTTACTCTTAAAATTTATCAGACAGTTTTCCTCCAGTAGCCATAGGAATTTAGAACTTTGGGTGATTCCAGGCTTCAGTCCAGATGACCATCTCATTAAACACACAACTTATTGCCCATAATCCCCAGTCTGGTTTAGCTTTCATCAAATCTTTCAATTCCTATAAAATGCCTGATCTTATCTTCTCAATTTATTTCTTCTCTTTAGGAGTGCATTTATCTAAATGGATTTTCCCTATACATTCAAAACGGTCATTAACTTCTAATTACCACCAGTCATATTAAGAATGTACTATAAAAGTTGGGACATCCACCTTTCGAAGAGCATCAAAAGAGAAGATATCATTGATTGTAATACCTACTCTTTATGTGACCTCAGTATATGCATCTAGAATCTCTTGATTTCTAGAGATATCAAAAATGACACTATCAAGAAGGATTCTTAATTCAACATCTTCTGAATAAAACTCTTTAATGGCTGTTCTTAATTCATTATATTTATTAACTAAATACCATCCTCCAACTCCAGAACCTGCTAAAATGATCCTTTTAGGAATTAACTTCATTTATGATAGTGCTCCTTTAAAGGCTTCTGGATTCATTTGTTTATGCCACATACTACCATCACAATACATTAAGAACATTTTGTGTGCTTTTCTAAGATGTACATTCTAATATTGAGTATTTCCCATTAAACCTTAATTTGCATTGAATTCTTCTGGATACCCGTTGCTAGTTCCATAAAATGTAGAATTTCGATGTGTGCAATTGTCAATGTAAGCATAATCTCCATATTTTAGAAATTTTGTGCTATCTTAAACACAGATTCCCCCAGAATAGAAATACATAACTAAATCATCAGTGCTGCCTTCAAAAACATAAGCAGCAGCTTTTGTACCATCCATACAATAGGAATCCTTTAAATAAGTTCTATGCAATGGATGAGCAAATGAACTTTCTTCATCAGGTGGTTGATTTAAGAATTCATCATCCTCAATAGATTCTTCTTCTCCTTGAGCTGCTAATAGACATATTAAAGATGCAAAATAAACAAAGTACATGCCCTATTTATATTTTTAATTATATTAAATTAATTAATATCCAAAAAACGATGATTAAGGATGACGTATCTATTATTGCTCCAACCCTTAAAGAACTCAAAGCCAATTTCTTGACTAAAAAGTCTCGACCAATCCCCTTTAGACTTCAACAGTTGCATAACCTACTGAGAGGCCTTAAGGAATTAAGAAATGAGTTTTACGAGGCTTTTCAGAAAGTAATTTCTTCCTAAAATTCCAATAGGATTTAGGATACAAAGACTAATACTTTTGTGAATTGGTATAGTATTAAGCAGTGTTAACCCATATTGAATGTGATATCAAAAACATCTACAAATACACAGCCAAGAGATCCGTCAGCACATCCATCATGGCAGCTCCAGGAACAAGTTATTTAATACCAGAACCCTACGGAGTTGTCTTAGTAATAGGAGCTTGGAACTATCCAATCTTCACTTGTATCCCTTAACTATCCCAAGCTATAGGAGCAGGAAATGCAGTTGTTGTAAAACCCTCTGAGTTGGTTCCTCATGTTTCGAATATCTTAGCAAAATTGATAACGAATTATTTGGATCAATCTCTCTATCGTGCAATAGAGGGAGGAGTTAATGTAGCAATTAATATTACCAAATAACATTTTGATCTTATCATTTTTACAGGAGGAACAGAAAAAGGAAAACTAGTAGCCAAAGCTGCAGCCGAAAACTTGGTTCCTTGTATCTTAGAACTTGGTGGCAAAGGACCCTGCATTATTGATTCATCAAGTGACTTAGCCTTAGCTGGAAGAAGAGTAGTTTCTACAAAATTATTGAATTGTGGTCAAACATGTGTTGCTCCAGATTATTTGTTAGTGGAAGAATCAATCCTAGATAACGTTGTCAACACTTTCAAATAATAAATAAAAGACTTCTATGGACCTGAAACCAAAAATTCTGAATGTCTGAACAGAATAGTTAATGAATTCCATACCAATAGAATTGCTGAATTATTAAATAATCATGGAGGTAAGGTTGTTCATGGTGGTTAATTTGGCTTAAAAGAAAAGTGGATTGAACCAACATTTGTAGTTAATCCTGATCCTAATAGTGAATTGATGAAGAATGAAATCTTTGGACCAATACTTCCTATTATAACCTATAAGAACATCGAAGATGCTATTAATTTTATCAATTCTAGACCTAAACCATTGGCTCTCTATTATTTTGGTACAAATAAAGCCCATAAGAATGCTATTCTTGAATCTACATCATCAGGAGGTGTTTGTATTAATGATTGCATCTTTCATTTAATTAATCAAGAATTGCCATTTGGAGGAGTAGGTGATAGTGGCTATGGAGTTTGTGGTAGTAAATTTGGATTTGATCAATGCCAACATCTGAAACCAGTTCTTGAGAAATCAACAATTGATCCATAAGCAAGGTATAATATCTTCGTTATTTCTTAGATATCCACCATACACCGATAGCAAAAAAAGCTAAATGAAATTCTTAAGTATGCTAGGAACATAGACCCAATCAGAAGTTTTGTATAAACTATTATTGGTACTCCTTCTTTTGGGAGTAATTATATACGTAACATGTTTTTGTGGCTGTTCTAAAAATAAGCAATAAGCCGATTTATGATATCATTAAAATATAAAGAGCAATTAATTATATATATGTATATTATTTTATATTCATCTCCATGAATTTCTGATGAATTTCTCAAAAGCTGGTTCACTTTCTATAAGAGCACTAATATCAGTTAAATAATCATTAAATTATTGTTATGTTACAGCCTATACGTCTTTCCATATCTCATTGAAGTCCTTAGTAGCATCAGCAACAGTTTTAATACCTAAAGATACATCTTGACTCTTTGAGGCATCATAAAATTCTAGTAATTATTAGATTCAATTTACATTTAAGCTACTAAATTGCAACTGATGGTTGTCCATTTGATATTCTATTCCATAATTAATTTACTAGATCAGCCCTAAATTATGTTAATGGTTCTATCATTATTAAAATTCATAACATACTTCTTAAGAAACTTATGAATTCAAAAAATGAGACTTCATCATCACAATTCTTATCGAAATATCTAAAGAGATTGTCATATTCTGTCTTAGTAAGTAAAAATCCAGATTCCTTCATAGCCCATTAAAATTCTTATCTATTTAATGTTCCATTCTTATTTTTGTCTGAATTAGCAAAGATTGTAGCCATTCTAATGACAGAATGCTAACCTTTCTTTATTAAATCAGCTCTAATTCTATTGAGAGTTTCTGAAGGTGGAGATCTTGCAATTTGAAACACTGGATTAACATTAGCATTATTTCCAGATCCCATTAAAGCAATCAATCCACAGATTTCATCATAGCATAATCTTCCACTTTTGTCGGCATCATATTTATTAAACAATGCTTGAATCTCTTTATCACTGAAAACACAACCAAACTTTTGAAGAGCCTATGCAAATTGATAGATATCAATAGTCCCTTTATTTTCCAAATCAAAGTACATAAAGGCCTTTTTAGCTGTCTTGCCTTCATCATCCTTTGTAACCGTTTTCTATCTTATTTTTTCAAACAATATAATCTCCAATTATGCCAGTCTTTCTGGAGAAACATAATCTGCTCCTGAAGTGACACCCCAAGTGGATGTCAATAACTAAATATAATATGATGGGGAATACATCTGTAAAATATTCCTCTTTTTCACTAGGGAGAGTTGCATTGCAATCAGCATAATAATTGAGGAATTCATCTTCGCTGATACTTTGACCGTCTTTGCTTCTTTTTGAGATGGCATTGACGAACTCTTTAGTAACTTGATCTGCGGTCTTTTATCTAGTTCTTACCCTTGGATGATTTTTTGATTGATAGAGTCTATACAAGTTTTCTATTAGGAGTCTTCCTTGTCTTTGTTGATCTAGAAATGCAAAAGTGCTTCTGACAACATTGATTCTTTTATCACTCATATTTTCCCTAATAAGATTCACAAACTCAGCATAGGCTATATTGCCATCTTTATTTTAATCATATTTATCATAGACTGCTCTCAATTCTTGAGTTGTAAGGAAGACACCTATTTTGGATAGAAACTTTTAGAATTCATCTTTATCCAAATAACCTATATTAGAAATATCCATACCAGAATTGTCTTTATCGAATTCTGCCATTAATTGGTACACTCCTTCCAAGTCATCTATTTTACGAGCATGTAATTAGCCTCTTATTTTGTTTTGAATCAACTCTAATTTGTTTCTCCAATCCATCAGTTATTTTTTATATTATTAATATCAGATTTTGATAATGCTCCTTATTTTTTATATATTCAATATTAATCTAGAATAATTTGTTTTTTGAAGGAAGATGAGTTTAAATTACCATAAAAAAAATTTAATTACATGAATATATTGAATCACAAAAGAATACAGTATTTTCTTATTTCATAATTAGAAGTAGTCATCTAATGATATATCAGCAGTTTGATTATCTGATGAGTAAGATTCGAGTTAAATATTTGAAATCACTTTTTGAGACTTTTTTTAAGTTTCGAAATAGTGTTATCTCACTTAAGTCATCCAAGATCTCACTTATGGGTCCAATTGGGCTATACAAAATCACAACATATTAATACCCTTCCAATCTTAATTAAAAGAGCTATAAATCTTAGCTTCTTATGCAGTTGCTAAATTTTTCAATTATTAAAGTAGTATTTCATGATTAGTGTTCTCATTGTAGATTTCATTCTGATTTGAATCATCATAGGGTATTTCATCAAAAATCATAACTTTTAATTCTTCTAATTTGTTTTTCTAAACATACCATAAAATCTAATTACTTCTGTTAGTTCACAAATTATACATTTATATTAATTAAGTAGTTTTTTAAATATTTTAATTAATAATATTTCTTAAGCACAATTCTTGGATTATGATATTTTTAGATCAAATTTAACTCTTTTTCAATTATTTGGTTATTTTTTTGATATCTCTCTTAATTTGATAAATTTTGTTTTTAAGAATTATGTCTTTCTAAAATTTTAATTTTAGATATCTTAATTATAATTCAAAGATAACATTATTGAAAAGTATTGTCGAAAATATTACATTCAGAAAGAATAGACATTTCTCATGTAATTCCAATCGCATAAATTAAATAAATTGTAAAATCCAAATTTTACAAATCCTTAATTTGTATATTAATTATTATTGTCAAATGAAAGCTGTTCAAACCTTCATTAAAGAATTCTTCCAGTAGAATTAAATCTAAGAACTATATAAAAATGAGTGTTTCATAAATAGTCTGACACTTAAATTTATTTCATCGGAATTGGAATAATGTTATTAAAATCGATAAATGACCAAGGTTGTTATATAATTTAGGTTATCTATTATGCTGCAAATCATTATAAATGTCATTTACATTATTGATACATACTAGATTTACCAATCACTTGATTTAGTGATATATAGATCCCTATATACTGTTTGGATGTTAATCTCACTAGTGATGCAAAAGATTTCTTAGAGGTATTGGAGTGCATTAATTAATGGATTAATCCTCATTAACAGTGTGTTCAACATATTGCTTTATTTTTATTTGATGAAATTTGTTATCAAGACTGAAGACAAGATTGAAGATGTAATAAGTAATTCATGTGTTTCAGGTTTGTAATAAGTATTATTTGCGATCAGTCTTATTTTAATATAGTCTAATTATTTGATGTAAAGCCTAACCATCACTAGCTACTTTCTTACTCTGATGGGAATATTCGAATAATTTTAAAATAATCGATTATGGTCTCAATACATACTTTTATTGTTTACCTGTCTTTTATTAAGACAAAATGAGAAATCAAGCAGATTGAATTATCTGTTGATTCACAAAAAGTAAACAAATTTAGAGGAGTGTAAAAAATTATTTGATGACACTATTCCCACATCAATTATAATTTTAGAATTAATTTAAAAATAATCAACCTAAAGAAATGATTTATTGAATTCTCCATTTAGTTTAAAGGATGAATTATATACCCCAGGAAATAGATCAATGAATGTAATTTACTATAACAAAAGTGCTTCTATTCAATTTGAAACTGAAAGTGAGGACAAATTTATAGAGAGACTTTAAGAGCTAGAGATGGTTATTATGGACAATTTGAATTTGGATAAAGAAAAAAAGAAGCTTTTGGAAAAGATAATAGAACTATAATCTACAATTCAAACAGAAATTAAACTAAATTCATATTACCCATTTGCTTATTAAATTATATCCTTACATCATGATATGTTATGTTCAAGAGTAAAATATTTAACATAAATTATTAGTTAACTAGAATGCAAGACAAATTATAATTCTATGATACTATATTATAAGGTTGTTTATGGGATGGGAAATTATGTATGATGGTGATATTGAATAACGCAACAGAGAGGGAGTTAAGATTGTAAAATTTAAAAGAATTAGATAATTATAAAGATAATCTACTAGCTTCAGTTTCTCATGATCTTAAGACTCCCTTGAATGTACAAACATTATTAACTAATGTGATCAAAAATGGTTTAGAAAATAAACAAAACATTTAGTCATAAGAAATTTTAGGTACTCATTTATTTGGCTAAGTTAAGAAATTATCAAGCATCTAGATGACATGCTAGCCAACCAATATATTTAATCAAATATGATCAATGATCTTATTGATTATTCATAAATGAAATCACAAGGATTAAGATTAAATTTAACTCATTTTGATCTATCTTTGTGCATTTAATAGATTAAATAAATGTTTAAGACTCAAATTGAATTAAAAAACCTATAATTAATCATTACAGAGCTTAATGAAAACAGTATTTTATTTTCCGATCAGGCCAGATTATAATAAATACTGTTTAATTTAATTTCGAATGCTATTAAATTTACTTTTTCTGGAAAGATATCCATCATAATTTAAATCATAAAAGTATAAGATACACAATTAATTTAATTTTCTGTATAAGATACAGGCATAGGCATACCAACCTAAATCTAAAGTAAATTATTCAAAGCTTATTCTACTTTTAATTTAGGAAATTTTAATCGTCAAGGAATTGGATTAGGCTTGGTAATCTCAAAGAATCTTGTTGGATTATTAGGACCAAAACCATAAATCGAATTGATTTCTAAGGAAAATGAAGGGTCTTCATTTACATTTACTATCTATATGAACATGTTTGAGAAGCAAATTTAGCCCATGAATTGCAACTATGAATTTATATCTTCAGAAAATGATCCTTCACCTATTAAACAAATGCCTAGCTTTTCCATAGTTTAATAACAAAGATCTACAAAAAAAGCGAAGACTTTAATAGATTTATCAAAAGATGCAAAAGGATCATTACACATATTGATTGTGGATGATTCTGCATTTAATTTGCATGCGCTTAAATTATTACTTAAGAAAAGATTGCCAAAATCCATTATAGATTAAGCATTAAATGGAAAGGAGGCTGTTGAGAAAGCATAGTAACAATAGTTTGATTTAATTTTCATGGATATCTAAATGCCAATAATGAATGGCATAGAAGCAATTGAGCAAATTAGAAAGATTGATTAAAAACAATCACATAAATTAAAAAGACCAATAATATGCATATTATCAGGTGGGAAAGATGATTTTGACCAAAACCTAACAAAAACTATTGGTGCAGATATGCATTTAGAAAAGCCATTGTCTATAGATGATCTAAGATTTCTCTTGGAATAATTTTAATTATTATGATTAAATTTACAAATTATTTATGGTATCATCTAAGATCTCATTTCTTTAGCATATATTAATGATGAAGTGAGCGTATTAAAATATATATATCACATTTTAATTTTTCTAACTTAAAGCAGATTATTCATCCAATCATATGATTTGTTATCTCTTTCATAAAATCCTTGAAAATATTTAATTTATTCTTTTTATGAGAATTATTTAGTTTTGAAGGCAGGTAATGGATAATTAAAACACTACTTTGGACAGATGTCTAACAAAATTTTAGTTTCTTTCATGTGGGATTGAGTTCGTTTTGATCTGCGTTGATTAGGAGTAGCAGTTCTTATTTGACTTCTCACTCTAAAGGATGAATCCAAAGTAGATTTTTACGACTAAACTGGTCTATGATAGTTTTTATAAGGCTTCTCTTCTTTTTCATTCCAACCAGCATATACATCAAAGGTGTTAGATAGGAGGAATTAAGAACTGATTTATTCTAAGCATTATTATGCTCTTCTTTCTTAACAAAGTCGTTATGGAGATTCATTAAATTTGCATTCATAATTTTCAGACGGGTTCTCATTCTCATTATTTATAAGCTTGTGCTTTTATCTTTTCAACATACAAAGTGACCGTTAAACAAATAATATATAATAATAATAGATATTTTTTAGATTATTGATTTTCGCTAAGTCTTTTGTTATTTAATGCATTTAGTAAAGACATCTATAAAATTCCACTCATTTGATAAGAAGATAAATTTTCAATATATTAATTAATAAGACTGTTTTTAAATTGATCTTACTTCTTTTAAAAATATGGGTTGTTGTTTAAGTAATCATAATTAACATGATGCCATTATATAAAATATAATAGAATAAACGGTTTTTGAATAGCAGTAAATCCAAATAGAAGAAGGACAATAAGAACGGATTAGGACGACTTTAAATTCTGATTAAGAACTTATACACAGTGATGATTCCAAGAAATAGTATAATGTAAATACAGAACATCATGTAAAGAGTTCAAGCCATCATAAACGAGAATTTGAGAAGGTAGATGAGAGAAATTATTTGTTAAAAGTAGAGTATAATGTGAAAATAAAATAATTTATAGTAGAATTGATAAAATTGGATACATCCTCATTTTACAAAATATAGATATCAGCATCATTTTTGGATTTCGAAATTATGGTGGATTTGAAGGGAATTTAAGTGAATGACAATCATTAACATTTACAAATATACCCATTTACTTATTCAGAGGCATCCAGACATGCAAGATATGATTGCTTTTTTTCAAATGACAAATATTTCAACATAGATGAAAGCGATTTTAAAAAGCAGCACTTTTTCCAATAATTATTATTAGTATAAAGACAAGTGCTCAAGAGTCATCAAAAGTCCACTTCATCATAAGAGAAGAGAGTGGTTAATAGGAGATGGGCTATGATTGCAGACTTAACATCAGTCCTAATAAAATCATCAAATATACCACAGAGAGCTAAAACAGAGGTAAACTATGATTTAGTAAATGAATTCATGGAGGTCATTTAAGTATTTGACATTGAAACTAATCCTAGGTTTCTGAACATCATATTTCATCTTATGCTCTAAACCTACTTCCCACATTTAAGAGAATATCTCCTCTTTATTGAAGAAGTCTATTTTCTATTCCATGATCTTCCTCATTTAGATTGTCCTCAATATTATAAGGTCCTGTTATTCTACTAAGGGATGAACTACTCTCTGAAGGATCTACACATTCATTTGGATTTTGAGTAACTGCAACTATCAGATATATGTCTTTTAAAACTGGCACTGTGTCTTATCAAAATTTTATACTCTTGTTATGTAAAATATCTTTATAGATTGAACTTTACTCTTAGTAATATATACTATTTCAGAAGATTGAAAGTATTTAAATTGCAGTCATTTCAAAGAATAAGTTCACTTATTCCATTTTAAGCTGATGTTGAATCATCAGTGAATTGCATTAGTGAATCTAAAATGATATCCTTTAGAAAATGTTATCTTAAGGATTATTTTGCCATTTGTGACATCATATTATTATTTAAGAATCCTAGAGGTTAAAATTAAAGAACTATAAGTAAATTAAGAAAGAAGAAGCCTTAAACAGAAACAGATGTTAAATATAAAGATTATCTATTATATGCTGATTCCATATTTGATGAGGTTGAGGATAGAGTCATTCTAGATTTCATTAAAATAGGTCTCAATAGATCGCTTTTAGGAAATGATTTCAATATTGAATAGTAATTTTTGATTTCAATATTAGAGCTTTAGAGGATTTGAAAAGCAATATCACTTAAATGGAATGTCTTATTTTGAGTTTGGAGTAATTGTAGAAATAAAAAAGGAAGGATGAACATATTTTGAATTACAAAAATAATAATGAATACTAGGATGTCATTGATTTATCTTCTAATAGTGAAGAAGAAGAAGATTAGGATAATGTATTGAAGCATTTTGATTTGGAATTAGATATTGAAAATTTGACAATGAAACAAATGGATAACAAAGAAAATGAAGATGCAAAAATAAGAGAATAGCTAAAAAATGAGATGAATTATTCATCACTATTAATGAATCATTATTTCTTAAAGAATTGTGACAATTTTTTGAAAAAAGAAGAATAATATTCCATAGATAAAGTCTAAGCTTTAATATATTTGGCTTAGGCTAAATCTTAAGAAATTCTAGATGAAAATGTCAGGAAAAATCAATTTTAAAAATATCTTGAAGCAGCTATTTATTAGGTGTAAAAGTAAGATGATAAAACAATGTCTACATCACACTTTTTAGTTCTAATTTAGTTGCTTTAATATTCTTCCAGAAAGCCTTAAGTTGTATTACTTCGTCTCTTGTAATTAAGCTAACAATAGTCATAAAAGAAATTTCTAATGCGACGTAAAATAAAGAAGGCCATACATTCATAAACTGGATTGATTGAGATGAGAAAGCATGTTATAATTCAACTAGCTAATGTAGAACATTGTTTGGCTAATTCAAGATTGAATGAGGCTAATTCTATGATATTCTCTATTATTGATATCCAAATGAAAAGGAACTTACTTTCTACTTTACTTTTCGGTTATTCATTGTATATTTATGGTATCATTTGTCAAGAGACCATCTAAATTTAATCAGCCATGATAACATTTTAGATGAGTAAAACTATTTACGATAGTTTTTTCCCAATGGAGAAATGGATAGAAATTAAAGAAAAATAATAAGAAGACAATTTATACAAAAAACCAATCAAAGAGGCAAAACAAAAGGATGAACCTGAAAATCCTTAAAAAGTCCTAATAAATTTTCATAATATGGCCACATACAACCTTTCTAAATTGGCTTATAACTTAGGTGTTGTATTTTGTTAATTAAACGATCCAGAAAATGCATTAAAAGCTCTCTAAAAAGCCATTGAGTACAGAAAACTAATACATGATGAATTTTCAGATGAAGTCATAGAAATTGTTTTAATAATTTTTAAGATCTACATTGAAAATGAAGAATCCTCATAAGTATTGAAATTAGGTTGGCTTTATGCTAGAAAAATAAATTAATTATACAGAGATAATAAATTATAATGTTTGCATAATAAAAATTTTGCATAATTAGAATTCCTACTTGCAGGAGTGTTTTAAAATTGCAATTCCTATTTTAGTGCTCTAAGATTTTACTCAAGAGCTAGTAAAGCTTACACAGTTTCAAGGACATAAACTTTTAATAGGATGTACTTTGTTCAATAGTAAAGAAAATTGATTATGACCTATATTAAGGATTATCAATTGCATAATGATCGAATGTAATCATAAGAATTTTATTATTAAACTAAAGTAAGAAGCATTTATGATAAAATGAAACCATTTTTTGAATAAGTTTACTTTGTGTCTTCAATTTTATATATGGATAATTCATTAAACTAATTGACTGGTACAAAGTTGTTGCATTCGAATGGTTTTTTGAAGAATAATGATTATCAATTGGCATCATAAAGATATTAAGAAATTCATAAATAATATTCTTAAATATAAAAGGATGAATGTTATGGTCATAATATCGAGAAAATTGGTGAAATATTTTTAGAAAATGGATAATTGGATAAAGCAAAAATACAATTTGAATTTGCTATTGGTATCTATGAGAAATATTTGTTTTTTCCATATAAAGAATATTGTTAAATGCGTTGTCATTTATACATAATCTGTATTCTAGCAATTTAAAAGTAATCCGAAAATTTGATTAAATATTTTAATTTGGTTGAAACATTTATACTGGACTGTTAGTAATTTATGAAATGGAGTATCATAGCTGAGGAGAGAAAATATAATAAATTTTAATTGTTATCTAAAAAGGCAGGTGTTAAAATCTTGTATTAATTAGTAGAACTTATGGATCTAATAGATAAATTTAGAAATGTAAGGAAACGATGGTTTAAGAAGATTCAAGATTTAGATTACATAAATTAAAGAGGATAAAAGATGAGGAAAAGAATGAAGGTGCATCGATCAGAAAATAAATTATTAGCTGAATTTCGTAAGTCTTGTTTACTTGGGAATCATGTATCAATACGAATAAGAAAATACGAAGAGTAGATTAAAGTATCTTTAGATGATTTACAAAAATTGTAAGAAAAGAGATTACAAGAAATGTTGAAAGTGCAACCAACTAATTAAAATGATGATTAGAGAGTTGTTGAGTAATCAATTCTTATATAAAAACCATCATAAGAATAAGATCAGATTCCTTAGTAAACTACTAGAAGCAAGAAGTCTAAATTCTTTATTTTAGACATTGATGAAAATACAAAAAAGAAAAAGAAATAGAAGTAAATCAATGAAGAAGTTCAAAAAATAGAAAGTTCTTAATAAACGTCATCTAGAAATATAGATTTGGCTTCAAGTACATTAGAATCATAAAGAACTCAACCTACAAGTGAAAGAGCTCTTAAATGTTATAAATCAAAGAGCTCAACAAAAGCCAATATTATTCAAAATGTCTAAGACAAAAACAACATAAGTTAAAGAGGTACTTCATAAAAAAGTTGCAGATTAAATCCATTTTAGAAAGTGAGTAAAAAATAAATTTGATTAATGTATTATTATTCAAAAGTTCTTTTAGTTAATCTCATCTTTAAACAATCCAAAAGAGCCTATACCAACTACCTAATCAATGTTCAATTATTCTTATGAAGATTTATCAAATCTCAAATTAGTTTGCATTACTAAAGTGCAATTTCTTTATCTATTGATTAGTGATATTGATTTATCTCTTGTTGTAGGCTGATTCTTGCAATTGTTCTACATAAATGGATTTTTGAGAAATGTTGGCATCATGGATTTCTTCAGACTAATATCTTATGCTTATCATACATGGCCATATTATTGAGTTTATAGAAATCTATTTCACTCTCGATTTAATCATCAGAAACAAAAAATTTATGTTTTAATAAACTATTTGCCGACCATCTGAATTCAGGATTCCTAGATAGCATCTTAATCAAAAGATCTTTCTCAATATCATTCAATTAATCATGACTAAACTTACTGAAATTGATATCGCATTTTCTATTCAATTCCAGTTATTCCTTCCTGTCCTTCTTTTCAAATAGAGGTTCCCCTATTAATCTAGAATATCAATCATATATTTACAGAATATATAAGATTACTCCAGCACTAAAAATATCACATAGAACTGAGTATTTAGCTTAATCTGAATCCTATTCTAAAATTTCAGGAGCCACAAATCCTGGAGTGCCACATTTCGGATATGTGTATGGATGGGAATCTACTGATTATGCTAATCCGAAGTCAGCTATAACCAAGGATTCCAAATCCTTATTCATGAATAAAATATTTTCTGGCTTAAGGTCTCTATGCATTATGTTATGACTGTGAATAAACGCTAAACCCTCTAATAATTATTTCATTATTATTCTAATATCAGATCTACTGAACAGTGTTTAACGCTTTTTCATCAATGATAACAGTGATCCTCCTTTGGCCAACTCCATTACCAAATAGTAATTTTGGTTCCCTATATAGAGTTCATGCAATTATAGAATATTTTAATGCTTGATTTCCGATAAAATACGCATAGTCTCTATTTCCTAAAGTAATTGTTTATATCCATTTTTTTTTTCATTGATACGTTATTAATCTATGCATTTGGCTGCATATTGTTTTTAACATTATAAACTCGATAATTCCAAAACAGTTGCGTATGATCCCTTCCCTAAAATTGACTCAGCTTGATATTCATCTTATATTTTGACCTAAAATACATAAAGAGCAATTTTTTGTTTAAGTTCTCTTAGTTATTCATTGGTACCAAAATATTCAAATTGCTCTCCACCTACTTAAAATATTACTGATTTTAATTGGTTTTTCTTGTAGGACCACTATATTCTCATATCCTAATTGATTTGGAATTAACGCTCAGGAATCTACACAAAAGGAGACTCAAAATCATAAAATAAGCATATACCTTTCCTATACAAATTTGATTCTTAAACAAATAAATGTACCTTGGACCTCTTCCTATAAATTTTTGTTTGATTAATAAACAATTATATATGCATTTTTCATAATCTACCGCTTATAATTTTTTCAATCCTCCTTCATGAACAGTTTGAGATTTTTATCTCATTTTTATTAATAAATTATTTTTATTCTCATTAAAATCAAATCCTTCACTTAATTTTAATCCAGAATATATTCCTTATTTTCTCTCATTCCTTCAATATTTTCATAAAATACTATCATTTTACTTTTATTCAATATATTTTTTAAAATGAAAAACAAAAATAAAAAATCTTAAGTGAATTCCTTATTTAGATATATTCCAACTGCCACTCAAGAATAGTATATCAGAAGAAATAGTTATTCTTATCCTTCTAATAACTCTGCAATCCAATAAATTTTCAACTTCTACTCTAAATAATCATACGCTATAGGCGTAAATGCAACATTCGATAGGTAGTACCAAGAAAGTAACTCATTAAATTTAGCTAAATTCTTTCATTTTTGCAGAGATTTCAATATAAAATTCCTAAATAGATAAGAACTCCAAGATCTTTTTAAGAAATGTGCAACTCAAGGATCGAACGTCACTTTAGAGGAGTTCGAATAAATTTTTAGTTTGCTACCATAAATATATTGTAATTGATCTATGCTTATTTAATTATTAACTGAGATCTGAGCTTTATATAGAGGAATTGATTTATGCTAATTTTATTAAGAACTCGGCTTTGATGTTTGGTTAGAAAATTAAAAGAAAATGAGATTATTAGGGAAACCTTTTTAGATGAAGGATGATAAACAAAGGTTTACTAAAGATCAACTTAATTATTAATTCAAACTATTCCATCCTGATATCAAAGATAACACTCTCATTAAAGAAATATTAAAGTAACGATAATTAAAATAAGAAAATCAAAAAAATAAAGATAAGGAGAAAAAAATAAAATAAAAGTTGCAATTTGAACTAAAATTTCAAAGTGGAACTGAATTATATCAAAAATATCCTCGCAACATTAAATTAATAAAGCACCTTGAAAAAAGAAAGGAAATAAAGCACATTGATTACTTCAAATCTTCATTTAAATAAGCATATAGCCTAAATATCCAAACAGAATAAAATCAACCAAGGAAATCCTCCTTTATTACATGGGAAACCTTAGATGATATTGCTCCTGATAACGATCTAATACAAAATCTGATAGGACCAGATTAGGATGATTACTGCTATCGAAATTAGCATGAAATAAAAAATAACAAATCTAAAAATTAAAGAAATCGATTACCTTATAGTATTATCAGTCTTTCTCAGGACGTAAGATCCATTTCTGACTCTAACCCTAATTATCAAAAAAATTGTACTACAATTTAAACTGAAAGATAATAATCTCAAAGATGCTAATATTAGGAATCATCTAGAATACCATCGAGTTAACAGTATTACATATAAGAATCTCCTAAATCCATATAGTTATAAAATATATAAAACTAAATTGAAAAGCCTCCATATAAAAATAATGTAAATATCTCAATACTCAAAAGAGTAAATGAAATAAAGTAATTATAAGATCTAAAAGAAAAGTATCTTTTAAACAAAATTGTAAACATTTAATTAAGGAAAGAATAATGTAACTAACAAAATGGAACTAATATCTGATATTAATTTTATATAATTAATTTTATTATCAATTAGACTTTAGAAAATAAAAAATTTGTTCAAAAGACTATGTACTTTTATTGATATTTCTAATGAAATTTTATTTTAATATAATTTATACTAGAGTAGGATGTTAGGAAATGGTTGCAAAAGTGGATTAAAATGTAAATTTTCATTCTTAGAACATTCTAAAAAAGATAGATATATTAATAATGAATAATATGCTTTGATATAGATTCATTTTATAGAAATAATCAATTTTTAATTTTTGTATTCATAGTCAGAAAATACAGCTATGATTTTTAAGGTTTCAGAAATGTTAACCATAGATATTTCTAAACTATTAGCAGCTACAATTTTAATTTCTAATAATACTAGGTATTTGTTACCAGTGACTTTAGCTACAAGTCTCATCATCTCTGATATTTCCATCGCTTCCGTAACACCACTAAGAATGATAGTTTTAGATAAAGGAACAATCACTTTGGGTCCATTAGGATTATAATATGTCATATATTCATCTGAAATCGTAGTTGGTTGTAACTGTTATAAAGGGTGATAAGAAATTCTCCACTAAAAGGTGAATATAATTTGATTACTTATTGATCAAAAAATTAAATATTATTTAAATATTCTTTGGCAATTTAAGCAAATTCTATAGTTGAGTATCTTACAAAGAGTCTTTGCATTTACTTTTCTAAAAGAAGTTCTTCAACATTTCCAAATTTGTTAAAAATATTATACAGCATTTTAGCAGTAACTCTATCATCGATAGTTGTTACTTAAATAATTTTGGATGGTTTTTGAGTGATCATATTTTTAACATCTTAAGAAATTTGCGGTCCTTGTTATTTTTGCTATTTCCAGATATCTATGTCATCATCAGAATCTGAATTCAATAAATTATTGATTTCATCATTCCTTGCAGAATTGAGATTTCGTTAAGAAGTTTATGTGAAAGTACGAGTAAACTAATCAATCTATTGTCTAAGTATGTTTGGATCATCAGTGTTCGAATGCTTCATTAGATCAGAATTTGTGCTGCTAGCTTAGGTATAATCTGTTCCTCGAGATTTATCCACAACCTCAAGATCAAGATTCTTAAGACGAGAGAAGTGGATGGTTAGTCTATGCATATTTAAATATTTCTACTTTCCTTCTCCTTCAGCTAAATATTTACCAAGTTTGTCCTTTCTTGCTTCTATTGCATGTTTCACATCATAATATTCAACAAAAGCTTTGTTTGCCTTGCCTCTTTCGAAAATAAGAATTTTTTTGATATCACCATATTTAGAGAATTATTCAAATAGTAGCTCATTAGAAAGTGGAAAGGTTGGAGATAATTGTGTCATAACAAGAAGCAAAATTTTGCTAGGTGGATCTCTGGAATTATTATTCATAAATAAATATTTTATGTTCCTACTAATTATTTAAGTAGCCAAGACTCAAAAATTAATATTAAAAATCAATAACTTAATAAATTATATGATATTTAATAAAAAAAGAAAAACTATGTAATATAATTTACAAATAAGTTCGCTCAATACTAAAGGATTAATTAAATAATGTTCTTTCATTAATTCTTTAGGGATTCAAACCCAATATCAATCAACTTTAAAGAAATTTAATTATGATAATGGCAATTATAATATTACAATATCTATATCATAAATATATGTAGAAATTAATCTATAAATTTTCATCAGGACTCTTTTCAGTCAAAAATCATGATAAAATTAAGGGACTTGCCATTGCAGAATTAAATAATCCATAAAAAAAGAATGCTTTGTCAAAATAATTGTTAGTCGAGATGAGACAGGCTCTAAGCGAACTTGCCGCATCAAAAAATATAAATTGTGTCATATTAAGGTCATCAACATCAGGCACTTTTTGTGCTGGTGCAGATTTAAAGGAGAGAATAGGATTAAGTAATTTTGAGACAGAATTGGTGGTAAAGAATTTGAGAGAGACTTTTAATTAAGTTGCTAATCTGCCTCAACCAGTAATTGGAGTCATAGATGGATTTGCGCTTGGAGGGGGTCTAGAATTAGCATTGGCTTGTGATTTAAGAATTGTAACGAAATCATCAATATTGGGATTACCTGAAACAGGTTTGGCAATTATACCAGGAGCAGTAATTTATAATATTATATAAAAGGGCGGAACCTAAAGAACCCCAAGAGTTATTGGAGTCGCTTTGGCGAAAGAATTAATTTTCACAGGAAGGAGATTAAGTGCTGAAGAATCATTAAAAATAGGATTAGTTAATTATGTAGAAGAAGACGGATAATAAGCAAACAACAAGGCTGAAGCTATTGCATCTTAGATATTGCAGAATGTATTTTTTAGTAATATTGAAGGGTCCAATAGGAGTGAGAGCAGCTAAGTCAGCCATAAATAGAGGAATGGAAGTAGATATTGAGAGTGGATTAAAAATTGAGGAATAATTATATTATTAAGTTTGCCATAGTTAGGATAGATTAGAAGGTTTGAAAGCATTTGCAGAGAAGAGAAAGCCATAATATAAAGGAGAATGAGTATATTAATATTATATTTATTATGACGATGCTAATTTGCATATTTAAAATTTGAAAAGTATATATAAAGAAATTTATTAAATAAATTAATAAAACATGAGTACTAATATGAGAGGGTTGAATACATTCATCACTGACATCCGTCACTGCTCAAATAAGGAATAGGAGGAGAAACGAGTGGAAAAGGAATTGTAAAAAATTAGAGGCAAATTTACATCTCAAAAAGGATTGGCTGGCTATTAGAAAAAGAAGTACGTTTGGAAATTGCTGTATATCTATATTCTAGGTATCAAAATAAATATCATCTAATTAGGTTATGAAGTTGACTTTGGATAATAGGAATGCGCCTTCTTAATTAATTCTTCAAAATTTAGCGAGAAATATACAGGTTACGTAGCTACTTCAATTCTGGTGAGTGAAAAAACACATGACTTATTTACATAAGTAGCATCCTCAATTAGAAACGATCTATAATCTGTAAATGAAATTAATCAATCATTGGCCTTAACTATGGTTGGAACATAAGCACCATAGGAATTGGTCAATGCATTGCATTAGGATGTCTAGAAATTGGCATTGACAGAATCTAGATCAACTTTCCACGTTAGAAAGAAGGCATGTGCTTGCTTACTTAGAATGTATAGGAAATATCAAGATAAATTCCAGCCATCATAATGGGCTTAAGGAATTTCATAAATGTTCGAATCTAGGTATCTTTATCCAACTTATTGTTAGACACCCTTCCTTAGGATTTATGACTGCAGCTACTTCATTATTAGTCGGAACATGTTAGTTAAATAATCCATCAATCTTTGAAGATTGCACACCTAAATTAATCAAATTACTTCACAAAATTGCAATTCAAAAAGATAGCCCTGGAGATTATAATTATTATGCCACTCCTGCACCATGGCTTCAAGTCAAGATTTTGAAGGCGCTTTCATTCTTTTCACCCCCTCCTCCATCCACCGATTCTCATCGATAATTGACTGAATGCCTTACTAAAATCATCAAAAAAACTGAAGTTACTAAAAGCATTAACAAAAATAACGTTGATCATGGCATTCTATTCGAAGCTGCAAATCTTGTTATAACATATAATGGCGCAGTTGGAATGGAGTTGAAAAACGATATCTTAAAATTACTTGGAATTTTCATATCAGTTAAAGAACCCAATCTAAGATATTTAGGATTAGAAACAATGTGTAAATTTGTTAAACTTGCAGGAGATTCCCTAGAAGATCATTTAAATACTATTTTTAAATCTTTAAGAGACAATGATATATCAATCCGAAAAAGAGCTTTAGATTTATTATATTTAATCAGCAGTCCAAATACTAGTTAAAGAATAGTTGAAGAATTGTTGAGTTATGCTGAAAATGGGGCAGATTTACAGATTAAAGATGATTTAGTTTTAAAAATAGCAATATTATCTGAAAAATTTGCAGACAATTTATATTGGTATATTGATGTTGTTGTAAGAATGATAAACTCATCAGGAGATTTTGTCACAGAAGACATTTGGTTTAGAATCATTCAAATTATTGTAGGATTCTAAAAAGAGGGCAATCAAGAACTATAAAAATATGCAGCCACCAAATTATTTTCATAACTATCCATGCCTCATGTTCATGAAACATTGATTTGTATTGGAGCATTTATTATCAGTGAATACTCTTAAATGCTAGTGGAATAGAATAAAGAACCATAGAAATTATTTGACATTCTCAACAAACATTATACATTTAGCACTGAAAGAAGCAGGCAAATGTTATTAAACGCTTTTGTTAAATTGGCATGCAAATATCCAGAATTAAGAGATCAAGCAATAATGATATGTCAAATAGCTGGGGAACATTTTGATCCGGATATTTAATAAAGAGGAATTGAGTACTTCTCTTTATTAATGGAAGATGATAAACTCTTAAATCAAATTGTTGTTAAAATGCCCCCATATTCAGAATTAGTATAACAAAATAACCCACTAACTAAGAGAATTTATGTTATGGTGTTAAACCCAAAGGAATAGAAGGATCCAACTTTATTAAATTAGGCCAGAATCTAAGCTAGTCAAGAGATTGCTATGGCAGAATAGAGACTGTAAAGCAAACCAGAATAACTTTAAAAGCATCTGAGTTGGTTGAAAGCGTGTCCATATCTAAATCAATTTTAAGGTCAAATTGCACTTGAAGGAGTGAATATTATGGTTCCTCCATCTCCAGAAGATAATAATTTGAAATCTCCTTCAATAAGCAATGTAAATGAAATTAAGGTGTTATTAACTTCATAAATTGGAAAGGTAGTCGATAAACCAGGAGATCTTGTTGTTTAATATAAATCTGAGATAAGCGGACATTTGGGAAAGGTATTATATAAAAAATTTAAATTTAGGTTTCTTTCTAATTTGAAGGAGCCTCTCCAATTTAAAACTTATCAATTCTTGTATCTTAGACCAATGGTATGTTATTCAACATTTTACCTGTAAAATAAGGTGATTTTCCATAAGTCATGATGTAAGTTTTAAGTTGTGATGGAAATATGACTTTGCCTATAGCATCCGTTTTCTATGAATAAAATGGATAATAAAAGAAGCATGAATTCAATCTACCAATCTATACAAATAAGTTTGTTCAACCAGTTGACATGCCATACGATAAATTCACTAAATTCTTTGACGATTTTACGTATTTATTTTCTTTTAATCATTAGCAATAATTTAAGCAATTAAAACTATTTTAAATTAGATTCATTTATCAGAAATACAGCTCCGTCTAATATCCCCATGTCTGAAGTGCTCAAAAAAGCTGGAGGACTCCTTTCTGTTGGATTAAATTTGAAAGCGTAATCAATGTTTTATAGCATAGGTAACCATTCCCATCTCTTGAAAATTTACAAATGATTTGGGCTTGTGGATAATTGATGATAAAACCGCCAGAACAAAGTAACATTTTAAATCTACCAATTATGGTTATCATTTCATCATTGGATTAAACCAATGAATTTTTAAGAGTTGGTATTAGATGTGGTGGAAGTGGAGAAATAGCTAAGAATTATATGAAATTAATAATGCTATACCTGGGTTGATCAATATTACATAATATAAAAATATTTATATCTTTATCACTTTTATTTTAATAGAATCATTCCAAATTTAAAACATGATTCTTGAAATAGGTGATTTTGCTATGAGTATAGATAGCTGCATTTGTAACACCGCTTGCTGGATAGCTAGTCTTGGAATATCCTGGATCATTAACGTTGAAAGTGTCACCAGAATATGATGTCATCAAAACATAATGTCCACCATTGTTGACACATAAGATAACGTGTTATCCAGCATCAAATTTGCCTTTTTATTAATATTAGTAAATACCTTTAGCTTATGCAGCTGTGACTTTTCCTTCATAAATGAATCCAAGATTCTTAATTGAACCCCAAACAAATAAGTCTCCAGAAGCATATCCACCATTCTTCTTCAACCAAGTATTCATTGTTCTAGGAGTAGTTGTTCCATCGGTTGTGACACCATAAGTATGTAACATCATAGCAACTGATGAAACTAAACAACCAGCTGAACAAATGGTATTTGAACTTGTGCCTAATTAATCCTTGCCCCAAGTTGCATCACACTGTTTGTATAATGTATATGATCTCGCATGAGCGACGGCAATAATCAACAATACACTAATCACCTATTTCATTATTTTTAATTATGTCACAATGAGATGACGTCAAAGTTTATAAATTATTATTTTTTCTGTATAATCCACTATTTTTCAACTAATAAATAAGCAGTTTCTAATTGAAAGAATTACTTTAAAATATGTTTGATGACAACCTCAAATTCAAATATATATTCGAAGCCAGAATTTCATGAGTAAAAGATTCCCAAAATACAATATAAAAATATATATATATATTTTTGTGAATTTTACTGTTGAAAATTGTAAACAACACAAATATTCAAAAGTCATATTAATCATTCTTTTCTCTAATTGAACAAAATTTTGTTTAAAAATAAGAAGTATGGAAATATTTATGCTTTCATCTAAATTACCAATAAACTATCTTTATATATATAAATATTAGGAATTCAAAGAGAATTTGCCAACGTATTATAAATTCAAATTGATTTATAATTTTCGATTATTCCTCATATAAGAAGACCTTTCATCACCTAATGAAATATAATAGAAACTAAATATTTTTTTTATTAATATCCAACAGAATATTCATTTTATATTATATTTAAAATTAGTTTATCCTCGAAATATATTATTAAAGATGTTTAGAGCAAAAAACAATTAAAAGTAAACAAAAGTTAATTCCATTTCTTCCAATTACTAAAAATCTATTTGTATTATTATTCATAAATTAACATCCATAAAATCATAAAGTAAGTTTGTTTATAAATAATTAAAATTAAAATACAATAATAAATCCAGAAAATTTAGACAAAATTGTAGGAAACAAAGAAATTGATTAACCCAAGATTCAAATTTAGCAGCAATAATAAAAATAATATTATGATGAATATTTAATCACTTTTAAAATCTATAATAGAACTAACTTAATAAAATTTATATTGTATATAACAATAGGAACATGATAGGATAATTTTTCAGTAAATATTACAAAAGAAGTAGATATGTATAAACGAAAATTATAAATAAATTATGTATTTAGTATGATATATTTTGATATTTATTCTCAATATTTTCAAATTTAAATTAAACTATATTAGAAGAATGATAAATTTTAAGTTTAAGAAAGGTGAATTATCAATTAACACTACTCATGATAATATGAAAGAAATTCCATCAAAATCCAAATCAAATTGAAATACATCTAATAATAAGAATTTTTAGTATGGTTAGTTATATTTGATATAGCCAAAATCAAAAGCAATTTAAATTGGCTTCATAATTTGATAAAAATTATATATATTGGGTTAAATACAATATTCCGATTTTATTGTCTTGATATAATTCATTTATATTACAATAACTTTATATTTTGAATTTTCATGTCAAATTTAGATTATATCTCACAATATTAATATATAATCCTAATATAGATGAATTATATCAACTCAATAAAATTGGCATATTTTATTGACTCTACATATATTTAATTTATATTATATAATTAAGCCAATTCAAAATTCCTTTTTGATTTCGAATGCAAATAATATGATTTAACTGCTTTATTGGCATCATTATGAATTACAATTTATTACTATTAGACATGTCTAAGCATAAATTAGTCATCCAGATCAAAACAAATATAATGAAGAACATATATTAATTATATATAAGGGAATGTTGAGGGCGCCCGGAACAGACGTCGCGGACTGCACATC